CTTGTTGAAGAGACTAAAAAGGAACAAAAAAACAAAGAAAACAAACTGTGATCACTATAGAAATGCTTGTATTGTAACCCGAGTGCCCTTTCCCCTGATTCTTTTGTTTTCAATCTGGTTCACTTACCCATCACCTCCTCTTTCTCTTTCTCTCTCTCTCTTTCTCTCTCTCTCTCTCTCTCTCTCTCTCTCTCTCTCTCTCTTTTTCTCTTTCATTCGATTGTTTCATTGACTGGATTCTTTTTTTAACTTCTTAAGACTTCTTGAGGCTTACATTTCATTTTAGATTGATCTTTTACTAGAAAATAGCCAATTTTGAAAGCGCGAATGAAAACTAGATGACTTTTACAAGTCGGATACGGTTTTTTTGATTAAACAATCATTGATTTGATTACAGATTCGGAATCCACATTCGATTTTCTATCGAATGAGCTAGATCTCGTATCGGAATCTAGTACCCTTCCCTGGTCAGATACAGCTAACGTTTGATTCACAATCGATTCCCTTTCGATTCTCATTCGATTCCCAATCAATACCCATTTGATTCCCATTTGATTCCCATTTGATTCCCTTTCGATTCCCATTCGATTCCCATTCGATTCCCATTCGATTCCCATTCGATTCCCATTCGATTCCTAATCGATCCCCATTTGATTCCCTTTCGATTCCTATTGGATTCCCATTTGGTTCCCATTCGATTCCCATTTGATTCCCAATCGATCCCCATTTGATTCCCATTCGATTCCTATTTGATTCCCATTTGAATCCTTTTGGATCCCGATTCGATTCCCATTCGATTCCTATTTGATTCCTTTCGATTCCTATCGATTTCCTTTCAATACCCAAACAATCCCCATTTGATTCCCTTTCGATCCCCATTCGATTCCCTTTCGATCCCTTTCGATCCCCATCTGATTCCCATTCGATTCCTATTTGATTCCTTTCGATTCCTATCGATTTCCTTTCAATACCCAATCGATCCCCATCTGATTCTCATTCGATTCCTTTCGATTCCTTTCGATTCCTTTCGATTCCTTTCGATTACCTTTCAATACCCAATCGATCCCCATTCGATTCCCTTTCGATTCCCTGATAAAAACTTGAATACTCTAGTAACTCTTCTTTCTATTGAAAACTTTCTTTCGAATGCTATCTTTCGAAACCGCAATTCTTTTCCTTTTTTTGACTAGTGCTCCAGGTCGTAAAATTACTGGTTGAGGAAAGGAAAAGACAAGAAAAGAAAAGAAAAGAAAGGGCCAGAGAGCTTTTTTTGAAGCGGGAATGCCATTCTACTTTCCTTTTCTCCATTCAGTGTCCATTGGTTTTTCTCGTACACTCGTCCACAACTCTTTTACAAGCCAGTACCCCATTTTTCCTTTTCTTTTCCATCAAATCGACCAGATGTTCATCTCTTTTCGTTCTTTTTTTTAACTGAAACTTGTGCCGTTTATAAAATTGCTTAATTTTTCTTGAAATCCTTATGTTTTATTGATTATTTTTGAAAATTTCACTTTAGAAAATAAGTTCTGACGGCTTTTGACAATATTTTTGAAAAATTCAGCCTTTTTAAACGAGTTGTCACTCTTTAAAGGCTTATAACTTTGTCTAGAGACAATATTTTTGTTAATTTTTTATTTCATTTTAAAGAGAACATTTCAGGCTTTCAAATGATACCAAAAAGAGCATGATTGGATAATTCAATCCAATAAAAGCAAACGATACAACACCTGAGTTGGATAGGGCTCATTTGCTGAGTTGGCTCTGATTTTCTTGGACTCGATTATCCAAGAAAGCTCTATTTGGTATCATTCGAAAGCCTGAAATATTCTCTTTACAATGATATAAAAAGTTAATAGAAATATTGTCTCTAGACAAAGTTATAGGGGTTTAAAGAGAGACGACTCATTTATTCAATAGTTTATTTAATAGTTTAATAGTTTACTTCATAGTTTATTTAATAGTTTACTTCATAGTTTACTTCATAGTTTATCTAATAGTTTATTTAATAGTTTACTTCATAGTTTATCTAATAGCTTATTCAATAGTTTAGCTAATAGTTTATTTAATAGTTTAATAGCTTATTTAATAGTTTATTCAATAGTGTATTCAATAGCTTACTTCATGGTTTACTTCATGGTTTATTTAATAGTTTATTTAATAGCTTACTTCATAGTTTAGCTAATAGCTTTTTCAATAGCTTATTCAATAATTTATCTAATAACAATTTATCCAGTTTATCTAATAGTTTCTTCAACAGTTTATCCAGTTTATCCAATAACAATCTATCCAATTCAACAATAAATTTCCTTTTAATTGAACTGTTAAACAACGGACTTTCTTTAAATTCTCATCTTTAAATTCTCTTCTTTATCTTCTCTTCTTTAAATTCTCATCTTTAAATTCTCATCTTTAAACTCTCTTCTTTAAATTCTCTCCTTTAAATTCTCTTCTTTAAATTCTCTTCTTTACATTCTCTTCTTTATCTTCACTTCTTTATCTTCTCTTCATTAAATTCTCTTCTTTACATTCTCTTCTTTATCTTCTCTTCATTAAATTCTCTTCTTTACATTCTCTTCTTTATCTTCTCTTCTTTAAATTCTCATCTTTCCAACTAGTTCAGTTTCTATTTTGTTTAAGTTGTTTTGTGCGGAAACGTCGGCCGATCCATTGTTTCCCTTTTTCCACAATGATTCACTCATCTTTCCCTTCATTTTTCTTCATTTTTCTTCTTTTTCCTCTTTTCTCTTTCCATTCTATAGCCTTTTCCTTTTTAGAAATATTCGATTGGTCATACCAAATATTGTATTGCTTCGGATTGTTTTTTTTTTGATAAAGATCTATATTATATTGATCTATTAGCTTTACAGTACTTACAATTAGTTTGTAGATGGTACATGTACATTGTACATTGTACAATTTGTAGATGTACATGTACCTGTACCTGTACATTGTACAATTTGTAGATGTACATGTACCTGTACCTGTACATTGTACAATTTGTAGATGTACATGTACCTGTACCTGTACATTGTACAATTTGTAGATGTACATGTACCTGTACCTCTGCATTGTACGTTGTACATGTACATGTGCGTTGTAGATGTACATGTTGTACCTGTACATTATACGTTGTACATGTACATGTATGTACACTTTTCTAGTGCACTGAATTCTTTCATTTTCTCTCATAAATCTTTGTGCTTAAAGAAAGTGAGTTTAGTGCACTAGAAAGGATGCGTTTCCACGTTTCCACGTCCACAAAAGTACGCACAAAGACGGGTTGAACCATGTTTTTCAAAACTCAACCATTCTCAAGTGTACTTTGAGTTTAACTATAAACAAATCCTGTCTGGTGCACTGAAATACTTCTTTTTTTCTTAACAATGATTAGATGTATTGAGAAATTGAACTGAACTGAAAGGATTTGTTTACAGGTTTAAGCGTTTAAACTCGAAAGCATCCAAGGCCCTCAATGGCCGAGTGGTTAACGCGCTCGTCTCTAGTCCAAGAGGTCGAGGTTTCGAATCCGCTAGACATTGACTTTTTTGGAACTAACGGGAAAAAACCCGCTTGACTGGACAAAACCTGGTTATTGAAAGGCCGTTTCACCGCCCCCTTTGGCCGAGTGGTTAGCGCGTTCGTCTCTAGTCCGAGAGGTCGAGGGTTCGAATCCGCTTCCGGACGTTTGTTTTTTGAAACTACCAGGAGAAAACCCGGTTAACGAGAGAAAAGCCAGTTATTGCCAGACCCCTTCGTGACCCCTAATGGCCGAGTGGTTAACGCGCTCGTCTCTAGTCGGAGAGGTTAAGGGTTCGAATCTGCTTCCGGTATTTTTCGAACCAAATTTTGCCAAAATTTCAAAACCTTTTTAAGCAAAAAGAATCCAAAAAGGAGAACTTTGCGTCTAGCTTGATTGCTAAATGAATTGTTATTCCAATGCAAATCAAGCACAAAATGTCATCCATCGCTCATTGCATTGATTGATATGAGTGGCTATCATTTTTCCTCTTCCCTTTTCCTCTTCCCTTTTCCTCTTCCTCTTCCCTTTCCCTTTCTCTTTCCTTTTCTCACAAATGTGTGCCCTTCTCACCTATTTGCCGTTCATTTACGATCCGTCTCATTGGGTTTGTGGGTTGGGAAAAAAAGGGGGGTACACAGGGAAGGGTACGCGTGCTGCTCGTCCTTGCTCTTCAGTCTCAAAGTCTTTATTCTGCATGATAGATTGGTACATTCATTTATCGATAGATAGATATTGGTGGTTAGATTTGCCTATCACTTTCTTATTGATAGCTTTGATTAGATTTGATGATTCGTTTAGAGATTGCTGCAGTGATTGCTGTAGTCTTATTTAGCTTATTTAGCCATTCACTCTTTTTCAAAGCTAGACTTCTATCGCATGATTTGATAGCATCAGCACTTGGTGAAAAAGTAGTTTGGTTCTTTGATTGATTGAAATGATCTAGAGATTTAATCTATATTGATTTATTGGTCTATATTGATCTATTGATCTATTGATCTATTGATCTATTGATCTATTATTATAAATCATTTGAAAGCTCTTTCCCAAGATAGCTAAAGTCTCTAAAGTCGCTTATAAACTTTGAAATTTCATACAAAACTTTGCATCCTTATAACTTTTGATAGAGTGCTCCATAGGAGAAACGAAAAGCAGATTCGGATTCAGGGAAAAATTCTGAGTCGAATTGTATAGTCATTTGGCAGAAAATTGACGTTTCAATGGAAATCCAATGGAAAACCAATGGAAAACCAATGGAAAATCAAATCTGATCAGATTTTAGATCAGATTTTATCTCTGATCTTTCCCAAGCTCTCTAAAGCTCTCTAAAATTTGTCTTTATCTTTTAATCGTCTTCATCCATCTTTTCTTCATCCACCTTTCCTTGTTCTTTCTTTCAACTTTTCAGCGAACCATATTTCAGGTGAAAGCTGGAATCTGGAATCATTTCCGACATTTTCGACATTTTCGACAAATTGGTGAAATGCCAGACATCGAAATCGCTCAATTGCCCCAGGAAATTCGTGAGAAACTCGCTGAGCTAGAGTTAGAATTGTCGGAAGGTAAATGATACGAAAATTAGAGTTATCTATTCTAGAAATTATCTAGAAGCTATCTATCTAGAAGCTATCTATCTAGAAGTTATCTAGAAGCTCTCTATCTAGAAGCTATCTATTCTAGAAGCTATCTATCTAGAAGCTATCTATTCTAGAAGTTATCTATAAGTTTATCGATTCATCTTTATCAATCTCCTTAGGTGACATCACGCAAAAAGGCTACGATAAAAAGCGAAATGCTTTGCTCGGACCGTTTCTAAAGTTACAAGGTTTGTGCGTTGATTTTGTTAGTTAGAGAATTGGAAAAGTTAGAGGATTTATTGCTTAATTACTTGATTGCTTGATTACTAGATTATTTGATTACTAGATTACTAGATTACTAGATTACTAGATTACTAGATTACTAGATTACTTAATTACTTGATTACTTAATTACTTGATTACTTAATTACTTGATTACTTCATCACCTCATCAATTTCTTCCCTTTAACCATCAAAAACTAGAACCACAGCAGCTCTAATAGAAGCAATTTTGTTAAATGATTGAAAAAGAGAAGCGCATATTAGATTTCTATTAGAATTTCTAGATTTCTATTAGAAGGAATGGTATAGCTTTGATCCAAAAGCTTTTATCTAGATCTTGAAAACTTTTGCTAACTTTGGCTAACTTTAGCCTCATCCTCTCAGCCGACCGCCTCACCGAGTACTCGAGCTCATCGGCGACATCAAAGGAGACTGACGAGAGATGAGAATCGATTTCATTCAGGTGAATAGATAAGAATAATAATGCATAGAATAGTCTACTCTATATAAAGTAGAAGAGACGTCCGTCTGTGCGCCGTCTGTCTGTCCGTGCGCCGTCCGTCCGTCTGTGCGCTGTCCGTCTGTCTGTGCGCCATTCCGGGCTCTCCAAGTTCCGGGAGCGCGATTTAGCAGTCCCATCGACAAACAAGCGTCAGGGCTTAGGCATTTTCGACTATAAGAATCCAATTTCGATGTCAATTTTCATGTCCATTTTCAAAAAGGGACGTGGCCTAACTGAGTCTATCGTGCACTGCACAGACGCAGATTGCACAGATTGATGGAATGGAAAGTTTCTTAGAAACCTCAGAGCCGTTTGATCGGGTTCGATCTCTCTTTCATCTCTCTTTCAATCTCTCTTTCATCCCATCTTCAGTCATCGTCAACTAAACGTGACTCTTTCTCGATGTCGAAGGAATCGGCTTCTGATTTCTCGAGAAATCTGATGCATAACATTGTCTACAACGAAGTGCTCGACTAAAAGGAAATTGAAATCCGCAAGTCACTTGTTCTCAAATGACTTGAGTCACAATCCGCGATTCCTCTGAGTAGCTCTGTACCAGCTGCAATCAACACAACTTATTTTGGAACCAGGAAACGAGTGTTCCTACCTTATCTCATCCTGGAATGAGATCCTGGCTCATCCTGGAAATCAGATACTAAGTGAAGGAACGAGCTGACGAGCTTTAGCTGACGAGCTTTAGCTAACGAGCTTTAGCTAACGAGCTTTAGCTAACGAGCTTTAGCTAACGAGCTTTAGCTGACGAGCTTTAGCTAACGAGCTTTAGCTAACGAGCTTTAGCTAACGAGCTTTAGCTAACGAGCTTTAGCTAACAAGCTAACTAGCTAACGAGCTAGCTAGCTAACGAGCTAGCTAGCTAACGAGCTAGCTAGCTAACGAGCTAACTAGCTAACGAGCTCTGGCTAACGAGCTAACGAGCTTTAGCTGATAATGGGTGACTTTATAATTGATTTCCTGAGATTTCCTGAGAATTGACTACTTTAAATGAACCTGAAATGCCTGGAATGTGTTCCCGAAAGGCCAGCGAAAAAGGCTCACTATTGTTCGCCTTTTCCCGCTGTTTGTATAGATACTTTCTACTTATATCATTACAGAAATTCGAGCCGAAGCCGTGCAAGCTGCTCTCAAAGAATATTCGACGAGAAACGATTTGGAGGCAGCTTTGGCTCCATTGAGGAGACGGGGGACAAGTCAGGTGAAAGATTTTAAATCGAATCTAAAATCTAATCTAAAATCTAAACTAAAATCTAAAAATGAAAATTCTCAACAATACGAATTTTTACATGACATCCAACTAAGAAGAATTCAAAGTTTCATCAAAATGTTAGAAAGGTGAACAAGTCTCCAGGTTATTTCTTTCAAAAATCTCAACATTTTGACTTAACTAAATGATTTTCCCACGTCAAATCGACCTCTCGACGTCAAATCTATTGTCTTCAACGATTCACCTGTTTTTTTCGTTTAAACCTGAAAGAAATAGCCTAGAAACGTGTTCACCTCATTAACTTTTTTTCTAATGGACAGATTTTAATGAAACTTTAGATTATTCTTAGTTGGATATCATGTAAAAATTTGTATTGATTAGATTTTGAATTTTCGTAATCTGGAACGTAATCGGGCTTGGGGTGTAACCCGGCTTGGGGCTTAACCCGGCTGGGCCTAACCCGACTTGGACTGTAACCCGGCTTGGGGCTTAACCCGGCTTGGGCTTAGGCTTATTCTACCCGATACGGCTAATACTATTTGGCTACTATTTGGCTACTATCTTGCTTATTGTACTTAATTGTACCGTACGAGTACAGCTCAAGCCATATCATGATTGATATCAAGATTTAATTCAATTCAATTCAATTCAAGACCTCTTAAAATAACCCTAAACATTTCAGATTCGTCAATCGGTCGAGAAGAAAAGAAATACTCGAGATGAGGGTTTGTTTTTGCTTTTTCTTTCATTTCTTTTCTTCTCAGTATCCCGAATCTCAGCTTTAATTGAAAAACAATCAAAAACAAACAAAATTGTCCTCCGGTTTCTATTTACTTTGAAACTTTCTACTTAATGGCGTCAAGAATTCATCTTTTCATCTTTTCTTTTCATATTTTCAATCTTTCTTTCATCTTTTCTTTTCTTTTATTTTCTTTTCTTTTCTTTTCTTTTCTTTTCTTTTCTTTCAACAAATTTCTTCATTTTGTTTAGAATATTCTTTATTCTAAATATTCGAAATGATTCTAGGATATTCTAAATGCAATTTGGTTGCAGATTTTTGAGATTGCAATTTGATTGTATGCAATTTGATTGTATGCAATTTAACTGTATGCAATTTGATCATTTGCAATTTGAACGTTTGCTATTTGATCGTTTGCAATTTGACTGTATGCTACTTGATCGTGACTATTTGATCGTTTGCTATTTGACCAAACTTGTGCTCAAAATTTATGCCTTTCTTGTGCACTTTCTGGTGCACTGAATTCTTCAATTCTTTCTTCTTCTTTTCTTGTAGAAATTAATTCTTTCTTTTCTTCTTCTTCCTCTTCTTCCTCTTCTTCTTCTTCTTCTTCTTCTTTCTTCTTCTTTTCAATCAATTCTTTTCTTGTATCAATGAATCGGCAACGATTCGGCAATCAGCAATCAGTCATCAGCAATCAGCAATCAGCAATCAGCAATCAGTCATCAGCAATCAGCAATCAGTCATCAGCAATCAGCAATCAGCCATCAGCCATCAGCAATCAGCAATCAGCAATCAGCAATCAGCCATCAGCAGTCAGCAGTCAGTCATCAGCAGTCAGCAATCAGCCATCACCAATCAGCAATCAGCCATCAACAATCAGCAATCAGCCATCAGCAATCAGCAATCAGCAACAATCACCAAAAAAAGATTCATTCAGAGTTCATTCAGAAGCAAGTTAGACAAATTTTATTGCTTAATGAAGAGATAGAGACAGACGGTGCACAGACAGACGGACGGCGCACAGACGGACGTCTCTTCTACTTTAAATATAGTAGACTAAATCCCCGAAAATCAGAATTTTATATGAAAATTGATAAATTCAAATTTTTGAGTGAGCGGAAATAACCAAAAAGTGCCATTTTATATGCCGTAATACCTCTAATAATAGCGGCTCCCCTATAATGACGAGCATCGCAAAATAGCAGAAAACAAAGTCCAAGAAGTATCCAGAAGTATCCAGTCCAGAAATCCAGAAGTACGTACACCAGAAAGTACGCAGAAAGTACGCAGAAAGTACGCAGAAAGTACGCAGAAAGTACGCAGAAAGTACGCAGAAAGTACGCTGATAGTACGCAGAAAGTACGCAGAAAGTACGCAGAAAGTACGCTGATAGTACGAGAGAAAGGGTGAGTCAAATTTGTTTAGTTCGATTTCCCCTCAACACTTTTCCTTTGATTAGCCTTCTCTCAGTGTCCCCTCAATGTGTCAGCTGTGGAGAGACGTCCAATTTGTACCCTTCTTCTCCTAAACCCTTACCACCTCTTTCTAGTACCCTCTAAGCCTCAATTTGTATCTCTTTTCTTTGTTCTTCTTTTTCTTTTCTCTTCGCTCAATCAATTGACTTGTTTATCGACTCAAAACCAAAGAAAACCCTTAAAGAAGACTAAATAAGTTCAAAGAAGTTTAAATAAGTTTAAATAAGTGCAAAGAAGTTCAAAGAAGTTTAAATAAGTTCAAAGAAGTTCAAAGATATCTAGATATTTAAAAGTTCTATTCTTTATACTCTAAAAATATTTATAATAAATCTTTAGAGATCTAGCTTTATCTCTTTAGAGAGCTTATCCTTTCTAGTATACTTGCTCAATCCTGTAAGAGTCCCTGTAAGAGTAAGTATCCCTGTAAGAGTCAAATTTCTACTTTTCTTTAGCCAAATTTAATGAGGATTCTTTTAAAAGCAATTACAAGTCGATTCAATTTCTATATCTCGAGTTATCGACCGTTCAAGTTGATCAACTTTTGCAGGTAAGTAGTTCAACTTTGACACAAATTCGTGCACTGAGCAAATCACAGCAATCAGCAATCAGCCATCAGCAATCAGCAATCAGCAATCAGCAATCAGCCATCAGCAGTCAGCAATCAGCAATCAGCAATCAGCCATCAGCAATCAGCAATCAGCAATCAGCCATCAGCAGTCAGCAATCAGCAATCAGCAATCAGCCATCAGCAATCAGCAATCAGCAATCAGCAATCAGCAATCAGCAATCAGCCATCAGCCATCAGCAATCAGCAATCAGCAATCAGCCATCAGCAATCAGCAATCAGCAATCAGCAATCAGCCATCAGCAGTCAGCAATCAGCAATCAGCAATCAGCCATCAGCAATCAGCAATCAGCAATCAGCAATCAGCAATCAGCAATCAGCAGTCAGCAATCAGCAATCAGCAATCAGCAGTCAGCCATCAGCAGTCAGCCATCAGCAATCAGCAAATCACATGGCTTACTTTCTGGTGAACTTCTGGATTTTGTTTCTTTCAGCTGCGCAAAGAAACAAAAATGTAAATAGTCTAGTGATGTAGTCGGTCAAAAATCCTTCGTAAGAAAGATTTCTATGCAGAGGATAACGCAAGTTTACGTCCGTAAAGCGTCAGACTGTCAAATGAAGCGGCTTGGATGAAATTTCGGATTCCAAGGGAAGCGAAAGGGAAGACCCTTACCCTAGAGCCGTTTGCCAAGCTGCGTCCGATTGGGTGCGCGCACAAAAAACACTTCGTCATTTACAGCTCTCTTTTGGGATCTCTCTTTTGCTTTGTAGATCACACAAAAAAGATATTTAGCTGTAAATTTGTACTCAGGGGTTTTCGGGATCGGTGAATCGATTGGAAATGTTTATTTTATTGAATCTACCAATGGGAAATGGGAGTAATTGGCAAGGAGAAGGTACTGGATAGGAATGGGAGAGTAGGAGTGGAAGAATAGGAACAGGAGAGTATCGACAAATCGATTGGAGAGTAGGAATAGGAGAGTAGGAGTGGAAGAGTATCGACTCATTGTATCTCCTTGTATCTCCTTGTATCTCCTTCCATCGACTCATTGACTCTAGTCAAACGTTCTAGTGATATTGTTTAAAGTCTAGTCATCAATGAGTTTGAAAAAGTCTTTTATCATAGTTTGAAAAAGTCTACTATCATAGTAGATTTAGAAAAGAGTGAGTGTCACCCATTTGGAATCAAAAGGAGGATCCCTAGGGGAGAACACTCCTTCTCAGCCCCAGTCTGTGAGTGTCCATTCATTACAACACACAATGCTCACTCTCCCCTCTCTTTTTCTATGACTTTTTGACTTTTTGGTCACTAATACTAATTTCCTAAGAATTTTTTAGCATAAGCAATGAAGGAATGAACAAAAAGAAAGATCTTCTCAGATGCTTTAGAATCCTCCTCTTCTAATCCGTTTCCTAAATCGTATCTCTTTCTTCTTCCTATCGTTAATCTGTGCCACTATCTTCACTAAGACAAACAGCCAATTGTTTTCCTCGAAGCTCGATCCCTTCGAGCTTTATGTTTCAAAATGTTGATAGCTTTTTTTGGAGGATTTTGGAGGAGTGAAGCTTTGAAACGTTAAAACTTTGAAATGATTAATGTAAATGAAAGAGATAGAGGATTGAGTTAAAAGCAAGATAACAATAAGCTGAGTTACAGTAAGCTGAGACAGTAAGCTGAGACAGTAAGCTGAGTTACAGTAAGCTGGGACAGTAAGCTTTAGTTACAGTAAGCTGAGACAGTAAGCTGAGTTATAGTAAGCTGAGACAGTAAGCTGAGTAATAGTAAGCTGAGTTACAGTAACCTTTTGGTCATATTTAGAAAACACAGATAATTAAGTTTCCTTTTTTTATTTGATGTTAAATTTTCTTCGTCGTCCAGTCTTTCCCTTTTCTTATTTCATTCTTTTTTTTCTTTTCTTATCCCACATTCTCTCCATCTCACTGAATTCAAATTCGATTTCGTTTTTGAAGAAAAAAAAGAGGACACAAGTCAAAGGAAAGAAAAGAAAAGAAAGCTCACACCGAGCGTAATTTTGTGTGAATGTGAGGGAAAGAAAAAAGAAGCTCTATAAGGTATTTTACTACACTTTTTTTGTACTAAAAATCTAATCCTATATAGAAATTTTTATATCTATGAGATTCTATGTCTATGAGATTCAATATTCTATATGATTCTATATTCTATGAGATTCTATGTCTATATTATTCTATATCTATATCTATATGATTCTAGACTATATACTTAGCTTTAAGTCGTCTTTAAGTCGTCTTAGTCGTCTAATATTAGTCGCATAAAACTTAGCGTAAACTTAGTTGCATAAAACTTAGCATAAAGTTAAAGTTAATAGCATAGAATTAAAAGCAATGCTTTTTGTACAACTCTAGCCACTCTTTCAGCTGTTTTTCCCGGGTTTAAACTAACGAAAATTCTGTAGACTTTAGAAAAATACTTTAAATGCTAGCTAGAAGCTTAATCTTAGCGCTAGAAAAGAGAAAATCTTAATATTATATGTAATTTTACTGTAAATAATGTAAATTTGTATTTTGCGTTCTATTTTACTCTATAACTCGACCTCCAATTGTCGGATCAACTTGGGGTTGATTTTAAAATGATCCTCATTAAATTTGACTAGAGAAAAGTTAGATTTGTTTTGTATATTCATATGTAAGAACATAGAGAAAATTTGTGTCAAAGTTGACCTTCGCAGGTAAGTAGCTCAACTTTGACACAAATTTTCTCGATGTTCTCACACATGAGTACACAAAACAAATTCTACTTTTCTCTAGTCAAATTTAATGAGGATTCTTTTAAAAGCAATTACAAGTCGATTCAATGTCTGTAACTCGAGTTATAGACCGTTCAAGTTGATCAACTTTTGCAGGCAAGTAGTGCAACTTTGACACAAATTTTCTCGATGTTTTTATACATGAGTATACAAAACAAATTGTACTTTTCTATAACCAAATTTCATAAGGATCATTTTAAAACCAACCTCAAGTCAATCTGGTTACTGGGAGTCGAGTTATAGAGTAAAATAGAAAAGCTCACAAATTCCAAGACTCGTAACGGAATTTGGAAGTTGAATTGAATTCAAAACGGAAGAAATGAAAGAAATGTGCCTTATTTTTCGGATTACTGTAGAGATATTGTGCTTACAATCTTTCTAATCTTTAGAATCTTTAGATCTCAAATACCTATCGAGTTTTGTTCGATTTATAAACAAATTTCATCTATCTAACTTCTCTCGAATCTTTTTTTAAATCAAATTTTCAAAAATACTTTCTCCAAACGGGAAACAAAGAAGAAATAGAAGAAAAATTAGCATTTTTATCCAATTTCTTTCCAATTCTCACCCAAAATGGCCTTGGATTTTGTGGAAAAGAAGTCATTTACAGTCTCCTCCCACTTTTCTCATTCTTTCAATTCGTTTTCTTTTCCACAAATCACTTCATTCTTTATTTGATTCGGAATTTCGCTTCACTGTTCTTTTAGGACAGTCAAGGACTCAAGGACTTTCAATGGCTAAATGAAAACTTGGGGAATTTTTACTCCAGTCCTTCCCTTCCTCCATCCAGTCCTTCTGCCCCTCCAGTTCTTCTGCCCCTCCAGTTCTTCTGCCCCTCCAGTTCTTCTGCCCCTCCAGTCCTTCCGTCCTTTATCTAGCAATTTTTGATGTGATTGGCTAGTAGAGTCAAGTCAAGTTTTTTTCGAGCTAAGAAATATTGGAAACAGTTGTGTCGATTTTGCAGTTTTTTCTCTCGAATTTGAGGGGCTGTCCTTGTTCTTTCTCTTTCTTTCCAAATCTGATCTCTCAATCAATTCCACACTCATTTTTTTGGTTCAACTAATACTCCTTTTCGTAATCCTATCAAGGAACTCTAAGGGCTAAATAGGAACCAAATAGAAACCAAATGGTAGCTTTATTTAGAAGAGCCAAGTAGTTATCGAAATGTTTGTTGTTGTTGTTGTTGTTGTTGTTGTTGTTGTTGTTGTTGTTGTTGTTGTTGTTGTTGTTGTTGTTGTTGTTGTTGTTGTTGTTGTTGTTGTTGTTTGTTGTTGTTGTGTTGTTGTTGTTGTTGTTGTTGTTGTTGTTGTTGTTTCTGTCCCCCACGAAGTAAAGTGGGAGTGGGGGCAAGGAAGATATCAAATTGGTATTGGGGTATCAAATTGGTACATCTAGAATGCCTAGAATGCCTTGTTGCAAATTATGGCACACCCTGTAAATCTTGCTCACTAGTCAAATTAGTTTAAAATAGGCAGCATTAAGAATAAGCTGAAGCAGAAGATTCCAGTATTTCTTATGATTTTTCGCTTTCTCTATCGTAAACCTATCATTTGACTAATAAAAAATCTAGTCTATAAAATTTTGGAGAAACAAATTTAGATCTGTTTCTATTTTCTTCAGTAATCCTTAACTTCCCTCCTTCCTCCAGTAATCCCTAGCTTCCCTACTTCCCTCCAGTAATCCCTAGCTTCCCTACTTCCCTACAGTAATCCTTAACTTCCCTACTTCCCTACAGTAATCCTTAACTTCCCTCCTTCCTCCAGTAATCCCTAGCTTCCCTACTTCCTCCAGTAATCCTTAACTTCCCTCCTTCCTCCAGTAATCCCTAGCTTCCCTACTTCCTCCAGTAATCCCTAGCTTCCCTCCTTCCTCCAGTAATCCATTTCTCTACTAACCTACAATTGTATGCAGTAAATGAAAAGCTAAATTTGAAAACTAGATTTACTCACTAAGGAATCCGGTATTTTAAAGTAGCTTTTGATCTAAAAAAAAGACTTTTAAAAGCCATAAGACAAATGAGTTCCTTTCCCACTCCACACTCACCCCTCATCCTTCTGTGTAAAGTTGTTATTTTCTTTTCTCTATTCCTATTTCTTCATTCATTCTTCCTTTTTCCCCCATTTACCCAATCATTTCAACATCTTTTTTTTTATCGATCATCATTTATCAACGTCTTTTCTTTTTCTAAACTCATTTTTAGTCAGCTAACGAAAGAACTAAGGAACTGGGGGAACTGGGGGAACTGGGGGAACTGGGGGAACTGGGGGAACTGGGGGAACTGGGGGAACTGGGGGAACTGGGGGAACTGGGGGAACTAGAGAACCCTTATATTTTTTTGTTCTGTCTTCGCACTTCCTATTTTGGATTTTGGTGTTCCTATTTTGCGCAGATCACAACTTGCTTCCACATTTCTCTATCCCTTGCTATTGTCATCATTCCTATCTTGGTTGTTCCTGGTTCTAAGTCTTCGACTTGCTTGTGCTGGTGGTGGTTGCACTCTAGCCATCCTTTCTCTGACCGTCTCTGCCACTTTTGTGCTCCACCCCACCCCTCCACCTCGTTGCTGGTTTTCCTATGGACCTCTTCTGGTCCCAATGAGCCTCTTCTGATCCCAATGGACCTCTTCTGGCCCCAATGGGCCTCTTCTGGCCCCAATGGGCCTCTTCTGGCCCCAATGGGCCTCTTCTGGCCCCAATGGGCCTCTTCTGGTCCCAATGAGCCTCTTCTGGCCCCAATGGGCCTCTTCTGGTCCCAATGAGCCTCTTCTGGCCCCAATGGGCCTCTTCTGATCTCGTGGTAGCCACTCTATGATCCGTATCGTCCATCTGTCGTCTACTCTTCTGGCCACGTGGCCGGCCCATCTGAGTCTTTTTCTCTCGATCACTTCCACTGGATCTCTGAGTCCCGAGAGCTGGCGCATATCCGTACTTCTTAGGTCTTGGTCGAGCTTCGAGCTGCGTCTTCCCATTGTGCCCTAGGAGGTTCCTTTCAAGGGCTCGATGCGTCGTTCTCAGGGCTCGTTCGGTGGTCTGTGTCGTGGCCCAGATCTCTGTCCCGTAGCAAAGTGCCGGGAGAACGGTGCTGTCGAAGAGGTGTGCCCGAGTTCTCTGGTGATTCTTGAGTATCTTTGTGACTTCTTTGATGCTTCCTAGTGCTGTCCAGGCTTCTTACGCATCTCCGTAATTCTTAGGTCTTGATCGAGCTGCGTCTTCCCATTGTACGTCTCATTGTGCGAGGTTCCTTTCAAGGGCTCGATGCGTCGTTCTCAGCTCGATGCGTCGTTCGAGAACCCCAATAATTGCTTAGATAAGTAGAAACTAAAGCTTACAGAGTAAGTAGAAACTAAAGTTTATTATTAAAATGATTGATTAAATTTAAAATGGCAACTGATTAGTTTAAATAGATCAAAATAAGTCTTCTAGATCAATCCGATCTCTTTTACACAAAACAAAACAACTTATGCAATCAACACTATTATATTAAAACACTTTTAACTCAAAGTTTCTATGTGGAAATGTGGCAGTTGTTAAGAAAAACTCGCAGTGCCCGTAATTTATGCGATTTATGTGCTGAAAAGGGGGAAAACAGGGAAAAGAGCGAAAAGAGGGAAAAGAGGAAAGGCTTTTGCGGAAAAAGAACAAAAAAAGAGGTGGAATGGGGTCTTTTGTGACCACACACAGATGGAGGGGACCTCCGGAGAGGGACACTGACTGCGCTGTGTTGTCACTATACAGACCGCTCACTCTCTCTCTCTCTCTCTTTCTATACCACATTTCTTTGCCTTCTCTCTCTCTTCACTCTGTCGCATTATTATGCTTTTAGCTAGGATTTTTTCGGTACTCTTATTTTGATATAATAGTGTTGATTGTATAAGTTTTTAATGTTTTAATATGTGCTCGATGTACACTGCCGAGAGTTTGTGACTATTCCGTAACATTGGTAAGAGGAATTTGATTTTAATTACGTTTTTTCTTCTATCTGGATGTCACACTAGGATTTCTGGGATTCAGCTTTTTGATTTTCACCAAAACGTTTCTACTCGATTTGCACTGCCAAGAGCTCGCGGTTATTTCAAAAAATTGACAAGAGCTATTTTATTGAAATCGCGTTTTTTCTTCTATCTGGATGTCACACTAGAATTTCTAGGATCCAGATTTTTGATTTTCACCAAAACATTTCCACTCGATATGCATGGCCAAGAGTTTGTGACTATTCCGTAAAATTGGCAAGAGGGATTTTATTGAAATCGCGTTTTTTCTTCGATCTGGATGTCACACTAGAATTTCTAGGATTCAGCTTTTTGATTTTCACCAAAACATTTCTACTCGATATGCACTGCCAAGAGTTTGTGACTATTCCGTAAAATTGACAAGAGCTATTTGATTTTAATTACGTTTTTTCTTCTATCTGGATATCACACTAGAATCTCTAGGATTTAGATTTTTGATTTTCCCAAAACCTAAAACATATTTATACTTGATGTGGTTTCGCCTTTCGCGAGTCTTGCAGAAATTTCTTTTTCGACTTCGACTTGTCGGTTTCGCTTTTTTTCGCCCATTATACCCAAATTCTTTCAATTTTCACCTTATATTTAGCTATATTTTGCTACAAAACATTGTGTTAAGCAGATAAATTGAGAAAAAAAAGCAATGACTTATCGATTATCGATCAAAGAATTTGCATTCAAATTTTCCCCACAGATCCGCGTACCGTTCCCGTTTTTTTTTTTTTGCTTAAAATTATGCAAATCCGACATTTCCCCTACAAGCAAAAGTCATTTTTATTAAAACCAAAGTAACTTTATTTCAAAATCATTGATTTTTGATGATTTTTGATGATGAGCACCGTTTTTTGATGATTAAGATTCGAAAGGAGATCTCGCGAAAAAAAGAAAACTTGAGTCTTGTAGATATTTCTTTTTTGAAAAAGATTTGACATCGTTTGCTTTTCTTTTCTTTCCCTTTCTTCTTTCCCTTCTTTCTTTCCCTTTCTTCTTTCCTTTCCTTCTTTCCCTTCTTTCCCTTCCTTCTTTCCCTTTCTTCTTTCCCTTTCTTCTTTCCCTTCTTCTTTTCTGATATTCACTCATCTTTCTTTTCCCTTTTCTGCTTTATTGACCCACAGATATTTGTGGATCGATGGATAAGTAAAGAGAAAAAAAAGTGGATAAATCTCTTGTAGAGCAAAGGATTTTCTTTATCTTAATCATCATTTTCATTTACTTTATGCTTGTAATTCTTTAGCTGTAATTCTAAAATTCAAACAATTCTAACATTATTTTTGTCTACTTTGCTGCATTGAATTCTTCATTTTTGCAAAAATGCTTAGTGCTTTTATCGAGATTTTCATAGTGCACTAGAAAGAGGTTGTTTATAAGAATTTGTTTACAAGTAAACAGAGTCCACACAACTATCTTGTAAACGTTTACAAGCTAGTGCACTGAAGAACAGTTTCATTGGATTGACAATTGAAATTTACTATATATAAGAGCTGTGCCTGTTTGTTGGTCAATTTGTGCGCACTCCCAGGCGCCCAGGCAACCATTTCAAATCATTTATAATTAATTTCACTTATAATTCCATGTAGTTATGAAAGCTGTCTTTAAATTTTCAAAAAACCAAAAGTTCTGTCGCAAGCGGGAGTCGAACCCGGGTCGGATGGGCTCGAGTCAAGCGCACTCGCACTGAGCCATGACGGGGCCCGGTCGGTGAGCATGGCCGGGTAGTCAATGGGCATGTTCAGGTGGTCAAGGGGCAGGGTTGGGTGGTCAAAGGGCATGGCCGAGCGGGTAGCGGGCATGGCCGAGTGGCTAACGCGCACGTCTCTCAAACGAACGGTTGAGAGAGGTCGCGGGTTCGACTCCTCTTGCCGCTAATTTTTTGCTTTTTCCTCTAAAAAATTTCTTTTTTTGACTGCAATAGATAAATAGAAGAGTTTTCTAGTGCAAAAAGAGTCTTTCGACTTGCTTTCCTTGTGCTTGTTCTTGCTGAGAGCTCATTTCATTTGTGATCTCTCATCCGTTTCTCCCATCCAATCAATCAACAAATCGAAATGCTAAATGTGCGAAATTTTGATTGATTTTCGCGATTATTTCTTTTATTTGATCATTTTGAGATCCTTTGTCTTTTCCTTTTCACGCTGATCTCATTTTTTCTAGTTAAAATTCGATTGCACAATTTCTTACACAAAACTTTGCAAGCTAGCTACAGAAAAGTATTCAATTTTTAGCTCTATCAAAGTTCTATCAAAGTTCTATCAAAGCTCTATCAAAGCTCTATCAAAGCTCTATCAAAGCTCTATCAAAGCTCTATCAAAGCTCTATCAAATACACTGGATGCGCATCAAAAAAACCATCTTTACCCGGTGCTTTTCCTTAGTAAGAGCTCCCGACAGAAGTCAAGTCATTTCTTTTGTACATTGTATTAGTACTCTTATCTAAAATCTGTAAGTAATGGTAGGCTAGAGCCAGGTTCAGGTCTGGGATCCAGAAATCTAGACTAGGACCTAGCCAGACTAGGATCTGGATAGACTAGGATCTAGGTAGACTAGGATCTAGGTAGACTAGGATCTTGGTAGACTAGGATCTGGCCAACCCAGAATCTGGCCAGCCCAGAATCTGGTCAACCTAGAATCTGGCCAAACCAGAATCTGGCTAACCTAGAATCTGGCCAACCTAGAATCTGGCCAAACTAGAGTCTGGCCAACCTCGAATCTGGCCAACCAAGATCTAGCTTCTGACTTGCCTTGCCTGCCTGCCTGCCTTGCCTCTTGCCTGCCTGCCTGCCTGCTTGCCTTGCCTGCCTGCCTGAGCTAATAAACTGGTTTAGAAATCTTTATCTATAAATATCTTTGTCTATAAATATCTTTTTGTCTATAAATATGAGATCAATTCTGAACCCGTTATTCCCTCAACTTTCCATTCTCGTATCTGTATGCGAGTAGTTGCAAAAATCGCTCAATATTGTATCCAAAAAAAAAGGTGAAAAGGACTGGTTTGTTGTGTGTTATATGTGTGGGAGAATTGGAGAAAGAGGAAATTTTCCTCTTTCTCTTTTTCCATTTGAATTTTCCCTTTTTCGGGAGCACTCTTTTCACCCACTTTTCATCTCTTTTTACCCCGTTTTTACCCTCTTCTCCCACTCAATTTTCACCTCATTCACCCCATTTTCTTTTCTTTCTTCTTCCTTCTCTTCTTCCTCCTCTTCTTCCTCTTCTTCCTTCTCTTCTTCCTCCTCTTCTTCCTCTTCTTCCTTCTCTTCTTTCCCTTTCAACCGCAAACGGTCAGCTGGCTTTATATTGATTTTGATTTTTTTCTTATATAAACATTGTAATTTGCTGTAATCTTTGAATATTCTTTAGTTGATTAGTTTTAATTATATCAGAAAATCAATACCATGCTACAGAACCAGATCTAGATCCAGATCCAGACCTGGAATAAATCTTGACCCTACCCAGCTACCGTTACTCCTGACGAGTTTCAGCTTCTAGTAAATCTGATCAAGCTTCTAGTAGCTTCTAGATGTTGGCAAGAATTGTTGGCAAGCTCTACAGCCAGACAATGTAAATATACCAGACAATTCCAGAAGTCAGCCAGACTTTTAGCCTAGTTTTTGACACAATTCTGACGATAAAGACGAAGATAAAGACGATTCTGACGATTCTGATTCTGACGGTTTGATCTGACGATAAAGTCAGATCAAACCAGGCTGAGCTCTGATCTGATCTGATCAAACCAGTCATTCAAAAAAAGCTTCTGCTTCTGCTTCTGCAAGTGATGCTTTTGCCAGGTCCAGGCCAGCAATCTGATTATCTGACCACCTATTACCAATTAGAGAAAAGTTTCCTCGTTTTTACAAAAGCCTAGCATACGAGCTTAGTAGAAAAGTGGAAAAGCATTGAAAAGAAAGGAAAAGAAAATCGACTTAATCAGATTCTGCTTCTGCAAGTGATGCTTTTGCCAGGTCCAGGCCAGCTATGCCCTCTTTATCTGACCACCTATTACAATCAGATTCGTCTAGACTTTATGAAACTCAAAATGTTATTGATTAGTCTAAAATGCAATAGAATGTGTTGAAAGAGAGATCAGGTATTTCGAGAGGCGATTCCCATTTATCCGCTTCTCTAACGAAACATGATCTAAATGTGGAAGGGATCTCTTCTCTTTCAGCTTTTTAGCTTTTCCCCTTTTCTCCTTTTCCTTCCTAAGTGCTTGTGGTCTAAATTTGAGCGGGGAAAGCACTTATAAAGAAGTTACACATATCTAGATACCTAGTATATCTTAATATTGTATAGAAAATGAAAATGAAGCTTCTAGTAGCTTCTCGCTTCTAGTAGTAGTAGTAGTGCTTCTAGTAGCTCTAGTAGCTTCTAGTAGCTTCTAGTAGCTTCTAGTAGCTTCTAGTAGCTTCTAGTAGCTTCTCGTAGCTTCTCGTAGCTTCTAGTGGCTTCGTAGCTCTAGCTTCTAGTAGCTTCTGTAGCTTCTAGTAGCTCCGTAGCTTCTGGCTTCTAGTAGCTTCTGGCTCTGTGCTCTGTGCTTCTGTGCTTCTAGTAGCTTCTAGTAGCTTCTCGTAGCTTCTAGTAGCTTCTAGTAGCTTCTCGTAGCTTCTAGTAGCTTCTAGTAGCTTCTCGTAGCTTCTCGTAGCTTCTAGTAGCTTCTAGTAGCTTCTCGTAGCTTCTAGTAGCTTCTAGTAGCTTCTCGTAGCTTCTCGTAGCTTCTAGTAGCTTCTAGTAGCTTCTAGTAGCTTCTCGTAGCTTCTCGTAGCTTCTAATAGCTTCTAGTAGCTTCTCGTAGCTTCTCGTAGCTTCTCGTAGCTTCTCGTAGCTTCTAGTAGCTTCTAGTAGCTTATTGGCAAGATCTATAGTATTTTTTCTAGATAGTTTATAGTTTAGTTTTGAAATTCTTTAATGATCTCATTATTCTCGGCTTATATGGCTTTCTCGGCTTATATGCTTTATTCAGTTGAATAGCGCCAAAACAAAATCACAATAATTACCCGGCACACCACTCAAAACACACCCAAAAGATCAATAGACACCTCAAGAAAGAATGACAGAGCAGTCAAAGCAATTGCCGAAATTGCGGCTTTAAATCCAAATCTCTATTCTATTTAAATCAAATCCTTTTCTCAACAAAACAAGACTTTTCTCAAGTTTAGATTTAGATAGATTCATTTCTTTCTTATGAGCTATTAGATTTAGGCTATTAGATTAGCTATTAGATTTAGGCTTAATAGATAAGCCTAAATCTAGATCTAGATCAAGATCATCCCAAGCTAACATGTGGACAGTGATGGTTAGGGTTAGACCCTAACCAAGGGTTAGACCAGTACCAGATACAAGACCTAACAAGATCTAGCTAGGCTATCAACCTGTTGGCTCTAAACCTGTTGGCTTTAAACCTGTTGGCTCTAAACCTGTTGGCTCTAAACATGTTGGCTCTAAACCTGTTGACTATCAACCTGTTGACTAGTCAACCGGTTGGCTCTAAACCTGTCCGAGCTTCGCAAAGCTTCGCAGAGCTTCGCAAAGCTTCGCAGAGCTTCGCAGAACTTCGCAGAACACGTAATTGCTCGGCTTCTGGCATGTACAGAAGCTTTTATACATAAACAGATAAATGTTTTTCCGAACTTGAACTACATTAGTTCTTAGATGGCTTGCCGTTTACAAGATTTCACATTTATGGCTTGAACAAGAAACAGAAAACATATACAAAATGACAACAAAGTTTTTTACAAAAAAAAAAGCCTTTCCCCAAGCCCGGACTCGAACCAGGGCCATCTGGATGAGACCCTGCGCACTTACCACTCAGCCACGATGGGAGCTTGGAGAGGGACCCAAAATCGCTTGATACTCACGCGGCTAGAAAACGGCTGATTAAGAATCGGATTTTTTTTTCAATTTTTTCAATTTTTCAATCACTTTTTTCTAAGCACTGGTTAAAGCTAAAAATCTGTTTAACAACTCAAAACATTCCCCATTTTCTCGACTTTAATTTGATACCCAAACAAACAGAAAGAAACATACTGGTGTCAAGATACGAGCGTTTGTTTGAGAGCGAACTTTTAGACTGCACGACGCTTCTATTAGAGTTTTTACGGGGGGGGGGGGATTTCTTTGTTTCTTTTATCTGTTTTAGTGTTTTGCTTTTAATATTTAATCTCTTTTTCTATTTGATTACTTTATTTTATCGTTTATTTACGAATTTTATCGTTTATTTACGAATTTTATCGTTTATTTACGAATTTTTTCATATTTTACAATATTCTACAGTTTCTAAATGGCCGATCCACATCACGAAATCGTTCAAATGAGACAAGTTGTGACTCAAGCAAAACCAAACACAACTTTATATCAAATTGCTATGAGATATTCGGGATACTGTAAGAGTTATTAGAATTTAGTTTTTCTTAGAGACTTAGAGACATAACTTTCAATTTTTAGATAGTTCATCTGATGACGAGGATTCCCTTTTCGGGAGCACGGGACGGGCAAAGGGATTGCATAAGGATTTACTCCAGAAATCTCTTCATCAACAACAAAAGGAGAATGGAAATGGTTTGTGGCTTGAAAATGTACTATAGGATGATAAAGCAGCACTCTATAGAGCTCGATAGATTCTATAGCTTCTTCTCTCTTTCACTTTATCTTTAAGTTAAAATCATATAGACTAGAAATCGTTAAGCTATTCGTTGCACAATTGGCTCTAGAATGTAGCCAGAACCAGCCTAGAATTCAGAGCCAAGTCCAGTCTAAAGCTGGACGTTTTGAGAATCCAAAAAATAGGCCGTACCGGGATTCGAATCCGCGAACTCTGTTCAGCAGGCCAAACGCTTGTCAATGAGCTACATTGACGTGGATCCTTGCCGCCAGAATAGGACCTTATTTCTAAATGAAGCCAGGTTCAGGTCGAGCCTGAGCCTAAGTCTAAGCCTGAGCATGAGTCTAAGCCTGAGGCGAGCCTAGGCCTAATCCTGAGCCTGAGCCTGAGCCTAGGCCTGGGCCTGAGCCTAAGCCTGAGCCTAAGTCTGTGCCTAGGCCTGGGCCTAAGTCCAAGCCTAAGTCCAAGCCTAAGCCTGACCCCCTTGGACCTACAGATCTCCTACCTGTTTAATATTGCTTCTCGGATCGAGCTAAGTACACCAAACAAATAGTGTCCCTTCATATCCATAGGGAGATATGATAATCACCGGAAATCCCAAACCCGAGTCTCAGTCTTCGCCAGGACTGAGCCTAAGCCTAAGCCCAAGCTAGATAAACCACATCAAGCCAATTCTAAAAGCCAAGCCCAGGTAGGCCAGGAAACTGGAGCCAAGTTTAGCCTAAGCCAAACCGATCAGAAGGTCAGAGCCAGATCAGAACTATCAACCTGTTGGCTATCAACCAGAGCCAGATCAGAACGTCAGAGCCAGATCAGATCAGATCAGATCAGATCAAAGCCAAGCCCAGTCTAATGAAGCCAAGCTATTAGTTCATTAACTTTGTATAGCTTAACAATTTAAGCATAGCAGCAACAAATTTAGTTGGTGAATATGTGGAAGTTCGGAGTTCTCGACCGTCCTCTCGAGTCATCCCACCAGATGTCACACAAAATGCAGGTTGGTGAAGAATGAGCTACAATTTGCAATTACAATTTGACTTTAGGTCGTCCCTTATTTCAACCATTTCAATCAAATCAATCGAATCAATCAAATCAATCGGATTATATGGTAATGAATGGGACAAAAGCGGAAATAATGTTGAGAAGAGTCGAACAAATACAGACACGGAATGAACAGGTATTGGAAATCATCTAGTATCAATCATCTATTATCAATCATTCATTATCAATCATCTATTATCATTTAAATGTATGTTTTACATCAATTTTCCTTCACAGAAAGCAGCCGAGATCATTGCGAATCGTTTGGTGCAAAACGGGAAAGAGAATGGGAATGGAGTGAAAGAAAGAGAACGAAAAGACGAGGGAACACCGAGAAATGCTGATATTAGAGTGAGTTTTGAAAGATTTTTAGCACAAAGTATTCAGTTCCCAGTGACAATGACAGTGACAAAGAGTTCCCAGTGACAATGACAGTGACAAAGAGTTCCCAGTGACAATGACAGTGACAAAGAGTTCCCAGTGACAATGAAAAAGTGACTCATTGATTTGGGTTTTTTGGCTTTTTGGCTTTTTAGATTCTTTTGAGTTTTTCTCTTTTGTAACTAGGAAAATCTTTGGAAAGCAGATAAGCAGGCATGACTATAGCCACATTTGGGGTTAAGGCAAGATTAAACCCAGCTTTAGGGCTAGGACAGGCTCAAGCCAAGATAAGGTCAGATCTAGGACTTTATCAAAACTAGAGCCTACCTCTGCAGCCAGTCGGTCCAGGCCAACCTCTGCGGCAAGCCAGACCAGGGCCAGCCTCTACGACCAGCCAGTCCAGGCCAACCTCTACAGCCAGCCAGTCTAGGCCAACCTCTGCAGCCAGTCAGTCCAGGCCAACCTCTGCAGCCAATCAGTCCAACGCCTCTACGATCAACCAGTTCAAGGCCAACCTCTGCGGCCAGCCAGTCCAGAGCCAAAGGAAGCCAGGCCAACCAACCAGGCCCAGGATCAAAACTAAAGTAGTAGCCAGCCAGATTAGGGCCAGGGTCAGAGCAGGACTAGATCAGAGTCAGATCATGTCAGTCAGATCATGTCAAGACCAGGGTCAAGTCCAGCTTAGGAGAGCCTGTCAGAACCGAGTCATGGTTAAACCTAAACCGAAGACAGGGCTAAGGTTAATTTGGAGTTGGGTTGGGAAAAAAGTGGTCGGCACGGGGATTCGAACCGGCGACTTGTCGCTTACCGGATGAGCGTTTATGAACTCGTTTATTCAAAGCTACCAATTCAAAGCTTTCAAAGCTACACAGACAAGGATCCCATTGCCACCATTGGCTTATTTTTAGTTCAATGTAATAGGTTCTTTTTTAATTTGTTGTAAATTTCGAATCTCTAGGCATCAATCATCGACGATGTCGTCTATGTGAACACTCAACCACAAACGACATTAATCGGCAGCCCGGATAGTGCTCATCAGGATTACGAGAATGCATTGAGTGAGTGATTTGAGTGAAATGATTAAGAGAATGCTTTGAGTGAGTGATCGAAAAGATTGAAAGCAAGCAAAGCAATCAAAGCAATAAAAGCAATAGAAGCAATCAAAGTTTTGTGTTAACTTAAAAACTATCGCTTTTATACGAAAGCTTTTATACAAAAGCTTTTATACAAAAAGCTTTCAACAAAAAGCTTTCAACGAAAATCTTTGAATGTTTAAAACAAAATTTTCAGTCTTGAAACCGACTCGAGTCTCAAAAAGGATTCAACAAATGCAACACAATTTACAGGTGAGAATTCTAAACTAGCGATTCTAGAGATTCTAGCGATTCTAGCGATTCTAGAGATTCTAGAGATTCTAGCGATTCTAGCGATTCTAGAGATTCTAGAGATTCTAGAGATTCTAGAGATTCTAGCGACTAGAGATTCTAGAGATTCTAGACTAGAGATTCTAGAGATTCTAGAATTACAAGATATCTATCAAATCTACAGTAATGTAAAGTAAAGCTTTAAATGAATACCTTTTACTCATAATTATTTTGTCTTTTTCGAGTAGACAATGAGCTTTGTTTGAATCGAATCGATTCACTGCACCAGAAAGATTGTGCCTACAAATTCAGAGCCTAAAGTACCCCCAAATCCTAGTATACAAAACCCTTTCCCCCATTCGTACCCTTCCCTTCCTTTCCCTTCTCTTCTCTTCCCTTCCCTTCCCTTCCCTTCCCTTCCCTTCCCTTCCCTTCCCTTCCCTTCCCTTTCATTCCATTGAATGGTTCCTCTTTTGTTATTTGCATATCGTTATCGCTGACTCTCGACTTTTCCCCTCTTTTCTCTTTTCTCTTTTCTCTTTTTCTTCTATTTGACGGGAATTCGGATTTTCGATGGGTTTACCCCCCAGGGTCCACCCTGTACTCATTCATACACACAAATTATCTATTACTTTAGAATTTGCATCTTTTTATCACAGTATACTGTTTATCTTTCCTATAGTTGATGGGTTGCGATGGACCATGACCTGGGTGAACTCCAGCGTGGTCCCTGAGCTGGGTGGACTCCAGGGAGGACCCTGAGCCTGGGGAGGAGTCTATGGTAGACCTTGACCCTGGGGTGGGTTCAAGGGTGGACCCTGGCCCTAGGGTGGACTCTAGGGTGAACCCTGACCCTGGGGTGGGTTCAAGGGTGGACCCTGGCCCTAGGGTGGACTCTAGGGTGAACCTTGACCCTGGGGTGGGTTCAAGGGTGGACCCTGGCCCTAGGGTGGACTCTAGGGTGAACCCTGACCCTGCGGTGGGTTCAAGGGTGGACCCTGGCCCTAGGGTGGACTCTAGGGTGAACCTTGACCCTGGGGTGGGTTCAAGGGTGGACCCTGGCCCTAGGGTGGACTCTAGGGTGAACCCTGACCCTGGGGTGGACTGCAGGATGGACCCTGACCTTGGGAGGACCTTGGCCCTACGGTGGACTCCAGGGTGGACCCTAGCCCTGTAATGGACTCTAGCGTGGACTCTAGGGTAGACCCTGACCCTGGCGTATGGACCCTGTTCCAGGATGGACTCCAGGGTGGACTCCAAGGTGGACCCTGACCCTGAGGTGATCTCCAGGGTGAACCCTGACCCTTGTATGGACTCTAGCGTGGACCCTGGCTCACAGTACTACCAACTGATTATAGTGGACCCTGTGCTGATTATCTATTCATTTCAATTTGCATCTATTTATTGATTTTTATTGCCTTATCTATTGTTCTACAATCTCTACTTCTCATCCACTTGTCCTTGTCTACAGTACGCCTTGTTCCTATGTGCTTGGGCACTAAGAGATTCCTAAAAGACTAAGAGATTCCTCAAAAGTGTACTTTGAGCTTGAGTAAAAGCACTCTGCTGGACAGAGTCTTTCTTTCCGGAAGCGTTGCCGTGAGAAAATAGAGAAAGAGATGTAATGTAAGAGTGCAATGTAAGAGTCCAATGTAAGAGAAAAAGATTCAAGCTTTCAAGTAGCACAGATTCAAGCTGTATCCTGTCGAAAAATAGATAATACTTTTATGTATTTATGACTTTTATCCAATAAATCTCCCCTAGGGTTGACTTTCGATTGACAGATTGAAATCGGGAAAGCATTGCAGAGCAAATTCCAGAGCAAATTCCAGAGATTTTTGTTCTCACCAAGCCAACTGTTCCCCTTCTTCTCAACCACACTCTCGTTTTTTTGAGTTAAAAAAGAAAACGAGAAAGGTTTCCCGCAAAGAAAAGAAATGAAAATGTTTTGATTTGTTTAAAAGCAACAAAAATTTCGAGACCGAAATGCGAGTGACCAAAAAAAGGGCACTTTTTGAAAACCTTTTTGAAAACCTTTTTTGAATGCAAAAAATTCTAGTGTGATATCCAGATCGAAGAAAAAACGCGATTTCAATAAAATCCCTCTTGCCAATTTTACGGAATAGTCACAAACTCTTGGCCATGCATATCGAGTGGAAATGTTTTGGTGAAAATCAAAAAGCTGAATCCTAGAAATTCTAGTGTGACATCCAGATAAAAGAAAAAACGTAATTAAAATCAAATTCCCCTTACCAATTTTACGGAATAGCCGCGAGCTCTCGGCAGTGCACATCGAGTAGAAATGTTTTGGTGAAAATCAAAAATCTGGATCCTAGAAATCCTAGTGTGACATCCAGATCGTAGAAAAAACGTAATTAAAATCAAATCGCTCTTGCCAATTTTACGGAATTTTGGAAAGCTAACTCTATTTTGAGCACACTAAATTTGTCCCTAAAGTGACTCGATTCCTTTATTTGGTCACTTGCATTTCGGCCTCGGAAATTTCTTCAATCATTCGATCAATTGAAACACATTTTAGCCCATTTTGTAGAGAAGATTTACAACTTTCAAATAGTTTATAGTTTCAAATAGTCAAATAGCTCATCTCATCGATCTCAGTTTTACAGGATCTACAGGATTTACAAAGAGATTGTAGATAAAATTGAGATTGAGATCAGGTTTCTATCGGAGGAAATTTATGTTGAAAATGTTCAAATCCGCATTTCTTACCGCAAATACTGTAATAGTACCCCAGCCCCATAATGGCGGTGCGGAGTGTTGTGTAGTCTAGCTTTGAACGAGTTTTTCTCGACACTGGTTTATGCTACAATGCTCGTTTAGATATCAAAAAATAGCTGAAATTCAGGGCTATTTTTTCATACCAAAGACACATTTTTTGAAAGTACGGGCGCTTTGAAAAACAATGAAATACTAAAAAACTGCGCTACTTGCGCACTTGCGACTACGCGACTGTACGAGGGGGGTGGGGTACTATTACAGTATTTACGGTATTCATTTTCTCCGCATTTACCTATAATTTGTCATCTTATTAAAGAGTTTCTTGAAAAGAAATCATTTCAAAAGCACGAGCTTTTAAACAAAGCTCAAATTTCTTCTGCAACTGTCTTTTTGAAAGATTGAAAAGCTCAAAGATTAAGTGTACAAAAGATCTTTTTGCAGAGCTTTGAAAAGATCAAAAAGCTAAAGGATGAGAATTTTTAAAGAAACGAATCATTGGAACTTTTAAAAAGTAAGCAAAAAGTAAGCAATAGCTGAAAAAGCTGTCCAAATCTATCATTTTCAAATCATTTCATCATTTCAATCATTTAAAAACATTCAAACCATTTTTGATAACCTAGAACCCTTGTAAAGTCTGTAGAAAAGATAATGAATCCGTTGAAATGATTTGAATAGTACTTGAATCGTACTTGAATAGTACTTGAATAGTACTTGAATATATGTTCTATTTTATCGTATACTGTAAGCTGTAATCTTTAGCTACCGTTTCCAGATATAGCTGCGGCTTTGTTCCATTGGACTCTCAACTTTTTGAATCTAAGATCGAATTTCAGTTATGAAATAACTGAAATATAGGGGATAAGAGAAAGAAGAGAGAAAGAGGAAGAGAGAAAGAGGAAGAGAGAAAGAAGATGAGGATAAAGAAGAAGAGGATAAAGAAGAAGAGGATAAGGAAGAAGAGGATAAAGAAGAAGAGAGAAAGAGGAAGAGAGAAAGAAGAAGAGGAGATAAGGAAGAAGAGATAAGGAAGAAGAGATAAGGAAGAAGAGATAAGGAAGAAGAGAAAGGAAGAAGAAAGAGGAAGAAGAGGATAAAGAGAAGAGGACAAAGAAGAGGACCAAAAGCTATAGAGTCAGGTAGAGTCATGTGTTGAACTTGAGGTTCCTCGCGGACCCTGAGTTGCCTCTCACTCATCACCTTTTCTTCTATTCAATATTACTATCCGATAACTGAGTCCTTTCATTCATTCTCTATCTACAACGACAAGAATCTGGCCTCTAACTGCCTTTCAAAAGCTTCTAGCTGTCTTTTTAAAGTCTACTTTTGTCTACTCGACTCATTTTACTTACTAATAGCTTTTTAAGTGATAATTGATTGGATTCTACTTGTACAGGGTCATTGATTGGATTCTACTACTCATTGTGCCTTTTGTCTACTGTACAGGGTTTACTACTGTCTACTGTACTACTACTGTCTACTGTACTACTACTCTCTACTGTACTACTACTGTCTACTGTACTACTACTGTCTACTGTACTACTACTACTGTCTACTGTACTACTACTGTCTACTGTGCTACTGTACTACACTGTAACAGACTTTATTCCAAAAGCCTTTTGCTATAGAAGCTTTGCTATGGTTCAATCGAAAATGGATCCAACATATGCCACTCCTCGTTGTTCCTATTTCCCGACTCTTGCCTTAAAAAGACCATCAATCTCTGGTGTTTATCAGTCTCCACAAAGAAAAATATCGAATAATCATCGAGAATATTTATCTCAACTACACGCAAAGAAAGCAGCACTTCTGGCTGCGAAAGAAAAAGAGAAAAAACAAAGAGAACAGGAAAAAGAAGAGACGGAAAGGATGGAGAGAATGAGGAAAATGTTGGAGTTTCGGAAACGAAAAAAAACGAAAGCTGTCGGCTGGAAAAGTTTCGAGGAAAAGACGGAAAGAATCGAGAAATTGAGGAAAGCTGAGTCGTTGCCGAGTTGTGAAAGTGATGATGTTCAACGCAAAATATCAACGATATCGCTGAAAGAGGAATTGATATTGTTTACGCGACTGTCACAGATGCATTTGGGATCGAGGAGGAATGAGACGAGAATCGGGCAATTACGATATGCACATGAGGCTTATAAAGCGGAAATGCTGAGAAAGTGCAGTACGGAAGAGGTGCATTTCTTCTAGTCTAGGAACTCTTTTGCCGGCCTTGCTGGGTCTGGATCGGGCCTGGTTCTTAGCCTGGCTCTTTGCCTGGTTCTTAGCCTGGCTCTTGGCCTGGTTCTTGGCCTGGTTCTTGGCCTGGTTCTTAGTCTGGTTCTTGGCCTGGTTCATGGTTGCTTTTAAGAGCCTCTTGGGCTCTCCTGCGTGCCCATAGCTCAGTAGAGCTCTCGCCAAGAAAACGAACAGTCGCTCGGTCCGGTTTGATTCCCGGTTCGATCCTCGGTTCGATCCCGGTTCGATTCCCGGTTCAATCCCGGTTCGATCCCAGGTGTACACATGGGTTTTGGGAGCCCATAGCAGAAATGACCTAAACCTAGCCTATTCCTAGCCTGAATCCAGGTAAACAGACTCCCCCCTAACCCTACAAATCCTTGCGTCTATTATGAATCCAAGTACAATTACGAGAAGCTAGGCGGACGTACAAGCCTAAATCCTGCTGAAATATCCCTAAAATTAGACCAGGCTAAAGATCAGGGGTTCAAAACACTTCCAAGCCGGGTGTATCTTATATATCCGAGCCGTTGCCCGATTTAGACTTAGACGGACGTTTTCTGGGATTTCTTGCATTACTGCAGTACCTTGTAATTTGTTAAATCCGAATCCAATTTCTATATCTTCTTGTAGCGTTAATCTGGCTTTGATTACTGTAGTTTATCCATCGAATATCCATTCAATTTACCTCATTTTCTCATTCACAATTTTCAGAGGCCAAAGACGAAACCGTTGCAAGAGTTTTACAATGATGATGACGCTGAATTAGAAGGTTTGTTGAAGAAAAATAGATGGGGAGAGATGGGTAGAGATGGGTAGAGATGGGTAGAGGTGAGTAGAGATGAGTGGAGATGAGTGGAGATGAGTAGAGATGGGTAGAGATGGGTAGAGATGGGTGATAAGTGCCTGTGGACGGACGGACACTTGTCTTTTAGAAATAGTAGATAGTACTATTATTGCATAGTGCTATTTTTAGCGATGGCACGAGTGGCTGATCCGTGCGCTCCACGAGCTGAAGGAGCGACGATGACTCCGGTGAGAGGGGATGGACTGACGGGCACGACTGCGCACACATTGCCGAAGTGAGTTGAAAAATTGAGATATTTAGATAGATTTTCTGATAAAATGAAGTTCTCCAATAGATTCAGCAACCTTGAAAACCCTAGGTAAAAATTCAAAGCTGAATTTCTTCTTTTTGAACTATTTACAAAGCAAAAAGCTATCTGTCAAGGTAAAACACGGTTCTTTGTGTGTGCTTTGTGCGCACGGACAATCGCTCGCAATCTGGCACACGGTCCCGATAGATAGGTTTGAAATCCGTAAAGGCGAAGAAAAGGTGGGCGACTGAGTAGAGGTCTTTTTCAAGCCGGGGCCAGACGAGCAGTGGTGGTGTAGTGGATAGGGCGCTAGACTCGAAAACCGTTGCGGCCCGCCACCCGCGAGTTCAATTCCGCCGGCCGCCAAATGGCGAACATTTTTGGAGAACCGTTAAACCTCTTTGGAAAACCTTCGAACTTCTTTATGATTGTTATATTATGAATTTCTTTATGATTAGTATATTGTTTTTAAAGCAGTAACTAGTTGTTTAAAGCAGTAACCAGCTGTTTAAAGCAGTGACTAGCTCTTTAAAGCAGTAACTAGCCGTTTAAAGCAGTAACTAGCTATTTAAAGTAGCAACCAGCTATTTTTCCATGGCTTTTAGAGACATTTGCTTGAGTTACTTGTCTTGAGGGTTTGTTGTCTCTTGATTTTCTCAGGATTCGCATTCGTTCAATCGATTTAGATAGGCAATTTGAGGGTAACTTCAATCTAAAGCCAAATATATTAGTAAAAAGCTATTAGATAAGCTAACAATTTTATTGAAAAATTCGCAGATCCGTTGACTCAGCTCTTCATCGATACGGTACAACAGCTCCAAAAGCGATTGCAGCTGTCGTTTTGGATCAGCACGGGAAATTGGGAGAACAGTTAACATATGGTAAGCTTTTAGGAATCTAGTAATGATCTAGATTTGATCTAGAGTTGATCTAGATCTCTAGAGTTCATCTAGAGTTCATCTAGATCTCTAGAGTTGATCTAGAGTTGATCTAGATCTCTAGAGTTGATCTAGAGTTCATCTAGATCTCTAGAGTTGATCTAGAGTTCATCTAGATCTCTAGAGTTGATCTAGAGTTCATCTAGATCTCTAGAGTTGATCTAGAGTTCATCTAGAGTTCATCTAGAGTTCATCTAGAGTTCATCTAGATCTCTAGAGTTCATCTAGATCTCTAGATTTGATCTGGGATCTCTAGCTATTTAGAAAACATCTAGCTTTCAGGGAAATTGCTATCCCGATCGAGCAAAGTGGCCTACATGCTTTTGAATAAACAAGTGCCACAGGGTGGACGAGATGCGGCCAAAGGACCTTTGTGTAGGCCGGGCGATCGGATAGCGTTGGTAGGGGATTTTGCGATAAATAATTGCATATTATATCGTACTAGAGAATGCTATGTAGTACAGAGAAGACATTGTACATTGTACATTGTACATAGAGAATACATTGTACAAATTGGCTTTACTTTTCCTTAAAAATTGCCTTAACTTTCTCACACTTTCACTCCAAAAGCTCAAAATCTAGCTGTTCAAGGTTAAACCACCGTTAACTCAAGAAAAAAGCTACTGTAAGCTTGCAAAACCTACCGTAATCTTGTATAGACCTACCGTAATCTTGTAAAACCTACCGTAAGCTTGTAAGAACCTACCGTAATCTTGTAAAAACCTACCGTAATCCTGTAAAACCTATCGTAATCTTGTAAAAACCTACTGTAATCCTTTAAAACCTACCGTAATCCTTTTGGTAGCTTTTTGGATTTCCTGGACAAAATGGAAAAAGTAAAATACCGCAAACGGGATCGAACCCTTGACCCCAACAACTCCCGATTGAGCTCCAGTCAACCGCTCTAACCACTGAGCTATCCGGTACCTTGAAAGGCCAAGAGAAAAAAGGAAAGACAAGGCGGAAGAAGAAAAAAAGTCTTCAGAAGCAACTTGGGTACTTTAACAGCTCGAGTTTCTTGTACTTGTCTTCTTAATGTATTCTCGAGTCTTCTTCTACACGATTAACAATTGCTTTTTAAAGCTAGCTCTATACCTAGCTTTTTAAAGCAACAATTTTACAATTTAATACTAATATCTTGACTCTACTATTTACTCTATTCAATCGTATCTACTCTATTTACTCTATTCATCAATTTATCAACTCATATCATCAATTTCTCTACTCAATTCCAGGTTTATCCCAACTCCGATCCACTACATTTCCTGCCAGCTTTTTACGGATGCCTTTTAGCCGGTGTCATCCCAGTACCAGTCGAAGTGCCATTATCGAAAAGGGTTCGTTTTTTAAAAATATTCTTTTGATATCGTCGATCTTGTAGAGGCTACCTTGTAGAGTCTATCTTGTAGAGTCTATCTTGTAGAGTCTATCTTGTAGAGGCTACCTTGTAGAGTCTATCTTGTAGAGGCTACCTTGTAGAGTCTATCTTGTAGAGGCTACCTTGTAGAGTCTATCTTGTAGAGGCTACCTTGTAGAGTCTATCTTGTAGAGTCTATCTTGTAGAGGCTATCTTGTAGAGGCTATCTTGTAGAGGCTATCTTGTAGAGTCTATCTTATAGAGTCTATCTTGTAGAGTCTATCTTGTAGAAATTCTTTCAGGATGCCGGCATTCAACAACTCGGTTTTTTGCTTGGGAGTTGCGGGGTGAAAGTCGCGTTAACATCGGAGGCTTGCTACAAAGGATTGCCAAAGGTTTGATGGGTTGAATCTCTCTACTACAGTACTAGGCTTGCCCACTGTACTAGATCGTACTGGAGGAGAAGCAGTATTGTACTTTAAGCTTTAGGATAATGGTAATGTCTGCTGATGCAGTATGGATAGCTGAGACATCCATGCAGTTAGCTGGAGAGTAATCCAAGCAGTTAGCTGATACAGTATCCATCCAGTTAGCTGAGACAGTAGTCCAAGCAGTTAGCTGATACAGTAATCCATGCAGTTAGCTGGGACAGTATCCATCCAGTTAGCTGATACAGTAATCCAAGCAGTTAGCTGAGACAGTAATCCAAGCAGTTAGCTGATACAGTAATCCAAGCAGTTAGCTGAGACAGTATCCATCCAGTTAGCTGAGACAGTATCCATCCAGTTAGCTGAGACAGTATCCATCCAGTTAGCTGAGACAGTATCCATCCAGTTAGCTGAGACAGTATCCATCCAGTTAGCTGAGACAGTATCCATCCAGTTAGCTGAGACAGTATCCATCCAGTTAGCTGAGACAGTACCTCCAGTTAGCTGAGACAGTATCCATCCAGTTAGCTGAGACAGTATCCATCCAGTTAGCTGAGACAGTATCCATCCAGTTAGCTGAGACAGTATCCATCCAGTTAGCTGAGACAGTATCCTCCAGTTAGCTGAGACAGTATCCATCCAGTTAGCTGAGACAGTATCCATCCAGTTAGCTGAGACAGTATCCATCCAGTTAGCTGAGACAGTATCCATCCAGTTAGCTGAGACAGTATCCATCCAGTTAGCTGAGACAGTATCCATCCAGTTATCTATCTAAAACTCTATCTATTAACTAAACCGATAGAGATGAAAACCTAATTGTATGCTAATCAAGATTTCGATTGTAAATTGTAAATTGCAATCTTCCAGGCCGCTTCCCCAAATGGCAGCAACACGGAAGTGGTAGACTTCAAAGGATGGCCTCGTTTGTATTGGCAAACTACAGAGAATTTGGTAATTGAAAACATATTAGATAATAGATTTTGATATCAATTTATCTAATTGATTTTTAACTAATTGTTTTTATCTAATTGTTGTTATCTATTTGATATCTAAAGCTTTCTTTTCTAGGGTAAACCATCGAGAGATTGGACAGCACCGCCAAGGGTCACTGATGAGAGTGTGGCTTACATTGAGTATTCACAGGATCGAGAAGGCGCTGTGAAGGTCGGATTTTCGAGAGATTATAGAGAAATGTCTAGAGCTTATCTAGATCTTATCTAGATCTTATCTAGAACTTATCTAGAACTTATCTAGATACATTTATTTATATATAATGTCTTCAAATAGCTAGATCTTATCTAGATTATATCATAAATGATCGTTCAGGGTGTTTGTGTGAGTCGGCAGGCGATGTTGGCCCATTGTCGAGCGATCACGCTGCAAATGGATTATAAAGAAGGTTAGATCAATTGATTCGATAAGTTAAACTCAAAAAAACTATCGATAACTGTATAAAATTAAATCTTAAATCGAAAAAGGAGAAATACGGTTTTAATTCGGTTCGAATTCGGTTCCAATACGGTTCCAATAAGGTTCAAATACGGTTCGAGTACGGTTCCAATACAGTTCCAATAAGGTTCGAATACGGTTCCAATTCGGTTCCTATTTCATTCCAATTCGGTTCCAATACGGTTCCTAGGCTCCAATACGGTTCTGATACAGTTCCAATTCGGTTCCAATACGATTCCTAGGCTCCAATACGGTCCGAATTAGGTTCCTATTATAAACCAATGCGGTTCCGATACAGTTCCAATTCGGTTCCAATACGGTTCCTAGGCTCCAATACGATTCCTAGGCTCCAATACGATTCCTAGGCTCCAATACGATTCCTAGGCTCCAATACGATTCCTAGGCTCCAATACGGTCCGAATTAGGTTCCTATTATAAACCAATGCGGTTCCGATACAGTTCCAATTCGGTTCCAATACGGTTCCTAGGCTCCAATACGATTCCAATACGGTTCCAATACGGTTCCAATATGGCTCCAATACGATTCCAATACGGTGCCAATACAGTTCCAATATAGTTCCTATTTTGATCCAATCCAGTTCCAATACGGTTCCAATCCCGTTCCTATTTCATTCCAATATGGTTCCAACACTGCTACACAGTTTCTAATAAGAAGCAGAGCTTGACCCGCCCTTACCCCAACTCCAAGCCTCCAAGCCTCCAAGCTATAAAATGGAAAAGAATGTGCAAAAATTTGACCTAGCTCTGACTTATAGTTTGACTTCTAGGTAGGTTTAACTTAACTCTAGACTTGGCTTGACCCTGGTTAAAGTCTGACTGAGTCTGACTTAGCCTTAATGGCAAGGCTAGATCTGACGACTCGAATTCCGTTTAGAGCACTTCTGTACAATTCTATAAAAGAATAGAATTGTACAGAAGCTGCACAGAAGCACAGAAGCTGTACACAGAAGAATTTTACAGAAGCTATCGTACTCTATAAAAGAATAGAATTGTACAATCTTGCGAAAAATGAAAAATCTTGCATTATCGTAAGCTATTGTACTTCAATTTTCTCTAGGCGACACAGCAATTTGTGTGCTCGATTGGAAACGTGAGGTCGGTCTCTGGCATGCTGTTCTTGCATCGGTTTTCTGTGGGATGCGAGTGATCTTTGTCCCGTATTCTCTAATGAAAATCAACCCCGCCAGTTGGATGATACAAGCAACGAAATTACAAGGTGAGTAAAGGGAAAGCATTCGTATCATCAGAAACTCTATATTATTTTCAATATAGACTAGAATGCTGTCCTAGACGAGAATCTAGACTCAATTTTTAGCCTCTGCGGCCCTTGTGAAATCCCGTGATCTCCATTGGGCTCTCCTGGCCACTCGGGATCATAAAGATGTCAATTTCGCCTCATTGCGGAGTTTAGTTGTGGCTGATGGAGCGAATCCTTGGTGTAAGGATATTTAGAAGATATTTAGAACATATTTAGATATAGATATTCCGTTTTTTGCTTATCTTACAGTACCTTTTTCCAGCTTTATCTTCTTGTGACCAATTCGTGGCCACATTCAGCTCACGAGGTCTCCGTCCCGATGCAATGTGTCCAACAGCTGGTAGCTCCGAGACAGGCACTATATCGCTTAGAAGGTATACTTAAACTTCTTCAGTTTAGCCAGGTCCAGCTCTAGCCAGGTCCAGACCTAGGTCCAGCTCTAGCCAGGTCCAAACCTAGTTCCAGACCTAACCAGGTCCAGACCTAGGTCCAGCTCTAGCCAGGTCCAAACCTAGTTCCAGACCTAACCAGGTCCAGACCTAATCAAGTCCAGATCTAGGTCCAGACCTAACCAGGTCCAGACCTAGCCAGACCTAGCCAGACCTGCCAGACTTAGCCAGACCTAGCCAGGTCCAGTCAGACCTAGCCAGACCTAGCCAGACCTAGCCAGGTCCAGTCAGACCTAGCCAGACCTAGCCAGACCTCGTCAGACCTCGTCAGACCTAGCCAGACCTAGCCAGGTCCAGTCAGACCTAGCCAGACCTAGCCAGACCTAGCCAGACCTACCCAGACCTCGTCAGACCTAGCCAAACCTAGCCAGGTCCAGTCAGGCCAAACATTCCAAATTACCAAACTCTAGACGAGCCACCTCCACCCAACCGGGCACTCAATCGGGCAGAGGGATCCTCTCAATGTCCGCCCTTTCTCACGGTGTTGTCCGCGTTGAACAAGAGAATGCCCTCAATTCTTTGACTTTACAAGATGCCGGTCAAGTCATCCCGGGAGGATCAGTCGTTGTCGTCAAACAAACCGGAGCACCGAGATTGTGCAAAGCGGATGAGGTGAGGTGCACTTTGAGGTCAAATAACAAAAACGCGCACTATCTGGTGCCTGAATTCGGAGAATTCTAGTCTCTAGTCTCTAGTGCATCTCTAGTGCGCCAGAAAGAATGCGTTTCCAACGCTTGAGCTCAAGTACTAGCCTAGCCCTACCTGTTAAGTCTGGTATTAGTAAAGTCTATCTATACGATTATCTAGATAACTTTTGGTTAAGATTGGCGAGATCTGCGTGTGTGCTCATTCGGGCGGTCATGCTTATTGGGGTTTGGAGGGGATCTCAGCATCAACATTCCGCGTGGAACCACTCGCATCAGATGATCGTCCATTGGGACCATTGCACTATGTTCGCTCGGGATTGATTGGATTCATGGGACCGGTAGGTTTTTAAGCTGATATTTAAACGGATATTAGGGCCTAGCCAGGTCCAACCAGACCTAGACAGGCCTAGCCAGGTCCAGCCAGACCTAACCAGGTTCAGTCAGGCCTAGCCAAGCCTAGCGAGGTCCAGCCAGACCTAGCCAGGCCCAGTCAGGCTTAGCCAGGTCCAACCAGGTCCAGCCAGACCTAGCCAGGTCCAACCAGGTCCAGTTAGGCCTAGCCAAGCCTAGCCAAGCCTAGCCAGGTCCAGCTAGACCTAGCCAGACCTAGCGAGGCCCAGTCAGGCTTAGCCAGGTCCAGTCAGACCTAGCCAGACCTAGCCAGTCCAACCAGGCCCAGCTAGGTCCAGCCAGGCCCAACCAGGTCCATCCAGGTCCAGCCAGGCCCAGCCAGGTCCAGCCAGGCCTTAGCCAAGACGATAAAGGTACTGTAAAGTCCCAGCACTCTACAATAGCCCATGAAACAAATTTGTTAGCATTTTGGCCAATTGTCTAGCAGTTTTGGTCAACCCTAAAGGCTTAGGCTTATGCTTCGATTACGATAACTGAGACTGACAGTGCCTTTCATGCTCCAGTTTACTTAAACCTTTCCAGGATGGCCTAATCTTCGTTGTTGGCAAGAAATCCTCGCAACTTTTCGTCTCGGGACGACAACATTCAGCGGATGACATCATTGCGACCGTGCTAGCGGTTGAGCCGATGAGATTCGTTTATCGGTATTTGCCTTTAAATCTTTTCACAAATTCACGACGATACAAATCAAAGAACTACGCGACTGTCCGCGTAAAAACAACTACGCCTAGCTAACTGAGCTATTTAGCTATTAACTGAGCTATTTAGCTATTAACTGAGCTATTTAAATCGCTTTTCCTTTAATCACTTTAATTGTAGAGGTCGAATTGCTGTTTTCTCGATAAATGTGCTTCGAGATGAGAGAATCGTGGTCGTTTGTGAGCAAAAGCCGAACACGAGTGAAGATGATGCATTTCAGTGGATGAGTCGCGTGCTACAGGTACACAAAAGGGCGATAGTAGATTTACTTTGTGCTTAAACGTCTAAACAAAGCGTTTCTGGTGCAAAAAAAACGTCATCAGGCTTACTGTAGCATTCTGTCTGTCTGTCTGTCTGTCTATCTGTCTCTCTGTCTATCTGTCTGTCTTTCTACCGTAATCTTCCCCATTCAGGCAGTCGAATCGATTCACCAAGTGGCCATTTATTGTCTAGCGCTCGTCGTCGCCAATCAACTCCCAAAAGTATGTGATTTTTAAAGTCAGAAAACAATAAGATTCCATTAAACAATTAAATAATTCTAATAAATTCGCGATAAAGCCTTTTTGCTTAACGCTTAAGCCAAAAATACTTTGTTTTTTTTCGGACGACAGATCTCTATGCTAGCTGTTGATTTGATTTGATTTACCCATGGGTTTTTTAAGTCAAGAATTCAAATCCGGTTTTAATTTTTAACTACAGCAACTCCTAAGACTGGAAAGAGTAGTAGGCGCGTACTTTAGCTAGAAAATAGGTTAGCTAGAATAGAAAATAGCTAGAAAATGATATGCTCAAGGAAAAGTTCCCGCAGCTATCTTCACGACGGTACCTTTGATCTTTCCGGTAAAATGTTCATGGTAACCAAATCTGTAGAGAAAAGGAACCAAATTTAGAGAGATAAGGAACCAAATCTGTAGAGAAAAGGAACCAAATCTGTAGAGAAAACGAAGTTTCCCGTGGAGTGTACTTTTCTTTCAAAGTTTCCGATAAAACTTTCTGGAAGATAAGTACACTCCGCGGGAAAACCATGAACATTTACCGGAAAGATCAAAGGTACCGCCGTAAAGATCGAAGACGCTGGAACTTTTCCCGAAGTCCAGCATACGTCTAGCATCCAGCAGTCCAGCAGGACGGGCGCAGGGTCGTTGCGAATGTATTAAGTAGTGCTAATCCCTGAAGTCTGGTTGGTTGGCTGATTTAAGTCTACTTTTTAGACCCCACTTGGCGGCATACATGTGGCTGAGACGAGGCAAAGATTTCTGAGCGGCGAACTTCATCCGGCAACACTCTTGATGTGTCCGCACAATTGTGTCCTCAATCTACCAAAACCAAGGTGGCAACTTGAAAATTTAGCCTAAGCGTAAGCCTAACGAAAATGGGGATTCAGCCCAAATCAAAATAGAATTAGTGCGAGGCGCTAGCTAGCCGGGCGCTAGCTAAGGCGCTAGCTGCTAGCCTTTGCACTAAGTCCAAGCCTTGAAAGAGAGAAAGGTTGAAAGAAAGAACGGCTGAAAGAAAGGCTGAAAGAAAGGAAGGCTGAAAGACTACAGCAACTCAGATTACGGTAGCTCTTCCACGAAAACGAGATTCGATTTCAGAGAGCGTCAATCAGACGTTGGGCCAGCTGCAATGTATGTTGGGAATATCGTGCAAGGTGTCCGAATGGGACAAGCTGATGGACGATCGTTGGGTGGAGAGGATACGGTAAATAGGACACAGAACAATACGATATGTTCAAAATCTTCAGTTCGCTTCACTCGCCGACATTTTGAGGCAACGAGCCGCTCAAACGCCCGATCATATCATCTACAGCCTAGTCACAAATAAGGTAGACTTTAAAAAAACACTTACAATTTTCATTTTCAAAAGTACTTTACTATACTTTAGTATACTTTACTAATATATATATATAATTATACTAACCTAATACTTTAGACCCTGGAGAATCCGGACTCGTTGACTTGTGGCCTTTTGTTGAAACGAGCCGAGAGAATCGCCTCGTTGTTGACTGATAAGGTAAAAGAACTTCGATGAGATGATATAGCTTAAAAACTAAACAAATCATTTTTCACATCAAACACTTTTTTAAGAACTATCAGCTTTGTAACGGTCCAGAAGATGAGTCTTGCTTTCGTTGTTTTCATTCAACTCCTCAAACCATCGTAAGATGGTTTGGGAGTTGTTTGGAAACTGTAAAGTTTGGCCTTGATCGTGGCCGAGCTACGAAAATTGGAAAATTGGCTCCCAAATGGAAATACAGTTGACTCTCTCTAGAACGGAACTCTATATAGAGAAAACTATATAACGGAGCTCTATATAGAGGAAAACTATATACAGGGTGCGGCAAAAGTTCGGAGCCGCTTCTTAAGATAGTTAAAGGTTTAAAAACTAGCTTTAAAAAGTTAAAAATTAATAACAAACTCTTTATTCGAATCATAACAACAAATAACTTATAACAAATGCTCGAAATTTCCACTATCCGCTCCGATACATCTCTTTAAACGCTTTGGGAAGTTCCTCACGATGGTGGCGCACGCTTAAACAGTTATTTCATCCCAGACTCGTTCCAGAGCAGATTTTAAAGCATCCACTGTTTGATACGTCTTCATCGAGATCTTGCCTTCCAAAATAGCCGAAACGGTGTAATCGAGGGGATTAAGATCCGGCGAATTTGAAGGACAAATGGTCTTATCCCAAAAGCCTGGAAACAACTGAGCGCAAACGTTGAGAGTTGAGTGAGCACCATGCGCCGGAGCCCAGTCTAAAAACCAGCTTGTCCAAAGTGATTTGTTGCCCAATGTTTCAAGACATCTTTTAATACCAGTTGTTGGCAGTTTTTAGCATTCATCTTGACTTTTCTGTCCAAAAAACAGGCTGTGTCTTGCTTGTAGCACACATACCTCCACACATCATAATCGAAGCTAAAAAATGCTTTCCAACCATCAAATTTGCCGTAAATGTGTTCTTCAGACCCCTTTTGAGAAGTTCTCTATGATTTTGGCGGTTGTGCAATGACTGGATAGAAAAAATCTTTTCATCTGTGAAGAGGATCCTCTCAAGTAGGCCAGTCGCCACCGAGCGCACCATCTTCTTTGCTAGACGCTTTCGTTTCTTCTGGGATTTGTCGCTCAAGACGTGTGCTTTAGCCAATTTGTAGCTAAAGAATCTTAGTTTCCCTTTAACAATCCTTCCAACGCTTCGAGGGCTAATTTTCAGCTGTTTGCCCATCTTTCGCATCGACCGCAGCTTGTTTTGGCGAATCCGAAAGCGAATTTCGTTGATGTTCGTAGGTGTTACGGCAGTTGGTGGTCGACCACTTCGAGGGCGATCCTTGTTGTTCTTTATCTCCTTGTAGCGTTTAATTGCTTTGTTGACGGTGCTTTTTGGATATTTCGTGATTTTTACAAGCTCCGGGCTATTTTTTCCGCCTTCGTATAATCCGAGAATCACATCGCGTCGTTTTTTGGCGTTCATTTTTACGAATTTTCTCCTAAAAAGAAAATTTTTGTAACAAATCACCTTAATTATACTCGAAAAAGGGGAAAAAAAGTATACGAGACACAAAAAAAAAGCGTGAGCTAAATTTCCTGCAATGTTTTCATAGTGGCTCCGAACTTTTGCCGCACCCTGTATAACGAAACTCTATATAGAGAAAGCTCTATATAACGGAGCTCTATATAGAGAAAACTATATAACGGAACTCTATATAGAGGAAAACTTTATATAAAGGAACTCTATATAGCGGAAAACTCTCTATAACGGAACTCTATCTAGAGAAAACTCTAAATAACGAAACTCTATATAACGGAACGGAATTTTGCTCCCGGCCAACGCTAAGCTATATATAACGAAACAATTTTTTCGGCCCTTCCATTCCGTTATAGAGTCTGTAGCCTGTAGATTGCTTTCACATTTCAAAACAAAATTTATCACCTAAAACAATCCTTTCAATTAATCTGAAAAAAAGAAAAACAAACAAAAACCAAAGCAAAAACAAAAACAAAACCAGAAACAAAAACCAGAAACAAAAACCAGAAACAAAAACCAGAAACAAAAACCAGAAACAAAAACCAGAAACAAAAACCAGAAACAAAAACCAGAAACAAAAACCAGAAACAAAACCAGAAACAAAAACCAGAAACAAAACCAGAAACAAAAACCAGAAACAAAACCAGAAACAAAACCAGAAACAAAACCAGAAACAAAACCAGAAACAAAACCAGAAACAGAAACAAAAAAATAAAAAAAATGATTTGAAAACGAAAAAGAAACGACGACGCGGCGCTCCCATCGACTACCTCCAAATGGCGGCGACGTCAATTGGAATGCGACGTTGCGCGAAAATTAACATTTAAAATTAGCGACAGAAATTCGAATTTAACATGAAAACGTCTCGAAAAACACATTTATTTTCTTTCTTTCTCTATTTATCTATTCCAGGCTCGTCTCAACGCTGGGGATCATGTGTCCGTCGTTCTCCCGCCCGGTCTCGAGCTGATCGTCGCTTTCTTCGGATGTCTTGTAGCTGGTTGGTTTAAAGATATACTTTTAAAGGTTTAAAGCTGACTCCGGATCTGGGTTTATTCGGCACGCTATTCCTTATAAACATTATTAGGCTATATCTTAAATTAATCCACGCCTATATTCCTCCTTAATCTCTACTCTTATTCGATGATCCCTAGATAGGTTTTTCTGGCGGTGAAGAGAATACTGTTGGATAGGCTTCTCGTATTAGAATACTGTTGGATAGGTTTCTCGTATTAGAATACTGTTGGATAGGCTTCTCGTATTAAGGACTGATCCGGTCCATGAACCATTTCATGAACTGATCCACTGGGCGCTGGGATCGAACTGGGTTTCTAATTCCTAGGACAGCCACATTTGCGTTGCGCCACCAAGAAAACGATGGTGGAATTAGATTCGGCTTGGAATTTTCCCATGTCTAGTAGCTAGGTTTTAGTTTATTGTGCTTCATTGTACGAGTACTGTAGCTTGGGATGCGGTAGCTTGGGATATGGTAGAGTTCGGATACGGTAGAGTTGGGATACGGTAGTTGAGATACGGTACCTGGTACTAGTCCAGTACTGTACACCACTTGACAGAGTTTGTTCTTGAATTGAGCTTCTCTAGGAATGGTCCCCGTTTGTGTTCGTCCGCCTCCACCCGGTCATCTGTCCGAAGCTCTTCCAACAATTCGTGCAATCGTTGATGTGAGTCGATCAGTGGCCGTTCTCTCGAGTCAAACGATCACCAAATTGTTGAAGGTCAGTGTTCAATCTGTAAAATCTTGTTGCTGCTTTAAAACTATCGCAGTACAAGCAAGTACAAGTACAAGGAAGTACAAGTACAAGCAAGTACAAGTACAAGCAAGTACAAGCAAGTACAAGTACAAGCAAGTACAAGCAAGTACAAGCAAGTACAAGCAACTTTCAGAGTAAAGAAGCATCTCATCGAGTCGACACAAAAGCTTGGCCATTAATTTTGGACATAGAAGATGCGCCATCAAGTGCAAAACGAAAAGGAACATTGGAAAGAGAGACTGTCGATCCAAGAGCTCCCGCTTATTTGGTGAGATGATTATTAGATTTAAATAGCTACAATAATACTAGTGTACTGTAATTAGGTCATTAAAAAGATCTTGAATCTTGAGCTTGAATCGCTCAAGTTATACTTAAATGGAGCACGTGTGGCTGACTGGTTAAGTGTCTTTTATCTTAATCGAAAGGTCGAGGGTTCGAACCCCACATGCGACATGGTCACCCCCTTCGGATTTCCTTTCCCTTCGGGTTGAGAGGTTTTCTGGAGGGCAGTCTGGTGGTTGTGGCCCCAGTTCTTTAAAGTGACAAGCCACTCCTTCATCGTCATCTTCCCTTCACCACCAAAAAAAGCTATTTAGTTCCCCATTGAGCTTAGGGTTAGGGAGCCGTCTGTCATGACGTGGGTTAAGTTAAGATATAGCCTAGTATTGTGTGTGTCGTTGTATTGTGATTGATATATTTCGTGTATGCGATAAAATTCACCACTGGTAGCCCCAGTCGGTATTTTTTTAAATCATGTTAAATTAATAATGGAATATAGCTTGAAGAAATTTGTTTTCTAGTTTTTGAAAAATTACAGTACAAACTATTTCCGAGAAATTTCTTTCCAATCATATCTTTTTAAGGACTTTGCCGTTTCGACAACAGGTCAATTGACGGGTGTCATCATCAGCCAATATTCCGCGTCGACATTATGCAAGAGTTTGAAGGTAAAGATGTTTGAGAAATTGAGAAATTGAAAAATTGAGGAATTGAGGAATTGAGAATTGAGGAATTGAGAAATTGAGGAATTAAGAAATAGATAGTTAATAGAGAATTAGTAAAGAATTTATCTAGTATCTAGTACTGATATGATCTCTGTGAAAGTTGAAAGAATAAGTCCATAGAGTACAGGCATAGAGTACAGGCATAGAGTACAGTTCATAGAGTACAGGCATAGAGTACAGGCATAGAGTACAGGCATAGAGTACAGGCATAGAGTACAGTTCATAGAGTACAGGCATAGAGTACAGGCATAGAGTACAGTTCATAGAGTACAGGCATAGAGTACAGGCATAGAGTACAGGCATAGAGTACAGGCATAGAGTACAGTTCATAGAGTACAGGCATAGAGTACAAGCATAGAGTACAATCCATAGAGTACAGTTCATAGAGTACAATCCATAGAGTACAATCCATAGAGTACAATCCATAGAGTACAGTCTATAGAGTACAGTCAATAGAGTACAGTCAATAGAGTACAGTCTGTAGAGTACAGTCTGAAGAGTACAGTTTATAGAGTACAGTTCATAGAGTACAGTTCTTTTCTAGAGCCAGAGTACGGTAGCTTTTCTAGGGCCAGAGTACGATAGCTTTCAAGTGAAGAGGCTAGTCAAAGAAAGTACTGTGATATCCACCAATTCTAGTATTTTCTGCCATATTTCTATACTAGAACAAGTCCTATCCAACTGATCGAAGCTCAATTCTAGATTGCTTGCGAATTGTACCAATCTCGACACGTTTCCGTGTGTCTCGACCCATATTCTGGCCTCGGATTGGCCCTATGGTCTCTATCCAGTGTCTATTCAGGTAAAAATCGTAAAGCTAGAGTAAAGTAAATATGCTTTTGGTGCTAATCATCTTTTTGATGCTCATCTGATGCTAATCATCTTTTCAGGACATCACACAACTTTGATCCCGCCAAGTGAGGTGGAAACGAGCCCATCTTTATGGCTACAAACGGTTTCAAATGGGAAAATGAGAGACACTTTCACGTCGCATACTGTAATTGAGACTTGTGTAAAAGAGCTGGCACCACAAGTGGCACAATTGAAAGAGAAAGGACTCAATTTATCGTGGTAAGTTGTTCAAAGTACTGTAACGTTTCTAGAATTTAGATTAATGCGTTCAAAAGAGTTCCCGTAATCCTTCAGAGTTACCGTAATCCTTCAGAGTTACCGTAATCCTTCAGATCTTCATGATCCCATTCAATTCACAATTTCATTCCTGATTGTAATCAAATAAATCGGAAAAGCAAAGATTACGATAGCTTTCCAAATTCGGCCACCTTTTAGAAAAGGCACAGGAATTGATTCTAGATACCGTAAATACTAAATGTACTACAGCTACTGTAGAAGATACTGTGCTTCTCTAATTAAATAAGATAAAGTCTAAAAGACGAGACGGCTACCGTAATCCTGGCTACTGTAGAGATGGTTACCGTAATCTTGGCTTAGGCTTAGGCTACCGTAATCCTGGCTTAGGCTTAGGCTACCGTAAACCTGGCTTAGACTTAGGCTACCGTAATCCTGGCTACTGTAGGGATGGCTATTGTAGTTCTGGCTTCTTCACCAGGCTTAAACTTGAAAAGGCTAGCCGAAGTACGGTAATCAAAGGCTTAGGCTTAACTAGTTATAGTATGGTAGCTGTAGTATGATAAATTTTGGGTACAGCTTGTATCTATAAGGTAAAGAAATGAATGGCAAAGAATTTGGAATCGAGGGGGAATTGAACCCTCGACCTTCTGCTTACCAAGTAAATGATCGAGCAGAGAATAGGAAAGACAAGGAAGAGAAAGAAAGAAGGACAAGGAAGAAGGACAAGGAAGAAAGAAAGAAGGACAAGGAAGAAAGGAAGGAAGAAAGACAAGAAAAAAAGAAAGAAAGAAAGAAAGAAAGAAAGAAAGAAGGACAAGGAAGAAAGAAAGCCCTTACCCTTCACAATTCAAATGATTACCCAAGCCTACCCCAGACAATTCCAGTGTTCGTACATGTGTCGTTGTTGCTGAGGAGCGTCCCCGTGTCCCTCTTCTCTCCGCTTTCTCAACTCTTTTCTCTACACTTGGACTTTCACCTCGAGCCATATCAACCTCATTTGGTACTAGAGTTTGTCCAGCTATTTGTATGCAAGGAGCATCTGGACCTGATCCAGCACAGGTGAGAGATGAGAAGAGATGGTGAGAGATAAAAAAGAATTTAATAAGTAGAATATTCTCGACAAGATAGAACGAGAAGAAGTTCGATTTTCGCTTAAAATTTCACCTTTATAGCTCAATTTTAAAGCTGTTTTTCTGAAGTTTCCAAGCTTTAAAACCTATAAAATTCAATTATCTATTTGAATTCCTTTTAGATTTGGGTTGATGGACGCTCATTGAGACACGATCGAGTTTCTGTTGTTGGCAAAGGAGCACCACATTCCATTGCACTTGTTGAGACGGGAAAGGTGAGCAATGTAGAGAGATTTTTGATAGTATATTAGTTCATATAGCTTTCTATAGTTTTCTATGGCTTTCTATAGCATTCTATAGCTTTCTATAGCTTTCTATAGCTTTCTATAGTTTTCTATAGCCTTCTATAGCTTTCTATAGCTTTCTATAGCATTCTATAGCTTTGTCTTCTTCTACGGATTCTTTCAGCTTCTGCCCGGTGTTCGAGTGGTGATTGCAAATCCGGAAACTCGCGGTGTTTGTGCGGATTCACATCTCGGTGAGATCTGGGTCTCCTCATCGCATAATGCGGACGGAACTTTGGATCGACATGCACACAATGATACTTTCGAGGCTCGTTTAACGACTGGGGACACGAAAACGAGGTTTGGAAATGAGATCAACCTATTATTTGCTATGTTAGTATAGTAATGGAACGTTTTTTAAAAGGCTTGTAAAACTACCGTAAAGCTTTGGCTTATAGTTATAGGGTTAGGCTTAGGCTTAGGCTTGGGTTCAGGCTTGGACTTAGTGCGCAGGCTAGCGGCTAGCGCCTCGCACTAAGTTTATTTGGGTTTGGGCTGAACCCCCATTTTCTGGATCTCAGCCGGTTCTCGGAGCTAAGGGCCACCCGTTTGGCGGTGTGCTTTGGAACCCAATGGGATTAGGCTTAGGTTCAGGCTTAGGCTTGGGTTTAGGCTTAGGCTTGGGTTCAGGCTCAAGCTTGGGTTCAGGCTTAGGCTTAGGCTTAGGCTCAGGCTTGGGTTCAGGCTTATGCTCAGGCTCAGGCTTAGGCTCAGCCTCAAGCTTGGGTTCAGGCTTAGGGTTAGGCTTAGTCTCAGTCTCAGGCTTAGGCTTATGCTCAGGCTCAGGCTCAGGCTTATAGGCCTTCATTAGCCAATCAGTTCCGTCTTTACCAAAAAAGGAGGATTATAGTGGTTTACTGTGCCGTACAGTTGTCTTGTTACTATTGTTAGTATTGTTATCGCTAGTGTCAATACAATCTTATAGAAATCAAGCATTTTCACAAGTTAAATTCAAATTTCTCATTCAGATGGGCACGAACAGGTTATCTGGGTCTTGTACGTCAGACTGATGCAGTGACGGAAAGTGGAGGATTGCATGAAGCCGTCTTTGTTGTCGGCCCATTAGAGGAAACGATCACTTTGAGAGGAATGAGATATCATCCATCGGATATTGAGTACACATTGAATAGAGGACATCGACTGATTGGAGAGAGGTCAGTGAAAGGGGAGAGGTACGGCAGGGAAAGTTATCTAGAGGATTACTGTAGGAAAAGGTTATAAGGAGAGGTTACTGTAGAATACTGTAGAATACTGTAGAATACTGTAGAATACAGTAAGCAAAAGTTGTCTAAGAGGTTACTGTAGAGGAAATTTATCTAATAAAAAGGAGTTACTGTATAAAAAATCAACCTTAATCCATTTCAGCGCCGTTTTCACGTGGAATCACCTTTTGGTGGCTGTTGTTGAATGTTCGGGTGGAGATGATTCATTGGACGTTGTACCGGCGGCTACGGGAGCTGTTTTAGAGGAACATCATCTCATTCTTGGGGTCAGTTGCTTGATTGCTGAGTGTTTGAAGATTGCTAGCTCTACATCAAGTACCGTTTGCGAAGTACATTCAGAAATGAAAAATTTGTAGCTACCACTAGTGATTCTTTGATAAGAGATCAAGTCTAAAAAGTCCAGAGACAACTATCGTAATCTACAGCTGATTTAAACTTAAAAACAGACGGACTACGGTCAAAAGACAGACGGACTACGGTCAAAAGACAGACAGAGTACGGTCAAAAGACAGACGGAGTACGGTCAAAAGACAGACGGACTACGGTCAAAAGACAGACGGAGTACGGTCAAAAGACAGACAGAGTACGGTCAAAAGACAGACAGAGTACGGTCAAAAGACAGACAGAGTACGGTCAAAAGACAGACAGAGTACGGTCAAAAGACAGACGGACTACGGTCAAAAGACAGACAGAGTACGGTCAAAAGACAGACAGAGTACGGTCAAAAGACAGACAGAGTACGGTCAAAAGACAGACAGAGTACGGTCAAAAGACAGACAGAGTACGGTCAAAAGACAGACGGAGTACGGTCAAAAGACAGACGGACTACCGTCAAAAGACAGACGGAGTACGGTCAAAAGACAGACAGAGTACGGTCAAAAGACAGACGGACTACGGTCAAAAGACAGACAGAGTACGGTCAAAAGACAGACAGAGTACGGTCAAAAGACAGACAGAGTACGGTCAAAAGACAGACAGAGTACGGTCAAAAGACAGACAGAGTACGGTCAAAAGACAGACAGAGTACGGTCAAAAGACAGACGGACTACGGTCAAAAGACAGACGGAGTACGGTCAAAAGACAGACGGACTACGGTCAAAAGACAGACAGAGTACGGTCAAAAGACAGACAGAGTACGGTCAAAAGACAGACAGAGTACGGTCAAAAGACAGACAGAGTACGGTCAAAAGACAGACAGAGTACGGTCAAAAGACAGACGGAGTACGGTCAAAAGACAGACGGACTACCGTCAAAAGACAGACGGAGTACGGTCAAAAGACAGACAGAGTACGGTCAAAAGACAGACGGACTACGGTCAAAAGACAGACAGAGTACGGTCAAAAGACAGACAGAGTACGGTCAAAAGACAGACAGAGTACGGTCAAAAGACAGACAGAGTACGGTCAAAAGACAGACAGAGTACGGTCAAAAGACAGACAGAGTACGGTCAAAAGACAGACGGACTACGGTCAAAAGACAGACGGAGTACGGTCAAAAGACAGACGGACTACCGTCAAAAGACAGACGGAGTACGGTCAAAAGACAGACGGAGTACGGTCAAAAGACAGACAGAGTACGGTCAAAAGACAAAAGGACAGACAGACGGACCAAAATGGAACAGTCAAAATTGTCAAACTTCGCCAAAATTGGTTAAAGATGGCTTTATTTGACTTTTTTGTGAGAAGCTTTGTGCACTACTGATTTTTGAGATATTGTAGATCATTTTGAGTGCTATTGTAGATAAATATCGATTTCCAGGTTGTTGTCATCGTCGATCCAAACACAATCCCCACGAATTGTCGAGGCGAAAAGCAGCGTTATTTATTGAGAGATCAATTTCTGCAAGATAAATTAGACCCAATCTATGTGGCCTATAATATGTGAAACAAAACAAACAAATGAATACCGTAATATCCATAGTATCGTCACGTTCTGGCAAAGCGCATGAATAGGAGGAGTTTTTGGAGTTGTTGTTTTTTTAGAGCAGCAGCAGGAGCTTTAGAAAACGATAGCTACAGATATTACGGTTAGTTTTCCGTCACCAGGTTTACTACGGCTACCTCTTCTAGTTTTTGTTTAAACAGTTATACAACTCTATTATACAATTATACAAGTTGTTTCCCCGAAAATCACCTAGTCAGTTACAGCGTTTTGATATTTTTATCCTTTCTTAATCCTTTTTTTTTATCCTTTTTATCCTTTTTATCCTTTTTACCCTTTTTATCCTTAATTTCTTAATGTGGTCACATTTTTTTCAAAAAAATTACACTCTCTTAGGTGCCTTGCCATTTTGTTTTCCCTCTGAGCTTTCTTTTTGTTTTTCTATTTGTTGCCTTTTATACTTTTACAGTAGTTTTGTCATTTCTTTTGAGGCTTAACTGAATATCTTGAACTGGCCTATGGCAAAGCTGTATAGATATAGAGTAGACGTACGGTAAAAAGATTTACGGTACTATGAAACAGTGTAAGGTACAGCGGTGTAAGGTATAATGGTAATGCGGTACTAAAGTATAATCTTGATACTGTACTTTAGTTTGCTAAGGACATTAAATTGCTTAAGGAGTTGGCTAAGGACCATAAATTGCTTAAGGAGTTGGTTAAGGACCATAAATTGTTTAAGAAGTCGGCTAAGGACATTAAATTTGCTTAAGGAGTTGGTTAAGGACAATAAATTGCTTAAGGAATTTGCTAAGGACCATAAATTGCTTAAGAAGTCGGCTAAGGACATTAAATTTGCTTAAGGAGTCGGCTAAGGACATTAAATTTGCTTGAGGAGTTTGCTACGGACAATAAATTGCTTAAGGAGTTGGTTAAGGACAATAAATTTGCTTGAGGAGTTTGCTAAGGACATTAAATTTGATAATATCAATATGTATATGTCGTAGCCGATTATGAATGAGTGGGTCTAGGAGCGTCCAACCATCAAGTATTTGGTATCATTCAACGCAGAATCATTAATAATTATGTTAAATTTTTTAAATTAGAAAGATTGGATAAAAAGAAAAAAAATTATGGGGCCTCAAAGTTTCCTCTTGAACAAACAGTTTTTTTGCTCTAATTTTTTTTCTTTTTATCCAATCTTTTCTAATTTTAAAAATTTAACATAATTATTAATGATTCTGCGTTGAATGATACCAAATACTTGATGGTTGGACGCTCCTAGACCCACTCATTCATAATCGGCTACGGGGGTCCCGCCGATTTTGAATAAAACGTTGTAGCGCCGGTAATTTTTAACCTAAACTCACAAATTTGGTACCAATCGACGCAGAATTTAATTCGCTACAGGATGATATAATATTGTCCTCATACATTAAAGGGTTGCTCTACTAGAAAGATTTACCAAAAAATTTCATTCATAATCGGCTACGACATATAGACTTTAATTACTCTACGAAATTGAAAGATATTCAGTTGAGAAGAAAAATGGCTCAAAAACCTTTCACTCTTTCCCTTTCTCTGCCAAAACATCCACACCAGGGCCAAGTTTTGTTCGCACAAATGCTCATTTGCACTTGATTAGAATTTGAATGCAATGTATTCCCTAAAATGTAATCCTGTAATCCTGTAATCCCAAAAAAACACTAACTTCTGGATTTTTTAGTCATTCTACAGTCCTATAACTGAATTTATCTTTTTCTGGTTTATACTTTTTGTGTGTTTCCCCCAAACGGGTTTTCCTGTAAAATGTGTCCCCTTGATGAAAGATTTCTTGCACATAAATATTTCAAAATTTGTATTGAATTTAAATCACATCATAAAAGCAAAAAAAAAAACTTGAATTCAAAAAATGAATTTCAAATTAAATGTGCATTTAAAAGACAGAAATCACAAAAAAACTTGAAATTTGGGGAGTGGGACAAATGCGGGAGTGGGACAAATGCGACCTTTTTTTTGCGCACCTGGACATTTGCGCACCTTTTTTTTGCTGGAAAAGGCCTTAGGAAAGGCCGTAGAGCTTCGAAAATATTTCGAAAATTTGTCCATATAAGGGAATCGTATGCGTAGATTCCGAATTTCGACAAATCGGACCTCGCTGACACGTCAAATTTGGGCTAAAAGGCAAAAACTGCGGAAAAGCGTTAAGTTGCGTAGTTTTTGCCTTTTAATCCAAATTTGACGTGTCAGCGAGGTCTGATTTGTCGAAATTCGGAATCTACGCATACGATTCCCTTATATGGACAAATTTTCGAAATATTTTCGAAGCTCTACGGCCTTTCCTAAGGCCTTTTCCAGCAAAAAAAAGGTGCGCAATGTCCAGGTGCAAAAAAGGTCGCATTTGTCCCACCCCCACAAATGCTACCTTTTTTTTGCGCACCTTGTTTTTCGCACTTAGCCCATTAGCGCACCTTTTTTCGCGTTTTAAAAAAGCTCTAAAAAGCTAATATTAACCAATTTCTATTCCAAATGTTGTTTTTCTAGGTAATTTTAGGGCGTAGAATCGAAATTTTGACAATAACAGAGCTTGTGGAACCAATTTGAAAGACAAAACGGCTAGGTCAAATTACAGAAAATTGTTGATTTTCTCTTTGTATAACTCCGTCCCTTCGCTTCCACAAGCGCTGATATGTCAAAATTTCGATTCTACGCCCTAAAATTACCTAGAAAAACAACTTTTGGAATAGAAATTGGTTAATATTAGCTTTTTAGAGCTTTTTTAAAACGCGAAAAGAGGTGCGCTAATGGGCAAGGTGCGCAAATGCCCGGGTGCGCAAATGCCCGGGTGCGCAAATGCCCGGGTGCGCAAATGCCCGGGTGCGCAAATGCCCGGGTGCGCAAATGCCCGGGTGCGCAAATGCCCGGGTGCGCAAATGCCCGGGTGCGCAAAAAAAGGTAGCATTTGTCCCACTCCCGAGAAATCAAAAAAACTTGAAATTTGCGTGAAATTTGTATTTAAACATGAAAACTTTTGGGAAAAATAAAATCATTTATTGATCAATTTATCAATTTATTGATTTTACTCTACTCGTTTTCGCAACAATTGTTTTCTTGTCGACACTTGGATGAAATGTTAGATCAGACGTTTATAACGACGAATCACACGCTTCGAAGCATTCTTCAAGCAACTTCAAGCCAAAATCAAACGACTACAGATGATCAGACGACTTCAATGTGTAATATGGTTGGGCTTTTGAATGTTTTGCGAATGTTTTAGATTAATAATTAACCGTTTTTAAGAAAATTGAAAAAGATTGCTAACGGTAGACTTTAGGTTATTTAAGTTTAGATTTTAGATTTTAGATTTTAGATTTTAGGTTTAAGATTTTAGCTCTTTAGGTTTAAGATTTTAGGTTTTAGGTTTAAGATTGAAGGTTTAAGATTTAAGATTTAAGGTTTAAGGTTTAAGACAATTTAGCTTAAGTTAGCTTAGCTGTAAGAAAGTAATCGTTACCAGTGTTAGTAGCGTATCTTTTTTTGTATTCGTCAACGAGTTCCCGTTTGACAGGGCTGGAGTCTAGTTAAAGTTAGTCTAAAGCGTTAAATAGCATCTTTCATCCAATTAATTTGTGAAAAGGTGACTTTGGCTTAGAGCTCTAAGTTGCACTTAGTCCTATAAGCTCTAAGTTGCACTGAGAGCTTATTGGAAATTTTCTTAAGATTACCTAACCTATTTGTTTTTAGTTGGTTTTTAGCTTGTTTTGATTTAACTTTCATTTTTCAGCATCCAGCGCTCATCGTCATCCCCTACGTTCTCGAATTGATCGTGCTTTGTGTGTGGCTGACCGTTATAGTCATCGTTCACTTCACAAAAGTCTACAGGGTAAACATTTTATGTTTTGATTCAATTTAGAGAGAAATTACTATGCTTCAGCACCGCTGTTTGAACTTGATTTGTTATGTTGAACTAAATTTCTAGCTAAATTAAATTGTTAAGTTTCTAATGCATTAATAATTCAAATAATTAACGAGGTACTATTTTGCTAAGAATCTTTATTTTTAGGATGCGTATGACACGGTAACGATCCACCACAAGGTCCACAACACGAACGTCGAAAAGCAAAAGAAAGATTTCGAAATAGGGAGACAGGTAATGTTTTGATACTACTTTAAAGCGATTTGATGAAAAGATTAAAAGCTACCATGCTATTTAGTTGATTATGGCGTGAATTCAAACTTTGCAACTTTTTATGATCTCTATTTTAGACGAATTTCTTGAAAGGAGGCACTGTAGAGGCTGATCCAAAAGAAGTACCGGTGGATGAATTACCCGAGCTATCACCGGCTGGAACGAGTCTTCGATATGGTGAGTTTTAACTGTTTTTAGAGTAAATAATAAAAAGTTTTGTTTATCGCTATGTATTTTGTTGTGAGGATCTAAGGAAAACTGTTAGAATGTAATAATTAAAATTGCCTAAACAATATATTATCTTACGCTTAATTTTTATGATTTAGCTAGCACGATGAAGGTTCCAAGCATCACTCAATCGATTCAACAAAGTCTCCGCGCTCCATCTGTATACAAATTGATAGGTAAGCAATATTTCAACCACCAATAGATTCAACAATTTTTATTTTAGAAGCCGATGATCCTGGTGCGTAATCTCTTCTCGCGCTCTCTTTACTCGTCCCATCAACGAAAACGACTTGCTCAAAGCCTTTTTGAAATTACTTGCTTGCTACCTTACTTGCTATTTTGGAACTGATTGATTGTTTGAAAAATAAATATTGTGACGTGAATTGATTTTGAAAAACTGATGATCTGATCTCAGAAAATACCTTTATCACCAAATACAACGTCAAGAAAGCTTTGCTCTGTCGAGAAAAGCTCTGCTGTGACCCTCTGCGTCTCTTTTTTTGCAACCAATCCACCGTACTTGGTGACGTTTCACAAGCACACATCAAACTATAGATTATTCAATGTTATCCCAATTTCTTTATCCTTTTTTAATGAAAATTCAGCATGGACTTTTTAATCGCCTACGGTTCTCACACTGGTCAAGCTGACTCGATCGCTCATCAACTACAGGAAAAATGCGAGCTTTTGGGCTTTAAACCCAGACTTTTCTCGCTGGAAGAAAATGGAAAATCGGTTCCCCGGAATATTTTGTGACAAAAATAAGTGCTTTTTAGTTTTTCATAGAAAAAGAGTCCCTTGTTGTGGTGATTGTATCGTCGACTGGAGATGGAGATCCACCAGAGAATGCGGCTCGATTCTTGAGGAAAATCTCGGCTCGATCGCTTGATGCTAATTATCTCTCTGATCTTAGCTATGCCCTGCTAGGTGTTGTGTTTTGCATTAGTTAGACTCAAGCTTGCAATTATGCATCTGGAAAAAGCCTTGTCCCTTGAATCAAAAAGATACAGAATCCTTTTTCAGATTACCCTGTTTCTTTTACTGATTAAAACTTGAATTCAAATCTTAAATGACTTTATTCAGGTCTCGGTGATTCGAACTACTCGACGTATCAAGGGACACCGAGAAAAGTCGATAAGAATCTCGCGAGGCTTGGCGCAAAGAAGATCATCGACACTGCAGAAGCTGACGACGAAATTGGGCAAGGAATTTTTGCTTTTGAAATTTCAGTGTGAAGCTTCCAAGGTACTTTGATGGTTGGAAGGGGTCACTTTTATCCTGGCTTAGTTGGATCTAATGTTTTGAGTGGCTGTATTGCTACCTTTTATCTATTTTAGGTTAATCAAAAGACTAAATATTGGGTTGGTGAATTGAAAACTGCCGGCTATTGTCATATGTGACAGTTTGAGCACTTTCTTCAAAAGAAACCCATTTTGGTGTGAATGGAAAAGTTGTAGAGAAGCAAAAATCAAGCTTATATCCAAATTTTCCGAACGATTCAAAAACTGGTTTTCAAGAAATGCCAAATTTGCGAATTTTTACAAAACTTGCATTTTAAGCGAAACTACTAAGTGTATCTTTTTAGAAATTTGGCTATAAGCCTAATTTTTGATTCTTTACAACTTTTCTATTGACACCAAAATGGGTTTCTTTTGAAGAAAGTGCTCAAACTGGGACATCTCCAGTCCTTCATTTTTGAGTCTCACACACAAACTAAAATCCTACCACGAAAGAGGAATCCGCAAATTGCCTGTAAAATGGGCAGGAGTCGTCAATAATAATGGAAATTATTTGGAATGAATTGATGGTTTTTGTTGAATACATTTTAGTTCAAAGTCGGGCAGTTTTTAATTCACCAACCTAATAGATTGGTGACTAGTTTAGCAAGCTTTTGACAATTCTAGCCTAATCTCATGTACTTTAACCACCAAACGCTATCTCAAAGCTGCTTACACTTGAAAATCAAGTAAAAGCGGGAATATGAAACTTGAAACATGATGTAAATGCTCTAAAAGTATAAGCATATTTGATTACCCTTGAATAGGTAGATAAAAGGTATCAATACAACCACTCATAGATCCAACTAAGTCAGGATAAAAGTGACCCCTCCCAACCACCAAAGTACCGCTTTTGATTATTATTTAAAGATTATGATTTTCAAAATTTGATTGAAATATTTTAATATTTTAGACTTGAAGTGGTTGTCGAGCCGTGGATTGAGCGCCTCTTGAAAAAGTTGTGTGAGATTTTCGACATCCCACTCTCCAACCTCGACAATCTGCAAAGCACAGTGCCCAAAACGACAATAGCGAAACCGGTCGTGGATTTGAAGTTGAGCAAAATAAGTAAGAAAAGCGCGAGATTTGATGATTTTGAATTATGTTAGGCATGGGTGATGCTCCCGAAACCCCGTCGATCAAAGTTCTGAAGGCGAACGATTATGCATATCCGGGAGAAACGTCGTTGATCAAAGGTGATTCTTATGATTGAAATTTAAATCTACCCTTTGAGAAGTTTACTCGAAAGAAACTGATCTTTATTTTAAATATTTGTTTAAATACTTTAAAATCTTTTCTTTTCGGTTCATCAACCCTTTCGGCCGATGAAGCGCTACGAGTTCCCGTCTCACCGCTCACCTACCTGATTTCATCAGTGACCCACGAAAAGTTTGATCCGAAAAGCGTCACTTGGCAGAACGGAGAAAGATTTGTAGGCTATTGTTATTGTCAATTGCAATGTTAAAGTACTTTTGATCAAAATTCATAAAAAAATCAAAAATTAACATATCTTTGTGAGTAAAACTATTTTTGCACATTTCATTGCGAAATTATCCAATTTAGCCTGGAGCGCACGGAAAGCCGATTGATGTGACCGTTGTGGGTACTACTCTTTTAACCTCTCCCAACGCTCACAAACCAAAACGAGAAATCATCATCGATTTGGGAGAAAATTTGGATAATGCCAAGTAACTTTTTCTCAAAGTTTTTCAAAAAAACAAAATTCTTTTAGGTTTGAACCAGGCGATGCTTTTTACTTTCTTCAGCCTAATCCCGAAGAGGAAGTGAATTTCATCTTGGAAAGGTAAAAGTTAAAACGCTATTTAGTATAGAACACTCTTCTGGTAACTTATGACTTTTTAGAATGGGATTGCTGACTCTAGCCGATCAGAAATGCGGCGTTGAAGTGGATAAAAATGCTACAAAGCCGAATGCTGCTGTGCCCGGCTACATTCCACCAACTTCTTCACTACGTTACATTTTCACGCATTGTCTGGATATCAGAAGATCACCGGGAAGGGTAACTTTTGGCAAATCTAGATAAATTTGACAATATGATACGATTTCGTTGAAAACAATAAAATTTAGCCTGTTCTACGAATTTTCGCGGAGGCAACCGAGGATGAAGCCGAGAAACGTCGCCTTTTAGAGCTTTGCTCGGCACAGGGAATGGCTGAGTTTACGGCACATGTTAGACAGGTGAGTTTTGTGATAAAAATTTCAAGTTTGAGTTATTTAAAGAAGTATTATATTCATTTAGGCGGCAGTTTCAATAGTGGATGTATTACTTGCGTTCCCAGGAGTACGACCGAGCCCCGAAAGATTGATGGGTACGTTCATTTTGCTATAATGTTAATCATAAGGTGAAACAACTACAGGCTTTAAGCATCTCCTCATTTTAGAACAATTGCCTCGTTTGATGCCTCGACCTTACAGTGTTGCGAATTCCTTTGAGCGTTGTAATGGAAGACCGCGCTTCATTTATTCACAAGTTGGTTTCTTTACTTGCAACCAAATTTCATAAAATAATTTTAGCTTGACTTTGCTGATGCGGATGGACGGCGATATAAGAGACTTGGGCTAGCTACAGAGTGGCTAAATTTGTTGAGAGTCAATGATAAGATACAGGTAGCAAACTTTTTAGAATGTAATGAGGATGTAATCCGTTTGTCATATGTATGAGATTCAAGACTAAATTCAAATATTTAGGTGATCATGAAAGAGCCGAGCCGTTTCCGTTTACCGCCTCCGCCACTCACATGGAATGATGTCTCGTCGATGCCTTTGTTAATGATCGGACCTGGAACGGGTGTTTCCACATTTTTGTCGTTCATGGATAAAATATTGTGGGTTTTTTGTCAAACACTTTTTATTTTAAACAAGATTTTTCATAAACATTCTTTTAGGCACGAAAAACTGACGAATGGTCAACTAGAAACGGTGCCTCGACTTTTGTTCTTCGGATGCCGCACTTTCGAGAAAGATTACATCTGCAAGTCGGTTTTAATTATATTAGTTATAACTGTAAACTAAAAGAAGACTTTATTCATATCTTTTTTTAGAAACGAGCTCGAATCTTATGTGAGAGAGGGAATCATCGACGAGCTGATCACTTGCCAAAGCCAGCCCACGAAACCCGTTTCAGATTTGGACAAATATGTTCAAGAAGCATTAAAACGACGAAGTGCTCAGGTTTTTGTTTGATTTAAGAAATGTTTAGTCAAAAAGGTATTAAACAATCTAAGCGTTGGAGTTAATGCGTTTTTTAGATCTTCTCTTTTCTCGAGTTACCGAAGTCTCGTGTTTTTGTCTGCGGTGATGCGAAAGCGATGAGCAAAGATACGTGGGAGTGCTTTGTGCAAATTTTGGTGCAAAATAAAGGTAAAATTTTTATAAAATTATTAACTTTAGATCTTTTCCAGGCTGTACGGATATGGAGGCACGAGCATATTTGAACGAAATGAAGAAAAACGATCGATATGTGGAAGATGTTTGGGCATAATTTTAGCTTTGTCTCTTTTTTGAATTCTGTGATACTTTTTTGAAAGTGTGCCTTGTGATTATTATGTTGTTTCGTTAGCTAGAAAATAAATGTTGAATAGAATGATTTTTTATCAAATTTAGTCTGAATGTAAATGCATAAATACCTATAAATGAAGATTTTGAAGATTGGAGAATATGAAAAGCTTAGATGCGAAATTTGAGGATAACGGATGCTGTGATAGCTACGTTCGATCAAAATGAGGAGTTTAGAGGTTGGGAATTATTTTCCTTGGTGTAAATCTCAATGTTTGAACTCACTAATAACAAAGAGCAAACTGAAACTGAAAGCAACTGAAAACTAACACAAACATGAATATTTCGATTCTTAATTATGTATCCGATTGATCGATTTTATCCCAGTGCAAAAAGATCACGTTAATATCAATTTTTCTGTATGCAAGTAGTTTTTTTTGCCGTTCAGTTCTAAACACGTAAACAATTTAGATTGTGAGAAATTGATAGACGATTTCTCGACGGGAGCCGTTTTTGTGGCCACGAGAAAAGCCCTGATCTTCTTGGATGAGAAATTGCAGGTAAACTATTTGTGCTGACCTTTAAAATATCAGTGTTTTAGCGAATCGCCTCCCTCAACTGGAGTGATGAACGAGGAAGCACAAACTTAGTCGACCTTCACTTCATGGCCGAAAATGATGAACTCTACGCAGTTTTCGAGAATGGAATCGTGTTAACAATTTCAGTGGCATCAAAAGAGGCGAGGCAACGTTTACTAATCACTAAAATATTTGGCACTTGTAAACAAAATTTGTAAATTATTCCTGGCTTCAATTAAAAATCCACTTTTTAGTTGATCAACGATGCGGCCCTTCTGGGATGTGAGGTACGCGCGGCCGGATGGAGTCCCGATAACGAGAATCTGGTCGTTGTTGGGGATGATCTTGTTTACTACTTTGGTTTGGAGAAAAAATACTTGTAAAACTCGCAAGTTTTTAGATCGAATGCTCACGCTTGTTGCTGAGAGTCCACTAATCGGCGAATCGAGGGGAAAAGATGAATTGGTGACAGTGGGATGGGGAAGTCGAGAGACACAATTTCAGGGATCAGTTGGAAAGGTAAAATTTTGGCTATTAATTCTCAAATTCTACAAATAATTCTCAAATTTTATTTAAAAAGAAGACTTTAAATTTAGGATGCTCGAAACAAACGAGAAGTCAACCGAAAAGCGTATGCCGACGATTCGGGAGAGATTTATGTTTCTTGGCGAGGCGATGCTCAATATGTAGCCATCTCCTATTTGGATTGCTTGAATGAGGAGCGACGAGTGGCTGTAAGCGATTACCAGTTTTTAAAAACAAAAAGCTATTCTTGTGTTTCGTTTCATCACATCATTTTCAGATTTTCAATCGAGACGGTGAGTTGATGAGTCGACTGCAAAACGATTTCTCACTCGAAGCCGGAGTTGCGATGAGACCATTTGGGAACTATATTGCAACAACAAGACGACATGAAAATGGTATGGTAACTTTAAAGCAAACTATTCATCAATTTTAGGCTCTCGTTCCATGTGCTTCTTCGAACGAAATGGAGAATTTCGACACGAGGCTCGCCTGTTTGGAGAAAATGGGATAAGAAAACGCTTTCAATGGGACTCCGAAGCATCGGTGTTAGCATTCGAAATGAAATGTGATGAAATGACATATTGTAAGTTTGTCTTGGAGCAGTTTGACCATCCAACTATACTGCTTTTAGTGGAGCTTTGGGTCGTTAGTAACTATGATTGGGCGATGAAGTTACGGATTTCTTTTCACGAAGGTTTGTGCTTTTTTAAGCACTTTAATTTTCACTTTTAGATATAAAAGCTTGGCATTGGTCCTCTACACAAGCGAGACGATTGTGGATACTGGAGGAAACGGGTTTGAGAAGAATCGACTTTTCTTTGGATTACGATGTTGTTGATGGAGTTGTGATCGCTATTGCTACAGGTATGCTAAAAATTGGGCTTATAGTTTGTGCATATTGACTTGTCTAATTCAATCTTCCTACTTTAATTTTGAGATTCTCTTCGTGTCACCGATTTGGCCAGGGCCCCAGTCCCTCCACCGCTGTGCAATTACTCGTTGAAACTTCGATCTCCTATTCAGCTACTTATCCACCAAGAGAAAGGATTAGCCGTTGTCTATGATGATTTCACCATTCAATATTGTAAGTAATAGTAAAAATACAAAGTAATATTTTGATATTCAGGGAAAAATACCGTTGATGGATTCCAAAGTTGTGCCTTAGTTACTCCGAAATTTGACGTCACTATGCCTAAAACTGCCACAGCGGGCACGTTTTGTGGGGATTCCATTGTGTTGGCGTTTAATGAACCCGGAGGATCTTTGATCAGTTATATCGACAAAGACGGAACGATAGAAAGGTGAGCTTTTGAACATTGAGTGACCAAATATGTATTAAAGGCATGTAGTTTTTATAAAATAGCATTTATAGATTCGAACATTTTGTAAAACAGATTTTAGGACCTCTCGAGTTGAGCACTGTGTAACTGGATTGCGGCAAAGCGGCGACAACAATTTGATTGCCATTTTGGCAACCGGAGAACTCGTGAATGTCAATGAGAAAAGAACGGTTTACAAGCAATCACTGCCCATTTCTCGATTCGAGTTTTATCAGGTAGAAAAGGTAATTGGAAATGCACATACATCTTTTTTAGGATCACTTGCTCGTTCTTGCGTCGAATCGTTTATTTGTTGACAATCGAGAAATTGCAAAAGATGTATTTTCGTTTCTTGTCCGGCAATCTATGGTAGGATTTCAACTTTTAAAAGAAAATAAAATGATTTTAGATTCTTTACATCTCTTTGTCGTCGAAGTTGTGCATTTTGGATGCAAATAATGCGTATCGGCCTTTTACTGAAGGTAAAGTGTCTTGTTTTTTTGACAGATGACCAAAAAATATCGTAAATTAGTTCATAACAAATTGACTTCTTTAGAAAGAGCTGTCGAAGCGGGGAGCCTCTTGGTGGGATGTGCTCGCGAGCCAGGCACCTCGGTAGTGATGCAAATGCCTCGGGGAAATCTTGAAATGATACATCCACGACGTTTTGTTGTTCAATTGATCAAAGTAAATGACTTTTTGCTCAACAATTTCGGATTGGCTAATACTTTTTATTTAGACCCAAATCAATGCTCGTCAATACGCCGATGCTCTCCGTTTCATGAAAAAGCACCGTATCGATATGAATCTCTTGGTGGACAACGATCCAGAGGTTTTCTGAGACAAAAGTATCTTTAAAAATTTAAACTTTAGACGTTTTTGAAGAACATTTCCCTAATTATTCGAAGTGTTCGCGATGCCGATTTGTTGAATCTCTTCTTGGCTTCACTCAACGATGCACCGTCGGAGTGGATTGAGAAAAAAGAGTGCATACCGAGAAAGGTTTTTAGGCACAACTTTTGCTTACTTGAAGATTTTTAGGTAGAAACGATTTGCTCAGCATTTGTCGAATCTTTCTTGAATTTGCCGATTGAGACACGATTGGAAATGTTCACCGTACTTCTCTCAGCTCTCCTTCGTACGACACCACCGCAAATACACGAAGCACTGAAGTTTTTGAGGGAGCACTCATTGGAAGGTAGTAATTGTTAAATAATTTAAATTTTTTGGTAGAAATTGCTAAATATACATTTTAGTTCCAACGGAAACGCGCGAGAAAACGACTCGTCGCTGGCTTCATCACATCGGTTTCTTCGTCGAATCGAAGATGCTTTTCTCGGCTGCTTTGGCCACCTATGACCTACTCTTGGCCACCCAGGTAAAATTTGTTTAATCTAAAACCGTTACACGTCTCAGTTACTAATTTATTTCATTCAGGTGGCAGAGGCAACGAACGCCGACCCGAAAGAATTTTTGCCACTTTTGAATCGTTTGAGAAAGGTGAATTTATCAAGAAAAAAGTTCAAAGGTTATGAATGTTTAGATTGAACCGACCGAGTATCGACGTTACCACATCGATTTGTCGAGAGAGGACTGGAGAAGTGCGCTCTCGAACATTGCACAACTTGATGAGAAATTTGATGAAGCGCTGGAGTTGATACGACAACGAGAGCTATATCCGGATGCTTTGATCATCTATCAGAAATTGCCACGTTATAAGGTTGGTTGCGCTTGCAAAAATCTTTGATGGTGTAATTTTTTTTACGGTCACTTTTAGGATATTTGCGCATGGTATGCTTCCTTTTTGGAGGCAAAAGTGAATTGGATGGATGCAGCATTGCTTTATGCGAAGGCTCACAAATTTGAGGATCAGTTGAGGTTTGTGTTAGTTGTATTTTTTAAAAGTCAATGCTTTAGATGTCTAGAAAAAACCCGTGAACCTCTGGAATATTATGAAGTTGCGCAAAAAGTGGGGAGAAGCAATGAGGAGATTACGGTAACTATTTATAATTATAGATATTGTGTAGTAATGGTTTAGATAAAACTCCAAGTTATCCTCTTTTAAAACCGAAATTTAGATAAACCTTCGCAAGATGAGCGCTGCTTTGAAGTCATCGAACAACTGGGAAAAGCTGGCAATCGCTTTGTCATTGATAGTGAGTTTATCTAGGGTTCATCATCCACAAAATAACTTTAGTCCTCGCCAATTTCCGAGATTTGTGATGTTTATTGCCAAGCGGGTCATTGGGATAAAGCAATCGATAAAGCTGGTGACGAAGAAAAAGGTATGAGTAAAGATTTGTGTTTTACAAAATCACTCCTTTAGCGAGCTCTCATGTGCATACTTCGATTGTCGACAAAGCTGAGCGACTCCTTTCGACGGCCAACGCAAAATCGCAAGAATTGAATCGCTTTGTGGAACGCTTGAAGACGGTGAGAAAGACGAAAGAAACAAGGATTGGCAATTTGAAGGTGAGTTTTATATAACTTTCTAACACAAAGCACTAAAACAATCAAAAATTTGTATGCTTTAATGAATCTATCAAGTTTAGGACGGAATCGAAGACGGGCGAGATTTGGAGAACATCGACGCTTACAGTGAGGCGAGCACGATGAGTGGAATGAGCAAACGAACCGGAAGTAGTCGAGCGTCAACTACGGTAGAGTTTTTAATAGCTACAAACAAAATATGCTTTGAAATTTCTAGGCAACTGCCCGCAAAAGAAAAGCTATTGAGAAGAAGAAACGAAATCTGAAAGAAGGCGGCGAATGGGAAGATGCGGCGATTCTTTTGGCTGCTCATGAGATCTACACAACCCTTGATGATGTGATACGTAAGTATCTTCTATTGTTATTGCCAATATATAAAAGATCTGTGAATTGATTATCAAAAGAAAGAAATTATGCATTCTAGTTAAAGTTTAAATTATTTTTGACAAGTACAATCTCGATAATATTTTTCTTAGGTGACACCGCAAACATTCTGAGGCCATTGGTGAGATTGGGAGAAATATCTTTGGGCGCTTCTCTACAATTGGCCATTTCCCGATTCGAGACCCAATGCCAACAACTCTATTGCGTTTTCTGGCCGCATCGACTCGCGCCGTGTAATCTACTTGGACCATTGCATCATATTGTAAGTTGTTTGTTAAAATCTGGGTACTAGCTATTCATTTTCATCCATATGTCATAGTAATAGATAAGAGATAAGATAAGAGCGAAATAGTATTAAAAGCACCTTTGAACAGAGTTAAAAATCAATCTTTTTAGTACACGATTGATCACGTCTTCTCCCCACCTGACGCAAATGGAATGCCATCATCTTTTGTTCTAGGTAAAGTGTTAGATTATTTTGGCTTAGATTAAAATAAAATCAATACTGGTTGAATCTGAATATTTAGATTTAAAATCACTAAATCAATTTTTAAGGAAACTTTTTAGAACCAGAGCTTTTGCCTCCGAAGATGAGCACGATAGCCTGGAAGTTGTCGATTTTGGAAGGAACGCCATAATTCGGATCTTGTATCTGCTTTTATTGTGATAATTTTTTGTTATTGTTTTCTTTTTTGTTATGCTTGTTATTTTTGTTTTGTTGATTTTGTTAAAAATTTGACTTTTCAATAAAAATTTTGCTATTAGTGGACTTGAAATGGAATGATTTGAATCAGTCTTTATCTGAAATTAAATTGCTATTGGAAATTGCCACTTTTCGACTTCGTCCAAAGTTTTTGTAATTTTTTGTTTCTTTAGGATGCCCGAACACAGTCGAAGTGCGCTCATCTCGGTGGCTTTGGTTGTTGGATTTATCGCCGCTGGACAGGTGCACTTTAATTCGTTATGGATCTTGAAGATACAGTGCTACGTCCAAAAGTTGTTTTACTGCCGTCTTCAAACGTTTTGTCGTTTTTTTGAGTGATGCTAATCGGTACTTGACAAAAACCAAAACCAAATAGCACGTCAGTGTTACGAGTTTTACCAATCAATTGTCTTTCTTTAGGTATTCAAGCCGATTCTCTCGGCGTCTCGTGGTGGTGCGCTGTGTGCTGGTGGATTGGGTGCCCTCGTCTTTGTCTACTCGCTCACCGCCGTCAGCAACTATCAAATGGCCACCCAGGGATATCAGGCGCAAGTCGGACTTGCTGAGGTTGGTTGAAGAATTCTTGAATTGATTGATTATTAATGGAAGATTTGACAACATTTCAACATTTCAGGCGCTGATCTGTCTTCTCATTTCGGTGATTCAAGCGGCTCTCGTGCATCGCGTCGCCGGCACAATCACGATTCTCATCTCGGGAGCTCTCCTCTATTTTGTGATGGGTGCAAGTCAGGTACGTTAAGCCAATTTTGTCTAATTATTTTTCTCATTTCTAGAGCGCTTATGGAAAAGATATGAAAGGGCAGACGACCGCCGCTCAAAACGCTGCCAAAAAGAAGAAATAAGCCGCATCTTTCCTCAACTTTCTTTAAATGTGTTTAAGTGTTTAAGGTCTTTGTATTTACGTGGTATCCTCAGCTCTCTTTTCTCTTTTCTGTGATATTTGCTTTAATTATTTTTGGCTTTAAGTTTTTGTTTTATTGGAGTGGCGTTATTGTTAGGTGATAAAGTTGGGACAGCAGTTCGCCAGTTATTCGTAACTTCAAAACAAAAATTTAACAGGTGAAAGGACAAGAAGGTTACGAAAATCCTTGAATCGCTGAGGTTTTCTGAAATTTTTATCACTTACAACAAACAATTCAATAACAGCCCCTAGAAATTAAAAACACTCAACTAACAATCTAAAAGTCTTAACTCAAAAATAATAGATAATGGACAGAAAGAACATCAAAACAAAGCACAGAAACATCCTAATTTTTCTTCTCGTTGGCGGTGGCGAGATGTCCGTGAGTTTTTGGATGCTCCTGAGCCATTTCCTCATCAATTTCTTCGAGGAACGTCTCCTAGAATAAAGATATTGAAGCCGCGCATGGTATACCCGTTTTTGGATTAAAATATAACATCTCTGACAGGTGGCAATTTGTTTAAACTTCCCCACACAAAAGATCAAATAATTATCTATGTTTAATTGTTTTGAATTTTAAAATGACTCACCTGGCGAACAGCGTACATCGTGTAGTAGTATATGCTCACGACAACTCCTATCAAAACGACCATTCCGATGATATTCTTATAATTCTTCTTAAAAATGTCCTTGATTCGTTCCTCGTTTATCTAAAAGAAACTATTGTAAAAACGATAAATTGAAAATTTTCAACCTTTTCAAATTGTTTCACGAAGCGTTGCTGAGCGCGAGGTAGATCTTCGAATTTCACGGTTTCAAGCATGTCCGGATCTTTGGATTGATATGTCTAAAGTCGAATTGAAAAGTACCAATAAAGTATTAGAGATAAAAGCATTAGTTTTGCGAAAAGCTCACCCGTAATGCTTGTGACGATTTTGGACCCAGTTGTGGTGTATCCGAGCTGCCCTCCGACGACGAGGCGGCAGAAGACTTCCAGCGACAATAGACGATTCGTGCTCTCAACGCCGCCTGTCGCCCCAACATCGTTTGTGAATACCTGAAGTTAAAGATTCCTATCGAAAATGGAATTTTAGCCAATGACATAAATCTCATCAGTTGAAACTGCATTTTTATTACCAAAAAACGTAGAGCTGTTCCACTGCATTCCAGTAATGATTCAGAAGTAAGGAAACTGGTCAAATATTCCAAGTCAGCAATCCAACTTTTCAATCCATTGCTTCATAGATTTAAAATTCCAAAAATTTATTTAAAACATTAATTACAAAGAAATATTAAAATCACAAAGCAACCAGTATCCCTGGACTAAAAGTGAAATAAAGAAACAACATAGCAAATGCCAAGAAAACGTACAGAGAAGAAATAGCAAAGATGAAATGACGTAATTTGAACAAGAATTATTATTCTTTCTTCAGCTCCTTCATCGCCTTCTGAATGGTCGCGCTTCGCTCGGGAATTGGTGGATGGGAGTGATTGCACATCGAGTATAGCCAATCATCAATTGGAAGCGACAGATTGTCCTTGCCAAGCTAAAAATACAGTCAATTTTCTAGTTGAAACCAGGAAGACATTTATTGTTCGATCAAAAATAAGATCTATCTTATTAAAGTCTTAAAGTCACCTTTGTAAGTGCACTAATTAACTGCTTTCCAAAGCCCAATTCCACAGCAAAGTCGTCGGCTTGGAACTCCAGTTTTCGTGTCAAAATATTCATAACCGTTGAAATAACCTAAACAAAATGAAATAACAATACTCAACAAAAATTTCTCACCTGATTATAGAGCGCCATCACGTATTGGAAGACGAGAATAAGACCGACAATAGTTGGTTGATCCTTAAAGCCAAAAGCGGTATACAACAAATCCCATCTAAAAAAGAAATATTGATGATTGTTAGAGTAAAATTAAACGCACTTGTAAAAGTAAGCAAACACGGCAAGCTGGAAGAGAAGATTCAACTCAACTAAAAGTAAATTTGTTTAATTGATTCAAATGTTTTCATCAAACTAATATACTTTGGGTTGCTTTCGAAATTTTGCTTGTTGCTCCCAAACAAAAACCAACCAATGATAAGATTCATCATCGTGTGCCCAAATTTCCAATGTCCAAGCTCGTGCCCCAGAACAGCAACCACTTCATCCGACGTCATTCCACGGTCTTCGGCAAGAATCTATAAAGATTTGACTTGAAACCAAGCTGTTGTGTCTACCTTTTTGCATTCTTCTTCGTCAACTCCGCACTCCTTGACAACTTTCTCCAACTCCTCACCACTCAAAAGTGTATCGTAGAGGACAATCCGTTTATTCTTCCAGAAACCATACATGTAGGCATTACTGTGAGCGGAACGTTTCGATCCTAAGTATAGAATACATTTTTACACTAGAAACAAAGCCCAACCATGAACGACGTATAGCTTAGTGAGTGGATAATGTAAAGAGGCAGCCAATTTTTCGATGTCCGTCTTCAGAGCTCCTTCTGGCAATGGAATGTACTAAAGGATGACAGTTTGTAAATTCGTGATTCTCAAACCTTGTCAAAAAGTGGAGCAATAAACTCTGGATAGATTGTGAGAAGAAGAAAGATGACAATCGACAAGAAGATCCACACGTAGACGAAGAAATATGGGCCTCCATTATCGACGATCCATTCAACTCCGAGAAGCACAGGAGATCCGAGGACTAAATAGAAATGCCTAAAATAAGTTAATATCACTACAATTCACCGAAAGTTAATCCTAATTTCTTGATTTGATCCGTGAAGTAGAATCCGAGCGTTTGCTTGTTGAAACCATGTAACTGTTCGATCACGAAAGTGTCATACAATTGGAAAGGCAGGCCGACTATCTAAATAAACTATTAAATAGTCTAAGAGCTTTATTGTACCGTATCTAGAAGAATTGAGCTCATAAAGAAGGCGACAGTCGGCAGTGGATAACGAGAAGAGAACTCCCAAAGAAGAGGAAGTACACCATAGAGAAGAACAACCTAAAATTTCATTATTATTTAAGAAGAAAACGGTCAATTCACTGTTGTTTGTAACTGGCCGAAAATTCCGGTGAAAAATCCAAAGCGGTGTTTGTCCAATTTGTAAGCGCGCGCTTTTGCAAACGCCTCTTCAGTGATGATTTCCTAAATTTTCAAAATTTTTCAAACAAAGAACTGTTGATCAAATAATTTATCTAGTATTAACTTTCACAAAGTTTACCTGCACAGCTGCAGGCCTCTTCTCAGTATCTCGATGAACGCAATATTGTCTCCAGTCGAGAAAAGTCTCCCACAAGAAGAGGACCCAATTCAGGCTGAGAATGCCCGAGAAAAGGCTTCGTGATGTGAGCATCACCCCTAAATGAAAATAGTGATTAACCGTTTACACATTCAAGAAACACTTTCCTAAAAACACTCCCACATCTTTCTCAGTTTTTTTATCGCTCAATTTCTCCTTTTCTGATATTTCAGGGATTTATGGCCCAAATGCATAGCTTTCATTACTTTTAAAATCAACTTTTATTCATCAGCATGATTTAAAACTAAAATAAAGAGATAAAACAAGAACAAGATCAGCTTTTACAAGAGAATGGTCAGAAGTGACCTTAAGATTTCGGCAGTAAAATAAGATGCAAATATGGAATATGGCGAGTACGATGGCGCTTTCAGATTTTCCTATGCACCGCTAGTTCGTTTGTTTTCGAGAAAAACGGCTTTGAAGAAATTTCGGCGTTCACTCGAAAACGAGGCACCTTCTATAAAAGGACTTCTTTTGGGCAGACGAAATGTGTCCTCGTGGTCAACGGGTAAAGTCCTCACCTCCGGTTTTTGCGACCCTGGTTCGCTCCCGGCCAGCCCCATTTTATGTATTTCAAGGGTTATAGATTATTCATAAAAGTGTCGAACAGTGGCGAAAAAATTAGTTTAAAAGTTCTATAACCTTTGCAATATATAAAATACAAAATTTGGGAAAAAACAAAAAAAATGTCGCTGGCCGGGACCCAACCAGGGTCGCAAAAATAGGATACGAGGACTCCACCCACTGACCATGAGGACACATTTCCTCTGGCCGAAACAAGTACTTTTGTCGAAGTGTGCCTCGTTTTCGAGTATACGCCAAAATTTGAAAGCCTCTTTTCCGGAAAACTAGCGATCCTTAGCAAAATTCGAAAGCACCATCGTATTCGATAGGCGTTTGCATCTCATTTTGATCCCGAAATCTCACGATCACCTCTGACTATTCCCTTGTTAGTGAAAAGTATCGTAAATATTCTAATAGAAGAGGCGGCCCTTCTATTTTTCTATGTCCCTCTAAAATTCTTTTTCGCACCCTAGCTACAATATACCCAATTTTCAAGAGCGCAAAATGGGTATTGTCATTTGGGTCAAAATGGGTATTTTCAAAATCCGTTTTCGAAGTCATTAAGCTTTTTTAGTCTATAACTATTCTTTGAAGCCTTTAAAAAGTTGAGCATTTTGCTATCCGAGAGTTCAAAAATCTAAAAAAATTGAAAAGTTTTGTCAAAGGGGCTCTTCTATTGGAATAAATACGGAAATCATAAACAACAGAAAGGTAAGATTGTCGCTCAAAGGAAGTATAAAGCCAAATCGTTATAAACACCGAGCAATATGGGCCGAGAACAAGAAACAATAAAGCCGGATTTCAAGAAAGTAAAATCAAAAGAAGAAACTAGGTGATTAGATCGAGAAAGATTGGTGAAATCATTGGAACCCTCGTAGCCGAACTTGAATCTGAATAAATGCTAATTGCCTTTGAAGAAATACAAGCTAGGTATACCGGTTAATCTCTTAAATGTCGACCAACTCAGTGGGAAGGGTCGCCTTGGGATGTTTGTTCTCAAAGTGCTGCTTGTAGGTCTTTGGATCAGGCATCTAAATAAAAGCACATCGTAACGCGACATTGAATAACTTTAAAAAAACGATAATTTCTCGTAAAAAGTACCTGTGCAAAGCAGACCGTGCATTTGTGATGAAGAGCCTAAAATAAAGATATAGATCGCGAATTTGATTTTTAAAACGCGTGTTGTCAATTCACTTTTTGAATTATTGAAAAGTTCCGCCAAATTTCCTGTTTTTAAATGCAAATTTAACATTTCTTAACATAGTAAATACCTGTTTTGGCTGTTTTTTAGCTATTGACCACCCAAATTCTTAGAAACAACTAGATTCTTACTCACAGTTATTTCTAATTTTTCTAATCTAATTAAGCACCACGTGGAGGTTGCTAAATAGCTCAGCATGTGGCCCTAAAGTCAATGCTCGAAGTCTTGATCCAATAGAAGTATTTTGGCACTGAATTCTAGTAAAATTAGATCCTGCAATTATTTATCGTATTTCCAGCCATAGTTGTTCAGCCAGCCATAGTGGAAGATAAATCAGGAAACTTTTCTGATTTTTCGAAATGCTTTTATAGATTTTGGGCTGAGTAAGCGGGACTTGGCATCCTACCAAGCTCCTTTGCATACAAAATGTTAAATTTGCATTAGCAACCTCCACGTGGTGCTTTGTAGAAACAACTAAATCCTTACTCATAATTAGTTTAAGAATTTGGGTGGTCAATAGTTAAAAATTTTTAAAAAACAGTCTAAACGGGCATTTACTACGTTAAAAAAATGCTAAATTTGCATTTAAACACATAAACTTTGTTGGAACTTAAATTTTTATAGTAGTTGAGGGGGGGGGGGCAGTTTGCAAACATCAGCTTTTCCGAACTTGCCACTAGTTTTAAAAAGTTTTTCTGGGGTAATTAATTGCACTGAATCCATTAAAAGCATTTACAAAACATTCTGAACAACTTTTATGCCAGTTGGAATAAAAATTAGCAAGTGTGGCTCTATTTCCACTGGGTTTAGAGGTGCGGGACCGAGTTAACAGGCTGAAAATGTTAGTTACTGGTTGATATAGCTAGAAAACAGTCGCTAAAACTTAAACAAATACCAAATTATGAATTTACACCACTAAAAACCCTATCAGCAAAAATTAGAGCGCTCTGGCTCAATAGAGACGTACCTTCCCAACTTTATTAGTTCCTTATCTTTTAGAGTCAATAGTCAAATCAATGTTGAAACTAAGTTGTATTTAAGAAAAAGAGAGGCGTACGTTTTGCGCAGCGGACTTCTGATCGTGGTTCGCCTGTTTCTTCGCCTGCTCGATTTTCTTCGCATTCTTTTGCTGCGATTGAATCTTCTGTTGTCCACGAGCCATTTTATCTAAAAGAGAAAAATAGCAACATTAGAAGTTAATGTCAAAAATGTGAAAACAAATAAATACAAGCCGATCAACTGAAATGCGGCGAAAATCCAAGTGACAATGGTGTGCGAAAATTCTTTATTTATACTAAAAATCTCTGCGCCAAAGATAATTAAAAACCCAGCATAACAATTGAATATCTTTTTCGGCAAATGCACCTATAAGGATTGGCTAGAAAACTTTTTTTATTTATTTCATTCATTTGCAAAATTGCTTCGCGGGGAGTTGAGCTATCGCAGATCACTTTTACCGTATTTCTTCGAATAGAAGACCGGGTAAAGAGTATCATCGCGTACTCCTGCGTAGCAGCCCTTTTTAAAATTTCTTTTCTGCATAAAAGCTTTCAATCAAGTGCTATAGAGCTGGAAAATGACTCAAAAATGGGAGTGGGACAAATGCGACCTTTTTTTGCGCACATTTTTTTCCGCACCTTGCCCATTAGCGCACCTTTTTTCGCGTTTTAAAAAAGCTAATATTAACCAATTTCTATTTCAAAAGCTGTTTTTCTAGGTAATTTGAGGGTGTCGAATTCAAATTTTGACGTAACAGAGCGTGTGGAACCAATTTGAAAGACAAAACGGCTAGGTCAAATTACAGAAAATTGTTGATTTTCTCTTTGTATAACTCCGTCCCTTTGCTTCCACAAGCTCTGATATGTCAAAATTTCGATTCTACGCCCTAAAATTACCTAGAAAAACAACTTTTGGAATAGAAATTGGTTAATATTAGCTTTTTAGAGCTTTTTTAAAACGCGAAAAAAGGTGCGCAAATGTCCGGGTGCGCAAAAAAAGGTCGCATTTGTCCCACTCCCCTCAAAAATACCACATGAGCTAACAGATTTTTGAGCCATTTTCCAGCTCTATAGCACTTGATTGAAAGCTTTTATGCAGAAAAGAAATTTTAAAAAGGGCTGCTACGCAGGAGTACGCGATGATACTCTTTACCCGGTCTTCTATTCGAAGAAATACGGTATATTGTTGAGAACATGTGTTGTACAAGTAAAACCACGAAAATATCAAAGAATTATCTCAAAATAAAGTTTTTGAATGAAACATTGCGGGGGAAATGTTGCGCAATATTGCGAAATCACATCATTTTGTTGAAATTTGTGCATTGATGTTCAAAATTGCCACCAGAGCCGTTTAACAACCAGGGAATGCAAAGAAAATACAATTTTTAAACTCATAAATTGGAGAGAATTGTAGAACAAAGTTTGTGCATGGATTTTTACATAAAAAGCCGCCGCTCGATCGTTCCTTGTGGGTCAATCTGCAAGTTTTTCTTGGTTTTCTTTGTTTTCTTGATTTTCTTGGTTTTCTTGGCTTAAAGTTATGAAAAACTTGGTTTCAAATTTTAGACAGCTTTCAAGTAGTTTCCAGTTTACATTTCTTTGTTTTTCATTTCATTTGAAGTATACATTTCTTGAGGACTTACGTGTATATTTACAAACGGATCGTTCAGCATAGCTCGAGCGTTTGGCCGGTTTCGATCGTCGAAGTCGAGGCAAAGATCGAGGAAATGTCTGGAAAAGAGATTTTCTTTTCCAGGAAAAGGAGAAGAGTGAATGAAAGTGGATTTTGATTGGCTCTTACAATGATGGACTTAGAAACAGCCCTGTAATGAGACAATGAAAGGTCTATGAGACAATGAAAGGTCTGCAGTATGCTTTAGGCTCCATTTTGACTGCCTGGCTCTTGTTTTACCTCAAAATTGGCGGGCAATTGTTCGGATAGGCTGGTCGTTTCCTGTTGCCCAACCACAAAGCGATTTGGTACATATCGCATTTGTCCCACGGGCGGCGACCGGTCACCTAAAAAGTTGATTTCTATTGTTGCTATGCTTATTCTAACCAATAACTATTGCCTTTATTAGATTCAAATTATCCCCTAAACAGCGGAAAACGCTCACTAACGTCCGCGTTTTCCGCTGGGGAGACGGGGAACCCATTCAAATGACTAAAATTACCGTAACCCATGTTAAGCCCTGCCCCCTTTTTAAAAATGGGCCTAGAAGTCATATTCTCCATAGTCGAAAACTCCTGGGAGCAAAATATCGCGCGCAAAAGCTGAATACTTTGCCTTTTAACCGATAGAGCAAACGTAATTACGGAGCATCGCGTTTCTGCACAGACGGACAGACAGACGTCTCTTCTGCTTTATTTATAGTAGATAAAAAGTTAGCGTAACCCAGCTGTCATTTAGAAAGCTACCCTATCCCTTTCAAAGAATAGCAGGGTTACGGTAGCTTTCAAAAGACAGCAGGTTACGGTAGCTTTCAAAAGACAGCAGGATTACGGTAGCTTTCAAAAGACAGCAGGATTACGGTAGCTTTCAAAAGACAGCAGGTTACGGTAGCTTTCAAAACACTACGATAACTTCCCCCAGACTCACCATCTAGTAATTTGACTTACCATTTCCAAAACGACACATCCAATACTCCAAATATCAACCGCTCTTCCATATCCTCGATATGTTTTTGCTCCATTCTCATCCAAAGCGATCACTTGCCCTCCAGTGAATGTCTCGGGAGCCTAAATTAAGAAATTTATCAAAGCTTTTCAAGCTCTCTAAAAACCATATAACTTGGAGTGCCAGACATTTCGTGGAACTCTCCCCCAATCGTCATATTTGTGCTTAAACGAATCGAGCTGCCGAAATCACCAAGCTAAAAGATTTGAATGGAAAGCTAGCTGAATGGAAATTTGGAAAGGAGATTTGGCAAAGCTACTTTTAGAACACAGGATAAATCGAGAAAGATATTCGCGGGTTTGATGTCTCGATGGATGACACGATTATCGTGAATGTATTCAACAGCTTGCAGCAGGTGATTCGTGTATCTGAAAAGGATTTATGCTAATTTTTTTGATCAGTTTAGATATAGATCAGTCAATACACTAGAAAGGGTGTGTTTCCATAAAGTTCTACCGAAAGATCCAGATTTGTTATTTGGAGATTTGTTAAAATGAAACCCATCGTTTCTAGGGCAGAACTAGAGTTTACCAGTCTGCCAGTTTACCAGATGAGCCCAGTATCCCAGTATCCCCCAGTTCTTCCAGTCTACAAGTTCTGGCTAACCAAGAACAGAAGCCAACCTTGAGCCAAATCCTAAAACTTGGCTTGGACTTGGCCAGGCTGACTTTTGGTCTTTGGCCTTTGATTAAGCATCCCGTGTCCCTTTTCTCTTTCTACCGTAAGCTTATCGATCGATTGTTCAAGTCTGCAGGTTACGGTAGCTTTCCAATCAGCAAGTCTTGCGGCAGGTATTGCGTACAAGTCTTGTTACAAGTCTTGCGTACAAGTCTTCCGGCTTCAGAAATCGAGCCTTCTTTCTTGAAGCAGTGAGTGAGATCGATGTTCGATCGATCGATCGAAGATCTCGTCAAGGATCTCTGCCTCGAGTCGAGTCGAGTCACGAGTCGTCAAGGATCTCTGCCTCGAGTCGAGTCGAGCCACGAGTCGTCAAGGATCTCTGCCTCGAGTCGAGTCGAGCCACGAGTCGTCAAGGATCTCTGCCTCGAGTCGAGTCGAGTCACGAGTCGACAAGGATGGCTCGGAAGAACACCTTCCGATCGATCGATCGAACATCGATCTCATTCACTGCTTCAAGAAAGAAGGCTCGATTTCTGAAGGCGCAAGACTTGTACGCAAGACTTGTACTCAAGACTTGTCTCAAGACTTGCCGCAAGACTTGTACGCAAGACTTGCCGCAAGACTTGCCGATGCTCGACTTGAGCAATCGATCGATGGAGTAAAGGAAATTTGGAAACATTGACACCGTTTAGAAATCGGACTAGTAACTAGTAAATCTCTTTCTCACCTCCTCACCAACGCCATATCCATTCCCTCTCGACAAATCTTCTCCAATGTCCCTTCAGCACAATACTCCATCAATAGAAGCACTTCATCTCCTTGTACTTCCATTCCGTAATATTTCACGAGATTCTTATGAGACAAGTTTCGCAGAATGTCCACTTCGCCTTCGAGTATCTGCAATGGAAAGCATCTGCAATGGAATGCAAAGGCACGATTACGATAGCTTCCTAAAGACATTACGATAGCTTCCTAAAGACAAACTCGCCTTCAATTTCTCAGCACCTCTCGCTCGAATCTTCTTCACCGCAATCACACATCCTTTATCGACATTCAACGCTTTATGCACTTCACCGAAATTCCCTTCCGCTTTAATTTTTAAACATTTTTCTTTAGAAATTCAAAAATTCTACCAATTTTCTCTAATAATTGCCATTGAAATGGGACTTTTCGTGTCTCTTGATAGCCATTTTCCGTGAATTTCGGACGACTATTCGGAACAACAAGACCGACTTTAAGAATCCCCTGAAATTGATTTGGATTGATGGCTAGCTAGCTATGACTAGCTATGACTAATGGCTAGCTAGCTATGACTAGCTAATGGCTAGCTAGCTAGCTATCACTAGCTAATGGCTAGCTAGCTAGCTAACACTAGCTAATGGCTAGCTATGACTTTTAGAGCATTCGCTTATTGCTTATAGTTACAGTAGACCAAAGAAAAAGTGTCTTCAAGCCGTACTTCTTTACTCTAGCTATTTCCCTGTTGTGTTTGTTGTTTATGGGATCTACGAAAGATGTAACAAGGGAAAAGCAACAGTAGAATGTGGCCAAAAGCCAAAAACCATTCAACGCAGTGTTTAACGATGATTTCGAAGCTGCTTTCCGTTTTTGCAAAATAGCCCTCTATGAAAATTTCCAAGCAGAACAAAAACTTTCCCAGGAATGAATCGAGCTCAAGCCAGAGACAGAGGTCTCGCCTTGTAAACAAGCCTCTTACCCACTACACCACCGAGTCACTTTGGCCAACCCTTGCGAAAACCTAGATAAACCCATCCCTCCATATTTTCGCGTTTTTAACCATTTTAAGTTCTAGGGCAAATTTAGAGGGATGCCTTTATGTCGGTTTTCGCGGGGGCTCCGGAGGTGACTCAGTGGTGTAGTGGATAGGTCGCTTGGATACAAAACGAGCATCGCCCTCTTTGCTCGAGTTCGATTCTTTTCTAGGAAAATCTTTGTTTTGATATTTTAACATCTAAATTTTATCTGCTTTTAAAACTATTTGCAATGTTTATACTATAATTGAGGCTTTATAAAGGCTAGAAGCTAGAAGCTAGAAAGCTAGAAAGCTAGAAAGCTAGAAAACTAGAAAGCTAGAAGCTAGACGCTAGAAAGCTAGAAAGCTACGCAGTACACAAAAGCTAGTACATATAGTCTAAAAAACTAAGTAAAACTAAAGTAACTACTAGAAAAACTACAGTACGCTTCTTTTAATAATATAATTATCGTTTTGAAACTAACTTTCTCAACTTGTCTCTTTTCCACATCCGAATCGAGCTTCATGGCGGCTGCTCGCAAACGTTCAGCACGATCGAATTGCGTTTGTGGCGCAGATCGGGGAGAAATCTAGAAAATCTACGATTTTTTTACATTTTCATTGAAAATACCCTTCAAATTCCTCTATAATTCCTTTATATTTCCTTTTTCTCTCTCAAAACCTCTTTAAACTCACATATCCACTGTCCCTTTCACTCGTCGTGCGTCGAATCGCTCTCATATCACCCAAATCTCGTCCACCAATGATTTCTCGACGGGAAAAATCGAGCACAGCACGGAAACGCTGAAATAGTAAAGGCTTTCAGTAGTAAAGGATTTCCGAAAAGCTACCGCCTCGGATTGAAGCTGGATTGAAGCTGTGATTAGGCAATGCAAATGCAATCCCCCCCCCCGCATTCATTTTCATTTCATTTCATTTCTATCTCACTCACCTCAAAAACCGAGTCACTCATATGTTGTGTCCATTGCAATTCGGCGATGTGAAGCATGAAATTGAACGCGATTTTCGCCCAAACTGGGATATTTTGCGACCGAGGTGGGTCGGCCATTGGCACGAGTTCGCGCCATCTGAAGGTCCAGTTTTAAGCCATCCAGTTTCAAATAGAAATTATCTACTAGATATAAAGCAGAAGAGACGTCTGTCTGTCCGTCTGTCTGTCTGTCTGACTGCCTATCTGTCTGTATGTCTGTCTGTCTGTCTGTCTGTCTGTCTGTCCGTCTGTCTGTCTGTTCATTGACAAAAAGTAGCGGGGCTTAGATTGCACGGAAAACGTGGATCTCTCCAGTGGACGTTAGTGCGCTCGCTATTGAGCGAAATTCAACCCTAATGTGTTAAGTGTTATCTAGAATATTGAAGTCCTTAATCTTGGCTACATTTAACCACTAAAAGTTTCCCGATTAGAGATATACAACTCATTTTACAAGCCCTTGAATGAGCACTAGTTGATCCCTCACTAGCACGTCATTTTTCGAGATTTTCTTTATAAAGATTCCTCAAACAGAAAGAGTTTCTTTTGGCTGAGTTTTTGGTTGATAATGGAATGGAATGATTGGATTGATTGAATGGTTGGATTGGATGGTTGGATTGGATGGATTGATTGGAATGATTGGATTGGATTGAATGATTGGATTGGATGGATTGATTGGATTGAATGATTGGATTGAATGATTGGATTGATTGGAATGATTGGATTGGATGGAATGATTGGATTGGATGGAATGATTGGATTGGAATGGATGGAATGATTGGATTGGATGGAATGATTAGATTGGATTGAATGACTGGATTGGATTGAATGACTGGATTGGAATGAAATGATTAACAAGCACTGTACTGAATCTATTTTTAGGGTTTCAAACTGTTGTCACCCTGCATACCTCTCCAACAATTTGACGCATCTCTCAGCAAAATCGATCCTCAACTCGTGCACCTCCCAGACGATACGACACACTTCGCGATAGAACTGAAATTTCTCGATAGAATTTGATTAACCTGGAATTTGATTAACCTCCAATTTGATTAACCTCCAATTTGACTGTATTCTAATCCTATCTATTGTCTGTAGATTTAAGGAGCAGAGATTTTTGCCAGCTTTATAGCCTGTAAGCCAGGATTCGGCCTAACCAGAAGGCAGTAGGCTTTAGCTTGTACGAGGGTTGTTCCAGTCAAGTCCTAGAGTCTGTAAGCCAAGCCTAGGCCTGATCAAAAGCCAGGTTCATACCTGACAGGGCCTAGAAAGCCTGCAGCTACACCAGAGCTACACCAGAGCAGGCAAGAGACCTGTCCTGGCCTGGATCTTTCAGGCTTCCAGGCTTCCAGGCTTTCAGATCTTCCAGGCTTCCAGGCTTCCAGATCTTCCAGGCTTCCAAGCTTCCAGCCCTTCCAGCCTTAACCTAATCTTGTTTAAGTCACTCACGTGAAAGGAGAAATTAAACATTGTCAACAAAGTCGAATGAGCCGCACGTCGACTGCCCGATTCACCGAAACTCTGAAAATAAGCTTGAACATCGTTACAATTCTATTTACATACCCTGTGCGTAATCACATCATAGACTTTCTCAGAGACTGTTTGCGAGAAATCGTTTAGACGAGTCTAAAAGGAAATTTGTGAATCCGAGAGTGCAAAAGCTTGAGCTTTACTTTGCTTGCTTTGCTTAAAGTTTCACTAACCGCAAAATCGACCATCAGTTGATGAATGTGCGAATGAGTGGCTGAATTCTTGCTGCAATGTCGGAAAACTTGTGGATCACGTTTATGCAATGGCTCGCACATGTCACCGATGACAACAACGCGATCTCTCTGGAAAGGTGAATGCATTAGAAAGTGTATTAGGAAGTGTGACAAATGTGTCAAACGATTTGTACAAAGTACAAGACTCGAAGACTACAAAGTACACGTCTCGAAGACTACAAAGTACAAGTCTCGAAGACTACAAAGTACAAGTCCCGAAGACTACAAAGTACAAGACTCGAAGACTACAAAGTACAAAACTCGAACCTACCCTTAACTGCAATAAATTGTGCACGATTTTCGGTGATACACTAAGCGTGGCTCTTTCACCGCCCCAAATACTCGAGAAATTCGAATAGGAAATTGGTAGCACAATCTAAAAAGACGAAATAATTAGGAAACTAATTATAAAACTAATTACTATATTACGAATTACGAGCTACGAATTACGAGCCTTTCTAACTCACCAAATAAGTCGGTGGATCTGGAGATGAGCTCTCGAAAACGGTATTGATCAAATGGAGAAGTGTGCCGTGATCGATTGGACGAGATAAAAGAGAAATCGGGAAATCGATCGGATTGGTCTTTCTTTCTTCTGTACTCATGATGTTGATCTAAAAGTTTAGAGTTAAATGTTTAGGAATGGTCGATAGACTAACGATAGACGAATGATAGGCTAACGATAGACTAACGATAGACTAACGATCAACTAACGATAGACTAACGATCGACTAACGATAGACTAACGATCGACTAACGATCAACTAACGATAGACTAACGATCAACTAACGATAGACTAACGATAGACTAACGATCAACTAACGATCGACTAGCGATCAACTAGCGATCAACTAACGATAGACTAACGATAGACTAACGATAGACTAGCGATAGACTAACGATTGACTAACGATCAACTAACGATCGACTAACGATCAACGATCAACTAACGATCAACTAACGATCAACGATCAACCAACGATCAACCCTATCCCCATCATTCCCATCATTCCCATCACTCACCAGCACATGATCTCTCAACGATCGAGCCACCGTTCGATCATCGGCCATCGAAACAAAGCACGAAGAAGTCATCAAAGAGGAGATCATTGTTCTGAGATTGAAATGGTAATGAGAATTCTTCGAGTTGATACACAATACTCACTTAATCACTTGAAATGTTCTCGATGCTCTTTCTTGTGCTTCTCTCACTAACATGTTCAATTGACGGCGTCGACGAATCTCTCTAAACGCAAATTGACTACTTTACAATACTGAGCACTCCGAAAATCAGTTCATTTCACATTTCACATTGCGACTTTCTACGTTTTAGCAAAAGGCTTTTGAAAACAGCAATGAGGAGATGAGAGGGAAGCTAGCTCATCAGATGAGAGGGAAGTTGGCTCCTCAGATGAGAGGGAAGCTAGCTCATCAGATGAGGAGGAAGCTATCTTCTGGTAGAACTTGAACAGCTAGAATTGCTCAACATTGTCAAGCAATTCCAGCTGTTCAAATTCTACCAGAAGAGATTTATGCTTCGAGACAACTTCCTCCTCATCCGTTTGTACTAGCAGAGTACTATTGTATTGTAATAATCATTACTGCATCATTACTATTGTAATAATACAATAGTAATGATGCAATAGCAATAATACAATAATACTATTGTAAAATCTGTGAAAGCTGACCTCTCATTGAGACTGCCCTGTGCACTCCCTTCTCCATCACTTCCACCTCCACTTTCCATCGATCCATCATCAATCCCCTCAGTTATTTTCAGCACTCCATCTTCCCAGAAATCGATCACCACTTTTTTCATCGTCGAACAGAGAATGTCACTGGAATCGAAAAGGATTTTAGTGCATTTATGAGCCCAAAGTACGCCATAGTACTACAGGACTACACCAGAGTACTACAGGACTACACCAGATTACTACAGGACTACACTAGAGTACTACAGGACCACACTAGAGTACTACAGGACTACAGGACTATACCAGAGTACTACAGGATTACACCAGAGTACTACAGGACTACGCCAGAGTACTACAGGACTACAGGACTACGCCAGAGTACTACAGGACTACACTAGAGTACTACAGTCATATGGCGCTCAATTCAATAGCTCATTACATAGTTTTTACATAGCTTTTCATTACAACTTCTATTAAATTCTATGATTCTAAAATCGTAGTTACAATTAAAAGATATTCAATGAAAAGTTTTCTTACCAAAACGACGTGGTGAGCGCTTCGATTCCATTGTCGATAAACGGGGCACATGTCCAAGCAGCTGTCCACTCAAAAATGCATGTTTCATTTGAGTTTTGAGCTTTTGCATTTATAGAAATTATAGAAATTATAGAAAACATAGAATTTCATTTTTCCCTTCCTTCTCACTTGTACTTCCAAATTGTTGAAGAGACACGGATTCGGCTGAACGAAAGCTGCGGCGAGTTGAGAGACGAAAAAGCGATAGTTCTATAGAAAAGTAAAATACAGTTAAATACTCTAAAAGAAGCCTCTATAGGAGCGTCGCGTAGTCTAATTTTACTCTCAAACAAACGCTCATAGCTCAGCACCAGCACGTTTGTTTCTGTTCGTTTGGGTATCAAATTAAAGTCGAGAGAATGGGGATTTTTTTGAGCTATTACACAGATCTTTAGCATTAACTAGTGCTTAGAAAAAAATGATTGAAAAGTGGCCAAAAAAAAGCCGATTTTTTTCATCAACCGAAAATCGACTCTCGACTCGACTACACGACGCTCCTATAGCCTACACGACGCTCCTATAGCCTGCACGACGCTCCTATAGCCTACACGACGCTCCTATAGACTACACGACGCTCTTATAGACTACACGACGATCCTATAGACTGCATGGCGCTCCTATAGCCTGCACGATGCTCCTATAGACTGCACGACGCTCCTATAGACTACACGACGCTCCTATAGCCTGCACGACGCTCCTATCGACTACACGACGCTCCTATAGGCTGCACGACGCTCCTATAGCCTACACGACGCTCCTATAGACTACACGACGCTCCTATAGCCTGCACGACGCTCCTCTTCTATTAGAATATTTACAGCATACAGTAGACAGTACTTCAGGCTACTGTGCAACCCTTGGTTCATCACAGTAACCTGCAATCACAGTAGTCACAGAAAAAACTCGTTGAAAACTTCTATAGGCTTACTTCTATAGGCTAAAAGCTATACGACTACAGCACTAATTTGCTCACCTTGAATACATCGACCAATAATTGATCATAGGTTGGATCGAGAACATCGTGCGCATCTTGACAAGTGTACGCGATACGATTAAGGTAATCTCTAGAATGATTTTGATGAAATGAAGATCTAGATATGCACAAGCTACAAAAGGAAACTAAAAACCCTTCTAAATAGCTTGAAATCTATCCGATCGACATGATGGATAGGTTAAAAAATCGAGAATATCAAGAGCTTTTCTGGTTTCAGCTCAGCTTTCAACGCTGCTTTCAGCTCAGCTTTCAGCTCAGCTTTCAGCTCAGCTTTCAGCTCTGCTTTCAGCTCAGCTTTCAGCTCTGCTTTCAGCTCAGCTTTCAGCTCTGCTTTCAGCTCAGCTTTCAGCTCTGCTTTCAGCTCAGCTTTCAACGCTGCTTTCAGCTCAAAGCTCTATGTTTTTCTGACCTCTTTATCCTAACCGCTTCCTCGATACAATCTCGAGACTCTTCGACAAAGGTTTCTAAAGAAATCTTTGAATTAATATCCTTAGAACTTTCACTCACTCAACGTCAACAAATCCATTTCAGCTCCATCCGGCAACTTGTCCACAACTCTGATCTTCAGCCATTCTAGAACCATTTGCACACGTATCCCCAAAACGAAGATGAAAAGCGGTAGGAGTGAGGGAAGATTCATCTCGATCGAACGACCATTCCAGAGACAACCGCGCACTTTATCACCGTACTTTTCACGCTAAAAAGTCAAGCTAAAGTCAAGCTAAAGTTGCTAAAAAGTTGAGGGTTTCGGAAAGCGTCTTTCTAAGTGTTTCTTTTGTAAGGACATAGTCTAGATCAGGGCCAGAGTCAGCTCAGAGTCAGAGTCGGTGTTACTTTTCTTTCATTTGCTAACTAGGGAACTGCTTGAAGTCACATTTCAACGATCTCGACCATTCCTTGGCTAACTAGAGAACTGTTTCAACGTAGAAATCGATATTCGAAACCGGATCTAGCTACAAAGTGCCCAAGAATTCTAGCCTAGTCTAGTGTAGCTTAGCCTAGCCTAGTCCAGCCTAGCCTAGCCTAGCCTAGCCTAGTCCAGTCTAGCTTAGCCTAGTCTAGTCTAGCCTAGCCTAGCCCTAGACCTATCCCTTAGAATTCTAAGAAAAACGTATTTTTCATTTTGTCCCAAAACATGTCTAAAGTTTCGGCAATTTTTGCCAAACCTCACCTATAAGAGGGCCCCACGCCAAACCACGCTCCAGAGAGCGGTGGCCTAGGGAATAGTGGTCTTGACTCTAAAACGAGTGCTTTGCTTTCCTCGGGGGTTCGATCCCGCTTGCCGCCAAATTCTTTGCAAAAATTGCTTTTTTGTAGTTCAAAAGTTGAAACAGTTCCCTAGTAAGGGCATCCCGAAGCTGCTTTCAAATCCCACGTCATAAGCCATAAGCTACAGGCCATTTTTGAGATACAAGCCTTCAAAGTTTCGCCTTTGCCAAGCTAGCCTACTTTAGGTACTGACGCAAGCCAATCACAGTGCCTCAATAGCCTAATGGATAGTGCGTTAGCCTGGTACGCCTGGTCCCTGGTTCGAATCCACTGTCGCTCAGACTTTTAGAAAAACACTAGAAAATAACTTTTTTTGAGCAGTAATCTCTTTTACATTGCATTTAGATCTAAACTAAATCAATAGCAGCAGGACTTCAGCTAGAGCACTAGCACTAGGGCACTAAATCTGGTCTTGGTCTTGGTCCTGGTCCTGGTCTTGGTCTTGGTCTTGGTCTTGGTCTTGGTCTTGGTCTTGGTCCTGGTCCTGGTCCTGGTCCTGGTCCTGGTCCTGGTCCTGGTCCATCTGATCACAGGCCTGACCTAGCCAGTGGTCCAGAGATGAGCCAGAGTCAATCCAGAGCCAAGCCAGGCTAAGGTAGTTAATTTTAAATGTCACAAAGAATGACTAAACATTGTTTGGACTAGATTCTAGCCTAGGTTTAGACTAAAATGGACTGGCCTAGTCCCTATTTGCTTTTAAGATTACGATAGTTCTGGAAGTTCTTGAAGTTCTTGAAGTTCTCGAAGTTCTCGAAACTTCCCACATTTTACAAATCAGATCAAGCCAAAACCGGATTACAGTATCCTACAGTAAGCTTTGCTCACCATAAAATCAGTCATTGGGATGAGAGTCCTTTGTGTGCCAGCCGCTCTCGCATACGAACCAGCCGGTTGTTGGAGGAGAATCGTCGCCCTCAGCAACAACTCTTCGCACATATTCGAGACCTAAACTCTTCGATTTCCCTTTTTCCAGCCGAAGATCGAAAATCTCAGAAGATCCTTCATTTATAGCTAAACACTTAAAGAAATACATTTACAATCTGGTCAAACAATACACAAGCACAACCACTGTAGAGAAAAACTCATAGAGCTACAAAAAGAACTAATTAGCTAACGATGGGATTGAACCCAAGACCTCTCGACTAAAATACACGGCTCTTAGCCAGTCGACCACGACGTATTTGCTAAAAGATGCCGTAAAAACCCACCCTAACAAGCACTCGCTTCATCCCTTTCACTGTCAACATTTCTTTGACAAATGAGCCAACAATTTGATTTGCACTTTCCGGATTGGCGGGAGCGATCCCATGAAATGGACGAGGCCAGCCACGAGAGCCTTCAGTGCTCTGAAAAGTTGTCCAACATTTTCCCCATTAGCAATCGAACTTTAAGCTCAATTATCTTGGTGTTGAGCTGTTCAATTTTTAAATTATTGGCATGATTTATAAATTATTGGATGCGCCAAATCTTTCTCTATCGATTGGTAAAAAAAACTATTTAAATTGAACAGCTGAACACAAAGAAATTTGAGCCAAGATAGCCAATGGCAACCTTAGATTGCCAATGGTAAAAGGAGCGCGGCCCGTATCAAATATTCTGAATCGCTCGCTTTGTTTTGTTCTGAATCTTATTGTTCTGAATCTTATTGTCTAGGGTACTGTAACAGTTGTCTGGATTGTCTAGGGTACTGTAACAGTTGTCTGTCTAAGGTACTCTAACAATTGTCTGTCTAGGATACTGTAGCTCTTAAGTACAAAGGATTTGCTGTTCAGGAATGAGCTGAAAGTCCGGTGGATTGATTTGTTCAACATTTTCGTATCTCTTGATCTTAAGCGCAACCTACACCACTAAATAATGAAGAACTCAGTGCACCAGAAAGTTTACGTTTACACGAAAAGAGCACAGAGCACATTTCCTGAATTCGCTCACCTGACTGACACTCAGCATTTGCCCGAATTGCTCAATCTTCTCACACAATTGATTCGCTGTATTCAGCCATGCCATCAATAAATCAATCCGCTCATCAATCATTTCCATTTGTGCGCCTTTTTGTTGACACAAATTCTCCAGAGCTTTCCGATGAGGGAAAAGCGAGGAAAAGTTGTCGAATTCCTCAAGAATTTGAATGACTCGTTCACGCTGTTTCACGAAAGAATTCAAGTAGAGATCGGTGAGGTGAATCGACTCTAGAAATGAAATGAGCAATGACAGCTTCTAGAAGAAATGACAGCTTCTAGAAGCAATGACAGCTTCTAGAAGAAATGATAGCTCGAATTGTTTACCCCGATAATCGTGTTCCAATCGAAAGTCGAGAATTTTCGGCAAAATCACGAATTTCTCGGAGCGAAGTTGACAAATTTGCGGATCATAGACCATTGCCGGGTCGAAATGACCGCGAACGTCTCTAGAAAATGTCAACTTTTGCCTAGATAGGATTATTTTTACTTTTGATTTAATATTTTCGGTTTAAAAACGATTTAATGATGTTTAAATGAGAAATTCTTAAGGCAGAGGTTGCCATTTCCATATCGACTTTCTTTATCTAGTGAGAAATAACATTAAACATTAAACAAAAACCCAAAACACCATTTTCTAGGGTCAATTTTTTTATGCTCTTTTCAAAAAACACAGTCTAAAATTGATTCAAATGGTTTACGATAGAGAAAAATCGATCGGAAAAGCAAACTCTAGCCTCTAATTCGATCTCTGATTCAATCTCTAATTCGTTTTTAATTTTTTCATCTCAAGCTATTAACTCATTTTAAAACCCTTTTACAAATATGGTCATTGAATTGAGCGTTTGTGCATATCAACAGAGATGTTGATATGCTTTAGATGCTTTAGAGTTTATGCTTTAGAAAAGCCTTTAACAACAAGAGAGAAAGAACCTCGTCAAAAAAACTCACTTTCCCGCAAAATACGCCTTTAACACAAGCCATAGATAATCACCAAGTTTGTGCCGTTCCTCTTTTCCATCTTTTGTAAACGAGAAAATCTGAAAAAGAAAGAAAGTCGTTTTGAAATCCGTTTTGAGAAGTCGTTTCGATTGAATAAAGAAAGTGAAATAAGTGTCCCATCTCGATTAAAGTATACAATTCTTGGAATACAATTCCTGGAATCAATCGACAGCTATTAGAAAGATCTTTACTATCGAAGAAAAAAAAACTCTTTAAAGAACCCCAAACTCACATGTTCACTTTTCACTTTTGCTTTTGTTTGATTGACGACAAGATTCGATGCTTGAGTGTCCCTTTCGATTAAAGTATACAATTCCTGAAATCAATCGACATCAATATTAGAAAGAACTCTTTGCCTTACATTATATAATCGTTTCCTTTCAACGTCTCCAATTGCATGTGTTCCTTCGCTTATCGATGAATCGATAGCGACTGAAGAGCTTGTGACACTCATCTGCAAAATTTTCATCTTCGATTGCTTCAATCTTCAATGAAAGTTGAATGGTTTAAAAAGAAAATATGAGATTTTAATGGAAAGAAGATGGAAACACCATTCGAATCGAACGAACGAACGAATCGAACGAATCAATAACGGGGAATCCAATAATCTATTTAGTTTTTGCCAAGGAGCTCTCAAGCAAGCAATGAAAAGCAAAAAAAAGTCGGGAACCGGGATCGAACCCGATAGGACAAATTCGCTGCGCCAGCGCACTACCCACTAGGCTATTTGGATCACATTTTACCGAGCACGATAAAGACCTTTTAGCCTTTTTCTCGAGAATGTGATCACCTTGGCAAAAACTAAAACTTCTTTCCATTAAAAACACATACCTTCCGTTTGAACTATTCCTTTGTTCTAAAAAAAAGTTCTAAAAAATGCTCTCTAGAAAAAGCTACCGCAAACAAGTACATGTACAGTAAATCTTATTTGAACACTACTTATCCATATAAACCAGGGATCCATAATCAATTTCCCATCGCAAACCGGATCACTTTACTAGTCTAACTTGAATCTGAGGCTAGGATCAAAGCTAAGCCTAGCTTTTGACCTTTTCGAAGTCTTATCTAATCTAGACATCTAGAAAGCTAGACATGATCTAAGACTTCTAGCCTGAAATGACCTAATCTAGCTTCTGGCCTGAACTGGCCATAAAATAAAAGTTAGACTACACGACTGTACGCTCGTCATCATAAGGATGCCGTTCTATTAGAGGTAGTAGTATGTAGTACGATTCAACCCAAACTACGATAGCTTTCCACAGAGCACTTTAGAAAACGATTTGATTGATTTACTCGTCTCGTTGACGGACTCGGCGAGATCATTTCTTGATTTTCCTCAACAGGTAAACAATTGAACAATCGATTGTCGCCATCACGTTTCTAAAATAAAAAGTACTTATTATTTTATCTAATTTCTTAATAGAATATTCTTAAATTGATTTTTTTAACTTCAAAACTTAATAACTTAATAACTTAATAACTTAATACTCTAATTTCTCCAACCGTCGATGAATCGAGGAGATCACTCGTCGAGAGTCGCTGCGAATTTTGAGTGCTAGTGCTTGGCTTAAATCATATTATTAATCGAGAAATTTCTCCGAAACAAATCAGCATTTCTATTTCTAATCATAGTTTCAATTTCAATTTCAATTTCAATTTCAATTTTCACTCACCAAATAATCGTACTCAATCTCATCATCGATAATCTTATTTTGTCGAGACTTTCGCCGCTGTTCACCTAAAAAGTTTTAAATGAACAAGAGATTTAAAGATGACTACCGTATTTTCTCTAATAGTAGTGCACCCCGGCGAGCCGAGTTGATGACTATTTTACGGTTTCCAAGCTTTTGCAGAAGCTGTAGAAGCTGCAGAAGCTCAACACTCTAATCCCCTACTAGATCTCATCGTCAGCTACATTTTCCGACCCCACATCGATAGGTTCTGATAAGCGGTTCTCGAGATTTCGAGGAATTTAGGCAACGCTCACGGTGCACTACTATTAGAGAAAATACGGTAATAGGTTTTTTCTTTAAAAAAAACATAAAAGCAAACCAAAAGCCTTTTTCAGTAACAAACCTTTCAAATTGAGTGTCGCTGTCCTTGCCCCAAGACTCATTCGTCCACGATACGCTTTTCCGACGCGCACTTTTCGTTGTCTAAATTTTCAGTCGATTTTCGAGCAGTAAATTTTTCAACAACTGGTTTTTTTTTGTTTAAAATGTAGATCCAAAAAGAATATCACTGTTTTGGGAAAAAAAACTATGTTTTTTGTTAAAATGCCAAAAAAACGACCCATTTCCCATAAACAGCAAAAAGTAAAGTAGCAAAAATTTCTTTATGCCTATTTTTGTGTACCTTTTCGGTGTCGCTTCTGCATTTTCTTCAGTTTCTTCAGAGAAACTCGTCAGCGACGATGATCGTTCCAATTTCATTGTCGTTGTTGGAGTGTTTCGACCAGATGACGGCATTGTTTTTTGTTTCCTCAAATAATATGTTTCGTTCTTTCACATATTATTTCATGCAAATCAATCCTAAATTTGACTTTAATAAGGCGAATTTAAAGAAGGATTTTAAATGTTTTTAAAAAATGCATTAAAGGTAAAGTAAAGCAAAGTAAAGGTAAAGTAAATTGTGATGAAATGCAAATTTGTATGAAATTTTCAACACATATGATCGAAGAAAGCCTAAATTTTACGATAATAAGGGCACAATTTTGGAGAAAGATTTCTAGAAATGAAAAATGAATTCATTCCAGTGAATATAGCTCAAAAAAACGAGATGAAGTACTCGTGTAAAAGAAGATTTTCCCATTTTCCTGGCCGAAAACAAACAACACACATAAACGAGAGACACCAATGAACGATCCGGTCAAATCAATGAAAAAAGGGGATTTGAATGAGAAAACGGGTGAAAAGAGTTTAAAATGACTGGAGAATTGCTGTAGTGTGTATTCGGCAAAATTTTACATGAAAAATTGAATAGTTCGAGTTTTCCATTTGTAGAATTTGATTCCAGCTAAATTTACAATTATTCAAAGTATCTAAACCGTTCATCGATTTTAATTTTAAATCAAAATGACTTGAATTTTCATCTTTTATAAACAATCCCGCTCAATAACGCGGCAATAATAACAACAAAACATAATAATGATAAGAAGCAACAAGCATCATTGATAACCAATGCAATCAATAACTAACAGTAACAAAAAATGTGACAACGATGAAAAGTGACAAATGATTTAGCAACAAATAAACGAAGAACTGACGGATTCAATTCCTGCGAGTCTTCCTCTTGTTGATTGCCTTAGCGAGAGCGCTTCCCTTGCGACGTTGATCGGAGGGACAATGTGGGCACCAGCATGGAGAATGGTCGTTTTCCTCGTGACGAGATGAAGTACTCGATGCATCACTGTCACGATGGTTGTCGTAAATGGAAGAATAACGACGCTAAAGATTGAGAGTCTTTCAACATAATTCTTTTCTTAAAGGTCTATCTGTTCAGCCACAAAGCAATCTTAGGCCTAGCTTAGTTAGTTCAAATACAGCTTACTTGTGATGTCACCCCACTCGAAGTTTCTGGTTGATCAGTCACGTGTCTTCGACCTCGTCCAGATTGTACCATGTTGTATAAAGGAATCGACTAAAATACGCACTAGATAAGTAAATAAAAGCGAAGCCAACAAACCAGGTCATCCAAAGAGCTCATGTCTCCAATAAACATTTTTATCAGAGCATATTCGAAATCTTCCAGAAGATCCGTGTCAACTTTGCGCCATTCAGATTTTGTCAGAAGTCCACTTCTAAAATAAAAGAGATTAAAGCTTTATAATCGAAATTTATTAGTTCTACTTGATCATAACTTTAAAACATACTCAATAAAAATCTTTCGCAAGTCACGCCTTGGCAGCAAATTCTTTTCAGCTTTCTGCTGCTCACATACTATCAAGAAAGTCTCCACACATGTTCGCCCATGCTCAGAAAGATCCTAAAGACGAAAATTGAAGGTTTTCTGTTAAAAATCACCATCCAAAGTCGTTGGATCATTTGGTCATATTCGGCCCCTTCGAGTCCCCGGAGTTCGTTGGTGAAATAGCGAATTTGATCAAACATCACCTAAAAACTAGTTAATCAAGGAAAATCTAATTATTTAAATAGTCTTATTAAATAAAAACCACCCACCTGCTTTATGTACTCCCAAACTTTTGTAGTCCGCTCAGAGTCCCATTGTTCATTTAGAACCACATTCAACTCGTTGGGGTAACGATGATGCAAGAACTAAACGCTTGTCTTGTGAAGTTGTGAAGTTGCTTTTAAAGTACTACAGTTTAAAGAAGACCCGACCAAAAAATAGATTAGATAATGGACTAATGCATAAAGAACGAGTTTTTGCCTTCAATTACGGTAGAAATAACAAAAATCTCACTTCATCAATGAAATGACTGCCAAATTTAGGTAGGTATAAAACTAGATTTTAATCCACCTTGGTAAACGAAGCAGTTGTGGGCATGAAAAATGAGGACGGAATCATGCCCGATCGACAACGAATGATTGGAGTTTCCGATTCGAATTCGATCTGACCTTCTGGCGTGCGATGTCGTGGTTTCCTTTGCTTCGGTGCAGCAGTTGCCGAGCCTTGTTGCTCGCTAAGCATCAACGAGCGAGCTTTTTCCTAAAACGGAAAAGTTAGACCACAAATTTCAAGCCATTTATGCATTAAGGTTAAATTAAATGCTAAAGTGTGATAGTCGTTGCATTCAACTTCAGCATCTAAAAGCTGCTTAGTAGTGCTTGATTCAAGGCATTCAGTGCCAGTTCTTTTAAAGCAGTATGTATTGTGGCTAAAATTGACTACTCTCACACAATGACAATGGAAAATTGGTTTTTTCTTTCATTATTCAAAATCCTTACATCAATTTCCTCGGCCAATTCCTTGAGTTTCTGCTGTTGTTGCATTATTTGAAACATCTCTTCCAAATTGAAATTTCGAAAGCTCTCGCCAGTTTCAAGCATATCCGCTGTCATCATCAAAATATCCAAATCCTTTTCACCGATTTTTTTCGAGATCCCAATTGGTCTAATGTTGATGAGTTTTTAAAATGTAAAAAAATGACTTACAAGGTAACTTTCAAGAAAAAACAGCGAACAAAACCTGGACCGGAAATGGTTGAGTTCTGAAAAGTTTACTTAAACAAAAGCAATATAAATTCTTACCGCTTCATAAGTGCAACCATCATAATTGTACCGTACTAAATAAATGAATTTGAAAGATTCGACAAAAACAAAACTTTACCGAAAGATCCTGACATCTCCGTTGCATGTTTACCAACCCACTTTTTGTAAGCACGACATTCCTCACAATACGACGAATCCATGGTGCGACACATGATTTTTGCCTGAATCAGAGAATAATACATTTGACCAAATAGTATTCGGTATTAAAAATCCCGAGTCTTTGAAAGTTGCGTTCGTTTCAAAAGCCTAGAAACTTTTTCGGGACAATTCTAGAAAGCTTTACAAAAGCATTGTCTCCAAAAAGAGTTATATTTATTAAAATGAACCCAGCTCTTGTAAGACTAAAATTTCATAACAGAACAATTAAACTTACAACAAGCGTTGCTTTCTTTGTGGCATTGTAGTCGAACGAGTACTGATGATAAGGCTCAAAATTCTTCTCTCTTGAGTTTCGGATATGGCAAGCCTAGAAAAAAAGCTAAGGACAGTGCTTTAAGGAACTCTTACAATCTTGTAGAAGAAATCACCCGCTTTCTTTTCCAAAGGCCCCATAAGACGTTCCTTGATAGCTAAAATTCCTTTATTCAAACAAATGTGCAAAAACACCGCAAAACCTTTGTAGAGCGTATGATCTTTATATTCGTCAGCTATATCGAGCAGTTGTTGAACATAGAACTCCTAAAATTCAAAGATTCACATGAAAAATGGAAACCAACTGCTCCGATTGCTTTGTGAAAAGAGAAAAATTGGTTCAAACCCATGTAGTTCAGGTTTTGCGCGATGTAGTCAATCTAAAAGAGGGACTAGAGGAAATCTTTTGTGGAACAAACCATCGATGGATCGTGGGCCTTCTTGAGGACGGATACTAGCGTCTTATCCATAGTCTGAAAGTTCGTTCTGAAAATATGGAAACTATCTTGGAATACCTTATTTTGCCTAACCTCAGTAATAAAATAGAAAGCAATCAATGAATACTAAAAAATGCTCCATCCTCTTCACCGTTTAAATGTGTGCTTGTATCTCAAATGTGCCAGAATACGCGCTTTTTAAAATCCGCAAATTGGCAAAATTTTTATTTTCCAATAAATAACAACTTAACGAAATGCGAGAAAATCAGCGCTGTAAGAGACTCCTCCTCACGACATCCAAATAACAATTAACTTTTGTGTGGCTACAGCACCAAAAACACAAAACAATATTTAAAACGGTAACATAATAAAATTTTCAAAACCTCGTATGTATAGTACTTACCACAAAAAGTAAGCAAAAGTTGCAAAGAATTTACGAAGAAAGATCACAAAAAGATGATTTTTCAATTTCCAACAAATATGCTTTGTAAATGAAGAATGATCAGTGAAAAAACTGAGAAAACAATGAGAAATAAACAACAGATAAATAGAAATATAATCAGTCTATCTGTATTGATATTGCTGCGTGGGAAGCTTTGATGGTGGAGGGTCTCTGAAATGCTTCTTGAACCAGGCAAGTAGACTCTCCATCGACATGAAGAACTGACTTCGGAATCTAAAAGCAGAACATTTGCATTAATTTTTCATAAAATTTATCCACCTGATGCCCTCATGAGTGACCGTCATGTATTCGTGCTTTGGTTTTGCCGAAATGAGATATGACAGCAAGAATTTCCCTGGGATGTCACCGGATGTAGTTAAAACATAGCTAAATAGAATTTTGCATGCGCAACCAACAGGATTACTTACGGGATTCTATTTGGCTGGAGACGCTTTTCTTCATAAAGTTTAGCATCAACAAGAGATCGATCCTCATGCTATAAAAAAACAGATTAAAGGTGATTTAAAACAAAAACCTTACCACCACTTGAGGAATAAAGTATTTGTGACTGCAGATTTCATTTGCATAAAGAACCATTGGTTGAACATAACGCGCCAAGATTTCATCGAGATCCTCAAATGTTTCGGCCCTAAAATCTTAATATAGTGGTAAATAATTCATAACTTACCCGATTTGCAAAGTTTTTCCAATTTCATTTGGCCGTGTTTTGTCTTTTTCCAAGATGTCCACATGAGCATATACGTTTTCGCCAACCTAAACAAAAACCAGTTGATCAGACGTTACTACTGAACACAACCTTCCATGTGAGAGTCAGATTGAACGGAGATCTTGTCGAGGGCCTGATGATTGCTTCACCCTAAATACACACAACTGTTTAGTAACTTTTTTGTTGCTTACCTGTTCAGCAGCAGCTAGTTCATGTTCAGCTTCGCGATATGATACATTCCTGAAGGCCGGATGTGAGCAGATTCGACGCACAAATTGTGGCTGAAAAAGAAGGAGATCAATCCAAAAAAAGTATGAACTCTACTTGTTGAGCCTGACGATCTTTTCCCTTTTCGTCATCTTTTTCATCAGAAGTTTTCAATCCAAAGTCGAAGTACTCATCAAATTGAATAAGTTCCTCAGATCGCAAATCGATAGAACTAAAAGAAAATTTAAATAAACAATTTATTTATAAAAATAACCGGCAAGTTAGGGTACATGAGAACCTGAGAGGTTCTACTTGGAGGATACGGCACGCGATCGTTCGTCCAATCTAAACATTTCAATTTTTTCACTAAAGTTCTACCCTTACCGCAACACGTTCAAGTGGATTCTTGAAAGACTTCGAATCTGTTGCAATATTCTTGTTTGAAATAAAGCCAATAAGACCGTTGTCGAGTTTCACCTGAAATGAATATTGAAGCCTTGATTGAACTTTTAACCTTGATTCCAGTAGTTTCACCAGGGCAAAGGCCATCATCCAAATGTTCATACAGTTCGGCAATGCTGTCAAAGATAATCGAGCAACACCACGGACACACCCATTGATTCGAATCTTCCAAACGGATCTAAAAAGAGGTATTGGTGGCACGCGTTTTTTACACAAGTACCGGCTCCCTCTGAGACTGTTGTTCTTGGTGGACAGGCTTGAATGACAAGCGAATGACTTTTGCCTCGACGAGTTTGCCAATATATAGAGTGTTCTTGGACTCCTTTGTAAGCATTTTGAAGAGTTGCTAAAATAAAAGTTTGCCCGACCAAAATGAAATTGAGGATACCATGTCAGAGGGTGGTCCAAATGGTGGGCGCCAATCCTCGTATCGTTTGCTCAGTTCTCTTCGAATATCGTACAATGTTTCGCTCTGGAAAGCAACTGTTGAGCGCAAATTGGAAACATTATATTTACTTTATTTCCAAATCCTTGCCGATGTAACTCTTCGGCAAATGCATCTAGGTCCAAATCTCTGAGTTTTTCGGGAGTCTAAAGTTTACATTTAAGGAGCAATAGATGCCTTAGAATCATACCACTAGGATTTCTTCTAGCGCCGCTGTCGGGTCGCCACTGTCATCGAATTCAAGCGCATCTACCGCCATCTTACGAGCCCATTCGTAAGTCTCTGGATGAATTCGCGATCCGTCAAGAATTTCCACGTATTTGTCGGTATGTTCAGATACCTAAAGATTGGATTTTTTGAATTTCATAGCAGGCACTCACTTTTGATGTGTTAATCTTCATGAATCCAGCACAATTCATGAAGACTTTGGGACCCATTTGACAAATGATGACTAGCTTCGACCGAGCCTAAATTCTCTAAATATTTCTAAATTCTAAAATTAATGGAAACCTCAAGTATGCTGTTGTTCCATCTAAGTACTTTAATCAGTTGATACGCCTTTCGAGGGCCCAATCCACAGATAAATTGAATCAAATTTTGATGATGTGGAAATGAGAGACATCTAAAGTGCAGTTAAATTACGCATACACACTTAAAACAACCTGTTTGGATCAACTCCAACTTCGTTGACACGATTGATAAATTCCAATGCGACCGCATTCTTGATTTCTTCTTTGTCGAGCTGAATAAAAGACTAGCCAAATTCAAAATGAAAAACTTTACTTCTCCTTGCAATGAGTGCATTTGAAGACAGAATAGATCTTCGTCTTCATTCCATAAATGTGCCACTTCTACCAATGGATCAGCCACGTAGCGAGCAAGAGAAACACACTGACGCAGTAGAATCGGGTATTCAGGGAATTCACTCTGAAATGCTATCATTCAATGTAATTTATAAACTATTTTACCGCAGCCATCTTCGATTGAGAGTATACTTTTGCCAATTCGTTTTCAACAATCATCACCTCGGGAGCAGAAGATATCTTTCCCGTGTTTAATAGTTCGCTGACCAACCGCTAAAATTTTTGCATATAAAGTTAAAGAAAGGACATACGCTTGTTTCATTTTGAAATCTTTTTGCATCCATATCTTCACCACAAATCACAATGACGTGTGGACGGCGTTTGGCGATGAAAGCTCCAAGACGATCCATTGTATCTTTCTGAATTAAAAAAAATTAGTTGAATTCCATGAAATTAAACCTTTAAACGAGCTGTTTCCGATCCTTTGTCATTCTTCCCATCTGCCGGCCCACTGGGTTTGGTGAAATGAGGCAAGCGTACGTAGTCAAGAACGGCGCCATCCTGAAGTTTAAGCAATTAGTTTAAGCAAAGCAAAAGCAAGAAATATTAGTGACCATTAAAAATACCTGATTTACAATAGCGCCAAATGAAACTTCAAATCGATCGGCTACGTAGCATAAAGAGCATACCTAAAATAATAAAAGTAAGTTTATTCACTGAAAGATTTAACTCTTAAGCGATTCTCTTCATCATCGTCCTCGTCTTCGTCGTCAGCTTTATCGTGATCCGCGGCTCCTTGATTCTTTTGATATGGACCAACGAGAATTCGTTCATAGATGAAATTTCGAATACTCTAAAATGATTTTAGTTATGTTGGGTAAGTTGAATAAGTTTCCAAACCTGCAAAACGCTCGCTTTGGCTTCTTCTTTGAGGAGCTCGTGTAATTCTTTGTTGATCTCTGGCACCAAGAATTCGCTGACGGCTTTTCGAACGACCTCTTTGCGCAATAAGTTCCATTCTTCCGTGACTGAGTCGTAAAGGTCCTAAAGATTTATATTCATATTGAAAGAGGTAGCAAACAAAGAGATAGATTCACAGCTAAAACCTACAACTTGGAATGGATGCTCTCGAAGAATGTCTTCCAACAAGTTTGCCTCGCTCGAAAATTCAATGCTAATCAACTCTTGACGAACACCCTAGAAACCCATAAATAAAGTTATTAAGTGCTGCTCCATACAATATCGAAGCTGAGAAATTGATCGCCGGAAATCGTTGAAACAGGTTTATTCACCAAATATCTAAGAAAAGTTATTACCTTTAAATAAAACACAACATACCTCGATTTGTAAAGCGGGTGCGCTTCGTCAATTTTCTGTCTGCCCAATTTTGTTGGACGACAAGACATTGTTGCAAAACGACGATACTTTGTTCTGAGAACCTCTCGTACCTACAAAATAAGTTACGAGCTATCAAACTATTACAAATTACCTTTGGTTGTCTAGAAAACTCGCGGGCCAGCATGTAGATTGCTCCACTGATCACTTTGTCGGGCGATGAAAAGACTGAAGTTATGTAGTCGGCAGCAACAGTCGTTGGCAGAGACTAGAAAAGGTGAATTACATCTCAAGAAAAAAAAAAGCTTACATTAACTTGAGTACATTCATGTCGACTACTGCCAAATTCAAGGTTTTCCGCAAATTGACGAGGAGTTAGACCAAATTTAGACGCCACTTCACCGATTCCATTTTCCAAGCAGATCTAAATGATACAGTTGGATTCGATCGCTTTTCTTTATAAGTCTCCGTATCCACTTACCGTGTACTGATCGGTTCGAGAGCTCTTTTTGAACTTTGACACAAACGTCTCTTGTTGCTTCTGTTCTTGTTGTTGTAGTTCAAGTTGACGCAGACGTTCCCAATCAGCCAGCTTATTCAGCTCATTTCCTTAAGTTGATTTTGTGAAGTAAAGATCACTTAACCAACCATGATACATGTGAAATTGAGCAGAGATATCATTCAACTGCTCGAGAGTTTCAACTCCGTCGACACTAAAAAGCAAGGTTGATCGCAAAACATGAATTTCTTACTCAAAAAAGTCCGAATCAGTCAAAGGCCTTTTTGTAACCAATTCCGACTCGGTTTGATATTTCTGGATACGACGCATCAAGTCCGATAGCTAAAAAGTTATTCCGTAATAAAGTATTTGTTGGCAAAAGCCACTTTTTGCTTTCTCTGTTTCAAATTGCACCACTTCTCATCCCAATTGTATACGCGCCATACTTCCTGCAAAAAAACATTAGTCTTGCTGCTTAATTCGTAACTTACATCCAAAGTGAGGCATTTTTCCAAGCATTCTTTCCTGTAGAAAACGATAAAAGGAACCTAAATGAAACAAAAACTAAAAGACATATTTCCATTTATTTACCTCAAAAGAGTTCAATCGAATCATCTTCAAAACTTCAAGAACGGCAGCCTTTGCGCGCTGTCCAAGTGCCCTGATCTAAATACAAAAAAAAATTAGTTAATAATCAAAAAGTACGATACATCTTGTTCCTTTTGCATTGGATCAAGGTCCTCATTCTCGCGAAGATCTTTGATTCCCGAAATTTCAATTGCATCCTAAAAAATAGGGATATCGTTGTATTAAAAATACTAACCTGAGAAGATACTGGTTTGTAGGCGCTCTCATATGGGTCAAAAGCGTGAGTGTAGATCCATCGTGCCTCTGCCTCCAATTCTATATCATCAGCTTCCGTAACAGGAGTGCGACGAGTGTTAAAGCTAAAATACACGCATTTAAACTACCTTTTCTTTTAAAACTACCGTTCAGGTCGATCTTCTAGAACGATTTTCTTGTCATTTGCTGAGAGGAAGCATCTATCAAGCTCCGAAGGTTCAAAGGTCTCCATCATATTTTCCTCTTTCTTCAACTTTTTCCGCAAAGCACGACTCTACAATCGAAAAGCAATGTTATCTTGAAATTTTTAAAACATACGCGAATGATAGAATCTTCTCGATCCTCTTCATCAAGAATTTCCTCTTCTTCGTCAAGAACATCTTCGACCTCTCCGTCATCGTTGTAAAATTCGTCAATATTGAAGTCGTCAACGCCGAATACATCACGAGCTTCATCACAAGCACTAAAAAACCAACTGTCACACTTCCTAAACAATTCCGCTTACGCTGTATCTATTCCCAAATTTCGGCGCACTTTCCTTCGTGATGTTCTACCATCTTGCACAATGAAGTTGTCGTATTCTGAATAAGTAGAATAAAACGTAATCTCAATTCTTTAATTAACCCTCTTCACTTCCAGAATAATCGCGACGATCATCATCATATTCACCCCGAGCTGAAGGGCCACGTGCTTCTGGGAGTGAAGCGGCATCATCATCTTCCTGAATAAAAAAAGTTTTGAATCGAAAAGAAGCCTCTTACATGTGAAAACAGCTTCCTTTGAATTCTAGTACGATCGTCTTCATCTTCGTCCGAGTCCTCTGGTCGCACGACGCGTTTCTTCCTAAAAAGAAATATAAGCCATTAAAAACTCCCAAACAAACCTTGGACCAAGATTTTCGTCGAGCAAAGCCAAATCATCGTCATCAAGTTCCTCCTCGCTTCCTGATTTGGACTTCTCGCTGCGATCCTCCTAAACTCGGACGTCAAAAAAACTATTAAGCATCATTGGTCACCTCTTCTCCCTCTTCTTCCTCATCACTTCCTTCATTGATGATGAAGCCTTTGAATTCTTCGGCTGCTCTTGCTTCTTCTTCGGCGTCATCCTCATCTTCGTCTTCCTCGTCACTATAAAAAGAAACTAGAAACTGTTTCTAGCGCCAAAACAGCAACCTTGATTTTAGATCAACAAAAGAATAACACAACGATAAACTTGATCTTCTAATGCCAAAATCTTTCCGAATTTACCTGCTTATCCGGACGCGATTCTTCTTTGCTTTGCCTTTTTTGCCAAGCTTCCGCTTTTTGCTTTTTGGTTCCTCGACTTCAGAAACGGGGTCGGATTCATCTCCAGACAGTTCGGATTCTTCGGCTTGTTGATCGATAAAATCCGACATGAAGTCTAAAGAAAACCGTATAAAACTTCCAAAATCAATGGAAAACTTTCAGAAAACAAGAAAATGGGGTCCAAAGTAGAAGCGCAGCAACATTAACCGCCAAGAATAAATCAGGATAGTGTTTCGAAACGCTAAACGTTCAAATGTACGAAGGCAAGTAGCTCTAAAAACGCTTTCTCAATCGAATTTCTTGGTAACAAAGCAGCAAAAAGCTCACTAACACTAGAGATTTCAACAAAAATGATAAAGGAACTTATTTTTAAATGAAAAATTTCAAAATTTTAAAAGCAAAGGGAAAACGAATGCGTGAATGGGTGGGATTCTTTCAAGCCCAAGGTCTCAAGTACACAAAGCTACCATGCAAACGGGTGTAAAACGTGCAGAGTGAAGGTTCTTTTAGCCAATGGAAAGGATTAAATCGACCAAATCGAAGGGTAAAATGGGGGAAAAGATTGATTTTTGCGCAGAGAAAGCACTTTTTCAAGACTTTGGATCACTTTTTCAAGACTTTGGGTCACTTTTTCAAATCCCGAGGATTTTTGAGTGTATTTACATCATCTTCGTTCGAATTTTAAGAAACGACAAGAGCATAACGTTTAAATAGAGCACAATGAGAAAATATTCAGTCCTTAAACTGAATAACTTTAGAATTGTAAATTTAAAATTTAAGCGCACTTTGCTCAATCTTTAAACTTCACGGGACAAATGCGACCTTTTTTTGCGCACCCGGACATTTGCGCACCTTTTTTCGCGTTTTAAAAAAGCTCTAAAAACTAATATTAACCAATTTCTATTCCAAAAGTTGTTTTTCTAGGTAATTTTAGGGTGTAGAATCGAAATTTTGACATAACAGAGCTTGTGGAACCTGAAAGACAAAACGGTAGTTTACAAATTACAGAAAATTGACCCAATTTTCTCTATTTGTATAACTGCCGTCTTCGTTCAAATTGGTTCCACACGCTTTCTCTGTTATGTCAAAATTTGAATTCGACACCCTCAAATTACCTAGAAAAACAACTTTTGGAATAGAAATTGGTTAATATTAGCTTTTTAGAGCTTTTTTAAAACGCGAAAAAAGGTGCGCTAATGGGCTAAGTGCGGAAAAAAGGTGCGCAAATGTCCGGGTGCGCAAAAAAAAGGTCGCATTTGTCCCACTCCCAACTTCACAACTTCGGGGTGATAGCAAAAGCGTCACGTTTTTGCGCCAAAATTCTTTGCGCCAATTTCATTTGCGTCAAATTTTTGCGCCGTCTATCATTTGCGCCAAATTTGCACTTTTCAACACACTTTCCTACCAACTCTGATTGAAAATTGAATATTTTTTTCAGTTTTTCCTCGTTGATTATGCTCGCTATGTTCCCGCCTTCACCGGCTCTGAAAAAGGCATAAGATTGATATAGTGAGTAAAAAGTTCAATCCGGGACGCAAAAATGACTGTTTTTAAAGTCTGTATAGGTATTTAAACGTGTTTTCTAATTGAAAACAGTGAGATCTAAAATTGTGAAGCAGAAAACTGAAAAAAATTGGTTGGGAAAAAGTGATTTGTTACGGTGATTTTCGTAAATTTGGCGCAAATGATACGCAGCGCAAAAATTTTTGGCGCAAATGATACGTGGCGCAAATAATTTGGCGCTTTTGCACCCCACAACTTCACTACTAAAGTCATATATAATATAATATATGATAGATTTCTTGATTTTTTAAATGTCGTTTTAATATGTTCTATATAATCTTATCCACTTTGCTGAAGTTTAAATTGTTGATTTTTAGGATGCCCATAGAACCGAATGATGTCCCGCGATTGCCCGAAGCTGGAGCCACACAAGTGGGTAACATTTTTTGCTTTGCACAATTGCCGCCTTGCTTTGCCCAATTGCTGCCGTGCTTTGCCCAATTGCTGCCTTGCTTTGCACAATTGCTGCCTTGTTTTGCACAACATTTTGCTTAAAAACTTGGCCCGATACTTTGTGGGTTGGGGGGGGACACTTTTTCTAGGATAATCACTGACACTGAACACGAATTTGGCGCTTTTAGACCCGGTTTATTATCGAAAAACCGACTTTTTTCTTAAAATGACTGTTACGTTTGGGTTTATCAAATTTAGGAAAGCTTAGGAAACAGTGGTTCTTTTCCAATATCGGGGGAGCGGAAAGAAAATCGGGGGAGCGAAAGGAAAATCGGGGGAGCAAATTTTGCCCCCTCGAAAAATGCATTTCTGGGACTTTTATTTTAACTGCAACGTTTTTTTTTAAACTTTAACGACGATGCGCTTCTCCGATATTTGTGCGTTCAAGGAATCGACGGCAATCGATTATTTCGTCACCAAAGGAGTCATCCAGTCGTGGATTTGCAACTGTGGCGAATCGATGAAAGTCCGCTCAAAGGGAAAAGATCTATTTCGCTGGGTATGTGACACTTGCGCACGGCGAAATGTCCCCAAGCATTCAAGAGGAGCGTTCGGCAAAAAGAGAAGGCGGCCGATAGGGAAGGTAGAGGTATGTTTGGTGTTAGATATTTAAGTCACTTTTGTGATCTAATATAAAGGTTGTGAGAATAACGGGTAATTCGCGGATTTTATCCGGATAATATAGGACATATGTAGCGCTGCCAAAAAAATTTAAAAAAAAACGTTGCAGTTAAAATAAAAGTCCCAGAAATGCATTTTTCGAGGGGGCAAAATTTGCTCCCCCGATTTTCCTTTCGCTCCCCCGATTTTCCTTCCGCTCCCCCGATAATCGGACCGCTCCCCCGATATTGGAAAAGAACCGAAACGGTTTATCAAATTTAGGAAAGCTTAGGAAACGGTTTATCAAATTTAAACTGTTTTTTCTTGTTAAACCCCGTCCATTAACCCATTAACCTAGAAATTTAAAATTCAAGATGCGTTTGGAATTGGCTAAAAGATCGCTTAAATAGCTAAATGCTAAACAAATACGACTAATTTTATATCGAAACATGAAACACGAATACAACCTGACAAAAATTTGTATTTAAGGCGAAAAAAAATGCTATTTCGTTGACTTGAATATCATGAAAATGATCTATAAACGTTAATTACCCTTGGCCCTTTTTAAAATCACCGAATTTTGCTATAACTGAGTTATCCTAGTTAAGTTTTGATTTTTTCAAATTCAATCTTGTTACAGAAACCCTCCGACACGGCCGATCACCAAAGATTCGACGAGATGTTGGTTCATTTGACGCCGCTCGGGTGGGACTTTTGCCTGTCAGAGTCATTCAAGTTTAAAAATCGTTTTTATTATGAGAGTAAATTATCAAGCCTTATTTTTTTTTAGATGCACAGTGCCTTACAATGCCGTTTACGACTCAAATGGGAATATCTGGGTGGCCGGAAAAGGTATTTTAACTTTAAACATTAAAAGCTAAAGTAAAACTGACCAACTCTTTCAATAAACTTGCGTAATAGACATATGTTGCTTTATTCTCCTTTTAGGTGGTCTCTTCAAGATTTGTGGCCAACGAAACCATCTACTATGGTCGCAAAAAAACGATTTCCCAAAGAGACAAGCCGCCTACTCTCAAGTCATCATCCACAAGGATTCAATCGTCTACACGATGGCCGATGACAACTCGAAACTCACCGAATTTCGTATCCTCGATCTGAATGGAGAAAAGAAGCACGAGCAATTCATTGATGGACTTGTCCAGGTGCTTTTTTAATTGAAGTTTAATTCTCAACGAAACAAATACTGTGAAACCTTGACTCGATGATCATTTAAGTTTATCGGAAATCTTTAACGGCTACATATATGTTACGTCCGATTCAAATCCGACCAGACGATCATTTCGGATCCGGACGTCCGAATCTGAAATGGTCGTCTGGTCGGATTGTCCAAATCCGACCAGACGATGTAACATGTATATATTAAAATTCAAATCCGATGTAACATGTATATATTAAAATTATTAAAATGTTATTTTAGAGCCTTGTCATCTCGCCAAATGGAACAATGTACATTTCCAAACAACTACAAGGAGAGGACTCGATTGTTTTCAAGTAAGATTTCGCGTTTATATGTATGAGGTTTGACACTACCACTTTAGAACATCGTTTGACTCACCGTTAGGTTGGGAAGAGCTGTGCTCCGATGATGAGATGGCTTTTCAGGTAAATTTGATGAGAAACTGATCTATGGTTAACGAGAGTTATCAATTTTTAGGCTTTATGTATCTACGATGATTCGTTGCTCATTGCTGCTTGTGCCCAAATACCCGTCAACATGTATAGCAAGTAAGAGCTTTGTTTTAATTTTATATTTTAAGGTTAATGTTATTTGATCAAAGAGATCTAGTATTTTCTAGACAATGTCTCAAATGGATTAACGCGGATTCGGGAAAAGTGATCAAGAAAGTCTCTACTGAAGGGAAAAACGACGGAGAGATTTTTTTCCCACGAAAAATGCACAGGTTACTTATTTCTAGTGATTTAATACATGTCTAGGACGTGTAAATTTAAAATTATTGTTTTTAGATCCCAAGACGATATCCTGTTAGTCGATAAAACGGGTCGTTTCATAAAGTTCGACAAAAATGGGCAATTTTTAGGTGAACTTTTTTGATTTATGGTTTTGAACCTATGGTTAACTTATGGTTAGAAACGAACTGTAATCAATTTTGACATTTAGAAAACTCCGCTCAAGTTGACGCCTATTTGGTGAACGGATTTTGTTTACGAGGAAATGAAGAGGCAACGATCGTTTGTAGTGGAGTTGTACAAGATGAGGTTTGTAATAAACTTTTTGATAAGACAAGCCAAATTGAAAGTTTTTGCATTTACTGTATTCAACAAACTTGTAAATTTGTGATTATGTTATTTTTTTTTAGCAAAAACGGACTCTTTGTGATGATTGGTTGGAAGAGATTCGCGTAGATGGGAAATCAAAATGGCGAAAAAAGTAAATGTCTTTTAAAAACACAAAATTTTCATGAATTTTATAGATCTCTTTGTCTTGTTAAGTATTTCATTGTGATATTGTACTCGAGATTTCCAATTTTCAGATTTTCCTTGCCAATTGGTTGTGATTGTAGCGATAAATTACTAAGTTTTATAATTATTCAGCGATAGTCAAAGAAAAAAAGCGCTAGCTCATAGGATTTTCAGAAAAGAGATCGATGTAAAAGTGAAACCCACAATTTTTTGAGAAAGAAATTTTGAGATCAAAGAGGAATCTGACGCAAAGCGCTTTTCGATCGAGTTAGTGCAAATAGAAATTGATTACGGTAACGATCAATTCAAATTCCTATTTGACAATAACTTTATCGATAGCCAATGTTCAATATTTAAAAGTGATAACTTATCGGATTCTTCAAAGAGATTTCTATCCTACCTACAAATTGTTACAAAGTTGAAGAAATATCTTTGCTCTCGACAACTCGCGGGGATTTTTGTTGCCGATTTTTTCGATCTCGGTACAATTTCCGTTTTGCGACGATTTCTTCGTTACGATCGAAAGAAGTTTCCTGAAAATTGCTTTTCAGATAGGCATAAGGCAGGCTACAGTAACCCGGAAGATCTTTTCCTTTCGCTGGGGCTTTTCAATAGGCTTTCTTCTCAGCCAATGCATTTTCTAAAAGACATCTATTTTAGAAACCTACCGTAATCAACCAGTGATCAGAGACACTACAATAACAATGTACATTCAGCCCAATTTTTGTATTATTCAATGCGAGAATCACAAGAATCAATCAATGATACAAAATTGGGCTGATTGAATGAAAAGTGGCGACTATTAATGAAAAATGGCGACTATTTTGATTACTGTAGTTTCTCTACATAATAAAATCGGTTTCAATAGTTGTCTTTTAGAAAACGCATTTGCACTTTTCCACAAACCGGTGTCAACAGCGGCGGTTGATCATCATTTTCGACCGGTTGACTCCAATAACCCGGCGCGTGAAAACCGCAAATGTGTTTCCCGTAAAAAGAGGAAAGTTTTGCGGTTATCTAAAACTTTCAATAATGAAATTTAGCCAAAAGTAATATTATATTGCTTGTTCAAACTCTGCGAGTTTCTCCTCGCTTTAACATAAACGAATTTTTCATATAAGCTACCCTTATGCGAACAAATTCTTATGTTAAGAAATGTTAAGAGCTTACAGAGGTTTTAGACAATTTATGCAACCAACCACAAAAATATTAACCAATTTAATTGAGAAATTGTCCAGAATGACATTTTTCTTCTAAAAACTTTTCTAATTCTAAACTAAAAACTAAATAAAAATTAAGAACTAAATAAAAATTCAAAATTCAAAACTAAAAACTAAAAAATGGGGGGTAGTCAAAACAGCGCCATAATAGAAAACGTTCAAAACAGCGCCGTCAAATTTCTCACAATCCAAAAACCAAGCCGGTTCAAGTTTTATATCAAAAAATTCCTTGCGTTCTTGGCTACATGATGGGTGAAACTGTTTTGAAAAAACATTAATATTTCATAGATAAAAAGAGCACTTAAAATATGTGTCGAGTGATACTCAGTTGGTTAACTGAATATCTTTAGAGACCCATTTTGAGTGCTCTTTTTATCTATGAAATATTAATGTTTTTTCAAAACTGTTTCACCCATCATGTAGCCAAGAACGCAAGGAATTTTTTGATATAAAACTTGAACCGGCTTGGTTTTTGGATTGTGAGAAATTTGACGGCGCTGTTTTGAACGTTTTCTATTATGGCGCTGTTTTGACTACCCCCCTAAAAAATTTTTATACTCGAAATATCCACCAAATAAAATCGACAACTTTTAGATTACGGTAATGGAGACAGACGAAAAATTCTTTTTTTTTTCATTTTTTTTTCATTCCCGTACCTCTTGTTGATTCCATCCCAATTTCCCGTCCTCTTCGATCATTTTCACCAAACGTTGAAAGTTCGCCCTGTCGAGTGTGCTTGGCACCTGGGAATTTAGGCATGAATGAATGTTTAGACAGAATGACGATTACTGTCTAAACAATTTATTGGGTTGGTGAATTGAAAACTGCGGGACTTTGAACTAAAATTTATTCAACAAAAACCATCAATTCATTCCAAATAATTTCCATTATTATTGACGACTCCTGCCCATTTTACAGGCAATTTGCGGATTCCTCTTTCGTGGTAGGATTTTAGTTTGTGTGTGAGACTCAAAAATGAAGGACTGGAGATGTCCCAGTTTGAGCACTTTCTTCAAAAGAAACCCATTTTGGTGTCAATCGAAAAGTTGTAGAGAATCAAAAATTAGGCTTATAGCCAAATTTCCAAAAAGATGCATTTTAAGCGAAACTACTAAGTGCAAGTTTTGTGAAAATTCGTAAATTTGGCACTTCTTGAAAACCAGTTTTTGAATCGTTCTGAAAATTTGGATATAAGCTTCATTTTTGATTCTCTACGACTTTTCTATTGACACCAAAATGGGTTTCTTTTGAAGAAAGTGCTCAAACTGTCACATATGACAATAAGCCGCAGTTTTCAATTCACCAACCCAATAAATTAAAAATAATAATTAAAAAAGTAATTAAACAAATTGGGTTTAATTTCCTTTTACTTTAAATCAATTTAAAGGAATTCCCTCTTGAAATAATAAAATTCTGACGACAGATGACTTTCGGACCGTCCACCGTACACTTTGCCTTTCAGACGTTTCCGCGCCAAACGTCGGAAACTACGGTAACCCGACGCAATAAAAGGACCCCGCCACAGAATTTTTCAGTCTTTCAGTTCAGTGTTTTATTTTCTCAGTCTTTTTTTTCCATTGGCACCAAAATGGGTTTCTTTTGAAGAAAGTGCTCAAACGGTCACATATGACAATAGCCCGCAGTTTTCGATTCACCAACCCAATATTTCTCGAGAGTAACTCGTGGATAATTTGAAAAATGCGATCGTAATCTTCCCCTTCAGCTTTGTCTATTCTACTCAATTTTAATTCTATTCGATGCGAAATCAGACTGTAACATCATAACAAACTGCAACAACAACATAACCGGACCCATAGCGGGTTAAAAACGATCCGACTCTAGATTTAATTTACTTAATTTTGATCCTATTCAATGGAAATCCGAAGCCGGAGTCGAACCCGCGTGGGTTTGAACGTGGGTTGCCTTTTTTGAAACGGCGACACTAACCAATACACCACGGGGAGTGTGGGCGTTCCACCGGGAAAACCCCTTTTGTTTTTGGGCATTTATGCTATTGGTAATTGAGTTTTTATCCTATTCGATGCGGAATCACACGGTGAATCGAATAGGATCAAAATTAAGTCAAATAGACAAAAACTGAATGGAAAATTACGATAGCTTTTTTCAAAAATTATCCACTTTTTAGAAAATATAGTGTGCCAGATTTGAAGCAATTGCAGAACGCATTTTAAAGTTTTGTAGAAAGTTTCAAAAATCAAACATAGACCTTGAAACAGGGCTTTTCGGTCCGGGGAGGGACTGCTGGGATGGCCGAATGGTAGTAGGTTAGAATACAAGGCAAGACCTGTCGGGTTCGAATCCGTCAGATGATTTTTTGTCTTGCCGTCTTGCTTTTTTAGGTTTAAATGGATAGTTGGCCTCGGCGAGAACGGATGGAAAGTTATGCGATGTGAAAAGTCCGATTTTAAGGACTATGTTTGGTCTTTTTTTTCAATAGAAAATGAAATTCTGCCTCAATTGATATCAAAATCAAAAAGATTGGAGTGAAATTGACCGACAGATGGGATTTTTCCGTTGAACACCTATTGACGTTCCCCAGCGAAAATTCCCAAGTCTTCCCAAGTCTTCCGAAGTCTAACCCATTTCTCCCCACTCACCTCTATCGCCAAACCCGTCTTCAATTGGCAAATCTCGCATTTGAAATGTAACTGAAAATAAAGTTGATGAAAATTTGAAAAGAATTTGAAAAGAATTTTCTGAACCTTCCGTTTTCTCGTCGAATTCCCGATATATTCGACTTTGCACGCGGTGAGGCCAGAGTTCTGAAAATGAACTCATTCATGCTTTCGTTTTTGTAAACGCATCCTTTCTAGCGCACTGAAATCTTCATTTTTCTTGCAGTAACAAAGCAAAAAAGAATCGAGTACGCCAGAATTGATGCGTTTACAGAGTTGAAGCCCGAATACACGTTGTTTTCAATCATTTCAAACCTTTCCTCCATTTGTGATCAGTGCTTCGGAGTGAAGTTGTGTCTCGTAGGCTCCCTAAAAGTTTTTGCTTTGTACAAATTCTTGAAAAGCTTTTTGTACTCTTGTTGTACTCTTGTACTCTTGTTGTACTCTTGTACTCTTGTTATACTCTTGTTATACTCTTGTACTCTTGTTGTACTCTTGTTGTACTCTTGTACTCTTGTTATACTCTTGTTGTACTCTTGTACTCTTGTTGTACTCTTGTTGTACTCTTGTACTCTTATTGTACTCTTGTACTCTCGTACTCTTGTTGTACTCTTGTACTCTTGTTATACTCTTGTTGTCTTATTTGTCTTACTTGTCTAACTTGTTGTCTTACTTATTGTACTCTTACTTGTTGTCTTACTTATTGTACTCTTACTTGTTGTCTTACTTGTTGTCCTACTTGTTGTACTCTTGTTGCCTTACTTGTTGTCTTACTTGTTGAATCTCTGTTAATATTGTTGTTTGTTGTTGATCGAGAAGCATTCCATTTGGGACATATCCATTGTAATGAGATGAATGCTCGGCTTGAACCTGAAAATTTGAGAGAATAAGAGATTTTTGCGGACTAGTAATTGAATTTTTGCGGATACAGGTTATGGGCAAGCGTTTTAACTCAGCCGCTTTTTCGTTCCGTTTGCCCATTGGAAAGCGACGTATTTTACTCGTATCTTAGCTGGGTTTGTTTGAAAAATGTTGAGTTTCCTTTCATTTGACTCGAAATCAAATTTTCTATCGAATGAAAGCAAATTCAACGTTTTCCAAATAAACCCAGCCATGGTACGAGCAAAATTCGTAGATTCCCAACGAAAAACGGACCGAAAAAGGACTTGTGACTTTTTCCGAGAAAATCCCGGGTTGGCGCTTTAAAGCGTGGTAAAACTACCGTACCCCTCCCAAAAAGACAGCACGAAATTTCATTTTTTTTCATTCATTTCGGGGGTGGGACAAATGCTACCTTTTTTTGCGCACCTGGACATTTGCACACTTTTTTTTGCTGGAAAAGGCCGTAGAGCTTCAAAGATGTTCCCATATAGGGGAATCGTAGGCGTAGATTCCGAATTTCGACAAATCAGACCTCGCTGACACGTCAAATTTGGGCTAAAAGGCAAAAACTGCGGAAAAGCGTTAAGTTGCGTAGTTTTTGCCTTTTAGCTCAAATTTAACGTGTCAGCGAGGTCTGATTTGTCGAAATTCGGAATCTACGCCTACGATTCCCTTCTGTGGAAACATTTTTGAAGCTCTACGACCTTTCCTAAGGCCTTTTCTAGCAAAAAAGGCCGCATTTGTCCCACCCCCTTCATTTCATTCCATTTTTGAGTTCATTTCGTTTTATACTTTATTATTCTTTATTATTATTCTTTATTATTATTCTTTATTATTATTCTTTATTATTATTCTTTATTATTATTCTTTATTATTATACTTTTTGCATTTTTCTGATATGTTCGCGTTTGTTTTTGCAGGAAACAAAGAACATAAAGCTAACTTACGTTTTTAACAGCATTTTCTTTGGCGAAAGCTTTGTTTATAGAATTCTTTTGACCCATTTGCTTTTTGACGATCTGCTCCACGAGTTTGATGCCAACTAATGTTAATTTAAGTGGTTTTTATCATTTTCTATGGCAAAAGCTTTGTTTTTGTGAATTTTTAGTTGGAAAAACGTTGAAAAAAACGCAAAAAGAGTAAAATGAAATGAACAAGAATGGAAAAAATGAAATTTCACACAAATTGGGAGGGGTAGTTTTACCACGCTTTAAAGCGCCAACCCAGGATTTTCTCGGAAAAAGGGGCAGATTTAACATGACTGGCTGGAGGCCAGTGAGCGGGGCTTCCAAAATGCCTCGGACGCGTTGCCAAAAAAGGATCCTAGGGTTTTCATGTACGCTGATTCTCTCTAAATTTGGTTCCTTATTTCTATGAATTTGGTTTCTTATCTCTCTAAATTTAGTTTAGTTCCTTATCTCTGATTCGATTGGTGATGTTTTGAGAAGCTGTTTGCGACTTATTTCTTCTTATTTTTAGAGTTTTTTATAAACAAACAATATGCAATTAAAACAAGTAATATTTTCTCTTCCCAAAAAAACACACAACAATTTTTCGGAGTTATGCTGTCATTTTCAAAGAGGTTTAAGGTAATGGTCGTCTCAAAGCTCAAAGATACCGTTTCTCATCCGAACCGAACGTTTTATTCGGCTTCAAAGGAACTGATTTTGTTTTGGACGCAACAAATTGAGGGGGGAAACAAACGGATCACCGGGTTGATCAAGTTTTCGGAGTGTTTAACAGTTCTATGCATGTTCGAAGAAATAAGTCGAAAACAGTCGAAAATATCACCAATCGAATCAGCGTACCCGAAAACCCTAAGAAAGCTTTTTGGTAACGTGCCAAGGCATTTTGGAAGCCCCTCGAATAGCCCTGGATCTTCATTTTTCTTTTAACATTATGCTGTTGCTACAAGAAGAAATAAAGAACTCATAATCACTGCACCAGGGTGGGTGCGTTTACAGCACAGCACAAAGTACACGTGACTGCTTCATCTTGATCATGATCCATGAAATCATCAAAATTCATACCTCAATATTGAGAAATGTAGCCTCATCACAGTGATTTTCACTTCCCGACATTGGTACCGTACCCTGGGCTAAAATTGACATGGTTTTACATGTAAAACGAGCAATTATAAGCTAAAATTGCTAAATTGCTAAATTTAGATGCAAAATGCGATTGCTACTTTACTTTACTTTACTTTACTTTACATTGCTGCTCTATCTCATTGCTACTCTCGTTGCCAAATTTACATCCAAAGGATCTACCGTACAGTTGGAATTAGGGCAGAGCTCAAAAGCTCGTGCGTCGCCGGGACTCGAACCCGTCACCCCTTTGCTTACCAGGCGCCTGTGTTAACCATTACACCCCAACGCACTTGATCTCCCTTGCTCCAGAGGAAGTTAACTGTACTCCTATACTCTTTACGGTGGACTGTAACTAAGGTAGTACTAAGACTGTAACTAAAGTGTTTCCCGCAAACAAACCAATAATAATGAACGAGTTTCCCTCTCCATCTTTATAATATGTTTGTGAATGTTGTCTTCCATCAATCTCTTCATAATATAAATCGCTTGTCGAGGCTGTCGTTTGATCGTTTTCCCTTCTTTCATTTTCTTCATTTTTCAATGCTGTTGTTCTCCCGATTGGACCATCCACTGGAAAAGTTTTTGAGTGTAAAAAGTCGGCTAGTAAGTCAGCTAGTAATTCAACTAGTAAGTTAGCGTGACCTAGTAAATTTCAACTAATCCATTTTCTTAGCCCTTTCCCTTTCTCTTTCAATCGCAGGAAACTGGCTTTGCTTAACTTTGCTTAACTTGGCTTGACTGCTTGGCTTGACTGCTTGGCTTAACTGCTTAGCTTAACTGCTTAGCTTAACTGCTTAACTTAACTTGGCTTGACTGCTGGCCTTAACTGCTTGGCTTGACTGCTTGGCTTAACGGACATTTTCGGCATTAACGTCATTAACGGCTTAACGGACATCCTGGACATCAGAATACTTTAGCTTTTTTTTTTCTTCCTGAACTTGAAACTCACTTTCCAAATATGTAGTCGTTTCGCCATTTTGTAGTTGCTCCGAGATGTAGGCCATTAAAAAGGAAAAATTGCTGAAAAGGCTGAAAAGTATGAAATATCAAATTGAAAAATCATTAAATTTCGAAAGAAAAGAATTGTAAGTAAGTTTTTCAAAAAAAAAAAAAATTCAAGATGTCTTTGGAAAGGTTTGGCTTTGGAAATCTTCAAAGATTCTGCTTCAAGCTTCAATTTTTTCTTCAATTTTCCCCCAACAGTCAGCACCATTTCTCGTGTATTCAAAGATTCTGCCCAAAGGAAAGGTTAAACAAACGTTTTAAGAAGCTTCAGAAGAAGAAGAAGAAGAAAAAGAAGAAGAAGATAAAATGTCAAACAAAATGCTCATCAAAATTTCATTTTGAGCATTTGAGTACTTTAAATGTATAGTAGCTAATTTCTAAATGCCGAAACATTAGTGTTCAGAGAGAAAAGAGAGAGAGAGACAAAAAAGGGGGGCCCTCAGAGGCCGAGCAATGCCTCAAAATGGGAAGAAGAGGATGGCCGATCGATGAATGAAAAGAAAAAAAAGGGGAAAGGGGACACTCACACAGAGAACAGACAGTTACCCTCTCCGCCATTGACTCTTTTAGGGACAAATCCTTTTCTTGAGGTCAAAGAGTGAACAGTTTTGCTAGTAAAAGGGTCTGCTAGTAAAAGACCTCTCAACTAGTCCGTTTTCTAAACTGTGTTCCCTCCCTCTTTCTAGTGTAATCTTCCCTCTATTTTTATCCAATCTATCCACTTTTTCTCTTTCAATATCCTTTGCGTCTCCTTACAAAATCAGACAGAAAGTGGATAGACTCTGAGTAAAAAATAGAGACAAGATTACGGTAGCAAGGGAAAAAACACGTTTTGGGAGTAAAGAGGAACTCATTACAGAGCTACGTAACTGGGGTACGGTAGCTCTGAAGAGCTACCGTACCCCAGTTAGTACTAATAGTACCGTACCCCAGCTTGGGATTAAGGTACTATTAGGTACAGTAAGCAAAGTAGCGATTAACTAGAAAATATAGTGCTTTCATAACATGACATTTACTATACACATAGCCGAAAACCTGGTACGGTAATGAGTTATGTTGTTCATGATATAAAGACTTAGCGTCTCTTAAAATTTTTAACCTTAAACATTTCAGACTCGCCAATCCGTCGAGAAAATATTCGGGATGGGGGTTTGTTTTTTATTTTTTTTCATTTCTCCTTAGTATCCCGAATCTCAGCTTCAACTGATAAACAATCCAAACCAACAAAATTGTCCTCCAGTATTTATTTACTGAAACTATTCACACACAACAATAATTGATCTTTTCAACAAATTTCTTTCTCAATTCTCAATCTAAATGCCATTTAACCGTATCGATTTTATTTTTGAGATGTACTTTGTGCTCAACGTAGCTTCTCTTCAGACTCGGCTTCATTCGCCTCTCTCTCTACATTGCCCATTTCAATCTAAAAGCCCTGATATTGAAAGTTATCAAAAATTTTACCAGGATCTCATTGACTGCAGGTGACGCTAGAAGTTTGGCTTGCACAGGTGTTAAACTTGGAGACAAAATTCGCAACTCGCTCGATCCATCCAAGTTTGCTTTAGTACTAAAGCAAGAATGTGCTTTTGTATGAATTGACAATGTACCGTAATTGTAAGCTCTTCTTTGACACGTTCAGGTGTTCGGCAGCATATTCAAGTATCCAGGAAAGCGGAACAGCCTAAAAAAAATGCAATAATTGGCAAACTTTCTCTTGACCTTTGTGTGCTCTTTGTTGTAAAAAAAACTTACATCAGACTCAAGGATGGACACCGAGTCGAATCCAACATTTGAAACGTTGTTGATGAGCAGAAAATCATACAGAACCAAATCATCGACCTCTTTGACCTGAAAAAAATAAAAATGAGTATTCGAATGCTTTAAACTCACCTTCTCATCTTTCTTAACATTCTTTTCGTCACTTTTTGTCAAATTATCGATGAGTCTAAACAAAAATATTAATTAAAAAGAGAAAACACAAACTTTTTGAGTTCATCCGCTTTGTTTGTGTTGCAAAAGTCGAGTGCGTCGAGGTCATCACGTTTCTCAATTTGAGTCACTAAAACAAATGATGTTTCAAAACTAGCGCTGAGTCGTTACTTTGACGAAGCCCCTTCTCCTCAAGTTCTTTGATTCGGTTCAGACGCTTTCTAAGCTTTCTTGGAGATGTATTTTAAATAAACAAACTTGTCGAATTCGGCCATTTTGTGCAAATTGTCGGCAACGTTGAAGCTTTTCCAATCGTCGACGCTGAGCGTGTTCAAGGTATCATTTTCTGGATTTTCTTTGCGCAGATCGGCCGCTTCTAACATTCATTTTTATTGCTTAACTTTTATAATTTTTACCTTTCAACGTTTTCTCGACAGTTTCTTTGGAAACTACATTTTTGGAAAGTCTTGGCGGCCACGCTCCTTCACCCGTTTCTTCCAGAATAGAGACCTAAATAATATTAAACATTAGCAACTATGGCTAAAAAGAGCAAGGCTCTCATAGTCCCAACTATCTCACAAAGTACCACCTCGGCGTCCTGATTTTTTCCGTTTTGTTGGCTTACTTCGCCATCACCCGTTTGAGATGAATAAAATGAAGAAGACGCCTAAAAAGATGCTTAGAAAAGGAAACTCTCAAAGAAACAAACGTGTTGCCGATCAAAGTTATCGATGAGATTTGTGTAGTACCCGCCGTCCAATCCATCGTCATCGTCATCAGAACTTAATAAGATTTCATAGCTAAAAAAAAGTTTTAAGTAAACAATAAGCAAAAAGCAATACGAACCAGATCTTTTTCGATTGCGAGTCTATGTTGTTGTCCGATGATGTGCGTTTTGCCATTCACTAAACGTTTGGATTAAGTTTTTCGTAACGCTTTAAACAAGAAAAAGTTAAAACTGAATAAAAAGTCTCAAAAAGACTAAAAAAAACTTAATAGATATCAACAATTGCAACAAAATGACACCAAAATCATAAAGATTGGCCCGCTTAGAAGGACGTTATGGCGAGTTGCGCAAAAAATTTGGCGCAAAGTAGCCATCCCACAAAAAATTGTCCAATTAGTGAGGGTTTTCTTGCAAGTGTTTCATTAGATTAAGCTTAAAGCAATGATTCGCTTAAAACAATGATTCAATGATAAGATTACCTAAACCAATAACACTTTAATATTTCTCTGCTTCTGTCTATTACCTTATTGAATTTCTGTATTCGAAAACGCGCGTGCTATGAGCGCTCAATGTAGCCATGCGTAGTGAGCATTTTCAAATTTTTGAATTTTCAAAAATCGGTCCTCTAACACGTACTTTAACGCGTACTTTACTTACACGTGGGTAAAATAAAATACAATCAAACCTCAATTTATTGATGTCAATTTTTGGTCCCTTGAAAGCTATTTATCTTCTAAAGACGCTCGATTTAATGATTTACTCGATTTAACGATTTACTCGATTTAACGATGGAGAATCCCGGTCCCTTAAGAATCGTTAAATCGAGGTTTGCCTATAAAAATAAAAATGATGGAGAGTGGGACAAATGCGACCTTTTTTTTGAGCACCCGGACATTTTCGCACCTTTTTTTCCGCACCTTGCCCATTAGCGCACCTTTTTTCGCGTTTTAAAAAAGCTCTAAAAAGCTAATATTAACCAATTTCTATTCCAAATGTTGTTTTTCTAGGTAATTTGAGGGTGTAGAATCGAAATTTTGACATAACAGAGCTTGTGGAACCAATTTGAAAGACAAAACGGCTAGATCAAATTACAGAAAATTGTCGATTTTCTCTTTGTATAACTCCGTCCGTTTGTTTCCACAAGCTCTGATATGTCAAAATTTCGATTCTACGCCCTAAAATTACCTAGAAAAACAACTTTTGGAATAGAAATTGGTTAATATTAGCTTTTAGAGCTTTTTTAAAACGCGAAAAAAGGTGCGCTAATGGGCAAGGTGCGTAAATGTCCGGGTGCGCAAAAAAAAGGTCGCATTTGTCCCACTCCCTCATTTTGCAGGTTTCTATTCCCAATTTCTTACAACTTTTGATAAAAAAATGTAAAAGTTACGAATTGTTAATTTGTTGAGCCTTTTAGCTTATTATTAATTATATTTTCTGTGTCTTGTAATTTGTTTCAATTAATTTCACAATACTTTTATTTAGCTTCCCAACAAGCCGACGAGAATGGTTGTTTTAACCGATGTGACTCTACCAACGGAGGGCGTTCGAATTCAACAACCCCAAGTTTCCGCGTATTTTGGTGAGAACTGTGTTGGACAAGGAACCCTTACAATTGCTGAAAGGTGAGTTTTGCGATTTTAAACCTTGAAAAGTAAAGTAGTAAAAATCTGCTTGAAAAGTAAAGTAGTAAAGAGAAGTTAAGTCAACTTTGACTGGTTTTGAGTATACTAAAAATTTTGTAAGTGTTACTGATCAGACAAAGTTTTTGCTTTTAGTGCCGTTGCATGGGTTGAAAGAACATCGGGAAAAGGCTTTACTTTGACGTATCCATCGATCATTCTTCACGCCGTTTCAACCGATTGTTCTTCGTTCCCACACGAATGCGTCTTCGTACTTGTCGATTGTTCCAGAAGTGGTGAGCGTTTTGTAGATAAAGAAAGACTATAAGAAGTTGTAGTGGACTGTTTGAGAAAGTTCTTGTAAAAATAAGTTTAGCTCCTCGTCGGCGAGCTAGAGATGTACAGTTTATTACCGCCGACGAGGCTAGGACGTCTCGTGGTGAGGGAGGTACAGTTTAAGCCCTCTTGAAAAAAAAAACCTGTGTTATATTTTTTTGTTTTCTTGTTAACTTACAACTTTAGCCTTGGAACTCGAGGATACCGAAATGGACGGAGATGACGATGACGAGGACGAAGGACCGAAAAATGTTTCGATTCGATTTGTTCCTGCCGATATGAGCATTTGTGAGTTTTAAATTCAAAGCAAACAGTTAAACTTTAGAAAATTTAGTACAAGAAGTATACAAACAAATGTCAGAGTGTCAAGAGCTCAATCCAGAGGATAACAGTGATTCAGAGGACGGAATGGGGGAATACGAGGGTCTCGGGGATGGATCCGATGGAAGGTTGGATATCAGTACGCTTAGGGTTGTTCGAAAAGAAAGATTTTAGGGCCGTGGCAGGCCAAATTTTAGCGTTAACACCTTCAAGCTTGATTTATCTTTTAGCTTTTAGAACAATTTTAGAAATACTATAATACTTGTGGTACCTTGGATATCTAATATGCTTCTCTTTAGATGGTTCACGGCGGATAATATTGGTGGTGCCGAGTTGAGCGAAGAAGGTTTGGCCAATCTACAAAGAATGATGGGTGGTGGTCGAGATGGACACAACGGAAGTAATGGACATGATGACGGTAAATTTTTGTGTAAATAGCAATACGGCAATAAAAAATTGAAAGCTTTTTTAAAACTTTATTTTTTAGATGAGCATGGTGAGATGGAGGAATAAACGAGCCAATAAATAATCAATGTATGTTGATCTCTTGTCATTTTTTGTGTGATTTTTGAATTCTTCCGGTGTTTGTTTTGCGAATAAAGAGTTTTATTTCAGTGATGAAATGATTTTTTTTGGTTAAATTCCAAATTGATACTAGAATAAAACCAAAATCTGAGCGTTTTACAAAATGATCGGTCAGTGATGGAGTCCAGCTCTTTGGCGGGCGGTGTGCTGCACTCGTTGTCGGCCCGGAAGTGTCACAGCGCTTTGGACGCGGCAAGAACATTGTTGAGACATGGTGAGTTTTTATTATAAGTTGATAAATAACATTTGTATGCATTAAACTTTTCATTTTATTATTACCGCCCGAGTAGAAGAATCGATAACTGGTTAACTAAAAGTTCTTTTCAGGTGAAGCGGTAAACGCGGAATACAATGGGACGACTCCACTTCACATCGCGGCTCAAAACGACAACCTCGAGATGGCTCAAATGCTACTTCATTTTGGCGCCGATCCCACTCTATTGGACAAATTTGGAAGAACGTCCCTTGATGTTGCTACTGGGAAAACAAAAGAGTAAGTAAAATTTTCTAAGCAAATACAAGCCTTCTTAGATTTCTACTTCGCATGCTTGCTTTGCCACAAAAGAAACGAAAAGGGATTCTCTACCGTATTTTCATCTGTCACACTCGCTCACTGTTTAGCGGGTTGATGAAAAAGGCAAGGAAAAATATTAGAAGGTAATTTTTATAAATCGACGCATTAATCTTAAAGTTTAGAATTACTTCAGCGACTCATCTTCGTCCTACTTCAATCTCCGATCCTCCGTTACCAAAGGATAGACATGATCGTAAGTGAAATCATGACAACAAAAAAATTCTTTTTTAGCTCATCCGCCTACAATGATATTTGAGGATGATCCATTACCGCTGGAGAAGTTTGTACTACCTGGGACACCCTTGACAAGTCGAACTCCACCGGTGCCCAGCTCGGATTGTGTGACGACGAAAAGGGGAGGAAGACCCAGGTTTCTAGCTTTTCTTTACTTTGCATAATGAAAAGCTAGTAACAGTTAACATGAAAATATTAATTTTTTCAGAGCACGAGTTATTCCAGCGAGTGCAACGAATCAAATTTCCGCTAAGCGAGTGCGAGCACATTCGGTGGACGACAATTTACTGGAAATGAACAAAGCTTTGAGTCACAAGGCGTCAAAGGTATTTTTGCATGTCCTGATTTATTGAAAAAGTTTTAGAGTTCACGCACGCCCCGCCAAGTTCAAACGCCAAACAACAATCATCAAGTCCAAAAAGTTCACTTCAAAACTCCACGCACTAGTAAGAAAATAAGCAGTTTACATAAAAATTCAAAATTTAGCCAAACCACAGGGTGGCCTTACTTGGACTCCATCAAGAAACGTGAACACAACCCCTAGAGCACTTAAGGTAACATTTTATTACTTGCAAATACTATTCAACGTTTAGTTACCAACTCCAAAAGCGAAACCATCAGCTCCACCAATGGAGCCTGTAAAGTGAGTTGTGGAAAATATTTTTCGAGGCTCTTCCTTTTTAGTGTTTCTTCTGACGCCTATTTTACAGCTGACGATAGTATACTTGATGAACTGGAAGCAAGAATTAGACAGGTTTCTTACAATTTTGAATTTGATAACTATATTCATTTAGATCAAAATAAATGACCCGGCAGCCGCTCGAATCACCAAACTTACAGACCATCAACTAAGAGGTAAAGAGCTAACAATAAACTATTCAAAAGGTAATTAATATTATAGCTCAACTTGCCATTGCTGGGATTTCCGCTGGGCCAATAACACCTGAGACTCGCAAGGGATATGAGAAGAAGCTAATTCTATCACACGGGCATACGGTTGGTTATTTTAATGTTTTGTATTAAATTACTACTTATTTCAGACGGTGAATTCTAAATATAGCGGCCCACTTCAATTTGCGTTGGATGGAAAGCCTTCTGAAGATGGAGATAAAGTAAACTGTGCTAATTAGTTTATCATCTCTGAAATTTAGTTGGATCACATTTTACGACGCGAGCTCGACGATGGGGCTCGACAATTTAACTATATCCTCTTGGATCCAAGAGCAGTTGACGATAAAGAAGTTATAGTTGATTGAAAATAATTTGCTAATCATAACTTTAGGTCACTTTGGATTCTTTTATCGCTGCGATATTTTACGTAGGGAAGGGTACTGGAGAACGACCGTTGTCTCATCTTATCGACGCGAAGGTTGCTCGAGAAGCGAAGACTCGTCCAGGCGAGAAAAAGGTTGACAATTGTTTTATGGATAACTCAAAAAATATTTTTAGAAAATTCACAGCGATAAAATCGAACGGATCAATCTAATTTGGAGTTCTGGCGTTGGCGTAATTCAGCTCGAGATAGGAAAAGGTGTCGGTGATCGATTGGTACGCTTCAACTTGTCTTTCATAGACATGAAATTTTAGGCTCTGACGCGAGAAGGATGTATGATGTTGGCAATCGGATCCAACAACTTGACGAATAAACGAGTAAGTTTAAATATTTAATGGTGGGACATATGTGTACTTTCAGTAGTGGGACATATTTTAAATCTAATGGCTAGAGCTTGTTTATTTTAGTTCCTTTTAGGGAGGAGAATTTCACGGAGCAGCTCGTACGTGGGACAATCGAAAGCGCGCCATTTACGGAACCTATCTCATTCTCAGGGCACATAAAGTCTTTAATGCAGGTAACAGAATCTTTTTCTTTTCCAAGATTTTCCGCTCTTGAGATCGTCCTCAACAAATCATGCCCCGAAATGTGCCCGATCAACTTTTTGGAGCAGCGAAGAAGAAATAAGGCCCTCATTTTTTTGTTAAATTGGGTATGTAATTATTGTTGACCTTGTCATTGCTTTAAGCACTTATTCTTGTCTTTCTTTATGTTTGCTAATATGTGATATTTGCTCAAATTGATTGTTTCATGGTTGCTAACCAATGTATCGATTGTAAATATTGAATATTTTGGTATTTTCCCCATAAGTGAATAAAGTGTTCTTCGAGAGTTTTATGAAATCGAGTGGATGTTTTGGTACCATTTGTGATATCTTAAGAAAAATTAATGAATTTCTCTAGGAATTTTTGTAGTCGGTAGCAAGTGTTGAAAGTTTGATGGTTCTTCCCATGTCATTATGGAATTTTTTTAGACGAATGTCTACAAAAGAACGGCTCTCGTTACGAAGTGCTGCGAGGAATGTGATTGAAGGCCCGAGACGCCTCACTTCAAAGCCGACACGAGATGAGGAAAGTGGACCGTCAACGTCAACTTTTAACGATGCTCCTTGTTTTGAGGTATTTTATGATTTTACTGGGTGCTATAGAGATTCATACTGTTTTGAGGTAGATGAAGTAGAAATTTTGTAGAAATTGTCAAAAGTTGGTCGCCTAATTACTTTGATATTTTAGACTTTTGCCTCCCATTTGAGCGAGAGCCAAGCTTTGGTGAAGTTCGAGGAAGATGTACGAGTGGGCGATTTACTTCTCGTCAAAGTCAAGAGGTCCATTTTCTGCTAAGCTTCAAGCCAATTTTTACCAAGATTCGACGCGGCTGGTGCTTATGTAAGACCACTTTGTGCTTTAAATCGAGTTAAACGCGATTTGGAGTGGTTAGACATGCAAGTGAGTTTTCAGAAATTTTTGAAGGCTTGAAGAGTTTCGTTGCTATCGATTAGAATTGTCTGAGTTACTTCATGCGAATTATAATTGCAGCGTAATTATTCTTTAGCTATTGGCACCACTGTCTCCAATGCAACGTCGATTCCATGTTGGGGAAAAGTTGATCGTCGACGTAGTAAGCGTCAACCCAATTCGAATAACCATCTTTGATGTAGGTATTTATGCTTTATGTTAGCAATATAAAACAAATCATATTGCTCAAAAATTTCAATTTTAATTTGAACTCTTTTCAATATATTTTTGTTGAGGCACCCACAGCTGAATGTATTCCACCACCATATTTCAGGTAATCGAAAACATTTAAGAAATTGTAATTGATGGTTTAGCGCTTCACGCGAAGTCGAGGGGACTTCATTTTGGAAATGGGTTAGCCGATTGTCACGAGTTGAGAATCCGTACTTGGAAGAGCTTCTTCAAATGCCCATACGTTCTTCACATACTTTTCTCGAACTAGAAGGGATTGAAGAGGTAACCGATTTACGTCTACTTGCCTATTTAATAGTTTGTTTTAGGATCAAGTTGAAACGGCCACAATTTTACGAAAACGTCAAAATAGAACGATGGCCCTTGAAATGGTGGCAAAGGGGGTACAAGGTTAGAAGTTCCATATTTCCTGTTTTACTCTTGTTTAAGCTTTAAAAGACGGATTTGGTCTCACGGGTGCTGTTCCTCTTTTCAATAAAGCTCTGGATTGTCACGCGGAATGTGTGGAAGCATTTGTTGCTAGAGGAGCAGCGTAAGGAATCCAATCTTTTGAGGAAACTAAAATATCTTTCAGCTATGCCAACGCGGAAAAACTTGAAGAGGCTGTTGAAGATCTTGAGAAAGCATTGAATTTGAACAAAAACGCCAAGAATGCTTCGACTTATCTATACGAGATTTTGCTGAAATTAGCTAACAGGTTTCATATTTTTTGCTGCTTTCTTAAAACTTTAATTCAGATTAAAAGTCGAAGGTTTACAAGATGAAGCAGTGGCGAAGCTGACTCGATGTATTGATCTGAATTCGGAGGACAAAAGAGCACACTCTATGCTCGAATCGTTGGGAGTCAAAACTTGGAGGTACTAGTTTTGACAGCGCAACTTAATTTACAAAAGAAAGCGTTTAGTAATCGAGATGATAGAGATTCTAGTGTGGAAATTGTTATTGGGGAGAATACGCATGCTTCAAATGGGAAAAACAAGGTAAAATTTGCACTCCGGCTTTTTAAGCAAACTTTATTATTTCAGAGAACTCTTTCACGAGATGAAGAACCCGATCTTCAGAAGCGAAGAAAAAATGAATTGATGAAAGAAGAAGAGAAACGAGCAAATCGAGAAAAATTACTAGAATTTGAGCGTCTCATTGCTGCGATGAAAGGACAATAGTTAAAATTAAAAATTTTTTTATTATATTCGCTTTAGAATTAATAAATTTGCCTCATATTTTGAGTTTATGAATAAATATTTGTAAAATCTTGTGGTTTGAAGTTTTCATGAAATAAAACCGAAAGTTTCTTTTGAATTGCTATTGGTAGTTTTTAAGTTTTAATGTGGAACTTTAGCTAATGGAACAGCCACAGTCAAGGCTGCAAAAGAAGAGAGAGCGGAAAAGAGCGGAGGCACAACGTTTGCAAGAGGTAAATTTGAAAATAATGATTTTGCGAACTTTCAAAATAATTCACATTTTTTTAGGAACAACGGCATGATCGAGAAATGAAAGCAGACAAAGCGAGTGAAGCCTTTTGGAAAGCTTTTGAAGACGAGGAGAAACGACGAAATTTGCGAGCAATCGTTCTGCCAAAACTTTTCAGGTAAAATTTGCTTATGATGCCGACTAATTTCTATCGAAAGCCTCTGATTCTTGTTGTTGCCTGGATTGATGCTGCCATTAAGGTTTGCTCTTTAGTTCTCTGAATTTTAAAGTTTTCAAATCTTTTTAAGTTCTGTTTTAAGATCAGATTTTAAGATTCATTTATTTTGCTGATCTTTGTTGATGCTGTGCTGATTTTGCTGTGCTGATATTTGCTAAATCTGCCACTTAATTCCACTTTCATTAATTTCCCTGCTTTATTTGCAAATTTTAGACCAATCGACACCCGACAACAAATTTCTGCCGAACAGTTGGACACATCGATTCGAATAGGAGGATTTATAAAGAAAAATGAATAAATAATCTACTACTATTTTCTATTTTTTTTTAATCAGTTCTACTCGTTTATGACGGAAGATTTTCTCAAATTTCGCAATTTTCGCAATTTTAAACTGTTTGGCATTTCTGTACTTATAGTTTTTTTAGATGACTGACGTGAAACTTCCATTCGGCCGATGTTTGTGCATTCACTCGCATCTACAATTTGTCGATGTCGCTTTACAGGTACCGATAATGTTATTCTGATTTTTATTTTTACACGTATAAGGTGTAGTATTTTTGCATGATCTCTGGAAAATCAAATTTTTTCAATTTTAAATACCATTTTTAGTCTCTTCTGCTGCATCACGGCGTGTTACCTGTTCCATTGGAGACGATCACCGAGACGCCTTCATCGAGTCTTCAGAAAACGATTAGAGGAATTGATGCGGTAAGTCCGGCGGTTTTCCATTTCAACTTTCAATCTAGATAGTTGAAAAAAACAAAGTGGAATTTTTGACTTTTTTTATGTACAAAGCTTTAAGATATCTTTTGAGATAAAATTATGATGTAACTTCTGATGATGTAGCCAAAACTTTCGGACTTGTTGATGATTTTGACATTTTTATGAACTTTTTTTGCAGAAAGAGTTTAAGAACAAATTTTTTTGAAGCAACAGTTTACCTCGAGTAGTTTGTTATTCTTTGGCGGTTATTGTTTTCAAATGTTTAGGTCCGAACAGAGCTGAAAGAAGTGTTTCGCTCGGCGAGAAGGCGCAATGTTCAAGCGGTTCGTGTTCACATTGGATCAACTCCGCACAGACCATCTTACGTTTATGGTACGTTTTTAAAAGTTGGACTTATCAGTTTTGCTATTGTAGAACCCAAATACCTACTACTTTATTTATTTTTAAGAGCTACCGGTCTCAATTTGTGACGCTGACGATTCGACAATGAGCGATTGTGGGACTTGTTGTCAAGTAAATATTTGAAGGTTTATTTTTTAAGATGATTTAATTTAAGGAACTAACCAATGCCGAAAAGAGGACCCTAAATCGACACTTCTTCACAACATTTCCGGTGCTCGGCGAAAAAGTTTCGATTCTTTTTCGACGTTTCAATCGAGGGTTTTAGGCGAAACCACACGATCGAGCATTTCTCTTCATACAAACGACATCAAATGTGATCAGCGAGAACTTGGAAGAGACGTGGGTGACTTTTGACAAAAAGTTTTTGAATTCTCGAAAATTCTAATTTTTAACCTGAAAACGAAGAATTTCTTTTCAGCGAGCTCGACGTTGAAAGCCTCGATTCGAAGACGAAACGAATTCATCTTAAACACGAGGGATGCCAAAAACAAAGTGAGAATCGAAGTGAAGAATCGACGAAAAATGGATGGATACGTGTTGTTCCATTTATTGTTTCGTCTAAAGATTGAATCCTTACTATTGTGATTTGCCCGTTTCAATATCCAGACTCTTAATTCGATTATTTTTGTTACCCCAACTCTGTTGTTTTAATTTTCAACTTATTGTTATTGTGATCTCGAATGAAGAAACCTCAAAGGGGTCGATAAATTACACCCGCATCAAGTAACAACCAAACGTCAGTGACTGAATCCACCTATTCCGGAACAATGCTCACAAGATTGCCAATTTACTCGTACATTTAATCATTTTGTTATCTTGTGATCGTTTCTTGCTACAAGATTTATGCAAAGTATGCAGACGGAAAGTTAAATATAACGAAGGAAATAAACAAAGTGAGATCAGAGGTAACAAAAATTAGAACTTGTCGAAGGCTTCAATTAGTCGATCCTCCCCCGAAGGCCTTCAATTCCTTTGTGTAGCGTTCCTTGTCAGCCTTGGCTTTCTCCTCCCATTCGGACTTGTCCTCGAGTTTTTTCCATTCAGCACCGGCTGCCTAGAATGAAACTACCTATACTAACTGGACGAATCACAAAGCTTACCTTAAGAACCTTATTAGGTTTGACGGTTTCGGCGAGACGGGAGCGATTTTCGCCAAGCCTGATACAAGATAAACTATACGAAACCAGTGAAGACAAACATTACCAGATAAAGTAAGCCGTGAGGTTTCGCTTGGGAGCACCGCCACCATTCTTCTGTGAGACCCTTGGCACTTCTTGCGAGTCACTTTCTTTAGTTGATCGAGCCATTTGTTCTCTGAACAAAAATATCTAATAACTTTTTCCCAAGCTTTGCTCGGAGCACATCCATAAAATCGGCACAATTAGCTATCGTTACACAAAAGTTACAATAATTAAGTGTTGAAAACACCACTAACTTCATCCAAAACTCGCGAAACAATTTATTGAACAGGGGGTTTAAATTAAATTGGAAAGTGATCAAAAACAGAGGAATTCTTTAAAGTAAGAGCCAAATGGGCAAATCAACGTAATGCAAGGGAACAAATAAGCAATAATAATAGCAACAGTAATAGCAATGATAGCAATAACAAGTCGAAGCCGAGGATTTATTTTGAGGCCTTGTGAACTTCCATTTCCTTCGAATATCGCTCTTTGTCAGCGCTGGCTTGTTTCTCCCACTTTGAACGATCTTTGACATTTTTCCATTCAGCTCCGGCAGCCTAAACAAAACGCTAAAATTTTATCCAAAATCTTAATTATTCGTTTTTATTTCTCATTCACACAGTTTGCAATAATTCTACTAGTCAAGATAGGATCTTGCGTGTAAAGACTCGCAGCCATTCGATAGTACCATAAACCTTCAGCCATGTCAAAATTAACAGTCAATTTTAATGCTCTTAACTAATCTAATCAAAAAAAGTTCTAAAGATAAAGTGGCAATTCAAAAACAGTCATACCTTAGCCACAGCAGTAACGGACATTCCAGGCTTGGTGAGGCGAGGGCGGTTTTCGGCAAGCCAAAGCATGTATGCAGAGAGGGCTCGCTTGGGCGCCTTCTCCTCCTTCTTCGTCGGCTTGATGATCGGTGTTCCCGCGTACATGCGGGCTGTTTGTTTCTGCCTTGCAGGTGCCATCTGAAAAAAGGTAATGAATTCAAGAGAGCAGATTCAAAAAGAGAAATAGTTGAAAGGGCTGCGTTATCTAATTGGGTTAATCGATAGTCAATTGATGCTAATTGATTGAATGCACTCAGACTTAAATGAAAATAAACGTTCTTAAAGCAGATAAAAGTTGGGTTCAGATCCGCAAACATGGGGCTGGGGCAATTGCGACGTTTTTTGCGCAACTTTTTCCGAGTTTTAAAAAAGCTCCCTAAAACTAAATATAGAACACATTGTGAACATTTGGAGTGGCTACTTTGCGCAACTCTCCATAACTTTCTTTTAAGTGAGCCAATCTTTACGATTTTGATTTCATTTGGTATATCTCAACTTAAACAAAGCTCCTTAAAACGAAATATTGAACGTTTCGTGTTTAAAAAGTTGATTTTCTGGGTAGTTTGAGGTATGTTTGTTAGGAGATCCCCCTTGCGCATTTATCAGATTGCTTCTAAACATTTTGAAATGTCGATATTCGGATTCTACGATATTCTACGATATTCTACGACCCCTTCTAAGTAAGCTAATCTTTATGATTTTGATGTCATTTTGTAGAGCTCAACAAGTGTAACAAAATGACAAGGTTTTCGGTGTAGTTTGGGGTTGTAGAATCCGAATATCGACATTTCAAAACGATTAGAAGCAATCTGGTAAATGCGCAAGGGGATCTCCTAACAAACATACCCCAAACTACACAGAAAATCAACTTTTTAAACACAAAAAGGTTCAATAATTCGTTTTAAGGAGCTTTTTTTTAAGTTGAGATGTACAAAATGAAGTCAAAATCGTAAAGCTTGGCTCGCTTAGAAGTTTATTAGAAGAGAGTTGCGCAAAAAAGTTGGCGGAAAGTAGAAATATGCTAGAAAAATTACCCGCCAAAGCGCTTTCGAAATAAAGATATTCAATCGAAAAATTGAAATGTTTAGGCTTTGTAAGGGACCTGAATCACTTAATTAATTGAATATCCTTTAGTTAAAAGTATAAAGTATGGTATAAAAGTCTGATTCAATCTTCACAACTGGGTGTGGCTACTATGCGTCAAATTTTTGGCGCAACTGGGTCATTTGCGCAACTACCGTAAATACTGTAATAGTACCCCACCCCTCTCGTACAGTCGCGTAGTCGCTAAAGTTTTTTAGTATTTATGAATACAAAGTGGGCTCTATCACAAAAAACGATCTTTAGGGGCAAGACAAGCGAATAAGTGATATTCAAAATCAAAGCATCGAATAGGATTTCACAGAAAAGAGCTACTTTTCTGTTTTCTGCACATCATACATAAGTAATCGAATTTCTTTAGCTATAACTTTTAGCTAGTATGTTTGTTAGGAGATCCCCTTGCGCATTTACTCGAAATTTTAGCTATAACTTTAACATTTTATGGCAAAAAAATCCTATAGAAAACGCATTCTCGCGCGGATGTGCCCCCTTTTTAATTGTAACGAGGGCATCGCCCTACAGTAAATACTGTAATAGTACCCCACTCCTCTCGTACAGTGGCGTAGTCGCAAAAGTTTTTTAGTTTTTAGTTTAAAAGTTTTTTTCAACTACTTTCAAAAAATGCGTCTTTAGTATAAAAAAAATAGCCCTGAATTTCAGATATCTTTTGATAACCAAGCGCGCATTGTGGCATAAAAAAGTGGCGGGAAAAACGCGTTCAAAGCTAGACTACGCAACATTGCGCACCGTCATTATGAGGGTGGCGTACTATTACGGTATTTACGGTAGGTTTTTTGCGCAACTCACCATAACTTTCTTCTAAGTGAGCCAATTTTTATGATTTTGGTGTCATTTTGTTACACTTGCTCGCTTCCTATTTCACCTAATCTTTCATTTTAAAGTAAACTGACGCCGATGGAGTCCAGCACTGGTCAAAGGGAGCAAAACGATGATCCGGTTCGTTTTCTCTTAACGTTTTTTTTAAAATTTTATATTCATCTTGTGAATAAACAAAATTTTTGCATGTTACATATTTTCTTTAGACAATTTCAACACCACAAACACCATCTGACAGCGCACAGAGCACAGAGCGGGCATGATGAGGTTGGTTCGGTTTTCAATGTTATTTTTTTCAAAAAGACAACCGTTAAACTTATTGTTTAGACACAGAAATCGATTCGAGATGACGAAACACAAGAGAAGCTGCCAGGGAAAGGCGCAAAGGACAGCCGAGGAAAGCCCGGCTCGAAAGAACTCTTGAAAATGCGTAGAGTGGGTTTTTGATCGTTTAGCAAATGTTGACTAAATTTTAGACGAAACTGAAGAAAGATGTTTCACCGAGTGCCGCCGCTCCTCCAAAAGGCGTCCAAATCAAGGCAAAGCCTGAATTTTTCGAGGAACTTTTGTGGGTAATTAATCTTTGATACCTTGATTCATTTTCACATTCAGAATTTGGCTAAACGAATATGAGATGGTGTTGACAACAGAAAAGGGACTCATCGAATTCGGAGGAATCGAGGACGACAATTACACAAGGCTCTGCTCTCATGTCAAGCTCAAGAATTCGACTCACTATGTGAGTTTGGTTTGATTGTAGGGCATTAGAAATAAAAAAAAATTTTGTGTTTTATTTTTTCTGTTTAGAGTATTCTCTTCAATGTCAGCAAGCCTGGCCCTAGTTACTTTACCGTGAAACCGAGAGTTTGTTTTAGATGCTTGCAACTTTATATTTGACTTTGGTTGGGCGTTATCAAGCCGGACGAAGAGAAGACAATCTATTGTACATTCAGCGCAAAGAACGCTCCCGCGATTCCTCCAGATGCCGCTTTTTCCTACAGGTAAATGTTTGCTGAATAAAAACTTATATATTAGCACGATTTTATGCAAAGACAAATAGCGTGCAACATATGCTGCAATTAATATTCATTTTCATTAACCTTTCTTCAATCTCTTTTTAGCATTTTCCAATTGCCGGTGAGCAAAGGTCGAGTGAATTGGCTTCTTAAAGTGCCAAACGGAAACGATTCGCGACTTCGATGGGTAAGTTGGAACTTTTGTCGTTTACAAAATAGGACTCAATGTAACGCTACCCAAATTTCACTCATAAATCCCTTGTTCAGTTCTGGAACGAGCAGATCTCCTACCTGAAACCTCAAAAGAAAGGCGCACAGCAGCAATATCTTCTTCGATTGCCTGTGTGTTTTCTCGCTGAAAAAAGCGGGTGAGTTTGAATTTTTAACCAACAAACAATGTTATTTTTGTAGTAACTGTTTGTTTTTAGATGTGATCAACGTCGTCATCGCCATGTGGTTAAACCGATCATTTACGTGGATAATCAAGGTATGTTTTGTAACAAACCGAAAGTTTTTATTGATTTCTCACCTTCAATGTTAGGTTCTTTCAGCAATCGCTGAGCCCGACTATGACACGGATCAACAATCGATGAAAAGCGATCAATTGCCAAGTGCTCAAGGATAAATCGATTGACGATGTAAATAGGTTATTTTTCACTCGCACTTTTAACAGTTAATGATGTTTTTAATGGTAATAAAGATTTTACATGCTTATACTTTATGAAATGAGGCAGGATCGTTACAAAACATTTAATTACAACATTACAAAAGAAACTCAGATAATTGTTTTATTCCCTGTACAAATTCTCCGCTCCTTGTCCACTTCCCTCAAAATTTGGTATTGGTTCCTAGAGCAGCTAATAATTAAGAGTCTCCACGTGTTACCCTTGATTCTTGTTTAGGCTGTGGAGTTGCTTCCCGTGATTGGGTTTCTCCGAGCTTCGTAAAAGATTCCTGCGTCTTTGGCGGAGAATGGCAAGTCTGAAGCAATGTTGTTAGTTAATAAAATCGGAAAACATTAATCATTAGGCAACTTACTGGTGATATAAGTGACGAACAGTCGATTGGCAAAACGGCGGTCCCACTCTGGCTGACGGCCGCGCGACTCACTCCTTTAGAAGTTTTCTAATAAAGTAAAGATTCGAGTGAATTAAATAGCAAACTCACATTCGATCGCTGGATTCGCTCCGAGTCCATTTCCGTGTCGAATTGTGTGTCGTCGGCTCTTTCCTAAGTAATAGCATTAGTTTGAGTCACAAGCGAATCATTAACCTCATTAATCGTCCATTCTCTCGTCTCATCGGGAAGTTGCTTGCAGAAATGTTTGAACGTTTTCTCCTTCGTCTCGCATTCTTTCCATAGAATTTCGGTTTGGGTTGGGTGTTGCTTGTTGGTCAGCTAAACTATGATCATCTACGACGAACACGCATGACTAACCGACTCAAATTCTGCTGGTACAAAGTCCTTCGTTTGAGACAATGATTCTACCTTGATTTGACTGTTGATTCCAATGAAAAACTAAAAAAAAGATTTCTTAAATCTTTCACCAAAAACAAAACCTCTTTTGCAATCTTTTTCTTTTTCGAGAAGATCAGCTGGTTAAGTAGATCCGTGGGAGAAAGCCAATAGAAGACCGTCCCCTAAATGAAATAAATTTCAATGCGCGCCATAAACAAACCTTTTGGAGAAGGAGAGTATTTTGTGAAACGGCCAAGATTTCCCGATTTCGATATATTTCGGCTAAATGAAAAAAGATTAAAAATAGTTTAAATTTGCTCACTTTCACACAACTCCTTCAGTAATTCAATGCCATGAATGATCGGAGCGATATAGTTGTTTTTGTCAACAATCAGACCGCCAACGTAAATCACAAAAATCCTTCTAAATTGATTGCTTCATTTGAGCAAAAGTGCGAAGTTTACTTGATGATTTCCCCTTTTCGACATACAATTGTATCCCTTTTTGTCTGGTAGAGTACACTAGAGTTCATCGCCTGAAATTGTCAAATAGAAATCCGAGTAGATTTTTAAACAGCTTTAAAGTTAGTGCAAAATAGAAATCAGCAGCGCTAATCCGTTCATTTACTGTAATCAATGGGAGAATAAGGCAAAATACTCAAAAGTAATCACCTGATGAGCCATACGCAAATCGAATCCCTTTTCTTTAAGTTTTGGATGAGCAGAAAAAAGCATCTAAACATTGATTTTAATTATCTGAACCAGATCACCGCAACCTGTATCAGGTTCAGCTTTGCTGGCTGTGGAATCTCGCCAGGTCCAATCGGTTCTTTCAGCCAAGCGAGCACCGATTGATCCTCGTGTGGTTTAGCGCGTCGATTCTTTGACCACACACTGTCCGAACCATCCTAAAAGAAAAAAAAAATGAAAGAATAATGGTCGAAAGTATTCCATTTACCAGTTAGTTTAAAATAAAACGTCCCTGTATTTCTCCAAAGACTTCCTCCATCAAATCCTCGAGACTCACGTAGCCAAGCAATTGTGACGGTCCATCGCATCTAAATTTTAAAACTAGGATCTACTCGCCAAAGTTTAAAAGTTTAAAAAGCTTCTAGCGTCATAAAAGTTTAAAAAATTTACCTAACAACAGTATACATGTGATTCTGTGTCCTTAACATTTCGATCAACACGACAATCACCGGTGTGTCCGCCAAAACGACTCGGATCTAAAATTTTTGTTCTTTCGATACGTTTCCAAAGACGCACCTCTGGTTTCTGGTCGAATCCACTTAGATATTTCCCAATTGTCAGCGTTGGGCTCAATGGTACTGTTAGCAAATCCTGAAGTAATTGATAAATTCACAAAAAACCTAAAAACCAACTCACTCTTGTATTGAGGATATATCTCATCAAATTGTTCGTCTCAAAGATCGGCACTCTCGTATAACCCTTCTCGGCAATCACAAAAAGCAACTAAATCATGAAAAGTTATGTATCTTTATAACTTTTCATGATTTAGTTGCTTTTTGTGAACCAAAGGAAACCTTTTCATCAAGAATATCCTTGTCAGTGAGTCGAAAAATGTCCTCAACATGCGTGTGTACTTGACTGACAACCGTTTTCTGCAAGTTCTGGATCCGTTTGAGAATTTCTAAAAGAAAACAAATGGAGAACTGGAGGAGAACAATCTGGAGAACAATCTGGAGGAGTGTCAAAGTCTTCGAAACCTTCTTCCGTAGACGATCGAATGTTTTGGCTCACTAATTCTATCGCTTCAACTTTTGTGTACTTGGCCATTTCTCTAGAACAACTTTATTTTATTGAACACGTGTAAAGCTAACCGCCCAAGGAAACAATTGATAAGTCGAGCAACTGGATAACAAACAGGAGACAACGCGAACAGGCAAAACCACGTGAAATATCGAGTCATCCATGAAATTATCAAGCCACGGCGATGACAAATAACCTAAATTACAAGTTGAGCAACTCAAAAAGCAAATGCTACTCACCTGTGGTGTTAACTCTCCAAAAGCGACGATAAAAACTGCGGGAATAAAAATTTCCGCTATTTGTTTCCCCACACCCCATGAGTCCTTTAAAAAAATAGGTATTCAGTTAAAAATCCTTCTTCATTTACCGGAAAAGCCTTCTCAGAGAGAATCGTGAGCACAGTGTTAACAAAAACGTTCAAAGTGGCATAGGTGCAAATGATCCAATTTCCGTACTTTCGCAGCTTGATCATCTCTTTGGCGCGTTTCTAAAGCAAAATTTTAAAAAGTAACTTAAGCAACTTAAGTTGCTTAAGTTAGGTACTTAAGCAAAGTAGCAAGTTCAAAAAGATCTATAAACTATGTAAATCATTAAATCAATAACACTCACACTTTCTTTCTTGTTCCCGTGTCGAGCGATCAACTCTAAATGTTTCACGGAAAGGCAAATGAGCGCAAAGTTTAAGCCGGAAAACGTAGCTAAACACTGAATCAGAAAAAAAACATCAACATCAACATCAACATCAATCAACACCAATCAACATCAACATCAATCAACATCAAAGCATTCATTGCAAAAGCTCACCAGACAACATAATGAGCAACACACAGCCAGCCATCATTGCAAAACGTTGCCAAATGTCGTAGGTTTCCTTCTGGACGATAAACGATACCCGGCCCTAAATATGGGTGTATGAAAGCTTGAAATAATTTACCGTTTCAGAAAGGATCGATGAAAAGTGAACACCATTTGGATGGCAAATGTTGTAGACGACTTTCTTGTTTGCGCTTGAGAAATTCGCCTTAATGATTTTAAAACAAACGAAACAAACGTTAAAACGTTCAAATAAACTGTATAAAAACAACAAATTGAAACAAACAATAAACTGTATAAAAACAACAACAACCAAAAAAACCTCAATGATGACGCTTTCCTTGAAAAAATTGACGACCCTGATCGGAATCTCTTTGTCACGATCTTTGTCACACTCGATCGCAAAGTAAAACCGTGATGGATTCAAGTTCTTTCCATAAATCGCAACTCTAAACTCAAAATTATAGAATTCCAATCAATAGGTAAACAAAATTTACTCATTTTCTTTCAAAAAAATGAACAAAACCAAAAATGAACTTACTTGGCGACATCTTGTGCCACATTAATTGTCGGATGTCGAGGATCGTCACCATCAGATGTCTTTTTCACGCCGAATAACGATTGTAAACTCAAATGAAATTGATTGAACAATAAAGAACTGAATGGACAAACTTGACTGAGTAAAAGAAACAGAAAATAAAGTGAATCAAGATTAGAAAAGACCGCATTTAAAGGTTAAGAGAGATGAAATGACAATGAAGCTTTTTGAGACGTTAGAGAGAACGGGTTTTAAATGCTAATTTAATGTAGGGCACTCGATTCGGATTCAAACCGAAGAGAAAAGCTTCATACGACTCTTTATAGACTTTAGAACATGCTTTATTGGCGAAATTTTAAGACCAAATACAGCATGTTCAATTATTCGCTAACTTTCAATATAAAGTAAGGCCAGTAGAGTGTGCTCCTTTCAAATAATGGTTTTCTATTAACCCGCCCTTTACACGCGAAATTTTAAGATATTCAGTTAACAACACGCCGGCGATGCCCTCGTTACAATTAAAAAAGGGGGGGCACATCCGCGCGAGAATGCGTTTTCTATAGGATTTTTACGTTTGAATAGCCATTTAACGCAGAAAATGTGCTGAATTCAATGGTGAAAGAATTATCAAAAGCCGTCTTGTAGATTTTTTTGATAATTCTTTCACCATTGAATTCAGCACATTTTTCTGCGTCATATGTATGATGTGCAGAAAACAGAAAAGTAGCTCTTTTCTGTGAAATCCTATTCGATGCTTTGATTTTGAATATCACTTATTCGCTTGTCTTGCCCCTAAATCTTGTCATCGCCGTGGCTTGATAATTTCATGGATGACTCGATATTTCACGTGGTTTTGCCTGTTCGCGTTGTCTCCTGTTTGTTATCCAGTTGCTCGACTTATCAATTGTTTCCTTGGGCGGTTAGCTTTACACGTGTTCAATAAAATAAAGTTGTTCTAGAGAAATGGCCAAGTACACAAAAGTTGAAGCGATAGAATTAGTGAGCCAAAACATTCGATCGTCTACGGAAGAAGGTTTCGAAGACTTTGACACTCCTCCAGATTGTTCTCCAGATTGTTCTCCTCCAGTTCTCCATTTGTTTTCTTTTAGAAATTCTCAAACGGATCCAGAACTTGCAGAAAACGGTTGTCAGTCAAGTACACACGCATGTTGAGGACATTTTTCGACTCACTGACAAGGATATTCTTGATGAAAAGGTTTCCTTTGGTTCACAAAAAGCAACTAAATCATGAAAAGTTATAAAGATACATAACTTTTCATGATTTAGTTGCTTTTTGTGATTGCCGAGAAGGGTTATACGAGAGTGCCGATCTTTGAGACGAACAATTTGATGAGATATATCCTCAATACAAGAGTGAGTTGGTTTTTAGGTTTTTTGTGAATTTATCAATTACTTCAGGATTTGCTAACAGTACCATTGAGCCCAACGCTGACAATTGGGAAATATCTAAGTGGATTCGACCAGAAACCAGAGGTGCGTCTTTGGAAACGTATCGAAAGAACAAAAATTTTAGATCCGAGTCGTTTTGGCGGACACACCGGTGATTGTCGTGTTGATCGAAATGTTAAGGACACAGAATCACATGTATACTGTTGTTAGGTAAATTTTTTAAACTTTTATGACGCTAGAAGCTTTTTAAACTTTTAAACTTTGGCGAGTAGATCCTAGTTTTAAAATTTAGATGCGATGGACCGTCACAATTGCTTGGCTACGTGAGTCTCGAGGATTTGATGGAGGAAGTCTTTGGAGAAATACAGGGACGTTTTATTTTAAACTAACTGGCAAATGGAATACTTTCGACCATTATTCTTTCATTTTTTTTTCTTTTAGGATGGTTCGGACAGTGTGTGGTCAAAGAATCGACGCGCTAAACCACACGAGGATCAATCGGTGCTCGCTTGGCTGAAAGAACCGATTGGACCTGGCGAGATTCCACAGCCAGCAAAGCTGAACCTGATACAGGTTGCGGTGATCTGGTTCAGATAATTAAAATCAATGTTTAGATGCTTTTTTCTGCTCATCCAAAACTTAAAGAAAAGGGATTCGATTTGCGTATGGCTCATCAGGTGATTACTTTTGAGTATTTTGCCTTACTCTCCCATTGGTTACAATAAATGAACGGATTAGCGCTGCCGATTTCTATTTTGCACTAACTTTAAAGCTGTTTAAAAATCTACTCGGATTTCTATTTGACAATTTCAGGCGATGAACTCTAGTGTACTCTACCAGACAAAAAGGGATACAATTGTATGTCGAAAAGGGGAAATCATCAAGTAAACTTCGCACTTTTGCTCAAATCAAGCAATCAATTTAGAAGGATTTTTGTGATTTACGTTGGCGGTCTGATTGTTGACAAAAACAACTATATCGCTCCGATCATTCATGGCATTGAATTACTGAAGGAGTTGTGTGAAAGTGAGCAAATTTAAACTATTTTCAATCTTTTTTCATTTAGCCGAAATATATCGAAATCGGGAAATCTTGGCCGTTTCACAAAATACTCTCCTTCTCCAAAAGGTTTGTTTATGGCGCGCATTGAAATTTATTTCATTTAGGGGACGGTCTTCTATTGGCTTTCTCCCACGGATCTACTTAACCAGCTGATCTTCTCGAAAAAGAAAAAGATTGCAAAAGAGGTTTTGTTTTTGGTGAAAGATTTAAAAAATCTTTTTTTTTAGTTTTTCATTGGAATCAACAGTCAAATCAAGGTAGAATCATTGTCTCAAACGAAGGACTTTGTACCAGCAGAATTTGAGTCGGTTAGTCATGCGTGTTCGTCGTAGATGATCATAGTTTAGCTGACCAACAAGCAACACCCAACCCAAACCGAAATTCTATGGAAAGAATGCGAGACGAAGGAGAAAACGTTCAAACATTTCTGCAAGCAACTTCCCGATGAGACGAGAGAATGGACGATTAATGAGGTTAATGATTCGCTTGTGACTCAAACTAATGCTATTACTTAGGAAAGAGCCGACGACACACAATTCGACACGGAAATGGACTCGGAGCGAATCCAGCGATCGAATGTGAGTTTGCTATTTAATTCACTCGAGCTTTACTTTATTAGAAAACTTCTAAAGGAGTGAGTCGCGCGGCCGTCAGCCAGAGTGGGACCGCCGTTTTGCCAATCGACTGTTCGTCACTTCTATCACCAGTAAGTTGCCTAATGATTAATGTTTTCCGATTTTATTAACTAACAACATTGCTTCAGACTTGCCATTCTCCGCCAAAGACGCAGGAATCTTTTACGCAGCTCGGAGAAACCCAATCACGAGAAGCAACTCCACAGCCTAAACAAGAATCAAGGGTAACACGTGGAGACTCTTAATTATTAGCTGCTCTAGGAACCAATACCAAATTTTGAGGGAAGTGGACAAGGAGCGGAGAATTTGTACAGGGAATAAAACAATTATCTGAGTTTCTTTTGTAATGTTGTAATTAAATGTTTTGTAACGATCCTGCCTCATTTCATAAAGTATAAGCATGTAAAATCTTTATTACCATTAAAAACATCATTAACTGTTAAAAGTGCGAGTGAAAAATAACCTATTTACATCGTCAATCGATTTATCCTTGAGCACTTGGCAATTGATCGCTTTTCATCGATTGTTGATCCGTGTCATAGTCGGGCTCAGCGATTGCTGAAAGAACCTAACATTGAAGGTGAGAAATCAATAAAAACTTTCGGTTTGTTACAAAACATACCTTGATTATCCACGTAAATGATCGGTTTAACCACATGGCGATGACGACGTTGATCACATCTAAAAACAAACAGTTACTACAAAAATAACATTGTTTGTTGGTTAAAAATTCAAACTCACCCGTTTTTTTCAGCGACAAAACACACAGGCAATCGAAGAAGATATTGCTGCTGTGCGCCTTTCTTTTGAGGTTTCAGGTAGGAGATCTGCTCGTTCCAGAACTGAACAAGGGGTTTATGAGTGAAATTTTGATAGCGTTACATTGAGACCTATTTTGTAAACGACAAAAATTCCAACTTACCCTTCGAAGTCGCGAATCGTTTCCGTTTGGCGCTTCAAGAAGCCAATTCACTCGACCTTTGCTCACCGGCAATTGGAAGATGCTAAAAAGAGATTGAAGAAAGGTTAATGAACATGAATAATTACTTGCAGCATATGTTGCACGCTATTTGTCTTTGCATCAAATCGTGCTAATATATAAGTTTTTATTCAGCAAACATTTACCTGTAGGAAAAAGCGGCATCTGGAGGAATCGCGGGAGCGTTCTTTGCGCTGAATGTACAATAGATTGTCTTCTCTTCGCCCGGCTTGATAACGCCCAACCAAAGTCAAATATAAAGTTGCAAGCATCTAAAACAAACTCTCGGTTTCACGGTAAAGTAACTAGGGCCAGGCTTGCTGACATTGAAGAGAATACTCTAAGCAGAAAAAATAAAACACAAAATTTTTTTTATTTCTAATGCCCTACAATCAAACCAAACTCACATAGTGAGTCGAATTCTTGAGCTTGACATGAGAGCAGAGCCTTGTGTAATTGTCGTCCTCGATTCCTCCGAATTCGATGAGTCCCTTTTCTGTTGTCAACACCATCTCATATTCGTTTACCCAAGTTCTGAATGTGAAAATGAATCAAGGTATCAAAGATTAATTACCCACAAAAGTTCCTCGAAAAATTCAGGCTTTGCCTTGATTTGGACGCCTTTTGGAGGAGCGGCGGCACTCGGTGAAACATCTTTCTTCAGTTTCGTCTAAAATTTAGTCAACATTTGCTAAACGATCAAAAACCCACTCTACGCATTTTCAAGAGTTCTTTCGAGCCGGGCTTTCCTCGGCTGTCCTTTGCGCCTTTCCCTGGCAGCTTCTCTTGTGTTTCGTCATCTCGAATCGATTTCTGTGTCTAAACAATAAGTTTAACGGTTGTCTTTTTGAAAAAAATAACATTGAAAACCGAACCAACCTCATCATGCCCGCTCTGTGCTCTGTGCGCTGTCAGATGGTGTTTGTGGTGTTGAAATTGTCTAAAGAAAATATGTAACATGCAAAAATTTTGTTTATTCACAAGATGAATATAAAATTTTAAAAAAAAGGTTAAGAGAAAACGAACCGGATCATCGTTTTGCTCCCTTTGACCAGTGCTGGACTCCATCGGCGTCAGTTTACTTTAAAATGAAAGATTAGGTGAAATAGGAAACGAGCAAGTGTAACAAAATGACACCAAAATCATAAAAATTGGCTCACTTAGAAGAAAGTTATGGTGAGTTGCGCAAAAAACCTACCGTAAATACCGTAATAGTACGCCACCCTCATAATGACGGTGCGCAATGTTGCGTAGTCTAGCTTTGAACGCGTTTTTCCCGCCACTTTTTTATGCCACAATGCGCGCTTGGTTATCAAAAGATATCTGAAATTCAGGGCTATTTTTTTTATACTAAAGACGCATTTTTTGAAAGTAGTTGAAAAAAACTTTTAAACTAAAAACTAAAAAACTTTTGCGACTACGCCGACTGTACGAGAGGAGTGGGGTACTATTACAGTATTTACTGTAGGGCGATGCCCTCGTTACAATTAAAAAGGGGGCACATCCGCGCGAGAATGCGTTTTCTATAGGATTTTTTTTGCCATAAAATGTTAAAGTTATAGCTAAAATTTCGAGTAAATGCGCAAGGGGATCTCCTAACAAACATACTAGCTAAAAGTTATAGCTAAAGAAATTCGATTACTTATGTATGATGTGCAGAAAACAGAAAAGTAGCTCTTTTCTGTGAAATCCTATTCGATGCTTTGATTTTGAATATCACTTATTCGCTTGTCTTGCCCCTAAAGATCGTTTTTTGTGATAGAGCCCACTTTGTATTCATAAATACTAAAAAACTTTAGCGACTACGCGACTGTACGAGAGGGGTGGGGTACTATTACAGTATTTACGGTAGTTGCGCAAATGACCCAGTTGCGCCAAAAATTTGGCGCATAGTAGCCACACCCAGTTGTGAAGATTGAATCAGACTTTTATACCATACTTTATACTTTTAACTAAAGGATATTCAATTAATTAAGTGATTCAGGTCCCTTACAAAGCCTAAACATTTCAATTTTTCGATTGAATATCTTTATTTCGAACGCGCTTTGGCGGGTAATTTTTCTAGCATATTTCTACTTTCCGCCAACTTTTTTGCGCAACTCTCTTCTAATAAACTTCTAAGCGAGCCAATCTTTACGATTTTGACTTCATTTTGTACATCTCAACTTAAAAAAAGCTCCTTAAAACGAATTATTGAACGTTTTGTGTTTAAAAAGTTGATTTTCTGTGTAGTTTGGGGTATGTTTGTTAGGAGATCCCCTTGCGCATTTACCAGATTGCTTCTAATCGTTTTGAAATGTCGATATTCGGATTCTACAACCCCAAACTACAGCCACTCCAAATGTTCACAATGTGTTCTATATTTAGTTTTAGGGAGCTTTTTTAAAACTCGGAAAAAGTTGCGCAAAAAACGTCGCAATTGCCCCAGCCCCATGTTTGCGGATCTGAACCCAACTTTTATCTGCTTTAAGAACGTTTATTTTCATTTATGTCTGAGTGCATTCAATCAATTAGCATCAATTGACTATCGATTAACCCAATTAGATAACGCAGCCCTTTCAACTATTTCTCTTTTGAATCTGCTCTCTTGAGTTCATTACCTTTTTTCAGATGGCACCTGCAAGGCAGAAACAAACAGCCCGCATGTACGCGGGAACACCGATCATCAAGCCGACGAAGAAGGAGGAGAAGGCGCCCAAGCGAGCCCTCTCTGCATACATGCTTTGGCTTGCCGAAAACCGCCCTCGCCTCACCAAGCCTGGAATGTCCGTTACTGCTGTGGCTAAGGTATGACTGTTTTTGAATTGCCACTTTATCTTTAGAACTTTTTTTGATTAGATTAGTTAAGAGCATTAAAATTGACTGTTAATTTTGACATGGCTGAAGGTTTATGGTACCATCGAATGGCTGCGAGTCTTTACACGCAAGATCCTATCTTGACTAGTAGAATTATTGCAAGCTGTGTGAATGAGAAATAAAAACAAATAATTAAGATTTTGGATAAAATTTTAGCGTTTTGTTTAGGCTGCCGGAGCTGAATGGAAAAATGTCAAAGATCGTTCAAAGTGGGAGAAACAAGCCAGCGCTGACAAAGAGCGATATTCGAAGGAAATGGAAGTTCACAAGGCCTCAAAATAAATCCTCGGCTTCGACTTGTTATTGCTATCATTGCTATTACTGTTGCTATTATTATTGCATATTTGTGCCCTTGCATTACGTTGATTTGCCCATTTGGCTCTTACTTTAAAGAATTCCTCTGTTTTTGATCACTTTCCAATTTAATTTAAACCCCCTGTTCAATAAATTGTTTCGCGAGTTTTGGATGAAGTTAGTGGTGTTTTCAACACTTAATTATTGTAACTTTTGTGTAACGATAGCTAATTGTGCCGATTTTATGGATGTGCTCCGAGCAAAGCTTGGGAAAAAGTTATTAGATATTTTTGTTCAGAGAACAAATGGCTCGATCAACTAAAGAAAGTGACTCGCAAGAAGTGCCAAAGGTCTCACAGAAGAATGGTGGCGGTGCTCCCAAGCGAAACCTCACGGCTTACTTTATCTGGTAATGTTTGTCTTCACTGGTTTCGTATAGTTTATCTTGTATCAGGCTTGGCGAAAATCGCGCCCGTCTCGCCGAAACCGTCAAACCTAATAAGGTTCTTAAGGTAAGCTTTGTGATTCGTCCAGTTAGTATAGGTAGTTTCATTCTAGGCAGCCGGTGCTGAATGGAAAAAACTCGAGGACAAGTCCGAATGGGAGGAGAAAGCCAAGGCTGACAAGGAACGCTACACAAAGGAATTGAAGGCCTTCGGGGGGAGGATCGACTAATTGAAGCCTTCGACAAGTTCTAATTTTTGTTACCTCTGATCTCACTTTGTTTATTTCCTTCGTTATATTTAACTTTCCGTCTGCATACTTTGCATAAATTTTGTAGCAAGAAACGATCACAAGATAACAAAATGATTAAATGTACGAGTAAATTGGCAATCTCGTGAGCATTGTTCCGGAATAGGTGGATTCAGTCACTGACGTTTGGTTGTTACTTGATGCGGGTGTAATTTATCGACCCCTTTGAGGTTTCTTCATTCGAGATCACAATAACAATAAGTTGAAAATTAAAACAACAGAGTTGGGGTAACGAAAATAATCGAATTAAGAGTCTGGATATTGAAACGGGCAAATCACAATAGTAAGGATTCAATCTTTAGACGAAACAATAAATGGAACAACACGTATCCATCCATTTTTCGTCGATTCTTCACTTCGATTCTCACTTTGTTGTTGGCATCCCTCGTGTTTAAGATGAATTCGTTTCGTCTTCGAATCAAGGCTTTCAACGTCGAGCTCGCTGAAAAGAAATTCTTCGTTTTCAGGTTAAAAATTAGAATTTTCGAGAATTCAAAAACTTTTTGTCAAAAGTCACCCACGTCTCTTCCAAGTTCTCGCTGATCACATTTGATGTCGTTTGTATGAAGAGAAATGCTCGATCGTGTGGTTTCGCCTAAAACCCTCGATTGAAACGTCGAAAAAGAATCGAAACTTTTTCGCCGAGCACCGGAAATGTTGTGAAGAAGTGTCGATTTAGGGTCCTCTTTTCGGCATTGGTTAGTTCCTTAAATTAAATCATCTTAAAAAATAAACCTTCAAATATTTACTTGACAACAAGTCCCACAATCGCTCATTGTCGAATCGTCAGCGTCACAAATTGAGACCGGTAGCTCTTAAAAATAAATAAAGTACTAGGTATTTGGGTTCTACAATAGCAAAACTGATAAGTCCAACTTTTAAAAACGTACCATAAACGTAAGATGGTCTGTGCGGAGTTGATCCAATGTGAACACGAACCGCTTGAACATTGCGCCTTCTCGCCGAGCGAAACACTTCTTTCAGCTCTGTTCGGACCTAAACATTTGAAAACAATAACCGCCAAAGTATAACAAACTACTCGAGGTAAACTGTTGCTTTAAAAAAAATTTGTTCTTAAACTCTTTCTGCAAAAAAAGTTCATAAAAATGTCAAAATCATCAACAAGTCGCTATCAAAAAGGCCGAAAGTTTTGGCTACATCATAATCAGAAGTTACATCATAATTTTATCTTAAAAGATATCTTAAAGCTTTGTACATACAGCCTCGACCAACAGCCTCGACGTGGCCGTCGAGACTGTTGGTCTGGCTTACTATTCTGTTCCTTAAGCATATCCTTCGGGTATTCTCCATTCAGATGTTCAAATCATTTAGAATCGGATGCATCAAGTATCACAATATACACGACTTCAGCGATCCATTAAAATAGCAAAAGCTACTCATTGGAAATTCGAAAAATTCGTTTTGATAAAATTAACAATTCTCCTCTGGCACCATCTCCTTGGTATTAAATGTATTTCTCTTTAATTCGACATTTTTCTCCAAATCGTTATCCCGAAATTCGTCGAATTCGTCGAATTTGTCGCACTTCCTCGAATCCCTCGAATTCCCCGGTAGCTATTCTCTCGAAGATCAGCAAATTGCTCCAAATCATGATATCGAAACTCAGCAAAATCATCGACATTCCCTCGAAATTCACGGAAAGATTTGATTCCATACCTGAAAATAAAAAAAATTAGTATTTTAATGGATTTTTCTAGATTGCAACCATTTTTGCGCTCAAATATTTTTAGAAGATGAATGACGTTACGCAAATAAGTTGCAATCTAGAGATGCTGGGCAACAAATGAGAAAAAACACGTTACATATTGAAAATACATAATGTCAATGTCAACAACATAGCTGTTTTGTATTTGAAAATCTAAAGGATCGTAGAAGATATCAAGTATAGAAACAACAAGAGATGTAAACAGAAGAAAAAGAAGGAATTAGACATTAGACCATTAGACAATTAGACAAGAAATTAGAAAAAGAAGAAATCTTGGCGAAATGAGATGCCTTTTTTGCGCTCAAATATTTTGAATGAAGAATATGAATGACGTTACGCAAATAATGGCTTTTGTTGGCGAAATGGCTTTTGTTGGCGAAATGGCTTTTGTTGGCGAAATGGCTTTTGTTGGCGAAATGGCTTTTGTTGGCGAAATGGCTTTTGTTGGCGAAATGGCTTTTGTTGGCGAAATGGCTTTTGTTGGCGAAATGGCTTTTGTTGGCGAAATGGCTTTGTTGGGAAATGGCTTTTGTTGGCGAAATGGCTTTGTGGCGAAATGGCTTTTGTTCGAAATGGCTTTGTTGGCGAAATGGCTTTGTTGGCGAAATGGCTTTTGTGGCGAAATGGCTTTTGGCGAAATGGCTTTTGGCGAAATGGCTTTGTTGGCGAATGGCTTTTGTTGGCGAAATGGCTTTTGTTGGCGAAATGGCTTTTGTTGGCGAAATGGCTTTGTTGGCGAAATGGCTTTTGTTGGCGAAATGGCTTTTGTTGGCGAAATGGCTTTTGTTGGCGAAATGGCTTTGTTGGCGAAATGGCTTTGTTGGCGAAATGGCTTTTGTTGGCGAAATGGCTTTTGTTGGCGAAATGGCTTTGTTGGCGAAATGGCTTTTGTTGGCGAAATGGCTTTTGTTGGCGAAATGGCTTTTGTTGGCGAAATGGCTTTTGTTGGCGAAATGTCTTTTGTTGGCGAAATGTCTTTTGTTGGCGAAATGTCTTTTGTTGGCGAAATGTCTTTTGTTGGCGAAATGGCTTTTGTTGGCGAAATGGCTTTTGTTGGCGAAATGGCTTTTGTTGGCGAAATGGCTTTTGTTGGCGAAATGGCTTTGTTGGCGAAATGGCTTTTGTTGGCGAAATGGCTTTTGTTGGCGAAATGGCTTTTGTTGGCGAAATGGCTTTTGTTGGCGAAATGGCTTTTGTTGGCGAAATGGCTTTTGTTGGCGAAATGGCTTTTGTTGGCGAAATGGCTTTTGTTGGCGAAATGTCTTTTGTTGGCGAAATGTCTTTTTGTTGGCGAAATGTCTTTTGTTGGCGAAATGTCTTTTTTGGCGGAGTGTCTTTTTTGGCGAAATGTCTTTTTTGGCGAAATGGCTTTTGTTGGCGAAATGGCTTTTGTTGGCGAAATGGCTTTTGTTGGCGAAATGGCTTTTGTTGGCGAAATGGCTTTGTTGGCGAATGTCTTTTGTTGGCGAAATGTCTTTGTTGGCGAAATGGCTTTTGTTGGCGAAATGGCTTTTGTTGGCGAATGGCTTTTGTTGGCGAAATGGCTTTTGTTGGCGAAATGGCTTTTGTTGGCGAAATGGCTTTTGTTGGCGGAGTGTACTGTAGCTAGGGCACGAGAAAACGTTTCTCTTTAAACTTTTTCTCTTTAAACTTTTTCTACTTCTTACAGTCTTATCTAGTTTCAGTACACCTTTTTAAGCTTTACTGTCCCACACTGTAGCTATAAAAACGATGAATCAAGCAATTGTTCTTGCAAAATACTAATTTGTGCAATTTTTATCGGTACTTTTGTATTTCTATTTCTCCTTTTTCTATTTTTCTATTTTTCTAGACTTTTCTTTCTTTTCTGCATTTTTTTCAAAAAAACGAAATTTTTCAAAATCTTTATCAAGCCGGAAAAGGGTAAAAAGGGTAAAAATGAATAAATAATAAATTTTTAGGGTTTATTTTAAAGTGTTGGTGGCACCCATCCACCGAATCCTTCTTCCAAATCTTTCGCACATGCGATTAGCGTTCGATCACTTCCTGGAGCTCCAACCACCTGCAAATTGCATTCAACTTGTATATCAAGTTGTCGAAAAGCTTAATGGATTAAGTTTTATGGACTAAGCTTTAGAGCTTAGCTTAATAGATTAAATTTTAGAAGAGTTTTCAGTTTTGGTTACTGTAAGATTGGATGCTATTGAAAGGTAGTGTAGAAGTTGTTATCTATCTGTATGCTATCTATTCTTTGTGTAAGAATCGTGTTCTTTTAAAAACTAGCGTAACCTTGGCTCTAGTGTGGCTATTTTTGAATGTGAGCAATTTGCATTTACCTGCACTCCCAATGGCATTCCATTTTTCGCTAAACCCATCGGGCATTGCACAACGGGAAGTGCCAATGCGTTGAAAAGACCCGTGTAGGCGAAGTTTAGAGGCTAAAATTGGGGTTAAAATAGGGTTAAAATGGCTAAAATGTGGTTTAAATGGCTAAAATTGGGTTAAATTGGCTAAAATTGGGTTAAAATGGCTAAAATTGGGCTAAAATGGCTAAAGTGGCTAAAATGGGCTAAAATGGGGTTAAAATGGGGTTAAAATGGCTAAAATGGGGCTAAAATTGGGCTAAAATGGGGTTAGAATGGCTAAAATTGGGTTAAAATTGGGTTAAAATGGCTAAAATTGGGTTAGAATGGCTAAAATGGCTAAAATTTGCATTTTTTAATATCTAGATATAGATTTGGATTAGATTTGGATTTGGTTTCGATTTGATTTCGATTTGATTTCGATTTAATTTCGATTTAATTTCGATTTAATTTCGATTTGGTTCCTTCCGAGCTTACCTTCAATAAAGGTTGATGGTGATATGGGGCAGTGTGTGGAAATGATGGGAAAAGGAGAATCCCATCTGATCCCAATAACTCTTTGATCTCTCTCGCTAGTTGGTCACGCTTGTAACGAAGCTGAAAAAGGAAATTATGGTAAGCAAATCTGCTCTCCCAAATCTCTTGACAAACCTCTTTGACAAGACTTTCATTGAATGGACCCTGTGGTCGATCGATTAATCCAGTGATCAATGCGGGCAATGTATGCTGAGATTTTCCAAGAGGCCATTTCATTAACTCCAACCAGCAATTGATCGATCCCTGTAAAGTTTCTTTATTTCTTTACAAGTTGGTTTGATCAAGTCAATCAGGTTTTGGCTTTGGTTTGGCTTTGGTTTGGCTTTGGTTTGGCTTTGGTTTGGCTTCAACCAGGTTTCACTTGTCCATACTATCGTGCTTACTTCAAAACCCATCTTTTCTGGCTCACTTTTCTGAAAAGTGACTTTTCGTCACTTGTCAAAGAAAGCTTTTTCAAAGAAAAGCCAAGAAACGAGTGCACCAGAAGGTGTGGGTTTGCAAGAAATCGAGCACAAAGTCCAGAAAAGTACCTTCAAATCAGCTAAATGTTCCTTGAATGTGGGCTCTCCTTCAGTATACATTGAGACGAGGAAATACTCGACCGCTAAATGTGCCAATGGAAGATCGACTCGAATCGATGTTAGATCGTATTTCCGGACAAAGTATTTCACAGCCTAAAGATTGAAATTGTTAAATCAATGCAAATGAATGCAACCCGTTGGAGTGAATATTTCATATCATCATGCAAATTCTCGACAAGCGGCGTATTCAGCCCTTCCATGTAGAAGATTTTCAACTTTCGCATCTAAATTGATGAAAGATTTAAGGAATTGAGCAGAATTGAACAATTGGAATTGAGCTTTAGGTGATTGGGAAGCTTTGGTTGGCAATGGGAAGCTTTGGTTGGCAATGGGAAGCTTTGGTTGGCAATGGGAAGCTTGGGTTGGCAATGGGAAGCTTTAAAATAACACCAACTCCCTTTGCGCGGCCTTGCCCTCCGCCCCCTTTTTTTTGTTTATTTTTTTTCTTTTTTTTTTTTGCCCTTGAACTTTCCCTTTTTTTTTCTAGACTCCGTTCGGCCCCCGCTTTTTTGCCTTCGTGTCCTTTTTAGTTCCGGAAATGAAAACTTTCCGGTTGGCAATGGGAAGCTTTGGTTGGCAATGGGAAGCTTTGGTTGGCAATGGGAAGCTTTGGTTGGCAATGGGAAGCTTTGGTTGGCAATGGGAAGCTTCGGTTGGCAATGGGAAGCTTCGGTTGGCAATGGGAAGCTTCGGTTGGCAATGGGAAGCTTCGGTTGGCAATGGCAAGCTTGGATTGCCAATGGAAGGCTTGGATTACCATTGGCAAGCTTGGATTGCCAATGGAAGGCTTGGATTACCATTGGCAAGCTTAGATTGCCAATGGAAGGCTTGGATTACCATTGGCAAGCTTAGATTACCATTGGCAAGCTTAGATTACCATTGGCAAGCTTAGATTACCATTGGCAAGCTTAGATTACCATTGGCAAGCTTAGATTACCATTGGCAAGCTTGGATTACCAATGGCAAGCTTGGATTACCAATGGCAAGCTTGGATTACCAATGGCAAGCTTGGATTACCAATGGCAAGCTTGGATTACCAATGGCAAGCTTGGATTACCAATGGCAAGCTTGGATTACCAATGGCAAGCTTGGATTACCAATGGCAAGCTTGGATTGCTTGGATTGCCATTGGCAAGCTTGGATTGCTTGGATTGCCATTGGCAACCTTGGATTGCCAATGATCGATGGATGGAACATCCTATGCAAGCCCTTTTGGTTTCAAACAAATTTTTGTGATTCCACGGGAAGTTGGCTCCGTGTTTTGAATATTTTTTAGATCTAGATCACTGCTTGTTCCATGTGCATATGCATTCCTCGTAAGCAAAGAGGCGCATCGATATGCCGATGTTTTTAAAGTACTACAGCAAGAAGGTGGCAATTGAACTTTAAGCTTATCTTGGTGTTGGGTTATCGAATTTATAAATTCTTGGTATCAAAAGTCTTTCTCTATCGATTGGTACAAAAACTATTTACATTGAACAGCTGAATGGCAAGAAATTTGAGCTCAAAGTTGGATCGCCAATGGCAGATTGTCAATGGCAAAGCTAGATTGCCAATGGCAAGGCTGCGAGCCGTTTAAAAAGCGTCCCATCCTACATCAAATGTCCCACAATGCTGATTTTCTTCAATTCCCCCTTTCCACCCACCTGAACCGGTTCATCCAATCGCAAATCCACAGCCGCTTTCCCGCCCATCACCTGAATATCATTTATAGATAAATTAGCAATTTGCATTTTCTAATTTATCTATTTAATTGAAATTTTGCTTTCGTAGTTAAATGCAAATTTTGAATACCTTTAGCATAATCGACAGATCCTCAGCGAAACGACAAATCGGACCGATTCGAAGCATTTGCGCTCGATAGCCGGGGATTGGGCCTGGCATGTGACCCTCAAGGGGGACAATGCCTAGAAATTACTGTAACTGTAGAACTGTAGAATCGATTACTGTAGAAAAGCTTACTGTATGGGCTGAATATCTATGCCTAAGCCTAACCTGGAGTCGGCTTCAACCCGAAAACCCCGTTGAAGAAAGCGGGCATTCGAATCGATCCACCGATGTCACTACCGACGCCACACTGGAAATGTTTTTGATAACTCTTTGAGTGTGCTCAAAAGCCGGGTTGACTGGTCTGGCTAGCCAGGCTAGATGTCTGGCTGGTCTGGAACCGTATTGGAACCGTATCCGAACCATATTGGAACCATATTGGAGCTCCCGGGCTGGTCTGGCTAGCCAGTCTAGCTCCCAGGCTGGTCTGGCTAGCCAGTCTAGCTTCCAGGCTGGTCTGGCTAGCCAGTCTAGCTCCCAGGCTGGTCTGGCTAGCCAGTCTAGCTTCCAGGCTGGTCTGGCTAGCCAGTCTAGCTTCCAGGCTGGTCTGGCTAGCCAGTCTAGATCCCAACCTGGCCTGGTTAGCCAGTCTAGGCCTGTCTTCTGGTTGTCTTAGGTGCTCCTGGCCCTAGTACTCCGGGTCAGCCCAGCTCAAGGTCAGCCCAGCTCAAGCCAGAAGCCAAGCCTGCTGGCTCATTTTTAGCCATCCCATTTCCTTTTGTACTTCAAAATCCCCACCGCAGTGGCAGCACTGGCGACAAGTGCCGCCTCTCCTCCACTACTTCCGCCAGTGATCCGTCGCGTATCGTACGGGTTATGAGATCGACCTAGAGAAAGATGATACTTTATATCATCATCATCTTGATGATAGTTACGGTGAATACACCGTAATCTATTAAAGTCTCGTAATCGGCTAGTATTTGAGCGTTTCACTGACCATAAATCGTGTTCACACTCTCCCACCACATGCAAACTTCGGGCACATTCGTCACCGCCAAAACAATCCCACCGGCTGATTTTAGTCTGAGATTTGGAATTGAATTGAGATTGGATTGAGATTGGATTGAGATTGAATTGAGATTGAATTGAGATTTAAGATTCTAATTCAAATATTTAATATCTAAGCTTCTAATCTCTACTATTTAACTTTACTTTACTATTCAAATCTTTTCCACCTTTCCACAACGGTCGCATCTTTTTCGGCTTTCGTGTACCGTCTTGAATAGATCCCATTCGAACAGGGTAAACCGCCAACCTGAAGTTAGAGCTTAGCTTGAGGTTAGAGCTAGGCTTGAGGTTAGAGCCAACCTACTTTATATCCTTTCTCCTAATCTAGACCGAATACCCTAATCTAGATTGAATATCCTAATCTAGATTGAATATCCTAATCTAGATTGAGTACGGTAATCCAGCTAATCTTAACTGAATACCTTAATCTAAACCTCACCTCAATGCAATCCTTGAGTGTAAACGGGACTCCGAGAAGCGGCTCCGTGTTGATCAACTAAACTTTAACAATCACTTGAACATCTTTAGTGATGTAAAGCTATCTTTTAAATGATGTAAAGCTATTTAAATGCTGTAAAGCTAAAAAATCAAATGATTCAAGGATCTTCTAGAAAAGAGATGAAGAGTTTAAAGATTCCGAATTGGTGATTGGCTCGAATGAAGTCTTCGAACTTCTCTCTGATCAAGTCTTTAAAAGGGAACGGTTTAGAAAACAGAGGAGGCAATTGTTTGGCAGTTTGAACAGTTTGAACAAAGGAGGCAATTGTTCAAGCTAGAGTTTATAGTTAAAGCTAAGAGTGCAGCTGGGAATCCAAAAAGTCGGTGCGGGGAGTCGAACCCACCACCCAGCCCTGGATTTCGCTTACGAGGCGAGCGCTTTACCACTGAGCTACACGACCTGGTAACCCAACGTCGCTAGGATAGGGCTTTATCCTTTACTCTGCATGATATCGTGCCAATTGATAGGGAAAGACTTGCCAAGAATACCAAGAATTGATAAATTTGATCCCGAAATCGATATTTGATCGATATTTGATCGATATAAATAATCCCGATCTAAATTAGATCCCACCAGATCTCTTTGATCTTCTCCCATTTCATCTAATCTCTCATCAATCTCCCTCGCTTTCACCCTTGCTTCGTCGAAATTTGGCAATACAACAGCGTTGATTGTTCGATTAATCTAAAAGAAAATGTTTTTATATTCAAAAAATTTTTGCCAGCTTTTGCCAGCAAAACAAAAACCTGCTCAATTCGTCGTATGAATGTCTCAACGAGAGCGATTGAAGTAATCTAAAATCGAGCTTTGAAATCTCTTAGCTACAAAATCTCTTAGCTTTAAAAGCTTTGAAGCTTCACTTAGCTTTAAAATTGTACTTTGTGCACTTTAAGCTCTTGTAAAAACACCCCCTCTAGTGCACTGGATTCTTTATTTTCTTGTGTCACCAAAAAGGTAAGAAAGATCAAGAATTCGGCGCACTAAAGAGAGAATGCTTTTACGGATTTGAGAACAGTAAACGGGATCCATGCGAGAAATGGTGCTGAGCTGAAACCTCTCTTTTCCTAATCATATCGGACGCTTGTGTGGCACTGATTTGCAGCAATTCATCGTATGGCGGAGGGACGGAGACTTTTCGAGTGAACAAATGGATGACACCGAAGAGGAGATTCACGAGTTTGAAGTAGAACTGGAAAGGGGATAGTTTTGATTGGCTGGAATTTTGTCGGGCTGGCTGGCTGTCTGTCTGTCTATCTGTCTGTCTGTCTGTCTATCTGTCTGTCTTTTTATCTGTCTGTCTATCTGTCTACAGTAACCCTTCCGTCGTAAAGATTTCTAGTCGTAAAGATTACTGTAAGATCGTTGACGATAGCTTAAAGCATGCTTTAGGCTACCGTATCCCCGGTTTATCGTATAGAGATTTGCATTGCCTATCTCAAAATTAGTTGCTGTTACAGTAATCGATTTGACTGTGGTAGAAACTAGTAGATTATTGTAAAAGATATTAATTAGCCTAACTAGGGAAAGTTTCCATTTACCCGTGACCTTTTAAAAAGAGACCAACTACAAAATCTATAGAAGCTATAGAATCTACAAAATCTATAGAATCTATAGAATCTACAGAATCTATAGTATCTATAGAATCTATAGAATCTATAGAATCTATAGAATCGATCTTATAGAATCGACTACGCTGATTCCGAAATCGTTTTCAGTTTTTGCCCTCGATGTCTGTAACGCGAGTTATTTGGCTATCTAGGCCACAAGTTTATCTTAGCCTTCTTTTAAGCCGCCTGCTTGAGTTCATTTTTCACAAACGAGCCAACTAGGGACATCGCGCATCGTCAAAGCTGTCGACTACAGCTCTAAAGCTCTAAAGGACCCTAGTTCAATCCCCCACGCAGTCAATTTCTTTTTAATTTGGCTCAAATTACCATTACCTTTCGTCATTTCTATAAGAGTTGTTGATCTCGTTTTTAAAGTAGCTTCTTCTTTAAGTAGCTTGTAAGTTTTAAGTAGCTTGTACCTTTACAAGTCGATAGCTTCTCCTTTTCATCGATGCTCTCGATGCTTTTCAAACAAAGACAAACTTTTTCAAAGACTCACAAATGATCCAACATCGAGCAGGGGTCGAATTCGTCGTAGGAGATTGTAGGCAAACATATCTAGAGATCTGAAATATACAATTACACATTAGACACATTAGACACCTGAGATGAGACTATGTTTCAGAAAAGCGATTACCCTACCGTACTACAAGAGGTTACGGTAGTTTCTTAGCACTTTTTAGAAATCAACAGAAACTATCAAAACAAAAGAAAAGCCACAGAAATAGAGGAAGATCTTGAACTTTAACTGAATATTTTAAAATCCCAATGAAATATAAGATATTCAATCAACATTTAGATTTCAATCAACCAAAAGATATTCAATCAACTAATTGTCAAATAAATTAGTCAAAACCAGAATTTTATTTTCTTCAAAATCTAAAATATTATACTGATTTTGAAATTGTTCAAAGTTTTTCTCTAGCAAAAAGTCATCAATTCCCCGCTTTTCCCTTCGTCAAATTCTTGATTAGCGCACGAAACTACGGAATTTTCTTCGCTTTTGACATGCCAAATAGAATGTACTCAAAAAAAGCAACAATTTACTAATTCACATATAAAATAAATCACTGGCTTTTCGAAAGGTCGCAATTTTTAAGGAAAGAGATCAATTCAAAGACGGGCAAAAACACACAAAAATTGTTGCCTGGTGACCGGAAAAGGAAATTTTTAAGTAAAAAATAAAAAATTTCCGTCAAAATAAGGTAAGAGTCGGCTAAATTTGCATAAAAATTCGATTTTCGTTGAAAAAATTCACAACCTGCTATATAAAAATCGCTAAAAAACGAAATAAACAGTGAAATAAGGTACTCGGTACGCAAATTTCATAGATCATAAGGTAAAATCCGAGGAAGTAGGTCATACTGGAAAAGAAGATAGAAAAAGATTGTCCAAAAGAGTCTACGAAAAGAGAAAAGGTCAAGGTACACAATAATTGGTGGGGGAAAAGAGAAAAAGTAAAGAGAGAGTGGCTGTTTGAGCAAAAAATCGAGAGAGACCAAGGAAAAAGGAAAAGGCTGGTTGCGAGACAAACAAAAATACTTTTGCGAGAAAACAAAAATTTCCGGGATAAAGAAATGAGTAGTAAACAAGTTATGGCAATTTACTAGACTTGTTGAGCGGCAAAGTTTAGTGCAACTTAGGAAATGATGACGGTATCCGGAAGTATTCCATAAGACACTAACTTTGTAGATAAGCAAGTCTTGTCACAAGCAAGCATGTTTTGTTCTTCGTCAAATCCCCATCAATATTCGTCCTCATCGTCCTCGTCGGTGTCAACATCGTGATCGTGGTGCTAAAATTAAATATTAGATAGTAAGTATTGAGATTTTAATATTATAAACTTTCAAGACATAAAATCAAGACATTTGCCTTCTGCACTCCAGCAATTTGTCTTCTGCCTTTTAGGCTCTAGCAAACACAGTGTTTTATAACTTTGGAACTTCGAATCAAATGCAAGAACTATAAAAACAATAATTATGGTGTTTATGCAGTTAACCCCTTAACCAAACAAAGACTAAAAAGACGTATTTTCACTTTAATCTTAGATAGATTCTAAAGAAACTACAAGAGTCACAAGCTTTGCCTTCAATATGCGAAGTTGAAAAGTAGATTGAGTTATTTAATTATTCAAATCTTAGACCAGGTTCCCCATCCGAGTAATTATTATCATTTAGCTTTCCAATCCAACTCACATCATCATCCCGTATTCTCAATCGTTGCATTCCAATCGCATCCCATTCATCAGGTTCCCCATCCGAATACGTGTCATCATCCTCATCGCTCTGCGATTCCTCTTCCGGATACTCGTTTCTGTAAAAGAATAATTTTCACACAAAAAAAAACCCTCCCAATCACCTCCAATTATTCTCATCATTCGAATCCTCATCATCGTCCGCACAATTGTCATCCGAATCCGAGCCGGACTCCATCCATAGATTGAATTCTTCCTAAAGCCAAAAACAGATTTGATAACCCAACTTATTTATTACCTGTGACATGAATCGCATCTCAAAATCGGTCTCTTGAAAAGCCGCATCAGCGTCCCCCTAAAATAAGCAATGATATAATAGCAATAAATAAGCAATTGTTACTAAAAGTTGAACAAGCTTTGCATTTTGCAAACAAGCAATTGTTTTAAAGCTTAAACAAACCTTTCGCATTTCATAAAAATCGTAAACGATATCATTCTCGTTGGGGCCCATTCGTAGCATCGGCACTCCATTGCACGTGATCACATCTTGCGGAGCGACGTGCCGAGAACTTGACGCCTGATTTTCGCCGATCCAAAAATGATTGATTTGATTTTGAACAAAAACGAGAACAAGACTTTTAAAGCAAGACTGTTTTTTTGTCTTTAAATTGATATTGTGCATAACATTTGATCGCCAAAGTTACAAACAATCGTTTTAAATTTAAATAATCACCTCTCCAATCGAGTTTTGAAAGAGCGCGAGTGGTTGCTCGGTTTCGTCAATCTAAAATGAAAAAATTGTTTTTAAGGCTATAAATTTAAAGTTTTGAAGTAATAACACTTCAAAATTTAACATCATTGCTGCTATTTATTACTTTCAAAAACAATCAAACAGAACTGTTTAAGCAATTACTTAAAATTAAAATTCAACTGCTATTCAATTGATACTATTTGTTAGTTTGTCAAAAAAACCTGTTGAACTAAAACATTTGAAAATGAAGCCGTCTCGTCTACCGGTGGTCTCACTTGAGAATAGTCGATTACCTAAAAGAATAAAGTTTAGTTTAAAATCAAATATTTAATGTTTAATGTTTAATGTTTAACACAAAATCTTGCAAAATTTTACGGAAAACAACGCACTCGAATATTTTCGGGCACATTCGGCGAATCTTGTGTGGCGCACAGGGAGAACAACAATGGATCAAGGCCACCTGAAAGTAAGGACATTTCGAGTATCTGAAAGTAAGAACAATAAGAACAGTAAGATCGTTACGAATTCCTATTCCTGATGAACATTTCTTTGAAGCAAACGTTCTTGATCATTATTAATTACTCATTATCAAAAACAGATCAGTATCATAAGTAAATTAGCAAAATTTTTAATCTAGATATCCAAAAACAATTGGGACATTTAAACAAGCAAATTTTTACCCTTTTAGCGTCGCTGAGACGTTTTTGATAATGATAATCACGATAAATCGGCACCTTTGCTGTATAATATTGTCTCCAACTACTATAGCAACTGTGCTTCGTTTTAAAATCAATCGCTTTACCACTTTTAGAAGCATCAATAGGTTTATTAGTTATAACAATAATTATAACAATTGTTATACCAGTACTTTTGCATTACATCCTCGTTTTAAATCTTCAACTAACTTTTACTAAAGGGTTACTAAAGCCAAAAAGTTTCTTAAACAATTTCTAGAGGATCTTGTACTTGTATACTTGTTTTGTTTTGTACTGATTTTGTACCAAATATAAGTCGCGCTCTTCAACTATATCACGAGCTCAACTAATTACAAGTTGTTTAGTCAATCTAGTCAGATTAAACGAGCCCAACTAACGGCGGTGGCTACTTTACGCCAATTTTTTTGCGCAACTAGGTCTTCTACACAACTCGCCATAACTTTCTTCTAAGTGAGCCAATCTTTATGATTTTGATGTCATTTTGTAGATCTCAACAAGTGTAACAAAATGACATCATAATCATAAAGATTGACCGACTTAGAAGAAAGTTATGGTGAGTTGGGCAAAAAATTTGGCGCAAAGTAGCCACCCGCCAACTAATAGAAAATTAGGAAGCTGGTCAAAACAGCGCCGTGTACAAACAGCACCACGGCAAAAATAGCCTCTCGGTTAAGGCTAAGGTTAAGGCTAAGGTCAAGGTCAAGGTCAAGGTCAAGCTTCTTTGTGTTTCTTATTCTTATTTGATGTAGAATAAAATTATCTACATTTTGGGATCACTTAAAACAGAATTTGTGTCGAGAAAAGCTCAGTTAACCTCTTTTTGAGCCCTTTTTTCCTTTTTTGGCATTTTCTCCTCGCAGATTTGTTCTAAACGGCTTCAAAAAATTCAGTGGATAACTAATTGTTTTTACTACATCTAATGGAAATAAGAAACACAAATAAACTTCATTGTAAACGCATCATTTTGCTCGACGCTTTTTGTACAATAACAATTTGTACAAAAACAATTTATACAATATGTTTTGATCAGCTGCCCGAAAATTGGAGTGTAATGCTGCATGGTATCGTCACAATTGTTACAAGTTTATAAGAACATAGCTTTAAAATTGAAATCTTAAAAACCCAACCTTCACCACCATCGACGCGTCCTCTTTTAACGGAGACGAGGAGTGCCGAATGGGGATCGGCTGTCCTTTTTCGGCAAACACGTATCAATGGTGGAAGGGTTGACATGGCTAAAATAGAAAAAAATTATATGAGAAAGTGTAAAAGTTAAAACAAAATAATGAAAAGTTGAACAAAATAATGAAAAAAAAGCTATAACAGTTATAAAAGCTAAGCTATAAAAAGCTAAAACATAAATTTAATGAAAATTATAGATTGCCAATTTTTTAAAATCTCTTTTTTACGTATAAAAGCTATTCGATTCATTTAAAGCTTCGTTTAAAACGGGGGTAGGACAAATGCGACCTTTTTTTTTGCTGGAAAAGGCCTTAGGAAAGGTCGTCGAGCTTCGAAACTATTTCCATATAAGGGAATCGTATGCGTAGCTTCCGAATTTTGATAAATCAGACCTAGCTGACATGTCAAATTTGGGCTAAAAAGCCAAAAACTACGCAACTTAACGCTTTTCCGCAGTTTTTGCCTTTTAGCCCAAATTTGACGTGTCAGCGAGGTCTGATTTGTCAAAATTCGGAATCTACGCATACGATTCCCTTATATGGAAATAGTTTCGAAGCTCGACGACCTTTCCTAAGGCCTTTTCCAGCAAAAAAAGAGGCGCAAATGTCCAGGTGCGCAAAAAAAAGGTCGCATTTGTCCCACCCCCTTTAAAACAGAATAATGAAAAGTAACTAATGAAAAGTAAAAAAAAAGCTGGGAGTGAGACAAATTCTACCTCTTTTTTTCCGCACCCAGCCAATTAGCGCACCTTTTGTCGCGTTTTAAAAGAAAAAAACTCTAAAAAGCTAATATTAACCAATTTCTATTTAAAAAGTTGTTTTTTCTGCGTAATTTTAGAGCGTAGAATCGAAATTTTAACATATTAAAGCGTGTGGAGCCAATTTGAAAGAGAATGATCGATTTACTCTCTAATTACAGAGAATTAACGATTTTCCCTATGTGTAACTCCGTTCGTTTGCTTCCACAAGCTCTGATATGTCAAAATTTCGATTCTACGCCCTAAAATTACCCAAAAAAACAACTTTTGGAATAGAAATTGATTAATAGCATATTTCCTCTAATAAATGCCCCTCTTCCCCTGCTACACGGTGACCACAACGACAATCAAAGTGTTCACGAAGGAGCTACTGGTGCCAATCATGCCAATCCAACCGTGGCGTTCGGCAAGGAGACACCATCTCGCCGAAGCTCTTCACCGCGGCGCTCCAGAACGCCATGAAAGATCTCACAGGTTACGGCATCCAGATTGGCAAGAACATCACCAACCTCCGGACGACATTGTGCTCTGTGCAAAGTCTCCAGAAGCTCAGCAAAGGTTGGACGAGCTCGACAAAACTAGCAAGAGGATCGTTCTTGAGATGAACAAGAAAAAGACAGCATGAGGAACGCATGGTGCTCACCTGAAGAGATCAAACTGGACAACCAAGCTCTAGAAAGAGGTCTCATCATACAACCACCTCGGAAGAAGCCTGAACATGGACGGAGATCAAAGAGAAGAAATCGGAAGAAGGGCGGCGTGGACAGCACTGGCAAATATCAAAGAGGTCACCAAGATGCTCAAGAATTATAAGAAAACAAGAGCACATCTCTTCGGCAGCACCGTCCCCTCAGCACTCTGCTACGGGACTTGGGCCACAACATCAACCAGCGAGCAAGCAATCAAGCTGAATCATTGAGCCTTGGAGCGGAACCTTCTCGGTCACAGCTGGACCCACGGAGCAATGTTATGCGGCAACTGTCGGGACTCAGAGATCCTTTAGAAGTGATAGAGGCGAGGGCTTCGATGGGCTGGGCATGTGGCCAGAAGAACAGATGACAGATGGACTACACGGGTCATGGAATGGACCAGAAGATCAGAAGAAACCTGTCGGGCGGCCAGCAACCAAATGGAGCACAAGGGTCGATCAAACACTCCGAGAAAGGTTAACAAGACTCCAGCCACCAGCACCACAAGCACAGGCAACAAGACTCCGCTCCAGAAATACCTAACATAGTCGCCATTGGATGTCCATCGCAAGAGATAGGGATAAATGGAAATTGGTTAGTGGTTTGTGATGTATTGTGATGTGTTATTCGGAGTGATTTGCGCTAGCAAGCGATGTCAAATCAATACATTTTTATATAGCGCCCCCCTCGACCAACTTTAGACGCCTCGTCCTCAGCTCCAATTTAAGATATATAAAAGACATATATAGAAGATATATAGAAGACATTAAGGACTATCTTTTGGTATATTGAACATAAAAATATCTCAAAATGGGGCTGAGGACGAGGCGTCTAAAGTTGGTCGAGGAGGGGGACGTTTATTAGAGCAAATCCAGTATTAGCTTCCGGCTTTTTAGAGCTTCTTTATAGCGCCAAAAAAAAATGCGCTAATGGGCCGAGTGCGCAAAAAAAAGCTCGCATTTGTCCTGGGCTCATAGCTATGACCCGGGCTCATAGCTAGGACCCAGGTCATGGCTATGACCCGGCCTCATAGCTATGACCCGGATCATCGCTATGAGGAAATTCGCTAGTATATGTATAAAGTATGTATAAAAGCTATTCAATTAAAGTTTTGTAGGTAAATTTTGATGTGATAGTTTAGCTTTAAATGTTTTAAATGCTTATATTAGGTTGATGCAAAAGTCTTTTTCATTTTTTTCGTCTGCCGTTTCAAGCCAACAAATGCACCAATTAAACTACGGTTGATTTCATTAGAAAAAGCAATTATTTTTCTGCAAAATAACATTAAAACGGGTTTAAAAATATTTTGCCTGAATTTTCTTGAGAGTATGAGTCGGGTAGTCAAAAGGGCTAACTCGATGATGCGGTTTAGACACCTTGCTAAAGAAAACCTATCTTCGGCAATAGATAAAGGTAGAGAAAAACGTTTGTTATTTCGCCAAAATTTCAGAGAAATTCATTCAGCCAATTTTTCCGTAGAGTTTTTTATAGATTTTTACGAAAAAGGCGTTTTTCACTCTCGAATTTGCTTGAAAGTGAACCGAAATTTATTTAAAAGATGGAAATTGAACAAAAAACCTTTTTTTATAGAGCAAACTATAGATTAATTGGTGAATTTGTTACTTTTTAACAGAAGTACGAAAAAAATGAAAAAGACTTTTGCATCAACCTAATAAATGCATAAAAATAAAAATAAAGAAGCAAAATTTGAAAAACTCGAATCAACTTATTCATTGTGAGCTTAAATGAAAGAATTATTGGGAAAATAAACCCATATTCAACATTTTTAAGCACCAAATAAACGAAATTGCATTGTTTATTTGAGAAAATTTCATGCACTATACATAAAAAAGTACATAAAAAGTACATAGAGTACATAGAAAAAATGTACATAGAAAAATCGGTATATAAAAAGTGTAGAAGAAAAATTCGCATACGAAAATCACATTTCTCGTCGACTAGGGCAGAAAATTGAGGTGAAAAGAGGAAACGATTTGTTTACAGACAACTGAATACCTTTAAAATAGTAATCTTGGTTACTAGTAAGTCTTACTGTAGTCGGGAATTGTAAGTTAAAAGCTTCAATATTTTACTGTAGCTGATAAAGTACTGTAGTTAATAAAGCTATTCAGTTAAGCTGCAATATTTTACTGTAGCTGATAAAGTACTGTAGCTAATAAAGCTGGCATACTGTAGCTGGTAAAGTTAGTGCAGAATCGAAAATCGATCCGTTTGAGTTGCCAAAGCCGAAATGATCTGGCTTTGGCAACTCACTAGGATTCACCCAATGAGCAAGGTCATCTGATAGGGCCAAGCTACAGCTTATGCCCATAAGCTCTAGCGTTACCACTACATAAAAGTGCCTCCCGAGAGAGCAAATTTGTCATTGCCTTGACTAAGGAACCAAATTTAGAGAGATAAGGAACCAAATTTTGGATTCAAACTTAGAAGCGTTCAGTTATAATCCCGCAGATGGTAGCTTCGCACCACTGGCCGATCGGCCCGGTGCATGAACCAAATGTCTAGACCTGCGGTTCTTCTCGTACTTAGCAGGATTATTATCGCAACAACTAGCCAACAGTAGGGTAATAATACAATTAGACAATAAGCAAGATTACGGTAGACCACAAAAAGATATTCAGTCCCCCACAAAATCGATAAAATCAAAGAAATCATTTAGAAATCAAGCGAAAAGTTTCGTTCTTTTTTTTTTGATATGCTTTTACATTTCTTTTAATGTTTCAGATCTAAAAAACAATTTGAATTTGGGATTATGCAAAACAATAAAAATAGAGCAAAACAATAAAAATAGAGCAAAACAATAAAAATAGCGCAAAATTTAAAAATTAGTTCAAAATTTCCCCTCTTCTTTCGTTATTTTGAAGACTTTCTCGAGCAGTGCCGCTTTCGTTGTATCGCTGAGATTTTTGTATTCTTCCATATTCTTGATCGCCTTCACGTCGCTAAGCGATTTCATTGTCCGAATGCAAGAATCCTTAAAGTGATCAGATTTTATTGCCGTTAAGATTCGAATGAATGAAAAATCCGGGGTAGGCTAGTTTCCGCAACTTTTTTTGCGCAACAGGGTCATTTGCGCAACTGGGTCGTATGCGCAACTCGCCATAACTTTCTTCTAAGTGAGCTAATCTTTATGATTTTGGTGTCATTTTGTAGATCTCAATAAGTGCAACAAAATGAAACCAAAAACATAAAGATTGGCCCACTTAGAAGAAAGTTATGGCGAGTTGCGTAGAAGATCTAGTTCCGCAACTTTTTTTGCGCAACAGGGTCATTTGCGTAAACGACCCAGTTGCGGAAATGACCCTGTTGCGCAAAAAAAGTTGCGGAAACTAGCCTACCCCAAAAATCCTCATGGTCAGATTACAGTATCTTTCTGTCTGTCTGTCTTTTTTTGTCTGTCTTTTTTGTCTGTCTTTTTTTGTCTGTCTTTTTTGTCTGTCTTTTTTTGTCTGTCTTTTTTTTTGTCTGTCTTTTTCTGTCTGTCTTTTTTCTGTCTGTCTTTTTTCTGTCTGTCTTTCTTCTGTCTTTCTGGGCGGTGGGACAAATGCGACCATTTTTTGCGCACCCGGTCAAAAGCGCACCTTTTTTCGCTGGAAAAGGCCGTAGAGCTTCAAAGATGTTCCCATATAGGGGAATCGTATGCGTAGATTCCGAATTTCGACAAATCAGACCTCGCTGACACGTCAAATTTGGACTAAAAGGCCAAAAACTAAGCAACTTAAAAGCTTTTCGACAGTTTTTGCCTTTTAGCCCAAATTTGACGTGTCAGCGAGGTCTGATTTGTCGAAATTCGGAATCTATGCATACAATTCCCCTATGTGAAAACATTTTTTGAGGCTCTACGGCCTTTCCTAAGGCCTTTTCCAGCGAAAAAAAGGTGCGCTTTTGACCGCGTGCGCAAAAAATGATAGCATTTATCCCACCCCCTCTTTCTGTCTGTTTGTCTGTCTTCTTTTTCAAACCTGCAACTTTGCGAGCACATATTGATCAGCCCAAACGAGTTTCGTCACAAGACTGATCTCACCGGAGCCGATCAAAAAGCTGAAATAATGAAGATTAGAGGTACACAAGAATCTTCTAATACCAAAATCAATAAAAGAAAGACAGCAGTAACAGTAGTAGGATTGAAAACAACCAATTGCTGGACCTAAGCACAGGAAAAGATCCAGTAGTGGTACAGCAATTATCCTCCAGTAAGGTCTATAGAATAAGCCTTATGCTCGTTCTTGTCACATACATTGTCTGGTGCCCTCAACTCTTCATTTTACTTGCGATACCAATTTGGTGAAGGAAAAATGAAGACTTGAGTGCACTAGAAGGGATTTTTTTTTTACAGATTTATGCAAATTGCACTGTGTGAATTGAAAGCAACCAATTGCTGGAACTAAGCACAGGTCCAGCAATTGGTTGTTTTCAAAAGACCCAATACGAGTTCGATCTTATGTCAATATACTAAGATTACTGTAGCAAATAGCTGTACTACTGTAGCAGAGGGTGTACATTGTACAATCCGTCGAAACTTTCCCCCTCCCACCGTTTACATCCCACTCACCGTTCGCACTCATCCAAAACGAAATGCATCTCGAATTTATCTCCCAACTCCAGAAGAAATTCCACGTTCTCAGCTAAACTCTTGTTTTGAATTGAATTGAATTGAATTGAATTGAATTCCAATACGGCTCCAATACGGTTCCAATACGGTTCTTTTTTTGATCCAATACGGTTGCAATACGGTTCAAATACGGTTCCAAGACGATTCCAATACGGTTCCAATACGGTTCCAACCCAACCCAATCCAATCCAATCCAATCCAATCCAATCCAATCCAACCCAATCCAATCCCTTTTCTTTCAACTCACTTGATACAGGCTTCCTTGAAGGATAAACAACATTGAGCAATTCGATGAATTCATCAAAAATCACATCTTCTACCGTAACCTCTTTCTTGTCTCTTTCCGAGAAATTCGAATAGAACATTGCGTGAAAGACGGGTGAATGAAGAGCCAAGTACTAGAAATTAGCATATTGTAAAAAGAGATTTAATAATCTGCTAATTCTAATCAGCTATAAACAGAGAAAAAAATAATTTGATAGTTTTGATTTTTTTTTTTGAAAGTTTCTTAACTTAAAATCATCTTATCCATCAAATTCGTTTTCTAAAATGAAAACGAAAGCCTACTGTATGATTTTCATCGTTTTTCTTTAAGATTACGTTACAGTAAGATTAGAGTAAGATTACGGTAAGATTACAGCCAGATTGCTATAAGATTACAGTAAGATTACAGTAAGATTGCCGTAAGATTACCTTAAAATTAACCTTTTAACTACCATAATCTTCTGCTAGCGTAGGAAAACGACAGAAGAAGTACAGTAGCTTTTTTCTTTCGTCTAAGAAACGTCTAAGAAACGTCTCGACATTTGAAACAGTCTAGACATTTGTGTAAAACAAAACCTACCGTAAATACTGTAATTGGACCCCACCCCCCACCCGTACAGTCGCGTAGTCGCAAAAGTTTTTTAGTATTTCATTTTTTTCAAAGCGCCCGTACTTTCAAAAAATGTGTCTTTGGTATCAAAAAATAGCCCTGAATTTCAGCTATTTTTTGATACCTAAACAAGCATTGTAGCATAAACCAGTGTCGAGAAAAACTCGTTCAAAGCTAGACTACGCAACACTCCGCACCGTCATTATGGGGGCCTGGGTACTATTACAGTATTTACGATAATTGATTCCAAATCTGTATTTACTTATTTTACTAGTGAAGCTAGCTAGCTTTATTACTAAAGAAGCTAGCTAGCTTTACTACTAGTGAAGCTAGCTAGCTTTACTACTTAAGCAGCTAAATCTAAATCTAAATAAATCTAAATCTAAATGAAGCCAAATCTCATTCTTAGCTTTTTCTCACCTCTTTGCTCACATGAAGTCTCATTCCATCGATGACAAGAATTCCAGAAGAAACTTGAGTTTGTGAAAGAAAATCGAACACCGGATGACGTCTGAATTTGAGATTTGAATAGATTTGGATAGATTTGAATGAGATTTGGATAGATTTGAATGAGATTTGGATAGATTTGAATGAGATTTGGATAGATTTGAATGAGATTTGGATAGATTTGAATGAGATTTGGATAGATTTTGAAAAGAAATCCTTCTCTAAAACATGGAAACTTCTCAGACTAGACATGATTACGGTAGTTGGTAGTTTTAGTGAACGATATTTTGCTTTCCATTGAATAATAATATTTATACTATTAGGTTGATGCAAAAAGGTCTTTTTCATTTTTTTCGTACTTCCGTTAAAAAGTAACAAATGCACCAATTGAACAACGGTTTATTGCATTCGAAAGGCCAATGATTTTTCTGCAAAATGACATTAAAACGAGTTTAAAATGTCTTATGACTAGATTTTTTTGAGAGCCTGAAGTCGGGTAGTCAAAAAAGGCGACGGCTCGATGATGCATTTTAGACGCTCTAGCTAAGGAAACCAATCTTGATGTTAATAAATAAAAGATAGAGCACAAAAAGTTCGATATTTTTTCAGATTTTCAGAGAAATTGATTCAGCCAATTTCTTTATAGAGGTTTTTATAGATTTATTATGAAAAAACCCGTTTTCACTCTCGAATTTGCTTGAAAGTGAACCCAAATTGACTTAAAAAGATGGGAAATTGAACAATAAACACTTTTCATTTAGAGCAAACCATAGGTCAATTCATGACTTTGTTATTTTTCAAAAGAAGTACGAAAAAAATGAAAAAGACTTTTGCATCAACCTAATACACAAGCTCAACAGCATTTTTGCCGGACATCACATTTATCTCGTTTTAACACCGTACTTTTAGAAAGTCACCGTTTTTCCAAAAAGTTTTGATGCTTTTCTAAAAGGCATTAAGGCACCGTAGTGTGTACGCGATGCTCCGCGTCGGAATCACCATATAAAACACGGTCTCTTTCCCCATTTTCTCACTTTTTTCTTCGAGCTTTGTTGGGCAAAATGACTGCTAGTGACCGGTTTCTTATTTTTCTGCTCGTTTCTCGTTTCTCGTTTTTTATTTTTTATTTATTATAATTGTATTATATCTTGATTTTAGAAATGGTGTCGGCTAATTCGCTTCGCAATGCAATCATCAAGTCATCAAGCTAATCCACTCCGTAACGCTGTCATCAAGTCATCAAGCTAATCCGCTCCGTAACGCCATCGTCAAGTCATCAAGCTAGTCCGCTCCGTAACGCTATCATCAAGTCATCAAGATGGAAAGGCGACAAACGACATTATGAATGTGCTCGAAATTTCTCGGCAAACTGCCAAACGATTCAAACAACTCAATCGTATTGGCCAAGGTAGAAAACGATCGTATTGGCCGAGATAGAAAACGCAACTTCGAAACGGATGGTGGAAACGGTGTGGAAGCGAATCAAACGAAATCCCAGAGGCTCAATGGACAAAATGTCAGATCTTGGATCAGTTCAGTGGGAAGACTTGTAAAAAAGCAGTTGATGTACCCATACAAAAGACAAAAAAAGCCATGAATTGACTAAAGATATGGTGAACGAGCGGCTACGACTTTGCAAGAGCTTTCTTAATCGTTTTGCGAGACGATGAAGAAGTTTTCCGATGAGAGAATATTCACTAAGCGATTTCAAATCAAGACAAGTACTGATCTGTCATCATTGATGGTTTGATCACTTTGGAAAGCTGAACACTGCACACTGCACTTATTTTTGTCGATCTGGGAATCAAAATCACCAAAGATGTTTACCGAGAAGAAGTTTTGGTGAATTTAAAAGCCTTAAAGCATCGTTAATCTCTATTCTTTCTTTACCTCACTCCGATCACTTTCTGAACTGTAATCTTTGCCTCGACGACCACTCGATCACCGCGGATGTAGCCCTAAAAGATTTTGGTATAGTACTATTCCTATTGTACTATTCCTGCTTACCAAATCCGGATTCAGAATCTCAGTCCATTCCATGAATGACGGGAAACCCCAATTGTTCGAATTATAGTTGAATTTGTTTGTGAATTGACGAGAGAAATCAGGGACACCGTCTTTATGGGAAATCAAGCGAAATTCAACCTGAAAATAAGCTTTAGAGGTAGGCAAGTCATCGCTGGCTTTGATAGAATCTCTCTAGACCTCTCTAGACCTCTCTAGACCTCTCTAGACCTCTCTAGAGCTCTTTAGATATCTTTAGATCTCTCTAGACCTCTCTAGACCTCTCTAGACCTCTCTAGTTTATTTTTAAATAAGACTATGATATAGATAGCTTTTACGATCGATATACACTACTGGAAAATGAAATATGATATTTGAAAAACGATCGTCACTTTCGCGCGTCTATAACTCTCTTGTATTTACCGTATTTCTAAATATTAATATTACCATTGTGTAGCCCTTGAAAAGAGCTTTCAGAAAATGTATAACACTAATAGTTTAAACTCAAAGACAAGAGAGTTATAGGCGCGCGAAAGTGACGATCGAAAGTTTTTCAAATATCATAATTTCATTGTCCAGTGCTGTAGATAGCTTTTTCTTCAAGCGCATCTTTTAGAAATGCTTAGAAATGCTCAGAAATGCTCTAGAAATGCTTAGAAATGCTTAGAAATCGAAATCTGAATCCTTGAACTCACCACCGCATCGCAATTCCACAAAGTGCTTTCGCTTTCCGGATTGCAATCGATATAAACGGAGAAATATTTCTTATGCGATGTTCGCTTTGTGCATTCGGTTTTCGCCGCCAATCTCCTAGAAAAGAGAAAAGTTTTGATAAGTCAAATGGTAAATGATTTTCTAGGTCAAATGATTTTCTAGTAATCATATTCTACTGTTAGGTAAAGTAGTTTAGATTTAAAGATAAAGATCTATCATCGATAGATCATTGTATACAGGGTGGCTGAAAATTACGTGCGCGCAGCATCAGCATCATAGTTTTAAACAATGTATAAAGCATTACTACTCATCTTTTTGTGTTTTAATATTCTTTTTATCATTGTCTAATAATTTTTTGTTAAAAAAGTTGTTTTCTAGGTCATGACAAAGACGTGCGCTAGTCGGGACGTAATCGCACAGCTGGCGACGAGCGGCATGAAGAACCCGTCGATCGCATCGAGGCTTGGGGTGGCTCTGAGGACCGTCCAGAAGATCATAAAGCAATGGAAAGATGAGGGGCATGTTCAGTCCAAGCCCGGAAGAGGACGAAAGAGGACCGTTAACACCCGAAAGATGCGTGGGATCATCAAGAGGAGGATCGAGCGAAAAGACGATCGTAGTTTGAACAAGATGGCAAAACAGCTTCAAATTTCGCGTTTCTCGGTTCAATCGATAGTGAAAAATGAGCTCGGACTTCGAAGTTATCGACTGTTAAACGGGCAAGTGCTCACCGATCAAGCCAAGCAAAACCGGAAGGAGAAATGCAAAAAATTGCGAGCTTTTTTCAAGGTGCGGCGCATTGACGATGTTCTTTGGTCGGATGAGAAGATTTTCACCTTGGAAGTGGCTTAAAAGTCACAAAATCACCGTCAACTGCTCAGTCCAACTCTCAAGGGCTGTATATGTCGTAGCCGATTATGAATGAAAATTTTTTGATAAATCTTTCTAGTCGAGCAACCCTTTGAATGTATGAGGACAATATTATATCATCCTGTAGCGAATTCAATTCTGCGTCAATTGGTACCAAATTTGTGAGTTTAGGTTAAAAATTACCGCCACTACAACGTTTCATTCAAAATCGGCGGCATCCCCGTAGACGATTATGAATGAGTGGGTCTAGAAGCGTCCAACCATCAAGTATTTGGTATCATTCAACGCAGAATCATTGATAATTATGTTAAATTTTTAAAATTAGAAAGATTGAATAAAAAGAAAAAAAATTAGAACAAAAAAACTGTTTCTTCAAGAGGAAACTTTGAGGCCCCATAATTTTTTTTCTTTTTATTCAATCTTTCTAATTTTAAAAATTTAACATAATTATTAATGATTCTGCGTTGAATGATACCAAATACTTGATGGTTGGACGCTCCTAGACCCACTCATTCATAATCGGCTACGACATATAGATCATTGAGATAAATCATTGTCCTTATCCCAAACGGAAGTCATTATTTTATTTTATTTTTCAGATTTCTTTCTCACCAGGGAAAATTGGCGATATTGTGATAGGAGGTGTTGACTTTTGCTCGAATTGTTGACAGATTCGGGATATTCAGCTTGATGGAACCCTCAGTTTTATCTAAAATTTGATTTGTACAGTATTTCTGATTGCCGTCTCAATTACCGTTTCAATTACCATCTCAATTAACGTACCTGATCTGACGGCATTACTCGAAATGTCATCGAACGAGTTCCGCGTGTACTCTGAGCCACAATCTGACGAAGATCTGAAAATATTGGCAATAAGTTAATATAGGTTGGATCTAGGGTATCTAGTACTATTTAATACTATAAACAATTTCAAATAATAGTACATACAGCGGATTTACGAGATGAAACTGTTGAGCGGCGAGATTTGAAGAGGAGTCGCCGGAGGAACTAGCGAAACAGGCATTTGCTGAAAAGCATTGAAAATATCATAAGCTATTGCTGATCTCTTGCGACATTAGAGCTTAATCTAAATATACAGTGCGCGTCAAAATGATAGGTCCACCCGATTTCTCAAAAAGTATCAAGCAAAATCAAAATCCATATTTGCACATGAATTTTAATTTGATTCTTGATAAATATTCAAAAGTTGAAAAAAGTTTTTTATCGGTAAAATTTTTGAGTATTTTGGAAAAACTCAAAAATTGAGGGAAAAACCGTGTCAAAATGATAGGTCCACCACTTTATGCGTTTAATGCCTTGCCACTTTCTTGCTGATTTTTTGTTTTATTTTTTGTTTTTTTGCATGCAAATTTTATTTTTCTACATATTCTAACTTTTTCCTTTAGAATGGGCCGAGGAAATGCGTTGACGCTGGTGGAGCAGGGACAAGTTGACGTTCTACACACAAATGGACTCAGCAATCGCAAAATTACCGAACAACTTGGTCGCTCGCACAACGTCATCAATCAATACCTTCAAAATCCACTGAATTATGGAACTAAGAAGACGACTGGACGGAAGCCGATTCTGACACCCCGAGACAATAGGACAGATAGGACAAATTGTGTCGAACTCAATGATGTCAGCCAACGAAGAACGAAACGAAATTGGTCTATCGGCATCGAAAAGCACAGTTTTGAGGATCATTACTGCAATTCCTCACGTCAAGCGATGCAAAATGATACCATGTCCTCGTCTAACCGGTGACCACAAAGTTACTCGAGCCGAATTTGCACGCAAGAATTTAAAGGTCGATTGGAACAAGGTGACCATTGAGTAATAGTCAGCAACAATAAAGTTTTTTTGGTTTAGATTATCTTCAGTGACGAAAAAACGTTCAATCTTGATGGTCCCGATGGTAGCAAGTATTATTGGCACGATCTTCGCAAAGAACCACAATACTTTGGGCGTCGGAATTTCGGAGGAGGCAGCTTAATGGTCTGGGGAGCATTTACGGCCGGTGGTGTACTCGAATTGAAGTTTGTCTCTTGTCGAATGAACTCGAAGGATTATCAGGATGTGTTATCGGATCGTTTGTTACCGTTTTTGCTTAACAATCAAGGACAATGTTATCGATTCCAGCAAGACATGTCGGCAGATCAACAAAAGACTACTTTACGCAGAATAACATCGATGTCTTGGACTGACCCGCATATTTGCCCCACTTGAACCCGATGGAAAATTTATGGGCAATACTTGCACGCAAAGTTTATGCAAATGGACGAACATACAAGTCAGTTTCCGAGCTCAAAACACAATTAATTCTTTCATGGCGGTCGATCATGCCCACGACTCCTCAAAAACTAGCTGACTCGATGGATAATCGTATTCTGGACATGGTCAAACTTAAAGAAGAACCTACAAAGTGTTGACCGTAGTGATAAAGTAATGATAAAAACTAATTTCATTCAGTTTTTACAATTTTTTTGTTCTTGTTATAAAGTTTTTAATGAGTGGACCTATCATTTTGACACGGTTTTTCCCTCAATTTTTGAGTTTTTCCAAAATACTCAAAAATTTTACCGATAAGAAACTTTTTTCAACTTTTGAATATTTATCAAGAATCAAATTAAAATTCATGTGCAAATATGGATTTTGATTTTGCTTGATACTTTTTGAGAAATCGGGTGGACCTATCATTTTGATGCGCACTTTATCAACAAACCTATGGCTGATACTAGTAGCCATAAGCCAGAATGTTCCGGTAGACGTTAGACTTGTCAGAATTAGACCAGTACCAGCCTGGCTTAGCTCTAGATCTTCTAGTTGGTTCAGATGGTCTAGAATTGATCTAGGTAGTCTAGAGTTGGTCTAGATGGTCTAGAGTTGGTATAGATGCTCTAGAATTGGTCCAGATGTTCTAGAATCGGTCTAGATGCTCTAGAACTGGTTCAGATGGTCTAGAGTTGGTCCAGATAGTCTAGAATTCGTCTAGATGCTCTAGAATTGGTTCAGATGCTCTAGAGTTGGTCTAGATGGTCTAGAATTGGTCTAGATGGTCTAGAATTGGTCTAGATGGTCTAGAATTGGTCTAGATGGTCTAGAATTGGTCCAGGTAGTCTAGAATTGGTCTAAATCCTCTAGAATCGGTCTAGATGGTTCAGAAACTTTCTATAAGCCTAATTAGAAGAGGTAAGGACTTGATAAGGATTAGAATCAGTCTAGATTTGATCCCGGTACTAATTCTAGTCATAGTTTCAGAAACAAAACCTTTTCGAAGTCATTTAATATCAATCAAAGATTCTAAGAAAGAAATGTTAGCTATAAAATTAAATTATTGTAATAGAACATTTTTTTATATACTATTCTATTATAAAAGCTATTCTTTTTAAGCTTTTATATCCCATCAACCAACCAGAAAACAGTCGCTTCGGTGTCACTGCTCCATTCGGCTCATTTTGCGGCTCATTTGCTCGATGGGACTGAAAAATTGAAATAAAATATTAATTTAAAGATTTAATAAAGCTAATAAAGCTTACCTTTAATTTATAAATTTTATAATTCATAAGAAGAAATGAAATGAAAATTTGAAATGAAATGATTGTTTTCAAATGCGCATCTAATCATCGCAACATCCTTTTCACGGAATTTATCAAAGCTCTTTTGGAAATGAAAGGGAAAGTTCCGAAAGATGATAAGGAAAATTTCGATGCAAATTGTGTCAAGTTGTGAGATTTTTGGGGTTAATTTTAGATAAATGATAGAAATTCTTGAGCAAGCTATGCTTTTTCGTTGGCTAAATTCTTTGAAAAGTCTTTAAACTTTGAAAAAGGCTTTGAACACTTTTTTTGAAGTCTGTTTAAAAATTTGCTTAGAAATCTGTTTAAAAATTTGTTTAAATCTGTTTTTTAATCTGTTTTTAAATCTGTTTTAAATCCGTTTTTAAATCAATTTAGAAATCTGTTTATCTTTATCTTTAGAAATCTCTCTATAAATCCTTTTATCAACGAAAACTTTACCAATTAACCTACAGTTTACTTCAAATAGTTGTCTATTAAACACTTTTCTTTCTTTTTACCCTAATCTGGGCCATTTCCAAGAGCTCAGTCGTTTTGCGTAAAAGCTGATATTGAATGGACAGTTTTTTTTCTTAAAAACTAAGCTATTAGGTTGGCAAGTTATAAACGATCGTTTTTTGGTAATGTGTTTTCTGAAAAAATGACTTATCCAATCAAAAAAACGGTTTGCTTGATTCAAAAGCCCTATCCTTAATCTACAAAACTTTTTGGCTTTTTTGAATTTTTGAAAAATGTTTTATTTTAGAACTTTTTCAGGGCATTTTAATGTAAGAGTTGAAAATCCTTTCTAGCAAATCCTTCCTGAAAATCCTTTCTGGTTTCTAGCATTCATGAGCTAATATATTAGGTTGTTCGGATATAAACGAGCGTTTTCGTAGTCGACAAAATTTATCTTAAAAACAGAAACAACACAGTTTAATATATTAATGGTGAATATATTCTAAAATATATTCACCATTATTATTGATTACTTCTTGCCATCTTTTGGGCAAAGAATTGATGCCGCTCTTGAAAAACTCAGCCGGCTGTGACTCGAAAAACTTGGTGACCTTGGACCTTGGAAACTTCGTGAATTTTGGTCATCTTCACGGTTTGAATTTCTGATTGGCCAAAAAGTTTTGAATCGACCGGAATCAAAGGTAATCTGAGGAAGCCAAATCGGGAGCATACGGCGGATGTGGTAAAACCTCCCATCCTAGATTCTCTAGTTTTTGCTGAGCCATTTTTGCAAAACGTGAGGTCTAGCGTTGTTATGGATGAACTTTATCTTTGATGTGTCTACTCCGTAACGAATGAGAGCTTCATTGACCCGATCAAGTTGCTGTTTGTAGAGGGTTGTAGAAGCTCAAAATAAACAAGGCCCTTGTTATTCCACCATACTGAGAGCATGACCTTTTTTCCATTAATGTCCGGTTTCACGGTCGGATTTGGCCGTTCTCCTGGTCCTAGCCATTTCCGTTTTCGAATAGTATTATCGAAATGGATCCACTTCTCATCTTCAGTAACGAGAGAATCAAAAAACGCCATGATCTTTAGCGTGGCGGATGAGGATTCCGGGAATAGCGACCCGTGAAGCCTTGTTTGCAATGCTTAACTCGTGAGGAAGCCATTTCCCGCATCTGATCGTCTTTCCAATGGCGTGGAGATGCTCATCAATGGTAGAATTTGAACATACAAACTGTTGAGCAAGTTCGCGCGTCGTTTGACATGGATCCGATTCGATTGTAGCCCTCAAAATAACGTTGTCTACCGCTTGAGGTCGACGAGAGTGTTCATCATCCTCGAGACTTTCATCACCATTCGGAACCAGGCTCGGCATCGGCTTTCGAACAATACATCATTCAACAATTGTTTATATCCGAATAACCTAATATTTTTGAGTGATTGCATACTTTTTAAAATAAAACGCTTCATCGATTACACAGTTTCCCAAAATTTCAGAACAATCCAATCTTCGGAAGGTTGATTTTCAAATTTGGCTCAAATCTTTGTTGGCTCAAGGCTCTTTGTGCTAATTTAATTTATTTTCGTTTGAATTTAAGCAAGATTAAAACAAAGAGAACGGTTCGATCGATTGGATTGTTCTGAAATCTTGGGAATCTATGTAATCGATGAAGCGTTTTATTTTAAAAAGTATGCAATCACTCAAAAATATTTTAGCTCATGAATGCTAGAAACCAGGATTTTTAACTCTTACATTAAAATGCTTGAAAAAGTTCTAAAATAAAACATAAAATGCGTTAAATGATTGATTTACGATTTATTCTATTAGAAAAGCTTGATATTTTTCTATAAAACATTGTTGAAATCTTAAGAAATCTTTTGTTTGTTTGTTTTTCACAGCCGGCTGAGTTTTTCAAGAGCGGCATCAATTCTTTGCGCAAAAGATGGCCAGAAGTAATCAATAATAATGGTGAATATATTTTAGATTAAACTGTGTTGTTTCTGTTTTTAAGATAAATTTTGTCGACTACTAAAACGCTCGTTTATAACCGAACAACCTAATATATTAGCTCATGAATGCTAGCTAGAAACCAAGATTTTCAACTCTTACATTAAAATGCCCTGAAAAAGTTCTAAAATAAAACATTTTTCAAAAATTCAAAAAAGCCAAAAAGTTTTGTAGATTAAGGATAGGGCTTTTGAATCAAGCAAACCGTTTTTTGGATTGGATAAGCCGTTTCTTCAGAAAACACATTACCAAAAAACGATCGTTTATAACTTCCCAACCTAATAATACTCGGTAATACACCATTTCACCTAACAATTAATAGACTGTAGTAAGGGTGTTGGAAGCTAATAGGACATTTCACCACATAATACACCATTAGCTTCACCACCATCTCACTACTGTATTAACTTTACAATGGGATCCTTAATACACCTTGGAAGCTACTCTTAGAGATGTATTAGCTTGTAAATTTGTAAACGTCAAAATGAAATGTGCAGCTTTAAAGGAAGACGAAATTCCGAATGAAGAGCCAGAGCTTCGAATGCTTTTTTGCTTTGTTTCGGAGCTTCGAATGCTTTTTTAATCACAGCACCTCCTTTGCATAATGCAATTGTAAACCAAGTTTCTTGATTTATCGGATTATCCTTTAAAATTAGCTTCAACCAGAACAACCAGAAAAAGTTTTGTAGATTGAGGATAGGGCTTTTGAATCAAGCAAGCCGTTTTTTGGATTGGATAAGCCGTTTTTTCAGAAAACACAATAACAAAAAACGATCGTTTATAACCTAATATAAATGTTTTACGCTATATCTTTTATCTTTTGACTTCAAGATAGGTTTCTTTAGGTAAACAAAAGTGTCTAAATCGCGTAATCGTTGCCTTTTTTTGCTAGATTAGCTTGATGACTTGATGACAGCGTTACGAAGTGGATTAGCTTGATGTTCACACTTTTGAACAAAAAAAACAAACAAACAAAAGATTGCTTAAGATTTCAACAATGTTTTATAGAAAAATATCAAGCTTTTCTAATAGAACAAATCGTCATTTAACGATTGATTGAGTGAATCAATCATTTAACGCAAAATGACTAAACGCTAGCTAAAGCTAAATCAAACCGCACCTCATTTCTTTCGCATCCACCGCTCATCTCGTTGTGCCCTCCTCGTTTCCCTAATGGTGACTCGAAATCAGCACTCCCGCAAAAAGTCTCATTTGTATCCGAATCGAGATTCATTCTAAAAGTAAAACTGATGAAATGGAATGGAATGGAATGAAATGAAATGAAACGAAATGGAATGAAACGAAATGAAATGAATAACATTAAAGATTGAAATAATGTGAATCGAAGAGAAAAAATGAAATGAGCAGCTGGTTTGGCAAGGGAAAAGGAAAAGCAAGAGCAACTTTTAGAATGCACAAACAGAAACAGAAAAGGAAAAGGAAAAGGACAAACAGATGCGCATATCTAACGATTTACAAGCTTTAAATGACTTTTTCAATAATTTATATCATTTTCTAAGCTTTAGATTACATATTTGAATAGATTTATGGTATCGTAAAAGCTTTAATAGAACCCCACCCTATAGAAGCGTCGCGTAGTTTAAGATTTCCCAATCTCTTTGTGGCGCTTGATTACTCTTGAAACTGTCTGGTGAGGCACGAAATCTTACCATACGCGTATACCATCACTTGTTGAGGTTTCTGTTGTCGCATTTAATAAAATGGAAGCCAAATTTAAAGGAAAAATAAATAGCATGACGTTCATCACTTTCTTGAGTCAACCAATCTTTTTCTCGGATTTGATTTAGGCTTTATAAATGTGAAATTTTGTGAATTTGTACTGTATTTTGATATTTTATCTCGCTTTCTAGATTCATTCACATTCTCCAAACCTTTATGCATCTAAAATACCGTAAAGCTTTAATAGAACCCCACCCTATAGAAGCGTCGCGTAGTTTAAGTTTACTCTCAAACAAAAGCTCATATCTCAGCACTAGTACATTTGTTTCTGTTCGTTTGAGTACCAAATTAAAGTCGAGAGAATGGGGAATTTTTTGAGCTATTACACAGATCTTTAGCATTAACCAGCACTTAGAAAACGATGATTGAAAAATGATGAAAAATCGGTTTTTTTTTTTTGCCACTTTTCAATAATTTTTTTCTAAGTGCTGGTTAATGCTAAAGATCTGTGTAATAGCTCAAAAAATTCCCCATTCTCTCTACTTTAATTTGGTACTCAAACGAACAGAAACAAACGTACTAGTGCTGAGATATGAGCTTTTGTTTGAGAGTAAACTTAAGCTACGCGACGCTTCTATAGGGTGGGGTTCTATTAAAGCTTTTACGGTATTTTAGATGCATAAAGGTTTGGAGAATGTGAATGAATCTAGAAAGCGAGATAAAATATCAAAGTACAGTACAAATTCACAAAATTTCACATTTATAAAGCCTAAATCAAATCCGAGAAAAAGATTGGTTGACTCAAGAAAGTGATGAACGTCATGCTATTTATTTTTCCCCTTAAATTTGGCTTCCATTTTATTAAATGCGACAACAGAAACCTCAACAAGTGATGGTATGCGCGTATGGTAAGATTTCGTGCCTCACCAGACAGTTTCAAGAGTAATCAAGCGCCACAAAGAGATTGGGAAATTGTCAACATTGGTTGTCAACGATTCAATCAATGCTGAAGGTTATCAACGATCAATGCTGAAGGTTGTCAACAATTCAATCAATGCTGAAGGTTGTCAACGATTCAATCATTCCTAAAGATTGTCAACGATTCAATCAATCGTTCAAAGACCTTTCAATGAATCCAAAGAAATCCGGGATCTACAGAAAATCCAAAAGATAGCTGCTGCAATTGATCAGCTGCATCTTAAACACCTGCACCGAATTCTCAAAACGGAATGAAGCCACGAAAAGATGTAGTCGAACTTAAACAAAGGATCAAGCAAAAGAGAGTCAACCATTGCAAGAAGCTTTGAAGCGAATCGCCATCATCAGATCCTCTTTACCAATGAAAAGTGGTTTGACATCGATCAAACTCATTAAACTTTAAAGGAACCAAATAGGAACTATAAAGGAACTACAAAGGAACTATAATGGAGCTATAAAGTAACTATAAAGGAACTTTGAAGGAACCAAATAGGAACTATAAAGAAACTTTAAAAGACCTAATCAAAACGACTTGGTCAAAGGACACTTCAGCGGCAACATAAACCTCAACAAGTGATGGTGAACCGGGAAGATGTCTCTGATTTTCATCCCAGCTCTCAAAGGCAACAAGGATGAATATCTGAACATGTTGAAAACAAAAATTTTGCCTTGGAGTCAGCAGCATTTCGGAAATAAGCCCTGAATATTTCAGCAGGACGGAGCTCGAGAAAAGCTCGAGAAAATCTTGAGAAAGCTTGAGAAAGCTCGAGAAAGCCAGATTGCATTGCAAAGAATTTTCCTGAATGGATTACAGTTGAAATGAGCGTGCAAAATCTAGGAGAATGGCCATTCAACAGATTCGAATCTTTGAATCAACAGATTTGAATGATCCAAGCATTTTGTCGATCTCGCCGTCAAAGGCTTGTCAGCCTCACAGTCACAGATATCAGTCAAAGACATCAGTCAAAGACATGACTGATGTCTTTGACTGATCTGTGAGGCTGACAAGCCTTTGACTGAAGGATTTGGAGAAAGCTTGGGACGACATTGTTCATCAAAAAGGCCATAGACTTTCCGAAACGATTACGAAGATGTATTCAAGCTAAATGAGGTCACTTTGAAGAAGAATCTTTTATTTTTGTTATTTTGTTTGTTATTATGTTATTTTAATGATTGTTAAATGATTTTTAAGTTCTCTACAGGGTGTCTGATTGTTTATTGAAGACAAAACTAACTGATTAACTGCGAAAACTGATTTTTTAATCATAACAAATGTTCAAAATTTCCACCCTTGGCCTTGATGCACTTCTTCAATCGCTTGCCTGTCAATGCAAATCCTGCAATCACTTCTGCAAGTTGCCGACTATGGTGGCGCATTGCTGAACAGTCATTTCAGCCCAGGCCCTCTTCAAAGCGGCTTTCAAAGAATCCACGGAGTGAAAGTGAAAGACAAGATCTCTGACAAGATCTCTGACAAGATCTCTGGCAAGAGTCTGCTTCTAGCAAGAGTCAAGAATCCAGTCTGTCTTCCAAGATCGACCAAACGGAGAAGTCCAGCGGGTTCAAATCGGTTCAAATCGGTTCAAATCGGTTCAAATCGGGGCTATTCGACGGCCAAATGTCCTTAGCCCGGAAAAGAGCTGATTGCAGAGAGCGAGAGTCGAGCGGGCTTCATGGGCCGGTGCCCAGTCCCGCTGAAGGGTAAATCCAGTTTGTCCAAAATGTATAAAGTTTGTATAATCTATATCTATATAAATTAACAAATTAACAAAAGATCAATGATCGAATTTTCGCTCAATAATTTTGAGACACTCTGTAGTGATTGCCCGTCTATTAGAACTTTCAGAGCAACTTTCAAAGTCCTCTAGCCATCTCTAGACTCGTTAAAAACGTTGCCTTCTCAATCGCTCATAGACAGCGTCTAGTACTCGATGAATGTTATACTCGATGAATGATGGAATTGATCAAAACTAAAGACAGTTGATTGTTTTACGATCTTCACCCAATTGCTCTTGTGCAGAATAAGTTCTCTTTTGATGGGAGGTGAATGGATTTGGGGTGGGGTTGAAAAGATGAAAAAGAGAGGTGAATATTGGACACCTGAAGAACCCAAGGTTGAGCGGGGGGCATTCAGGGTCCTTTCTCCCAAAAACACTGCAATTATCCCTTCCTCCGGAATTTGTACACAACAAACCTGAAATTGCTTTTACACTGAAAGGGATAATCGGTTGAACAGAACACTTTTTTCGTTTTGAGATATTCTTTTTGAAATCAAAGACGATTCTATTTAGCGATAGCCATTTAGCGATATCGCTAAATAATAGCTTTTTAAGACTGCAGAATTCATTGCACCAGAAGGGAGACGTTTAGAGATCAGAGATTTGAGCACAAAGTAAACTCTCAATGATCATCAATGATCTCAATGATCATTTTCGTGCCTAAGATCTGATATATTCTTGTTTCTCTGTGATTCATTATTTCGTTAAATGAATGGATAAATTAATGAGAAAAGAGTCGAGTAAAGGGTCTCATTATTGGGCGGATAAAGAAGGGGAAACATTTGTGCCCAATTTGGAGGAAGAACAAAGGGAAAAGAGGAAGGATGAGCACAAAATGAAGGAAAACAATCAGGGTGATGATGGGACAAAGATTCTTCTTTCTTTCTTTCTCTAATACCGTATTCTCTCTAATAGTAGTGGAGCGCGTGGAGCCGAGTTGTTGAGTTGATGACCAATTTACGGCTTCTAAGTTTTCGCAGAAGCTCAACACACTCAAATCCCCCACAAGATCTCATCGTCAGCTACATTTTAGCTACATCTCATCGTCAGCTACATCAATAGGTTCCGATAAGCGCTTTTCGAGATTTCGAGCAATTTAGGCAACACATTCCTACATCGTTTGCCTCAGAAACGATACTGTAAGACTGGAATTTCACAGTTCAGCACCATAACTTCGTGTCATTCAAGATTGAATCGATAATCGACAAGATTGAATCGATAAATCGATCGATTGTGATCATTGAATTGATAAAATCGATTGACCACTGTCAATTCTTGGAGTTGAACTTAACAAGAGATTGTCAACAAATCCAGATCACCAAATGAAATCAGCCATAAACCATTCAACGCAGCATTTGACGCTGATTCCAAATATCTGAATCGCGCGCAATTCGGCAAAATTTGAAAGACTTTGGCCTGACAGCCGATTCGAACCCTCGAGTAACCATTCCGTATCCTAACTCACTATCCATTACACCACGCAGCCACTTTCCCTAGATCTTTTGACAATCCCTTTTAACCCTAAACTCATCACCAGACGGCTTGATTTCCGATTTCCTTTGTCATTCACGAAGAAGTCAAGCTGAATAGAACACCGGAAATGATCTTAAACTGGATATACGGTAAGTGATGCTGATTGTGGAGCAAAAGGGGAGCCGATAATTGGACAAGTCAAGTGGATTGGAGAAGGGAGAGCTGAAAGGGTTGAAAGGGTTGAAAGGGTTGAAAGAGTAGGGACACGCCCCTATAGCCCTGGGGAACCCTGGGATCTGGGCTTAAAACTTAGGTCCACCTTAAAACTTAGGCCCAGATTGTTAGGCTAAAGTTTTCCCGATGTTCCCATATCTGTAACTAAATTGAGCACTGCTAAAAGTCTTTAGCTAATCTCTATTTTTCTATCCTATCTATTCAAAGCCGATACAAACTCCGTGCCCTATTTTATCTGAATTCTATCTGAATCCTATTTGAATCCTATCTGAATCCTATCTGAATATCCATTCTTGAATTATCTGATTACTCAAGACCAACAGATTTGCTTCTGGACAATTGAATATTCATTCTTATTATTTCTCTACTTCCTTATCATTATTCCATTGAATATTCTTTTTCTCATTTCCCAAAATGGTCAGCCTCGACTCTCTTCGTGATTATCAAAAACTTCTCTTCGACAATTTCAATTCAACCAGTGTTCAGGGCCTTTTCGCATTGAGTAAGTGCATAAATTATTCAAAAGCTAATCCTCACCTCTTGGCTTTGGCCTGGTTTAAGCCAGAAGCCAGGCTTGAACCTGGCCTAAGCCTTAAACCTGGCCAGGCTTAGGCCTAGTTCACAGGTCTAAGCCTTAAACCTGACCTAAGCCTTAAACGTGACCTAAGCCTTAAACCTGGCCAAGCTTAGGCTTAGTTCACAGCCTAAGCCTAAGCCTGACCTTTCGTTCATTTCGCCAAGTTCATTTCGAGCATTCCTGGTGAACAATCTAAAAAGCTAAAAGTTTCAAACGTTTTCAAATCCAAGATTTCTTTATAAATTTCTCTAGCTTGAAAATTTATCTAAAAAGTTTGAAATAAGAAACTCAAATGTTTTCATTGTAAAAACTTATTTTTAGCGACATCAGTCGAAAATGGATTAATCGATCAACCGAAACCCCAATATTCGTATATTGGATTGATTGGTTGGTGAAAAAAAGAAATTCAAGGTTTAATCAATCTAATTAGAGCTGTTAGATCAAAATTTCCAAGACTAAACCTCAAAATGGACTCATTTTTCAAAGCTTTCTCTCCAAATCAAGGCAAATAAAATTGTCTTTGACTTGACATCTTTGAAGCACTGCATTTAATAGAAATAATTAATTTAATGGAAATAAATCTCACCATTTCCAGCAATGGCCATCCTTTCGTCACCGGATCGAAAAATGATTCTCTCGGAAGTTTACGATTGGATTGTTCATCATTATCCATATTTTCGAAGTCGTGGCAGTGGATGGAGGAATTCGATTCGACACAATCTATCGCTAAATGATTGTTTTGTGAAAGGTACCTCAGTCGTTTCATTTGCTCAGAGTTTCTCGGAGAAAAGTCGTTTCATATCATTTCGTTTCATTCAAAGTCGTTTCATTTCAATCGCTGCCAAAGTTGTACCAAAGCTGTGCCAAAGTTTGAATCCTATCCTCTCAAATCCATTGCCAGATCTGTAAAAAAGAAAATGAAACAACGTTGCAAAAAAATGACAATCTGACAAAAAAATGACAAAATGACAATCAAAAAATCTTCTTTTAGCCGGCCGAGCCGCCAACGGAAAGGGCCATTATTGGGCAATTCATCCAGCAAATCTACGCGATTTTGAACGCGGAGATTTCCGGCGAAGAAGAGCACAGAGAAAAGTTTGTGTTTTTTTTGCTCAATCATTTGAATATAGAAAGCCATCTTTTGCATAGAAAGCCTTACAGACTTCAATCTCAATGGTTTTAGGTTCGTCGTCATATGGGTCTCTCAGTTCCAGATGGTGAATCGTCAGATGAAAGCCCATCCACATCACCGCGTCCACCGCTAAACGAACAACAAAATGTGAATAATCTGGTTTGTTCACGAAAAACTGTCATAAAAAATGAAGATGGAAAAACTGTCATAAAAAAAAATGAATGCTAAAATCTTCAAATTTTCCACCAATTTTCCACAATTTTCAGTTTTCTCTCTCAAATCCTCTCTTCAATTTGTCTCATTTTCGTTTTCCTTTCCTCATCAACGAGACTTTTCAACAAAATATCGATGCCGAGAGAAACAAAAAGAAGCCGATGAATCGAGGGAATTTCACGATTGACTCCATTTTAGGCGGTGCTATTTGAGAATTCGTTTTTTTGTGCTTTTTTTTAAAGAATCTAGTCAATAAAGATTGTATCAAATAGAGAAATTTCGAAAAATGCTCAAAAAGCGATAAATCAATCTTCCTACAACTCTACATTCAAATTCTAGTTCATCAATGGAAATTGCTTTCACCATAAAGTTGACTACGGTAGGGAAGAATATTTAGAAAAGCCAAGTATTCAACTTACCTTTTCTCCCCTACCGTAATCCATTTTTTATTTTGCCACTAAAAATTACCCTTTAATCTGTCTAGATTTCTATAGTTTTCCTTGAAAACATCCAGATACAAAGCTTACGGTAGTGAAAAGTGAACACATCGCTTTCTCTCGAATTTCCGCCGAGTTTTCGGGGGGATTAAAAAGAGAGAAAGAAAGGCGCGTCAGGGTTTGCATCGAAACACAAAGAAGCGTTTGCAGAAGGGAGAGATTCTTGAAGAGATTTCACACAAAGTGGATTTCATCGCGCAATTTATCCACACAAATACACGGGATGTTTGAGGAGATTTCTTCTCCGCTCAACAAAGCCCAACAATCAGGGCAATTCACCGTCGGATGGATATGTGTGTGGAACGAGTGTACACACAAAGAAACACTCCACAAATGGATATTGAATTTATGTTTTGCAAGAAGCTATGCATGTTTAGGTGAGAAATTGCCCGTTTTCCAGGAAACTGGTACTAGACTTAAAATTTATTTTCCACGAGGAGCCACACGAACAATAATAACAAAGTTATAAGTACAAAAAAAGATTACTTGATTACTTGTCTTTCATATAATTGGCCATCGGATCGGACGAGTGAATTCGAGTGAGATGGAATGCTTCAACTTGTACTTCGGTTGGCGCCTTTGTCTCGTAAGTCGAATTGTACTTGCGTTGACGATCACCCTGGAAGAATGCGTTTAGTTAAAAAAAACTTTCTAAAGCCATACAAATTCATCCTCCTTTCTGGCCCTTTTCTTTTGTTTCTTCTCCGCTTTGATCGCCTTTTCCAGATCACGTTTCTTCCTTGATTCTTCATCGGAGTCACTGTCAGATGATGAAGAAGAGGACGCAGTGGAACTGAATAAAACAAATTAAACCTCAAATAACCTTTTTAGTAATCAAATTTTTCACGTGATTAAAACTTAAAAGGTCCTCCAATAAACGTTTTTTACACAAATACGTTCAAAACCAACTCTCTTCTCCGCTTGCGCACTTCTCGGCCTTCTTTATGCTTGCGTTCCTTCTTGCGCTTCCTTTTGTCTCGTTTACGCTCACGTCTTTTTGCAGTTTCTTCTCCTAAGCAAAAGCAAGTGCAAAATTATATAAGCAACACCTACTTTTGCGTTTTTCTTCCGCAAACTCCTTTTCACGTTCTCGTTCGGCTTCACTATCCAGTTCCTCCTCCTCCTCCTCCTCTTCCGCATTCTCGCTTTCATTGGACGATTCTTCACTGTTTCCTTTCTTGCTTTCCTCCTCTTCTTTAGGCTCGACTTTTTTGGATTCTAAAGTAAAAACGTGAATTCACTATCATGGCTACAACAAAAACAAGATTTGCCTACCAATTTCTTTGCTCGTATTCGGCTTTGTTTCAATTGTTTCAGCCACTGCTTCTTTAGGAGTTGCTAAAGTGGCAGTCTTCTTGACTGGAACACAGTAGGCCTGAAAGTTGTTATCAATTCATTCGAAAAAATTATCCAACTTGTTTCAGTGTTTGATGGCAACATTTGTATCCCCATTTTCCAGCTTCCCACCAGGAGCCCCAAACAGAAGTGTGGTTTCCAGGGTATCTAAAGAACAAAATTGTAGCAAAAAGAAAACACTTACAGATCCTCTTCGTAAATACTTCTTGCTAGTGGCCGTTCTTCTCCTTTGATCAATTTTCCCTTTGCAGAGTATTCCACGTATCGTTCAGATTGGGCCATCAGTAACTCCTTCGGCGGTGCTTCTAAATGTTCAGCTCCGCCGTACTTCTCGACAAGCAACTAAAGAAAAAATGGTTTAAAAGTCAAAATACACCCAACTGTTCTCGCATCATCCTTGACAGACGACTTTTCCTTCTCGTATTGCTTCTTCAAGGCTTCAAGTTTGGTGGGCTCCGCTATGGCGTGCACATTGATTCCCTAAGTAAAAATTGTACTGTGAAGTGAAATGGATTCTTACTTGACATCTCGCTTGCCATGCAAAAACTTGAGCCTCGTTTGCGTCCGCCACTTCTCCACTGTATCGAATGAAGTTCTCTCCTTGAAATTTGGCCGCTTCAGCCTCTTTACCTTTCACTCCCTAAAGTTTTTGATTAAGCAAAAAAAGTGGTACTACACCTGAAATGGGTTCTCGCGCATCGAACGAGACTTTGGATCGTAGTAGGGAGCGTTCTCGGCCAAATTGTGCAAATACTTTGCCGTGTCTTCTCGAATTCGAAGATTTCGGACCTAAATAAAAAGTTAGTAAGTTAAAGGTTAAAAATTGGGTCTATATAAACTCACCGTGATCCTAGTACGACTGTCCATGTCCACGGAAACTCCTGCCATATCGGCATCTTCTGCGTACTTATCTTCGTCCTCGTGAACTTCCTGAACTTCCTGTTTGTCCTCTTCTTTGTCTTTGGTTCCCATTGCGTTCTCTTCTTTGATCTAAACAAATTGAAATTTCAATTAAGTTTCAATATTATTAACCTTTTCGGCCTTGTACATTTTGCGAGCCTCCTCCAGTTCTTCGAACTCGCGAACTACATCTTTATGTGTTTCTGGGTCGTAGCCGTTCCACCTACAAAATTGAAATCAAGCCACTGAAAAAATTTTAACCAACCGATCACGTTTTGCGTCAAATCCGAGTTTCAACTTTGGTTGTAAATAATCATCAGCCGCAATATCCATTCCAGTATGTCTAAACAAGTCAGGATTAAATGGTGTCGATTTAAAACCAACTTCGCCTCGGATTTCCGTGGTCGTTCAAAGCAATCCTTCTTTTTGTGCGTCATCGCACCACAATTTTCACAAGCGCCTAAAAATATTATAAATAAGCTCAAAATATTAATTTACCTTTTCTAAATTTTGTCGCAGCTTTTCCCGTTGTTCCTCTTTGATACCAATCATCAATCTCGGAGAGTTGATTTTGACGTTCAGGGTGTGGGCGTTGATGCTAAAAAAAATCGTATTTGAATTCCACAATTCACAAGCTTACTTTTAGAGTCGGTCCTTCCGAGGGGACGTACCAAGGTGTCTGTGCGATGAATTGAGGAATGTGCGGGTTGATATCTCGTCCGCTGTCTACATCGACCATTGCGGGTGCTGTTCCGGCCTGCAAAATACACATTTTATGGTTTAGCAACATACGGTTAACATCAAAAATTTTTAAAACACAAACATTTACCCTTGCCATTCAAGTTTAATAAAAGAAGAAATAAAATGTCCTAACCTTTCTGTCTTCTTCCAAATCCTTTTCCTTTCGATATTCGCCTCGCGATTTCTTAGGCTCTCCCGTCGTCGTGTCACGCAAAAGCGCCGAGACGGGCTCGGCTTTCTTGAACGAGGCCATGATACCTAAATTTTAGTTAATCTAACTGTAAACCTTTCACGAACAAACAAAAGAAGACAAATAATATAACAAAAAAATTATATGTACAGATGCAAAATTAACGTTTTTGAGTGCGATAAGAGACATAACAATTCCATAACAATCCGGCGGAGTTAGTCGTCACGACGCGATAATGAATCGGAACAATCGAGAAGTTCACTAGCTGAAAGAAAGGCCAAAACATCAATCCCGTTTTCCACAGAGGCCACCAATCTCGAGAAACAAGTGCATAACATTCATCAATACTTCGGTTTTCAAGTAGACGCAGTACCATCAAGAAAATGACCGAGAAGACAGGTGAAAAGAAGAGCTGATCGACCAAAACCCGTTTGATTGGATGTGTGTAAGGAGCTCCATGTTTGATTTTGTCCAAAACGCGAAACCATCGATACAAAGTAGGAGCAACGAGAAGACCTCCAAGAGCGAAGAAGCGTGTTGTCCGCAAAAAGTTGTACTTCTCGATCGGTGTACCTTCTATCACCAGTTGACAAATCGCATCACCGGAGGCCGCGATCATTCCCGATACAAAACCTTGCATGAGGAGAGGCTTTTTCAAGAAAAACGACGAGACACGTTGAACGATCATTTTGATAACTAAACAAAAAATATGGACTTGGCAAAAGTGCACACAAAGAAAGACTAAGACGCTCTGAAAAACCGATCGTGGGAAAACTTTTGTGCTGAACTAGAAAACATTAGCTTTTTGTCAAAACTAAGCACTAGGTTAAATAAAAACCGCAGAAAATCTATAAAATGCGATTTTGAAGCTCATAAATATATAATAGGGGGAATGTTCTGTGAATTGCATATACCTAAACAAGGTGCCGAAGGTTCAACTCAGCCGAAACATCCAGCCTTCTGCTAAATCTCTATTTATAATCGAAAGACTAAAGATACTCAATTCTTAGACTGAATATTTGAAATACGATGGCAGTAATTCAAACAATAAATAGCGAATTTCCAACTGAGGACATTGATTCAAAGATATTCAATTAAAAACGTGAATAGTGAATAGTGCTGAAAATTTTACAGTTACATAAACAAATCAACGACACAAGATACGCATTCATTTTTAAACCGCAAAGCTTCTATCGCTGAAGTAAAAGAATTTCGTATCGTGTGTATCAGTGAAAACAAGGGTGCGGGATGAAAACGAGTGACTACAAATGACAGAAGGTTTCCTTCATCGACCGATTTCTCCCATCGCCGATTAGCCGCGCAGAGCTAATGTAAGAAGTCAGAAAATCTTTATACGACACCGTTTTTCATACATTATTCGAAAAAAGCTTTTTGATTTATTAGTGTTAAAGTGTCAAAGCGTCAAAGCTTGCTTTATACAGCTGCTTTAAAATTTGTAGGGGTTTTCCAGGGGAGGCAAGTGACTTTGAAGAGTTTTGAAGACTCAAAGACTTATCCCAAAAGCAAGCCAATAATTGGTCTACTTTCACATTTGCTCTATTGCCTTTGGCAAATTGTTTAAGAAATTGTTGAATTGTTTAAATTGTTAAAAATTGTTTGCCTTTTGCCTATTGCCGATCTGTTGGTCCAACGGAATCGATTGAGAAGATTTTCGAGTGCTTTGGGCATGTTTTGTGACAGAGTAGATACAGAACAAAGTTCCCCATCAATCAAACATTCGCGAACTTCGTTTTCTTTCGTTCCGAACTTGCTTGTTTCATTTTCTTACCTTTCTTAACAGCCAAAAATTATTTTCTTTTAGTGCATGGTAGCGAATTCAGCGATTGAGACTGATTTCGAGGCAGACCGATGCAAGGTTTGATCTACCGAAAACATCAATGTTTTCTTTTTCTAGGTTTGTCAAGTCGATTGCAACACGCCGGAACAAAAAGAGTTACATCTGCGATTTCCACTGCATAACAGAGTTTGTTGACTATTTATATTGTGAAAAAATAATTTTAGCGGAAGAACATCAGTGCGTACTTGGCGAAGATTGCTGCAAATCCCGTGCAATCGACGCGATCATCGGAAATCTCGAGGAGATATGCACTTTTGAAGGAAAACGTTCTCGGTAAGTAAATTTTGCTGGTGCTAAGCTTTAGCTGGTTTAGGTTAAAATTCATTTTCATTTAGGAGCCGATTGTATCGTTGAGTTCGTCTTTCCGTGGTGCGAGTCCGGCTGGTGGGCTTGTTCGATTTGCTATGAGAGCGGTAACAACTACGATTTGCTGGATCAACATTTGAGTAGTAGACGACATCTCGGCATTTACTTGGTTTGCTCATAAATGTTGATCAATTTTACTTGGTTTCAGAACGAACTGATTAGCGATCCAAATATCAACGCTCTCACATGTGACGCTGGGGAATTGTTGCGACTGAAAGATGATATCTTCGAAAGGGTAAGGCTTAAAACAATTTTTGCCCAGTTATTTTTCTATGATCGAAAATAATTCTAGGGAGAAATGATGTTACCGCCTGATGTCATCTCACTTTCCATTTCAAAGCCGGAAGCCATGTCTTCACTCGTCATTTCCGATCGAAGTCCACCATATTCAACACATGAAAGCGGGCAAAAGAATATGGTCTTCCTCTCTTGTCAGGTTTTTGTTTAAAAAGCTTCTGTTTACAATTTTTTCTTTAGGTTTGCCACGAGTCGTTCTTGAGCATCGTGAAAGGGCCAGAGCAATTACGAGCCTGGGATGTACACTCAGTCAGTCCAGCACACCGAAACGCTCTCTACATTAGCAATGTGATCGGACTTTGTAAGTGCAAAAGTACTCTTACACATCAATATTTATTTAGGTAATCCAAAGGAGGTTGTTGATGAAACGGCGAATACCAACGAGCATAATGGGCCATTTGGATGGAGGAATTATGAATTGTTATTGGATGGAAAACAACCACCACCGGGTAACTTGTCTTACACAGGCTTTTTATTTAAAAATTTCAGGAGTTCAAATGCAAGGACCTGTTTGTGGAATTAATCATCTAGTTACTTTCAGTAAGTTTTATAGGCGATTTTAAATTTTAGCAAGGTGAGATGAAATAATATTCATTTTTTAGACGATCAAGCCTATTGTGGCCTGTGCTTTTGCGCTGTTCACGGTTTGGAGGAGCATTTTTCTTCCGAGAGTCACATCATACGCTTTGTGGTCTGTTTTACACATCTTTGACAGCTTTACGGAGGTTTAGAACAAAACGAAACCGAAAGCTGGCTTCATAATGACGCAATGTCATGAAAGGCTGCGAAGGAGTAAAGTTCGTTTTTTCATCTTGGCCATATTTAATTTTGTTTTAGTTGCTTTCCAATTTGGATCGTCACGGTTTGTCGATTGATCGATCCCGTTGTTGTGAATGTCCGATGCCAAAAGAGTTGAGAGATCGTATTGTAAAAGGTAATACATTGTTTTGAATTGAACAAAGAAGAAAGTTAAGGACCATTGCCACTACCCGAGCCTATTCCCATGGTTGAACCCTTCGACAATAAAAATCAATGTATCTTCTGTCCAGTATGTTCTTTATTAGTGTTTGTTCTTCAAAGTAATTTAGATTTGCATTGCCGCACTACAACTCAAAGAGAATGAGGATCCGATTGCGGTTTGGCACAAACATCTTGTAACTGCTGAGCATCTTCGAATGTGTGCTAAAAGGAATGAATATTATTTGGGTAAGTGTTGTAAATGTTTAACTGAAATAAACAAATTAACGCTTTAATTTCCAGTAATCATCGTAGGAGCATTATCATCTTCTTTTAGATGATAAATTCTTTGTTCCGACTCGATCATCGATTGAATGGGAGTTGAATCAAATCAACGAAACTCTTGGCCATTGGACGGAAGAAGATGGAAAATGGATCCAAAATCAATTCAACATTGGACTCGAGTTTATCATTGACAATAGGAATGCTGAGCAAGTAACGTTTTGGAAAAATATCGCGTTTATTGCGTTTTTTAGTTTATTTGTACTCAATGTGCTGAAGTGTTTCATTATTCACAGAAGGCTCAAGGTTAGTCCATTTGTGTTAGTTGAAAACAATTCTAATGTTAGCTTTACATCATCTACGGAGCCTCGATCACTTGACAAAGTACCTTCACATTTCCAATCGGGACCTGATCTCAAAATTTGAACGTAAAGAGGGTCAGCCAACGAACATGAGAGAAATGAGGGTTGGTATAAAATTTGATCAATATAAAAAGTTTTAAGCATTGATTAAGTAAGCACTATTTATTTTAGAGAATGTTGGATGCCAATATGGATTTGCTTCAAATTGCACCACATAGACTATCACAAGTAAAGCATTTAACAAATTACTTCAAACTTAGCGTCTTTAGTTAACCGACGCTCGAGTTTATGATCCCCAACTTGCTGTTCGAATGGAATATTGGGGGAAAATCAATAAACGAACGGTTAGTTTGAAAACAAAAATCAATTCAAAGCTGTTTGTTAGGTAGAGCTTTCCGGATTTGAATTTGAACAACGCGACCTACTTGAAACGGTTTATGAGCTGGTGGACAAAGTGGCTGATGATGATGGTTTGTCGAACTTCCTTTGTTAGCCCAAAAATCATCTTTAGCTGAAACACAAGAGATCTCACTGCGGGAAGCGCTTTTGGCCACTTCAATCAAAGTCCTCGAAATTGGCGAATCAACTTTAATCTGTCGTTGCTTGGTAAGTTCAATTTGAAATCTAGTATTTTGTTCATAAAACCACGAAGTTATATCCGACGCATATAGTCCTACCTCAACGTGTTACCCATGAACATGAGTTATAACAAATCGACCCAAAAGGTATTGGCTGTATGTCATTTGCAGTCCTTGCTTTTGATTGATTAGATTGATTGAGAGTTGATTAGAAAATAGCGGGCATATAAAAATTGTCTTTACGGGACTCTCGGACACTGAAGGTGTGAAAGAGATCGTATCGATCAATGGTAATAGTAAGCGCCCGCATTGACACAACCAGAGACAACTCATTGTAATGGTCGTAAAAATATCAAATCCCATCATTTTACTGTTCCAGTACGTTTTGAGGTCAATTGTCTTTCAGGCAAAAATGTGATTCAAGGAGAGTTATCACTTAAGGGTCTTTTCAATGCAAATATATCGAGAACAGATTCTCTACCTTGAGAATGTCATTGATATTTATTTGCAATTTGGGTTGACCATGTTTCTTGGAAATTATATGTTTCAAATTGTAGAAATTGAATAAATTTTCATGTTTTAGGCAATAAACGTGTTGTATTTGCACATGTTTAACGTATGTTGAATATGAAAATAGAGAAAGTTATCAGAACATACCTAAATTGACAAAGATGTCAAATTTAGTGTGGAAAATGATCAAGTAGCGCGTTACTCGATCAAAATCGCCCATTTCCTTTTTATTTTCTTTCTTTGCTTCCCCAAAAAGCTGAAATGGTCTATACGTAAAACGAATAGACCCCTTTTTTTAGAAATGTCAAAATGTAATCGTCACCGAGCCAAGCAAACTTGTCGAGGATATGAGTGAACATCTTTCAAAGGAAGAGCATCAACGACGACAAATTGCTATTCTTTCTTGTCAAATGGGTAAGGATTTATGGCTTTAAAAATCTTCAACCAATTGGACAACTTCTTCGGGATCTGCAATAGAGGAAAAACCCCAATTTATGACTTTGATTTGTGATTTAACGGGCTTGAAATTTTTTAAATACATTTTTTTCTTGCTGTTTTACTGCTTTTTACCTTTCTGATGGAATTTTTTGTTGCCTTAAACGGCCATTTGTATGTTTGTTGTTTTGCATTATTTATTTTGTCATTTTGCTCACGTTGTTTTAGATGCTCAACAACAAAAAACAAAAAAAGCACACAAGGCACACACATACGACTTTAACAGAAGAAAAATTCAATTAAACGAGAAAAACTGGACTAATATGTGTTTTTCAGCGCCGAATGGTTTCACCGACCAACCTTCTGGATATACGGTGAAAGAATTTGAGCAAAAGGACCCAATAAAGGTAAAGATTTTGAAAACGATGGATTTAGAAATGCATGGCGTATTTTAACGCAATCTGCTTGATGTGGCGGTGTATTAAGATTTATCGAAGGCCAGATATCTGAGAGATGCAGAATTCATTTCCCTGACAGGAATAGATTTGCGACAATTTCATGGAACGACCACGGATTCCGAGTCTGGACTATTTGGGGAGTCTGATTTTAAATCTTCCGGATATCTGGTATTCAATAAATCTTGAAATGACCAGAAAGAGGGTTGTTAACATTCTTAAACAATAATTTCACTAAGACTGCCTTTAAGATTGGTTTTAGAAAGTCACGTGGCACTACAACCAGACGCTGAAAATGCATGAATTCGTGTTGGCCATTGTTGGTCTACAAGATATCGTTGAGAGGTAATTGTGAAAATTACTTTCAATTTATCATTGGTTTAGGAAGAGCAACGAGCATGACATCGAACCACCGGATCCGACAGAATGTGACTTTTACTGTCGTCTATGCTTGGTATCGTTTCCGCGGAAAGCTCAGGCATTGGAGAGCCACATTCGTTCGTCTACTCACATTCTTCAATACGTGGTTTGGCCATTGGAAAAGAATTTATTGTCTATTTATGAGTTTAGCACAAATACCATCCGACAGCATTGAAGAAGATTGAGCAAAGCGCGGAGAATGATAATGGCCGTGAATTCCGGAAGGTTGGCTATTAGTTGCACATAGAAGAATGGAAGCTGAAAGAAGCGTTTATTCATAAATAACACGCTGAGTTGTTCACTCTAGGTTCTTGCACAACTTCTGAAAGACGTGAAGCCGCCAAGCCAATATTGTATAATGGTTTACGATCCATTTGGAGAACGTCAAAGACGGGCAATTCTCGCAATGCAAAGAGCACAAGAAGATGAAAGACGACGAGCCGAGGAAGAAGAAAGAAAAGTTGCGGAAGAAACGAGGAAAAAGAAAGATGAAGAACGAAGAAAGCAACGGGAAGCTGAGTATAAAGCCAGAGCGCGCATACAAGTATGGTGTTTGAACAATCATTTGATTGTTGTTTTGTGTTATTTATGTTGGAATGTTGTTTCTTCAATGCTTAATTGAAAAATTATGGAAGATTGAAATTTTTAGGCTGAACGAGACAAATTGGAGGCTGCTCAACGAGAAAAACGCATGAAAATTGAGGTTATGCTTTTTAAAAATAACATATTTTAGTAGGTTTTAGGCTCAACGAGAACGACTTGAAAAAGAAGCGAGAGAGCGCCGAGCTATGATGGAAGCAAGAGAGCAAAAAGAGCGAGATCAATTAATGGCTTTAGCTTTTGCTAAACAGCAAGAACTTGAGGCAGCAAGAAATAGGGTGAAGCTTCGTTGCAGCTATTTTAACCGAGATGAACTTTAGTTGGAACAGGAAAGGCAAATGATTGAGGAAACAAAGAAAGGAAAAGAGCGGGCAATTTTGCAAGCACGATTGAGTGAAGAGCGACGGAGATTGGATGAACAAATTCGTGATAAACAGCGGCAAAAGCAACTGATTGAGGATAGGAAGAAGTTGGAACAAGAGCTTGAAGATGTAAGGGTTTTCACCCTCATTTCACTCATGCTATGAATGTTTAGGTACGACGTCGTAAGGCTGAAACCGAAGCTCGACGAATTGAGCTGGAGAATCGACAACAATCGGCAGCGATCGCTTCAAGGCAATCTGCCTCTGTACCTCGGCCTTCACTCATCATTCCGCCAGCACCAACTCTCAATTTACCGCTCACACAACCAAATCTGATGCCGGGTTTACCCATGCTAAATCCAGTTCAATTCACGGTTCCACCGCCAACTTTCAATGCCGGTACGAATTTTACGCAAAAAGAAAACATAGCTAACGAGCGAAATTGGGAAACCCGATCGAGTTTTAAAGTCATGGACAAAAGTCGTTGGTTTTTAGAAGTTTGTTCTTTGTATATCTTAATTAGGTCCTCCGCGAGCCGCAATTACTGCTTGAATTCTCCTTGGCATGCCCTCAACCAGATCACATAGAATTTGGGGTCCAAGAGTTGTCCAGACTCGATGGATGAAGTACCAAAGCTCCACTTTTGATCCGAATAGTTTCACCTTCAATTTCGACTTCACAAACGCCCATAAGTTCTCGATCACATTCAAATCAGATCTATAGGGAGGAGCAGACACGAGTTGAACACGGTTTGCTTTGAACCATCCTGGCACCAGAGCCGTTCCTCCATTGACGAGTCGAACACGGCGTCTCATCAGCAGCTGTGACTTGTGGTACGGGGCATTGTCCTGGTAAAGCAACCAACCTTGGCCCATATTTGCGGTCGAAAACGGTAGAAGATCATTCTCCAGAATCGTCTTGTAGCGTTGAGCATTCAGCGTTAAGTTTAGAAGGACGAGTGGGCCTAGTGAATTTCTGGACATTGCTCCTAGAAATCAGAAAATCAGTAGGCACAAAATACAAAGGTTCTTACCCCATGATCGATCCCCCACCAAATTTAACTGTAGGACGCAAGTATTTAATGTTATAAAGTTGTCCGACTGGTCACCGTATCAAATGATTGCCATCAGGGGCGAAAAGATTCACTTTCGATTTGTCGTTGAACACAACATTGACCCAATGATGCGACGTCCAACTTTGATACTTAGCAAACTCGAGACGAAGCCTCCGGTGCTTAGCTACCATCAGAGGTTTCTTGGCGGCCCTTCTAGTCATCAATCCACCGTGAATCAGGCGTCGACTCACTGTTTTTCGAGAAATTTCTTTGTTAAATTGTTGCTTCACCATAGCCACGCCATCAGAGGCATTCAGATTTGGGTTTTTCTTGTGGACCAGAACGAGCGCATTGTCTTCTCGTAAAGTTGTAACTGGTGGACCTCCACTTTTTGATGCACGATGAACGTTTCCCGCGAGTTTGGCCCTGGAGACAACAAAGCGATACAGTTGTTTCGGTACAGCGGAAGAGCTCAGCAACCGCTTTTCTAGGCATCCCATTTTTTCGAGCTTTGACGATTTTCTCTTTGTCAGAAGTTGATAAGTAGGCGGCGGGCATCTAAAAAATTATAGTTAGCAACCAGAAATCAAAAGGAAAAAGACAGAAAAAGAGAAAATTTCTCAAAAAAACTGATGTTAAAAGGCTTTTGTCCATCGATTTTTGGCTAAATTTTTGTTTTTTAAAAAGCTCATGACATATTATAAATCATTGAATCCATCGTTTTGCTAATGCTAAAACTAGTGATAATAAGCTCTTTAAATCTTTTAAACGTTTGCAAATTGGTCGGATTTGGATCAGGATATACAAGGAACAAACTTCTAAAAGCCAACGTTAAAAGACTTGTCCATGACTGTATTTACAAAGCAACCAATTTGGAAATTGACCCCATACGCAGTTATTTTAGGTGTTCCTCCTCCGAGTGTGGCGATGTCGATGGGTCAACCAATTTCTTTCAATATGGCAAATCCGAACATTCGACCGCCACCCCAATTGATGCCCCAACAAGCGATTCCCTGGCAAACCGTTCGACCAACTTTGGCAAATGTGGCGGTTGACCCTTATCTTCTGGATCCAGCAATTATCACATCAAGGGAGCAATTGCTTGACTTTAGTAGGCAAAACTGATAGTTCATCCATATACTCTTTATTTTAGTGGAGCGACAAGGCACGATACCGATTCCAAAAGAAGAAGTATCCTTAATCAAAAGATTTAACACTTATGTGGCTAGTGTTCAAGGATTACTTGGTTTAGCATCAATATATGAAGTACGTTTTGTTTTTTAAACAAGAAACTACAAAAATTTAGGTCGTTTGTTTGGATGATCCGAAGCTTGAGTCCTACTATTGTTCGTTGTGTCGTCATTGGGCTTTAGCTGGAGAGATGATTAAGCATATGGAATCCAATGTGCATCGACTAGCATATTTGGTTTGTGGTAAAAAAAATAGCTGTAAAATTGTCACTTTTTAGTTCAAATTCCGGGTAGCGTTCCACAATGCGGTGATGTCGGAAACGAATGTAATGGTTCGAGACTGTATGATTGAACAGTTTGCTGTCGAGCTTTGGAAGGTTTAATAGTGTTTTAAAGGTGGAGTCCCTAGAGTTTTTAGAGAGAACAACCTGGAGCTGTACTATCACAGCGTTTACGAGCCGTTTTGAACAAACAAGTGGTTCAACGACTTTGGCCGAATTATTATTTATCGCAAGATCAATCGTGGAAATATGATCCAAGTGACCATTTTTGGTTTTTCCTAAAAAAATTTCCATTTAGGAGCTGGAAGCCCGATCCCAGTGGATCCATCGGATACATCTTTGATGAATCTGGAGCTTCCCGGAAGAAATACGATGATGCCCATGAATGTTTCAATGGTTTGGGAAGGCGGACCAATGGAAAATTTGGTGAGAACATTTTCTGTTTCTTTAAAAATTTTCTTTAGATGCATAATGAGATGGATAGACGAAGTGACGATCGAGCACGAAGGAGATCAAGTCGAAGTCCAAGGTATATCGCTGAAGTGAAATCAAAAACAACTCTTTTAGTCCTAAGCGGAACAGAAAAGACAAAGGAGGAAGTGATCGACGGAGATCACGGTCCCGGGATCGCCCAAGGAGGTCAACGTCGAGAAATCGAAGAAGGAGCACAAGTAGAAGTCGCAAAGAGATCGAGGTAGAGCAGCAAGCTAAGGACCATGGAAAATTTCACTATTTAGATCACGTGATCGCCGTCGCCCGAAAAGTCGATCACCAAATCGTTCTCATTTAATGGTTGGCCTATTCTTGCTCTGCAAAAATAATAAGCACTTTTAGCAACCACTTATTCCAATAAACTCCACGGCTCCCATCGGACATCCGCCTTCGTGGGAAGAATCAGCAGCAGCGTTCCTACAGAAAATTGGTGATACAAAGGTAATTTTTCCTAGCACAGTTTTGTCTATCTTTCTATCTTTAGGCCGCTTCAAAAGTTTTGGAATCGCAAGCCGCTGCCACTCGATTGCCACTTCCAAATGTTTGCAGTTTTTAAAATTAACTGGTAAAGATCTTATTTAGCCTCCGTCGACATCTCAAGCGAGAAGCGAAAACAATGAAAACGTAGATAAGCCTTGGAAATACGAATATTAAGATTTTTAGGCTCAACTTCGGAAAATGCTTGGCTTGCTGGTGACAATGCAAAAAGAGGCAGAAACACGTGGAAGTTTGGATGATCAAATGATAAACCAAATTTATGGGGAAGTAAGTACAACATATTTCCTATTGCTTCAAACCAAATATCCCAAAAATGTCTTCTTTAGATGGGATTGAAAAGAAACGCTGACTCAGAAGCTGATGCTTTACTTGTAAAGGTGTGCAGTTTGATTGGCGGAACTAGCGCTCAAGACCCAACGAAGGCCAAACCCAAAATTGATCTTTCCGTTTTTGGGATTGAAGAGGCAAATCCGGTATTTGTTGACGGGTTATTTGCAAAATTTTATCCATTTAGGCGACTCCACCAAAGAACTTTGGCGTTGATTCAATCCCAACCTTTGGCCAAAACTCGGAAAATCTTTATGGAATACGAAAGGATCCAGCAGCACAACTACCGAAAAAGCAACAAGGTACTTTTTAAGAAGGGCTTTTTCTAAGATAATTTCGATTTGTTTCGTTAATTTGGAAAATCTAGACACACAAAGATGGTTCATCATCTTCTGCTTTGCCACCACATTTGCAGACACTTCTTTCTGGACTAAAAGGTACTTGATCTGAAATTCCTTTGGCAAACTGAAAATTAATTTCAAAGTCCTAGCAAAGCATTCTATGACTGCTTTTGTTCAAAGTAAAATTCAGGAACGCTGAATCAACTGAAATTCCCGAGTGTTAATACATCGACGGCACCGCAACCATCAGCAAAAGGAAACTATGGAGATGATCTACTTCGCCCGAATCTAGTAAGAATTTGCACATCATTACATTTTAAACGGCGAAATTTAGGTGCATCGACCAGATGACGTTCTTAGTACGGAATCCAATGTAAAGCACATTTACCCAGGAGCACATGTAAGCTTTCAGAATTCAATGGTGATCACTGGATTTCTAAAGAATCGACTATCCGCTACAATCTAATCTAAAATTTAGGACCAACAGCCCCCGCCGAAACCTCAAGGAAGAAATGACAATCGTCCGTTTGGCAACACCGGAGCTACTTATTCGCCTATGGATTAGTAAGTTTTAACTATTTAACCTTAAAACATGATATCATTGTTTGAATTTGAATTTGAATTTGAATTGAATTTAGCCCACCACCTGTTCAAAATCGTCCACCGTTGCCAAAAAGCCAGTTGCCAGTTCCAGTTCATCCGGGACAGGCTGGACGCTCGAGTGAAGATGGATATGATGCCGTTTTCCCTGTAAAAAGTAGAGAGCCGAATATGCCAGGAGGAGCGATACGGAATCAAAGCGGACCGGTAGGATTTGAATTAATAACATTCAAATTGTTCTGATTGACAACTAAAATACATTGTTTAGAGTGGACAAAGTCAGGGTTATAATTCTCAAGAGCCTCGAATGAATCCTGACGGAAAACCCTCAGCAACAAGGTGGAAATCTTTGCAATCCTTTTTTATGCAAATTTTAGAAATATGCGCAAAAAAATGAGGAAGGAGTTGCGAGAGAAAGGATACAATCCAGATGCTTTCAATTACTATCAATCGGGTCCTGAACCAATTCCAGTTTGTATTTTTACTCTTATTATTATTCTTTTCTTTATAGGGGAAAAATCTTCAGCTTCCCGCGGATTTCAGACCATCTCAGGAGGATCTCGAAGGAGATTTTAGCCATGGTTTGAAATTCTGTTATTAAAGTATTTATTTTTATCATTTAGCCGAACAACCACGTCAACCACAAAGAGGAATACAGGGGCAAGGAAGGCCACCTCAAATGATTGAGGTTTAGTTTTGGGAGTTGTTTTCAAATTGTTGCCTTTTTCAGCTTGACGAGGATGATTGGGAAGGAGCCGTCGGAAGTCTCAACAATTTGATGACAGAGAAGCCACAAGTAATTAGCATTTTCTTTGGTCGATTCACACTTTTTACTTTTAGCAAAGGCACCAACAAGGAACGTCATCGAATCAACAGCAAAAGCTTCAACCGTTGATGGAAATAGATTACGGAGATCCGCATGCTAGATATGGTGGGCCAAAGGGTGGACCAACGCCGGGAAGAAGTCAATCACCAGGATTTGCACGAGGCGGTCTTCAATATGGAGGCCCATCCCGACCACAGGTTATCTCATTTTAGATGGACAATAATTTTTCTTTGTTCAGGGAAACGATCAGCAGTGGCCACACCCACAAGGAAACAACTATCCAGGGTATCCTCGTGGTATGTTATTTCATATCTTTTCAATAGATTATGTTTTTTCCTAGATCCCTACGCTCCTCCCCAGCCTCAACCGGTTTCGAGGTTGTCTCAATTACGAGGTGCTCCTCCACCACCACCATCAAATCGTTCGGGAAATTATCCAAACTATCCGCCACGGGGTTATTGATATCATTGCAACTTTTTCGTTTTTTTTTTTGTTGGATTTTTGTGTATTCTCCTATTTTGTACGGTATTTTACTTGATTCCTTTTGTGATTGTGATGATTTGAACGAGGTATGTATTTAACACAGAATTTCAAGTCTGTATAAAAAGGTTCTAGTAGTTAGTTGTTTTTTATTGCTAGTGTTAGTGGCTATAAATTGTTTTGTATATGAATCGATCTGGAAAGAATGTAAACAGGCATTGACTACAAATTTACAAGAGCGATTATCATTTTGCACAAGATTTGCAAAAATAATGTTGGTGAGAGAAAATTTTCGCTAGGAAACATTTTTAATGCTACCACATTTTTTTGGTTTGGTTCTTTGGTTATTTATGTGAAATTTTAGTTGAAAGAACTTTTATTCAATTTTTGGTCACTTTTTGGTTAAAAACCGCATATTTAAACCCGTAAAAAAATGAAATCACAGTTTTACTCGAAATCATCAATACAGTATACCAAAAGGAAAGAATTACTTTAATTTTGGCATACTGTAGCCCATTAAAGTCATACACAATGACTACTAAAAGATCTTTACAAGTTTTCTATAAATTGGGATTTTGGGTAGTGAGAAAGGGTTTAGAATTATCGAAATGAGGTGAATTCAGATTCAAATTGTAAAATCAACTCGATGAAATATCATACAAAGCACAGAGTCGATCCATTTCGTTTAATTGTGCTGTACTTGGCTCGATCACATTTCTGAATGATTTTCTTTTTGATTGCTTTTTTAGATTTAAACGATTCAAATGATTACAACGATTTCAATTTGATTCAAATGATTTAGAAGCGATTCAAATGATTCAGAAACGATTCAAATGATGTGTAGCAAAAGGAAATTGGGAAAGTCAAGCAAAGGAAAGCAAATGAAAGCAAATGAAAGCAAAGGAAAGCAAAGGAAAGCCAAGGAAAGTCAAAGAAAGCCAAGGAAAGCCAAAGAAAGCAAAGGAAAGCCAAAGAAAGCAAAGGAAAGCAAATGAAAGCAAAGGAAAGCCAAGGAAAGCAAAGAAAAGCCAAGGAAAGCCAAAGAAAGCAAAGGAAAGCCAAGGAAAGTCAAAGAAAGCCAAGGAAAGCCAAAGAAAGCAAAGGAAAGCCAAAGAAAGCAAATGAAAGCAAAGGAAAGCCAAGGAAAGCAAAGGAAAGCCAAGGAAAGCCAAAGAAAGCAAAGGAAAGCCAAGGAAAGCAAAGGAAATGAAAAAACGTGTTGTTAAAGCAGGTAAAACTTTTGAAGTAAAAATGACTCTTGAAGCTATAGATAGAGCTATGGAAAGCTATAGATAGAGCTCTGGAAAGCTATAGATCGAGCTATGGAAAGCTATAGATTCTTTTGAGTGACGTCAAAGTACAGTTATTAATCAAAATTTATTGTTTTTTTATTTTGGATATGGTTTAGAAAAATTCCCACTCACCCAATGGGCTCGGTTCTCTCAATTCTGACCCGTCCCTCGAGTGAATTTTCGTCGATGAAACCGCGAGCAATCACCAAAACACCGTTGAAAAGAAATGGCTCGGAAATGATCGAAAACTGGAAAAGAAAGTGATGAAAGGTTTACTGTAAGTCTTAAATTTTTACACAAAATTTCTCAACTCACTCTTCCATTCGCGAAGTTTCGTTCATTCGATAAGCAGAAAGCGGGCGCGATCCCGTTGTTGAATGTCTGGAAATTTCATTTTCAATTTTTTTTGATTTGATTTTTACAATTGAAAGCTAAGAAAGTTAGGGATCTTACTTTAAATTCAAAACGAAAAATAGATTCTCATTGTCAGCTCAATTTTCAGGCTGATTTCCGGTGAATTTGGAGCTCTGATGATCTACGTTTGATGATGATGATGATGATGATGGTGATGATGATGAAGATGATGATGATGATGATGATGAAGATGATGATGATGAAGATGATGATGATGATGATGATGATCAAAACTCGAGGTAGATCTCATTACTTTGTTTATTCTATAAATTATAGTCAACTTTTTCTAGTGACAATCAACCAAACTTGGTCTGATTTAGATTTGAATCTGATCTGAGCTGATTTGAATTAGAATTAGAATTCGCGGAAGAACGTTAGAAGAAAGTTTTCAACATCTCGCTTAAAAGGCTTTTCTTGCGCCGTTTCGTGAGAGCCGGTGGTCTAGCGGATAAGCTGATTGTATATAAAGCGAGCTATCCATTTTTTTTTTGCTCAGGTTCGAGTCCTCGCAGATTTTTTAGCGATCGACGGTGACGGGTTGGGAATTCTCTTGTTTTGGATATTGGATATTGGATATTGGATATTGGATATTGGATATTGAATATTGCATATTGCATATTGCATATTTAAAGCCAACGACCAAGAAATCAAGATTAGCTTATTTTAATTGAGCCTAGGTCTATTCCTAACTTTCAACGACACATCGAAACTTTGGTTCTTTAAAGAAGGAGGATTGGAATGAGTGAGGATTCGACAGATTTGCCCTTTCTCAATTGAAGAACACCTCATAAACGAGACACGGAGATTGGGATCGAAAAAAATGGAGAAAAGGAAATCGAGATGACACACGGAGATAAGAAAAAAGAAAAGGCACAGGTATTTGGAACAAACAAAAAAAAAAAGGAATGAGAAGAGGAGATAGGGAATGGATCTGATGAGGGAAATCGCAAATTCAACCTCATCTTGGCTCACTTTTAAGCTCGACTTCTAGTAGCTTTTCTAGCTTTTCTAGTGCATTGAAAGCATGAGCTTTTTGTGAACTCATTGCACTAGAAATGGTGCGTTTATAAGAATGAGCACGAAAGTACAAAGTCACTCACCACTCTCACTCGTCCATTGTCGAACTCGCGTCGAAATTGTGCACGCCTTTCACCGATTTGTGCGTGTGGGATCTCCTGGATTGAAATTTGCATTTAATTTAATGATTAATCGAAAAAAAAACGACAATATCCTTAGAAACGAACTGAGTATTTGCATTGATAGTAGACGCGTAATTCGTGCAGAAATTCGTCTCCATCGAAACGATCCGATTGATTTGGTAATAAATACATGAATCTAAGAAAAAAAAAACAATCGAATTTCTTAAGGGAAAATTTTTGTTAAAAAGAATTGAAAATAAGTTGAAAGGACGTACTTTGTGCTTTTTTCAGACACACTTTCTGGCACACTTAAAAGAGCACTACAATAGGAAAAGTGCTCTTTTCAGTGTGCCAGAAAGTAACTTTTCCTATTGTAATGTTAAAAGTTTAAAAAATTGCTTCTATCATTTGATTGATGTCACAGGAAAAATAGTGCTCTTTTAAGTGTGCCAGAAAATAGGCGTTTTTTCAAGAGTAGAGAATTACTTTTTGGAGAATTTTAGAGAAAAAAATGTTTTTTTGAGACTTTTTCATGTGAAATTTGAATTTGTCGCAAATTTTAAAATGTTAATTTTATCTTTTTGTTAAATGCTAATTTTTATCTTTTTGTTAAATGTTAATTTTTATCTTTTTGTTAAATGTTAATTTTATCTTTTTGTTAAATGTTAATTTTTGCGCGACGTCGCATTCCAATTGACGTCGCCGTCATGTCGAGGTAGTCGATGGGAGCGTCGCGTCGTCGTTTCTTTTTCGTTTTAAAATCATTTTTTAATTTGTTTTTTTTTGGTTTTCCTTGGTTTTGCCTGTGTTTTTTTTTGTTTTTGTTTTGTTTTTGTTTTGCTTTTGTTTTGCTTTCTTTTTCTCAGATTAATGGAAAGGATTGTTTTACGCGATAAAACCTAGTCAAAATAGCGCCCTTCAAAAAAGCGGCCATACAAAAATAGCGCCAAATTGAAAAAGACTGCGATTAGATTTCTCAACTTGAATTTTTTTATACATCTCATAACAACTTGTAGCTTTTGTTATTTTAAAAAACATTTTCAAGCACGTTACGCGTGTTTTGACTGTTTTGACGCTGAGAAAACAGCAACAAAACCGAGAGAACAGCGCGACTCGACTCAGGCTTGTCGCTCGATTTTCTCAAGGTTCTTATGGTCCAATCAAGCTCTATTTGGTATCATCGGAAAGCCTAAACTGTCCTCTATACAATCATATAAATAGTTATTAAAAATATGAATCTCTAGACAAAGATATTGACCTTCAAAGTGTAACCATTCTGGACCCAAAATCAGGCAGCGAAAAATATTAAATCAGGATCCAGAAAATTAGCTAAATTTTTCCAAAAAAAATTGATCAAATTCTTTCAGATCAGATTTTTCTTTCGAAAGAAAAGAAATTCGCCGTTCTTTTTCCTTTTTTTGATCCAATTTTTGCATTTTTAGGCTAAATTTTGTCGAACTGATAAGCAATTTGCATTTATTTTTGGGTTTTCGTCTTTTTTCTCGTCTTTTTTTCTTACTCTAAGCGAAATAAGACGAAAATTAGACGAATTTTCGAGTAGCCTAATTTCGGCAATTTTTTTTGGCGCATCACGGTCGTTTGAGCAACTCGCCATAACTTTCTTCTAAGTCGACCGGTCTTTATGATTTTGATGTCATTTTGTTGCGCTTATTGAGTTCTACAAAATGACACAAAGAGCAGAAAGATTGGCCGACTTAGAAGAAAGTTATGGCGAGTTGCGCAAATGTGGGCCATTGCTTAAAACAGATTGCGGAAATTAGCCTGCCCCCGAATTGTTCTCTTTTTTCAATGATTTTTTCATGCGTTTTAGACTAAAAATGACTAAAAACAAGAAAGATTAGAAAAATGAACAAAAGAAAATGAAAATTTTGTCGTTAGTCTCAAACGTCTCAAAGAAGTCTCTTCAACGTTAGTCTCAAAGAATTTCATCGAGAGCCTTTTCTAGACTGGAGCCTCATTTCTTTAGAAAGCTTTAGAGAGCTTTAGAAAGCTTTAGAAAGCTTTAGAAGCGTTGTTTCAATCTCAATTCAATTTCAAATAACCTCAAGAAAATCCAGGCAAAGCAAAGCATAATATAAGAATTTTTGAGAAATAAAAAGCAAAAAAAATGTTCGGCAAACCGAATTGAACCCAGCGGGAAACAACTCGATCAGTTTTGTAGACCATCACACTATCCACCATGCTACGATGGTCGCTTGAAATGCGGTGCGTAAACTCGCTGATAGAGGCCGAGAGGCTGATGGGGTAAGCTCGACTCAAGAGGTAAAGGAAAAACGTTGATGCCAGAAATCTTGCGTTTGCGAGCTATTCAGCGAATTTTGCTTACAGATTCGGATTTCCCGTTCGATTTTTTATTGATTTAGCTGGATCTGAAACCTGGTACTAGTCTAGAAATCTTGTCTAGAAAAATCTAGACCTAGTTAGAGTCAATCGTCATCGTTAGAGCCTAGTCTTCCCTAGTTAGAGTCAATCGTCAAGCCAGAGCCAGAGCCAGTTCCAGGCTTGGCTACTAGCCTACAGTAAAGCCAAACCGGCCGGCCAGGATCTAGCTTTCATCCGCCTTGACTGGAAGCTCAAAAATATCACTAACTAGAGCACTGATAAGCCCGGCTACAGTAGGCTACAGTAGAAGGAGTAGAAAACTCAAAGAGGCAAGCAAAAAGACATACAAGACAAGCTGTAGACAGAAAAGAACTTATTTCTGCCCTCATAAAGAGGCGGCAAGCAAAAGAGGATCGGACACCTTCCCCCATGGTGATTCTCTCGCGCATTTCCCTCCAGACTCCGCCCATCCCCCAAAACATCTCCCAAAGCAAAGAGAAACTCAAAAAGAGAAAAAAATTACCATACTATATTCGTTTATCAATGAAATGTTCTTCAGTTCTTTTTCATCATTTCAAGATTGTTTGGATTTGTCCTCTCCATCGGTCATCGTTTTTTCACACTCCTTGATCGAGATGCATTTTAGCTGAAATCCGGATTTTAGGATTTTCTCATTCATTTACCTTTAACAAAACCTTTTCTTTAAAACGACAGTAAAGGTTTTTCTTTCAAAATCCTCAAGAGCTGTGGTCACCTTTCAACATCGCACAACATCAAACCTAAAATTCCCCCTTTCCATTTCCATTTCCTTGAAAATCATTCGCGTCTTTATAAAAGAAACTAGAAAAAGATTTATTTGCGTTTAAAATTTTTCATTATACAACAAAATAACAGCGTTTAGATGAATCAAATTTTGACAACAAAATTGAGTATTATGAAAAGATCGAACAACGAAAGAAAATAAAAATTCAACAAACAAAAAAAAGAGACACTCACTAAAGCCTAGAATTTCTAATTTACACAGAAAACCCGAGAAAGACTTTTCATAAAAACCACACTTGCAATTGCAAGTGTGGTTATTGGATATTGGATTTTAACAATATCCATTCATGGATATTGTTTATCCGCTCGTAGACCTTCTTCATAATAATCTCGGACATCGGGATGAGTTGGCATGAAGACTTTGCGATCTTTCAGCGACACAATGGCTCCAGGCGGCAATCCATTGAATACCTAAATTGAAACAATTCATATAAAAAAAAAATTTTTAAGTTTAACAAACAAAGCCATCATTTTGCCACACCGATTATCCAAAGAAGGCCACATTACCTGCTCACCAAAACAAAACAGCTTGAAGCTTTAAAATTTCAAAAAGCTTGCCTGTTTAGGGTGCTTAACCGCATCAAATGTCGTTTCCGGTAGAGTCGTCCCCATTGTCATAGAAAGTCGCTGTCTTGCATGCTCAATCTCCGCCACCTAAATGTCTAAACTTTCCACCAAATTTCCGCTCTAGTTTTTTTTTGTAATTTGTGTTTATCTCCAAGCAAACCATTCAAATTTGTCTGTAGCTTAAGAAGTTCAAAACATAGTGTTCATATGTTTGTTGTTAAAAACAACAAACAGCACGAAAAATAAAATAATTCGACTTACATCAGCAAGGTATCCTCGATTCACCGGATCACTGTAGTAACTGACGAGAGATGGCGGTGGAGCAAGTCGGCGCGGAACTGGGCGGCCCGATTGAAACCTGAAATAAAATAAAGAATCAATCTCATAAAGGTTCAACAAAGTGATTCGTTTCTATCAAATAAAGTCAATTGATTCGCCAAAAACCCACCAAGTTTTAGCATCGATGGCCGCTCGTAAACTCTCCGGGTCGTAGTAGGCTGTGCGAATCCGTCCACCAGCCGACTCAACCGCCGCAATCGTTCGCTGACTTGCCCATTGCACTTCAATATCCACCGGATACTTCCAAGCATCAGCACCCTAAATCCGAACTTTAAATGCATAAAAAGCAACCATTATCTTACCTCGGGCGTCAAATCGAAGCCACATTGCCGCAAGTGAGGTTCGATTTTGAATTTTCGAGTCGCACAAAGGGCAACAATATCGATCGGCTAGAAATGTGCATTAGTATATTAGAAATTACATAAAGCCATATCCACAAAATAGCCAATACCTTTTTTTGGTCAACCCATCCGAGATCGATGAGACGAGCGAGTTCGATCAACGAGAGTGGTGTGTACTCACGTCGAATACTAAAATATGTTAATAAATATAACAAAATACAATACAATTATGACTTCATGAGTGTTAGATTGAATTGAATGCACTGAAACACTTTTTTTCATTTCCGTCAATTTTTACCAATCTCCGCGTAAAGGGACAGATCCAAGTTCTTAATTTTCCTTGTCAAGTGGTTGATTGAATGTATTGACAACCGGGTGTGCAACTCAGGGTCAACATAATGTCGGAAAGGGAGACGAGGGTGATGCGCGGGAACAGTTGTGTCGAGAACCCCGAAACATTCAACTCTTACAACCCACACAAAGAGGATTCGAGATTGCTAGTGACAATCGGCATCGCTAACGAATGAGCCGCATAAACTTTATCTGAATAAAGTATAAGTTGAATATCTGACTTTTTCTGTTTGCTCCTAGAATCCAGGCAATAGCTTGCCAAAGTCTGTTGAAAAGACCAAAATACTCATCCGCTCACAAGTTTTTCCGCTATTCATCCGTCCACCCTTCTTATACTTGTAAGTTTTTGTCAAGTTCATTCTACATCAAAGCAGAGCTTTCATGTGCATTGGAATGAGCCGAGATGAAAGGTGTTCGTCTTGTGAATGGTTTTACCCAATGTTGAGAAAGGGTGTAACATCTGTTCGCGCACCATCCATTTGATGAATCGCCGACTCTCTTTCAGCAAAAGCGAAAATAGAGTCAATTCGGAAAATCGTTTTTACCAACTTGTTCCAAAATTTCATTGGGGATCTGTTTGCTTTTCAGGGGAACTTTTTCCCATCAGAGAAACCTATAAAAATGAATGCTAAACAACTAACTTGATATCAGCATTGAAAAGCTTTGTGCCAGGAAACATTCGTTGCCAAGGTCGAAAGAAATCACCCCATATCCATCCCAATGGGGGTTTCGCGGCGTGTTGAAGTTGCCCAATCGTGTGTCCATGCTAAAGAAGGTATTTCATCGAATCCATCATCCAGAAGCTTTAAAAATCGCAATCGCATACTCACTTGATTATGAACATTTGATTGTTGTTTTCCAAGCGTTCGCGCTCCAATGTTATCCCGCAAATCTTGTAGTCGAACACGGGAAGAACTAAAAGAATGTTTAGGTTATCATTGACATTTTTGCTCATACTATCAATTGATCTCTGCAAAGAGCTAGATCTTTGCAAATCAAAAAAAAGACACGATCTTCTAATCTTTATTGGTATATTTTTACAAAATTTCTTCTAACCCTCACTTTTCTACAATCCGAAGTGCTCGCTCGGCTGAAGAGGCGGCTGCTTTTGCCGGTTTGGCCATGCCTAAAAATAAATACAAATGAACGATCTCATTAGACTACAAAAAAAATGAAAAATTCCACAAAACATATTGCTGTGACACTTGTGGCCGTAAATCAAAAATTTTCACCCTATCTTCGTGGACTAAATGTCAATCAAAATGAGGTATTCTCAAAGTTTGTTTCGGCGAGCAAGGCTCAAATCAAAAAGTATTTTGATGACATATCCCCAAATTTCTGTAACTGTGCCTCAGCAGTCACATAAACCACAGAAAAACAAAATTAAAAAATCTATTGTCCTATTGGCCCAATAACAACAAGCCACAGATATCCCAGGAGGTAAACCATTCAAATTCCTTTCACAAAACTTTTCAGCACCCATTTATTCTAAACCATCACAAAATAATACAAACCAGGAAAATACAACAACCATCACAAAATGGAAAATTGAGAAAACACTATTATGTCTCAAAAATAAAATCACACAAATCAATAAAATATACACAACTGACACAAACTTCTCATGTAAAGTTGAATAAATAGAATCAAACCATAATAATCTAAAGATTTTGGGAAAAATACACGCATTTTTCTTATCATACAATCACATTGGCATGAGAAGGGAGTGGTACTGCAAAAAACACTATTCTTGCAAAACATTTTCGTGTCCTAATCTAAAAAAAGACATTTAAAATCAGCACAATGAATTTGAGAAAAGTTCGCATCTATAAAATTTTGTGACTACGTTTACGAAAAAGTTTCAAACATTCGCATGGTTTCATTTTTTCTTAATTCATCATTGATGAGACTATGCATCAAATGAAGATACAATCAAGCTAAAATCGACAGTTTTCACATAGCGGGAATGTACAGTGGTTTACATAAGGTATGGCGGAAATATGCGTAGCATCTGCATAATGGTTACTCAAAGACTTGATACGCGAATGTAGAAATGCGTTGACGACGCGTCGCAAAGAAGAGACCGCCAACACCGAGGCCCACACCGAACATGAACGTGAAGATTCCAAGGACAAACCTAAACAGAAAGAAATATTTTCCCGTACTCTTTAACCAACTCTTGGATTAAATATCAACTTCATATTTGCTAAACAATTATTTTACATCGTTTAATGCACCATCTTAATTTAAAAAAAACTCACATCGCTCCACCCGTGTATCCATAGAATGAAGGCTTTTGATCGGGATTTGGTGGAGGGTACGTGGTGAACGAGTTTTTTGGTGCTGTCCATGACTAAAAATTGCGATAGTTTTTCCCCAAAACCAAGATCACGAACCGATGCCTTTCCATCATCTGCAATGATATCAAAGATGAAGCTACCGCCATTGATCGTATCATTCAAGCGCTTGACAACATCCGCAGTCGCAGTTTCCTAAAAAGATTTGATAGATGCTTCTGTTGTTTTATTTTTTTTGACTGTTTTATGATGTTACTCTTTCAAAGTTGTTAACTTACATTTATCCCTGATGGAAATGCAGTTCTTGGCGCCGAGCTTGGTTCGGCAAATGTTAAGACAGCGAGCAACTTTTGATTAGTAGATGGTATCTGAAACAAGTGATTTATCGCAACGTAAAAGATAAACTTAAAAACATACCAAAGATATCTTGATTCGTGGACTACTGATCGTGAAATTTGACACAATTCTCGTCCTCAACGCTTTGATGAAAACCTCGGGCACATTAATTGAAGAAAACTCGTCTAAAAATCTCATCATTAAATTAACTTTTGTAAAAAAACAAACAATCAAAAGCGATAGAAAAAGTGTCTTGAGATTTTGATGGGTAGCAGTTTCTCATCCATTCTTCCATCCAAGTTGCTGGCTTTGTTGTCAAAAAGGGACCATATGAAGCCGTCGGTTTCCAAAGATTCATCTCCTTAAAATACCATTTTATTCCGACATACTGTTTTTGGAGTCTTTACAGTGTCTTTTTGTAAAGCAATTTACCTTTTGATAATTGATCACTTGATACAGGTCCTTCGCATTCTTCAGTCGAATCTCATACACTTTATTCCCGTCATCATCAGATGCTCGATAAATTGTAAGATTTCCATCATTTGTTGTCACCTAAAATCATTTCCTTACAAAAAAAACCAGATGATTCCTTACGTTGTTGTATTGAGACCAAGTTAGAGTTTTTGGTGGAAGGAATAGCTGATAAGCGGGGCTTCGTCCTTGGTCACCAACATCCAGAGCACCTTTTGAGAATTCAGTGATTGCCAAACACTCACCAGCATTTGAAAAACACATTTGATATCCTAAATAGAATTTGTACGATCATCAAAATAGTTTCATGGATTTATGGATACAAAGTGTCCAAAGCGGTCATGCTAGATCTCTACTCACCAAGCAAGAAGTCATGTAATATCGTTGTGCAGTTTTTAGGCAGAGCGAGGGCGGTATCAAAGCCCATCATCAGTTTGATTTCATCAACATTGCTCCCTGATGCGCCAACGTAGATATCATCATAGAAATACTAAAATCAATAGTTATGCAAAAAGATATTTGACAATACTTGACGGGGAGCGATCGTCTGCTTCACCAAATCATGATAGCCAACGTGAGTCGTAAACTGAGTTGGCAATGCATTTGGCAAGAAATCCGACGGTTTCACTGGATCAAGTCCATTGCAGAAGACGCCATCGGGAAGCTAAATTTAAAAATATAAATCTTAGCTTGTTATATTTATGCATCATGAACCAGCGGAAAACGCCCACTAGCGTTCGCGCTTTCCACTGGGGGTTCACGTTTTCTAGGCCCCGCCCCTTTTTGTCAATGACTGCGCACAAACAGACGGACGTCTCCTTTATATATAGTAGATAGGCAAGAATAGAATTTCTAACAAGAATCTATTTACCTGGAACAACTCATATTGCATATCCGGCTCAGTGAACGACGTGAAAGTGAATGAGATGTCATTTGATTTTGGTGATTTAGCGTCTGAATCAACTTTTAAAAAGCTTATACCAATTTTTTACCTAAAATTTTGTCAAACTGAGTGATTCGAATCGACAACGGAACTGGATTTGACTTTGCGCTGAACGGTGAGATTGAATCCTTGCCAGCATACACAACACGAAGCTAAAAAATAGTTATTAGGAAAATGAATTGTAAAACATACTTGAATTCCAGCGGTGCCGGTGGTGTTTGTGCAAGAGTACCATTCAACTCCCTCGACTCCGCTCTCAACAACTGTCTCATTACTCTAAATAAGATGGATAAGATGGATGTCTCATTATTCTAAATAAGATGAATTTAATCTTTTTCTTACCCGAAATCCTTTTTTTTCATTGCTTTTCTCGAAGACGAATTTCGTCAAGTTGACAAGATTTGTAATAGGGGCGCCCGCCGACAAGAACTTGAGGAACTCATCCGGAAGTGTGAAGAGTGTCGTTCCCGTATTGTTTGAACACGAGCCATCTGACAATAAAAGATTGTGAATAAAAGAAGACTCTTTCATAGAAATTTCTAATTAAACAACCTGTAAACTTATAGGTGACTTGTCGCCCAAGAACAGCCGTAAACAAGACTTCTTCTGATGTATCCTAAAACCAAGTTTATTTATAAAATAAACTTTGATTTACCTTTCTGTATAAAACCTGAACACCGTCTTTGTGAGCTTCTTTCACCATTGACAACTTCTTTGTGCCAGTCCAATCGGTAACAATCACGTTAGCCTAAAATATTGCCATTATGCAGTTGTAATTGACACTAAGAAAAAGTAGATTTGTTAATTCGAACAACGATGCATGGGTAACTCCCTCAGTGAATTGATTTTTCAAAATACTTTCCGCAACGTGCTCCTAAGCTTCGCTTATTTTAATTGTTTACCTGAAAATTCTTCAACTCTTTGTCGAGCACGAATTTCTCTTCCAGAGCCTCCGAAGTTTCTGGTGGTGGACCCGCGCAAAGATTCTGCGTAAACGAGAAGGCGATCACCGTCAGACATTGAAGCGTGACAATCCCCAGCCACCAACGCATTCCCTAAACTTATTTATCACAAGGGTTTCAACAATTCACCCGGTATAAAGAAGGCAAAATGGCAAAAAAGATCATACAAGAATAAAAGCAAACATAAATACAAACTAGACACTAAAATTAAGTGAATGTTTTCACAATCGTTGAACTAAAATTGAATCACAGAGCGGAGACTCTCTCCTTTGTGCATCACATCGAAAGCTTCATTTACGCGATCGAGGGGGAAACTGTGCGTGACAAACGAGTCCAATTCGATCTTCTTTTCCATGTACTCGTGAACGAGCTTTGGGACGGATTCCACCGATTTCCATCCACCAAAAGCCGAGCCTTTCCACGAGCGTCCAGTCACCAATTGAAAGGGTCGTGTCGCGATCTCTTGTCCAGCGCCCGCAACTCCAATAATACACGAGACTCCCCATCCTTTGTGTGCCGCCTCCAACGCTTGTCGCATTGTATTCACGTTGCCGATACATTCAAAAGTGTAGTCAAAGCCGCCATCAAACGTGTCAACAAGCCATGCTTGGAAACTTTTATCTCCGCCACAGTCTTTCGGATTGACACACTCAGTGGCACCAAATTGGCGAGCAGTCTCGAACTTTGTTGCATTCGTGTCAATGGCCACAATTCGAGAAGCTCCAACAATTTTCGCACCCATGATCACAGCCAATCCCACTGCACCGAGTCCCCAAACGGCTACCGTTGATCCCTTTTCTACTTTGCATGTGTTCAAAACAGCTCCATATCCTGTCGAAACACCGCATCCCAAAAGACACACCTTATCGAGTGGTGCCTTTTGATCAACTTTGGCCAAAGAGATATCGGCAACCACTGTGTACTCGCTGAAAGTGCTTGTTCCCATAAAGTGGTAAATTTGCTTTCCCTTGCAAGTGAATCGCGAAGTTCCATCCGGCATGACGCCGTTCCCTTGAGTGATTCGAATCTTTTGGCAAAGATTTGTCTTCGGATTCTTGCAGAACTTGCACTCTTTGCATTGAGGGACGTACAACGGGATCACGTGGTCACCAGGAGCAAATCCCTCCACGCCCTCACCAACACTTTCCACGATTCCGGCTCCTTCGTGCCCGAGAACGACGGGGAAGATTCCCTCTGGGTCGTGTCCATCCAAAGTGTATGCATCGGTGTGGCAAACGGCGTTGAAGAGCACTTTGATGCGAACCTCGTGCGCTTTTGGTGGGGCCACCTCGATCGTTTCGATTGATAATGGCTTCTTCGCCTCCCAGGCAACAGCGGCACGGCAAGTGATCGTCTTTCCAGCAGTCTCCGACATGTTTTACCCTAAAGTTTGATGTTAATTGTGGACAATGGGCAAAGAAATCAAAATAACAAGACAAGAGAGCTACTTGTATGGCTAATCATGCAAGTTTTCCAAAAACAGAGCTGATAACAAAAACAAAAACAGCTGATAACACAAAACTAACCATACAAGTACCAAAAGCAATTTTTAAGATAACTCTAATCAATCATTTAGCTGATCAATAGTACAAAACACAAGAAAGTCGTGTTGAAATCGTTCAAAGAACGTTGATAAGCCTTTTTTTTAGTAATCTCTCCCATTTTCTTGCACTTAATCACAACAAAAAAGAGTAACCACACGGGGGCACAGTGTGAAAATCGACATTTGCGCGCCGCGTACACGAGAAACGATAGCAAAAAAGAATGGAGGTGCTGGGTTTAAACATTAGAAGGCCTAATAGATATTTAAATTCGAAAATAAAGAAATTTATTCTTAAACTAAGGGTTTTCTGGGCTTTAAAAGTAAAAGTAGCTCAGAAAACTTCAAGAAAAAAAAGAAAAATTTTATAACTTAACTTTTATATACAAATTTTCCCTTTAAAAGATACTCAGTCTTTAATGATATTCACAATCAGTCCAACAACTGAATATTTTTATCGCATGTTTTGCAAAATATATTCCAGCAAAATTGCCTACTTCATTTTAGTTTTAAGCTTTCTAAATTTAGGGGGGTGGGACAAATGCGACCTTTTTTTGCGCACCTGGACATTTGCGCACCTTTTTTTTTGCTGGAAAAGGCCTTAGGCAAGGCCGTAGAGCTTCGAAAAGCGGAAAAGCGTTAAGTTGCCTAGTTTTTGCCTTTTAACCCAAATTTGATGTGTCAGCGAGGTCTGATTTGTCGAAAATTCGGAATCTACGCATACGATTCCCTTCCATGAAAACATTTTTGAAGCTCTACGACCTTTCCTAAGGCCTTTTCCAGCAAAAAAAAGGTGCGCAAATGCCCAGGTGCGCAAAAAAAGTCGCATTTGTCCCACCCCCAAATTTAGCTACTTGATTTTAGTTTTAAGCTTTCTAAATCTCTTTTACTGCTTTTTTTCTAACTTTTCTTAATGTTTATACCTAAAAATTGCTTATTTTTAGAGATGTTTGGTGTGTTGGTGATCGGAGCGCCGGGAGCGGGAAAATCGACTCTATGCGCGGGTTTGTCCGACGCGTTCACGCAACTCAAGAGGAACCATTTGATGATCAATCTCGACCCGGCCAACGACATCACTCCATACGAATGTCATTGTGACGTCAGAGAGTTGATCACCGTCGAAGAAGTGATGGACAGACTACAACTTGGGCCTAATGGAGCGTTAAGGTATGGATTTTAAAATTTAAATTTCAGGAGCCATTTGCGATTGATGTAACAGGCTAAGTTTTTGGTACTTTGCTGGTTGAGAGGGGCTACTTTTATCTTGGCTTAGTTGGATCTAATGTTTTGAGGGTTGTATTGATACCTTTTATCCACCTATTCTAGCCTAATCAAAGATGCTTATACTTTTAGAGCATTTACAACATGTTTCAAGTTTCATATTCCCGCTTTTACTTGATTTTCGAGTGTAAGCAGCCTTTGAGGTAGCGTTTGGTAGTTAAAGTACATGAGATTAGGCTAGAAAAACTCCCAAAAGCTTGCTAAAATAATCTATTAAGCATATTTGATTGCCCTAGAATAGATAAAAGGATCAATACAACCACTCAAAACATTAGATCCAACTAAGCCAGGATAAAAGTGACCCCTCCCAACCACCAAAGTACCAAATATTTTTTATTATCTTAAAAGTTTTCATGAAATTTCTTGAAAAGAACCATTAAATCAGAATTTATGAGCTTTATTTATAAGCAAGAGCAGAGTTTATAGATCTGGTGCAACTCGATAATGATTTCTAAAAATTTTCGCCTAAACTGAAACTTATTACCCTAAAGTCGCGAGTATAAGTTCTGTTTGGTTTTCGCATGCAAATTGACGGCTGTCTCCGGTGCGGTGTGTCGAGGGTTCGAATCCCGCTGCAGCATAACTTTTTTGCTTTTTAAGAACAATAATAGAAGTAAATTTATTGAAGGGTTATAGCAATTTTATGCTGTTATTTGTTGCTCCGGGCGTGGCTCGGCGCGTCCGCCCTGCTCTTCTCCGGTGCTCAGCCTTATGGATCCCTCCCTGGCCTCTTCATCCGGCCAAAGTCCACGTCGACGGGCGAAAGAGATGCTTTCCAGCGTCTTCTTCAACACTATCGTCTAGATGTTTCCATGCACATAACAAAATAGCAATGATGATAGGCTGTCACCCTGTAGTATCCCGCGCTCCAAGAAGAATAATAAAAGTTTATATAACAATAAAAATGTATAAAAACCCAACAAAAAGAAATTCAAAGGAATTAAAGCGAATGTAAATTAAGGCAGAACTTATACTCGAGACTTTTGGGTATTTCATCTTGTTCGCTTAAAAACGAACTTTCGATACCATTTTGTGCATAATTGCATTTTTTAACTTACAGATACTCGATATCGACGTTAGCAAGAAACAAAGAATGGTTACTGAACAAATTCATCGAAAACAAAGACAAATACGCGATCATCGACTGCCCAGGACAACTCGAGATCTATAAAAGTGACGGGGAATTTTGTGAGGTAAGTGATTTAATGTACTTTAAGTTTAAAAACAGTTCGTTTTTAGTTAGTTCGCTTTCTACAAAAATCCGGTGTCCGTCTGTGTGCCGTTCATTTATCGGATTCAATGTTTTGCTCGGACGCGCCAAAATTCATCTCGGTTGTGATGAGCACACTATCGGTGATGGTACAACTTGAAATGCCACAGGTAACCTTTATTTGCGGATAAACTTTAAAAGGTAAGATTAAATTTTAGATCAATGTTCTCTCAAAAGTCGATCTTCTTACCACCGACATCCCATTCGATCTCGAATTTTTCACCCAACTCCCCGACATTTCCCGACTACTCGAAATGCTAAATGTAAATAGTTTTTTTTTACTTTTTCGTTACGATCATTTATTTAGGATGTGCCAGAATTGGAAAAGTATCGAAGTCTTAATGAAGCGATTTGTCAAGTAGGATGCTTTCCAGAAGCTTCTCTTTATTTTGCTTTAGGTTATTGGTGACTACGATTTGGTTTCCTTTGTTCCATTGAACGTGGAAAGCAAAGAGGATATGGCAAAGGTAAGTCACTGTTAGAAAAATTAGAAAGGTTTTTTGTCAATTTTATTTCTAAGAGGTGAACCGGAAAGTTAATTTAATAATTCTTACTTTCAGGTGATTGTAATGATGGACAAAGCAAACGGTTTTGCTTTTTGTGATCGAGGAGACATACGTGAGATGGTCATCGAACCGGTTGTTGATCAAAAATAAGGGTATGAATTCGCTCGCTTGTTGTTTTAAAGTTGTTAATCTTTCTTTTTATTGTTTTTCGGGTTGTCCATATGTGAGTTTTATTAAAATTTCAGTATTCTCAGGAGAATCACGATTATGGGAAACAATTTGAAAGAGGCATTCGCTATTTTGGTTCTGGGAAACGGAGTTGTTGGTGGGTGCCATGATCTGAAATTTGTGAGGTAAGATTACTTAATAGTAATCACAGAAACTCACCTATTCACTCGATCAAAATCCCAATTGCACAAATGTGATCGACATAACCATTGCTCCGTTTTCATCACTCGCCGATAGCCCGGCTAAATTGGGCTCTCTTGTGGGTTTAGGGAATTTTTGAGGAACTTACAAGAACCGAGTTTTCTTTAAACTCTTATGAAGTCTACAAATTTTTCTGGAACAAGTTCCGAGCCTTCTAAACCCTGACCCTTGTCGTAAACCGTGTGCCCTCCTCATTCACCGAGAGACATCCCTTGGAGATTTTTCCGTTGTGATGCTGAAAAGTTTTTTCATTTGTGAAGATGCTGAAGATCTTTACCTGAATGAAACAAAAATGCCCATAGCAGAAATGTTGGTGACCGAGTTTGGATTGAGAGAGATCCGCGGCACTTGGGTGGATATAACATCTGGGATTTTTGAAATGGTAAGTTCGCTCCAAAACAGATTTTGCTAATGCGCTATTTGAATGATTCAAGTACGCATTACTATATTTTCCATTGGCTTGGTTACGCTAATTTATTTGCAAAAGAAACAGTTTACAGTTTAATTTGCTTCATTTGCAGATACAGCTTCAAATGCCAAATTTCTTCAAAGCTTAAAAGCTCACTGAATAAGCCCATCGCGGAGTTCGGGTAATCTTCGACTTGTACAATTGTTCTGGAAGTTGTACGGGTTTACGGGGGAGAAGATGAGAGCAATTACTTACCGTCGAGCAAACGTATGTCAAAACGTCAGTGTTCGGTACAGTGGTAAACCGATAAAGACCATTCGGGAAAAGTCCGAGAAAACCCATTGAACTGAACGTTGATTGTTTTTGAATTTGATTCGAAACCTCCTGAATCGAAAATCTTAACCTCTGAATTTTCAAATCAAAATCATATTCAGGTTGATCGGCACAACTTCTCAACACCACTTGATCGCTTCCTGTTGAGCCGAAATTTGTCTAGATCAATTTTCGATTTTCAACTAGCTCTTACGGTTCCTTTTAAGTTTCCAATACGGTTCCAATACAGTTCCAATACGGTTCCAATACAGTTCCAATACGGTTCCAATACGGAACTTCACTCACCGTTGTTAACGTGTAATGACAGAAATGCGAGCGGCAAAAGTGCTTGGCTTTATAGGAAAAATCTCGTTCACCCACGTGTTTTTCGCAAGAAACCTGGAGATTTAAAGGGAATAGGTTTATTCTCTTTACACTCACTGATGGCAGAAAGCGAATGGGCAATGGTTGAAGGGTGTTCTCGGCTCGTTCGACTCGATTGCACAAATCCCCGTCGCTGAAATTGTCAAAAATCGATTGCTGGACAAGAGTTGAACATCTTGACTATTGAAAATTCAAAATCCCCCACTCGCAATGGTCAACTGGGCTTGACTCGGACTCGAACCAGAAAGACCTCGTCTCGCCACCACCTGGCGTCTTAACCCACTACCACTTGGCCACCACTGCAAATGCTTCCATCCCAAAAAAATGGGTTCTAAACCCACGGTTTGATTTTTTACCAAAAAATTGAATTGAAATTTTGAAGGTAAGATTTAAAGGGCGTTTTTGAATCGAAGGGATCGATGCAACGGTGGCCTAGTGGATAGTGGAAAGTTCTCTCGGTAGCAAGGCCCGGGTTCGATCCCGCTCTCAGTTCTTCGTTTTTATTTTCTTTAATACTTGAGAAACTAATAATAATTGATAGGTTTTTACCCGTTCATTGCTCACCATTGCAATTGTTCATTGAAATGAACAATTGCAATGCGTTGTGCTAAGTCGACTTTAGATTATGAATCTTGATGGTTTGGAAACGAAAGCTCAAGGGAAGTTCAAATTTTATTTGCAAATTCAAAATTCCCCACTCGCAAATGCACAACTGGGCGCCCACTTGATTCCGCCGACATCCGATCGCCAATGGGACATTCGTGAGACAGCCCTGAACATTTGAAATGTACTTTGTGCTATAGGTAGACGCACCCTTTCTAGTGCACTGAATTCTTGATCGTTTCTTTTAATGCCACGAGAAAATGAAGATTTTAGGGGCTAGACTGGGCTGGACTTGTTTAACTTCTTCTAACTTGTAAAGGCCTTAAGCTCAAGCACAAGCTCAAGCTCAAGCTCAAGCACAAGCACAAGCACAAGCTCAAGCTCAAGCTCAATGGTGCCAATGGGCAGCGATTTTACCAAGCTTGGACAAGCATTTTGTTTTGAATTAAAGACTTGTCAAAGAACCTGAGCCTGTATTTAGCTAGAAACAGTTCTCGCGGCGTTCTGGCAGCGTCTGATCTTTACAGCGGTATCTTTGATGTTTCGGCTTTCCCGTGGAATGTAACCTTTCTTCCGGAAGGTTTCGGCGGAAAGTTTTACCGCCGAAACTTTCCGCCGAAGCTCTGCTCTCTGAAGCTCTGCTCTACGGGAAAACTATAGACGTTTTACTGGAAAGATTAAAGGTGCTGAGGTCCGCGAAGAGTCAGAACGTGCCGGAGCATAGTTTATGGACTCTGGTGTTTGATAAAAAGGCCATTAGCAAAAGAAAGTACAACGGCTATTAGCAAACGGTCATTAGAAAACGGTCAGTAGCAAAAGAAAGTACAGCGGTGAGCATCTCCTGTGTCAGAGAAGGATGTTGGCAGAGTCGAGCAACCTCTGCGTAGCAACCTCTACCAAGATGCTACCGCTCTTGCCACTTATCCAAGCTTGTCCCTCCCGCTCACCATGCATTCTGAGAGAGCTCTAGAGAGCTTACAACACCCTCAGTCGGCTATAGGCTTTCATCTCAGCGTCAATCGATCAAACGATCACCAATCAATCGTCAATCAATCAGCAATCGATCACCAATCGATCACCAATCGGTCAGCAATCAATTATCAACCGGAACCAGGTTGTCGAATCAATTGTCAATCCAGTAGCGCTTATTATCAAGCTCAACCATGACCTCAACACGTTGCAGACATCGCTACGTGCAAGAGTTTCTATAACTAAGGATTTGTGCAGGATGCTTTCTTCAACTTCTAGCCCAACCAATCCCACAACCAACCCCACAACTTCCAGTGAATCTAAAGAAACCCTCAAGGCAGCCATTAAGCCCGAAGGCAGCCAAAATACATAAGAACAAGCTACCGGCATAAACCGACATGATTTGGATACTAGAATAGTAGCCCTCAACTAGGATAGTAGCCCGCAACTAGAATAGTAGCCCGCAACTAGAATAGTAGCGGAGTGTGTTCAAAAGGCCTGTGTTACATAAGCCTGTTACTCTCTCACTCTCTACTATAATCACCTCATTCTTTTGTTCATTATCTGGAGATCTAATCTCTTTCCAACCCTTTCCCTTCACCTGTTCAACTCTCAGCGATCCGTTACTCGATTTGTGCTTCCAAATCGCACACTGATCACCGTCACATGGCTCATCGCAACTGAATCGACCTAATCGATATCTCGGCTTTGAATAGGCTATTTAAATTCAATTGAAAGTAACTAAGGAAATCAGAATCGAGTTGGAAATGAAATCCTCTCAAAAATCGTCTCTCAAAATTCTAAAGGACGCGTGTTTCCTGATGGTGTAGGGGATAGTGCGCTCGGCTGTCGGGCTGATCGCCCCTCTCGATGTCCCGGGTTCGAATCCCCTCACTGGCAAAACATTTTTGCTTGTTTGTTAAACGACTAAAACAGTATCTATAAATAGTAATATTTTTTTTTAAAGCTTTCATTCTATGCCAAATTTTAGTCTAAGATCGTTAAGGACGGCCGTTAAGGAGGTTAAGGACGTTTAGGACGTTTAGGACGTTAGGGACGCTAGGATGCTAAGGCCGTTAAGACCGTTAAGGCCGTCAAGGCTGTTAAGACCGTTAAGGAAGCTAAGGCCATTAAGGACGCTAAGGCCATTAAGGATGCTAAGGCCGTTAAAGACGTTAAGGACGCTAGGACGCCAGGACCGTTAAGGACGCTAGGACGCTAAGGCCATTAAGGATGCTAAGGCCGTTAAAGACGTTAAGGCCCTTGAGGACGCTAAGCCCGTTAAGGACCATTTAAACAAGCCTAACTCTTAGCTAACTTTCAAAAAAGAATTCAAAGCATCTGTGTTTCGATGAAAAGTTGAAATGCCGGCTGACCTCAACTCTCCAGTCGCATTGCTCGCACAATTGAAGCAAATCATGGCCGAAGATCCGGAGATGAGCAAAATAAAGTAAATGAATCGATTCCTCATTGTCACATGTCAGTTTTTGAATGGAAAAGCTTTCTTGGATGGAAAGTTGAAATGCCGGCTGACCTCAACTCTCCAGTCTTTCTTGGCTAAAGCTTTAGCTAAAGCTTTTGTTGTCCGTTTTTCTTTAAAAGAAGTTCAATGATTTGAATGAAATGGGGTATTCTTGAAAAGAAAATAAAAGAAAAGAAAGAAAAGGCAAAGGAAGCAATCAGAGAAAAGGGAAATCGCTGTTGCAAAGATTAACGCCTTTTTTAAAGGCTTTTAAAGGCTCTAGGGTTAAAAAGACGAAAAAAAGAGAAAAAAAGAGAAAATGAAGAAAAAAAAGAACAATTTCTAAGTTTCCATTTAAAGCTACCGTACTTCTAGACGGTTAAACGTCTGGAAATCTCGAAGATACCGATTCGATAGTGCCAAATGAGAAATCACGAGCTTTTCGAGAAACATTTCAAGCTCCCACTCCTCAAGCAATCATCAAAACCGATTCAAAACCGAATCAAAACTTTCCTTTCCCATCGTTGCCTATTGTCGCGTTCAAAAAACAGACACTGCTACTGAAAAAAATGAAAAGAAAGACGTTGAAGTGAGACTTTTCTGTGAAGTGAATGAGTGGGGGGACACAGAAATTCTTTCGGTCTTTCATCACTCACAGCCAACACAGGAAATCGGATTGGATTGTGAGGAAAAGGACGCAAAGAGGACTCACTTTCACATTCTGTCAGAAGAGACCCTAAAGATATCCCAAGAAGACCCATTGACCTCGAAATGTTAAAAGGGTTTTGGAATGTTTCTTAAAACTGATCCTAGACTTGGCGTTCGATGTTTAAAATGAAATTTGTGTTTCTAAGTATTCCCTTTATCAAAAATATTTATTCAGAGATCAAACATGAAAAATTAAATGAATTTTAGCCACAAAATGAAAAGGTAGCTCGAGAAAACAATAGATTTAAACACTTAGCAATGGTAAGAGATAGCAGAAACCAATAATATCATAAAACCCTAGGCGATAAATTATGGATGCACGAAGTCGACGACGATTCCTCGTCCCTCAACGACAGTGCCACTCAACGCCCCTTTTGCTCGATCCGCGTCTGAGGTCGTCACATATCGCACTCGAGCCACACCAGGTCCAGCCTAAAAAGAAAATTTAAGCCACCTTAGTTTTTAAAATTCTCGTGTACTTATTTCATCAAATCCAAAAGTCGCTTAAACTTATAAAAACTTTGATTCATGTCTTACAAAACAACCAACCATTTCAACTCCTTCGACGTCTCCAAACGAGGCCACTCGATCGCTCACTATCTGCCAGGTATAATCGTGTGGAAGCTAAATAAATTATATTAAGTTTATGCGGTAAAACTTACATTTTTGATCAGAATTGTGCGAGATGAGCCCATTGATCCGTAGGAACTCCCACCAAATGGTGTTCCTGTCTCGGTTTTAACTATGAATAAAAATATTAAATGATTAGGGCTCAAAAAATACTCGATTGTCCTCCATAGGCACCTTGCGAGCCACCATACGCTGTTTGAGGATTTCCAAGTCCAAACGAGTCGCCGCCACCGCTACCAAATGATTGGCTTCGATACTAAACTTGCAATAAGAGATAATTTTAAAAACTAAACCTCACCTGCATTGTTGATTGTTGCGGGGTGTTCATGACTCCACTAACCGGCCCATACGGATTTGTTATGCTCAACTAAAACTTAACATCAACACGAGTACTATAAAAATTTAAACAAACCGGTGCCGGAACTCCCCCAAAAGTGGACATATTTGACTGTTGAATCTTAAAATAAATTGGTGAAACGTTGGTAAAAGTGCAACAAACCATCAGTTGATTTCCAAAATCGTTCACTTTTCCCATCGATGCAAGCACGGAGGTGACATCTTTGAGTGGCGCTCCATCGGCTCCCAAGCCCATGCCAATGCTCACTGAAATTAATGAGTCGCGTTATTAGGCAGTACAACAACCAGGCCAGACAGAAATATTTCGAGATTCCGTACTTAAGATAGCCAATTAGCCCTTTTAACTGGATCTCTCGACACTAGTAAGGATTAAAAACATACACATTCCACGCGGCAACTCGCCCGGTTTTCTTTCGTCCGTCTTTGTATAGCGATCCAATTTGACAAGCAGGGCCCTATCAAGAAGCTTCTGTTGATTGAACATCGAGACGGATTGTACGGCTTCTAGCGGATGCATATACTCCACCACGGCGGATCCCTAAAACAAATCAGTCACCTGTTAAAGTTATCCTTTTATACCTTGCTTCGTCCATCTTTATCCATTTGAAGATCGATCCATTTAATTCGCCCAGCCATGCTGAAAATGTCACATAAGCGTCCAGTGCCCACATTAAACGGAATCTAAACAAGAATTTATTGATTAAACATTTCATTCAACAAACTCACATTAGCGATGAAGATTCGTGAAACCAATGGCAATTCGATGTGATGAGTGCGAAGGAAGTCCATGCTGAGCCCGTAGGTTTCGTGGTTCTCTTGACGTCCATTGTTGGCTTCGGTTCCTCGTTGATTTCCAGCTGCTGCTCCAGAACCGCCTCGATGATGGTCACCGCCACTATAAACAACGTTTACATCAATCAAACAGCTGTAATTCTCTTACGTATAAAAATTCAAAGTTACCTTCGAGCCAAGTAGTCGATTCCAGTCTCCTCACGAATCTTTCGAAGAAATGACTGAGGTTCCTTAACACAAAAATTATGTAACTATACAAATAATTGACGTTTCTATATTGAAAAGTCACGTAAATTTATATTGCCCAAAACCAAACAACCTTTCAAGCTTGGTTCATGAAGATAATTTAACCAAAGATTCCCGGAGATTATAGCCAAAACGTTTCGATGATCATACAAAATGAACCAAGTAGCAGTTTTTGGATAGAAACTGGATCAATTTGTTTCGACAGAACAAAGCACTAATAATAGTATGGAAAAATATCTTTCAATTCATAGCTAGCAGACTGCTGATGAAATTATTCAGTCAATTTCGTCAAAACACAATCAAAATCGATTTCAAACATTAAACAAGCACTGCCTATTCCAAGGACAAATTTTTTAATTCAAATTGCTCATAACAATAGCGCCATCCTAAAACTTGAACTTACACGAATTTGCTTGCAGACAACGCTACGGCCGCCAATGTCGTATCGAGGTGACATACGCTGAAAGCAATTCTCAGCAGACTCGATGTCCTTGAATTCTGCCAGCGCTGAGCCTTTAGAACGTCCCGTCTTGTCTTGAAGGATGTCGACCCAGGCGAGCTGAAGAAACAGATAAAACCAAAATTTCATCGGCCAAATTTGGGGGTCCAGCAAGAAGGAGTTTTTTGAATTGCACAAGTCAAAATAAAACTTAGAAACAGCACTTCGCGGATCACTGATGTAGCAAAAGTTTAACGGGAACTAGTTGATACCACCGTTTTTTCTTTCGCCACTCCGTCAGAAGTAGATACTTGACCATAACATTTCCTTTAGAGAGACAAAAAGTAAGTTACTAAATCAACTTGAAACTTGAAAACATGCCATGATCAGACAGAAGATGCCTATAATATCGTAAGAAACGTGTCCAAATTTAAAAACCGATTTCAAACATTAAACAAGCACTGGCTATTTCAAGGACAAATTTTTTAATTCAAATTGCTCATGATGCAAAAGAAAATGTCGAGCAAGATTGTCATATGAAGAAAATTACAACAACAAATTTTTTGATGCTAACCTAAAACTATGCTGGACCCCCAATAAATAGATAAATGTTTGACAAGAAGCACCTCTCCTCCAAGCTCCTGAAGAATGCTTTTCAGTTCTACCCAACGAGTCTCATACGAGAGATTTGTAATGTAGATGAGCTTGCTACGATTTCCTGAAACAGACAAATAACGATGTAGTTTATCAACCAGTGGTGCAGCTTTTAAAGTTTTCTTTTGAAAAGTTCACTAAAATAAATTTTGTGGTGCATAAGTCCGTGATTTTTCATATTCACAAGACGTCTACACTAATTTCCTTTGTGTTATCAAACACTAAAAGGCTTCACAAACGAGGAACTGTTTTCATTCGAATAAAACAAAGACAAAGGGTTTCTTGAAAATTGATATCCAATCCGGCAAAACAGACTTAAAGGCTATGCAGTAACAATGAGCCAAGCGGAATATTTCAGAAACATTATCTCATTGATCATACATGCTGCGAATTTCCTCAGGCACTTTTCCTATTCCTATTCGACAATCGTTCAAGTTCCCAAAGAACCCGGGGACCTTCTTCGGCAAGCACGCAAACATTTTAAGCTTTGAATTTTGAGCCTCAAAAATCTCGACAATTGTACATCAACATTAATGCATCGACATCAATTAGCTCTTCCCAAATTCTCATAACATTTCGCGTGCTATTATATGGTCTCTATTTCAAAAAATTGTATGTATAATTTTAGAGTTTTGAAAAGTTCCATAAAGTTTGATTTCGCGTATTTCCTGTTCTTTATGTTTGAATTTAAAAATGTCTGCAAAATTGCAAGTTGTAGCTGATTTATAATATGTTAAACAGCTAATAAAGAATCCGTTATTCTTTTGTTCTTTCAATGTGCCAACAATTCTCCTCTGCAAGCTCTCACCTACTTCAAATCAAAAACATTGCTCGGACTTATGCACACACATTGTAAATCTGTTAAAATATACCTCCTCTGGATCCATCTCCGTGCGGTGATCGACTTCTCGAGCGCCGACGATCCCGATCTTGCCTGCCACCACGCGGAGCTGGTGAAGATTGCCTCATCATTACACTAAAAATATAGATAAGTGTGTGCGAAATGTGAAAAATATAGAAAATATAGAATTGGGTGATTTAAAACAGGCAGTAGAATAGAATAATAATAAATACAACAATCGGGGAAGCCTTTAATTTTTGCAATTGTCGTTCTGAACAAAGTTCCAATTGTTAAAGAGCTATTAGCATCAAAGTCAACAAAGAGCAACTAAAGCATCAAAGCTACTAAAGTTAAAGAGCTACTAAAGCATCAAAGCCAACAATTAATGCGTTTAGAAGAAAAGCAAAAGGATCCCCAATCTTTTGGATACTCCACGCAGCCGATTCTTGCTCAAAACGCTCGTATGCGGGTAAGAAAAGGCGCCATTTTGAATCTCATTTATGTCGATAGAAATTTAGCGTAGCCGATAACCCCTGTTTATCTGCTATTAGCCTAGTGCTAGGTCAAATCAGCTGGCTTTCAATTGAAAACAGCTTCCTTCCATTCTAATTGCACACACGAACTCTTTTATATGAAAAAATGGGTTAACTCAGCCGCTTATTTAAGCGAGCGAGTCAGCTTATTTATGCGATATTTAAAGGATTGAAGATATTCAGCTAAGGCTTTCTTTGCTTTTTCATTGAATAACTGGATATTTTTAGCAGTTGATTAATTAGGATATAGATAGTCGTTAGAACTAGACATGGTTCATGGATCGGATCAAATCCAAAAAATGAAAATTCGGATCAGATCCGAAAACATGTCTAGTTCGAACTTGTCACCTTAGGGGTGGGACAAATGCGACCTTTTTTTGCGCACCCGGACATTTGCGCACCTTTTTTTCCGCACCTTGCCCATTAACGCACCTTTTTTCGCGTTTTAAAAAAGCTCTAAAAAGCTAATATTAACCAATTTCTATTCCAAATGTTGTTTTTCTAGGTAATTTGAGGGTGTCGAATTCAAATTTTGACATAACAGAGCGTGCGGAAACAATTTGAAAGACAAAACGGCTAGATCAAATTACAGAAAATTGTTGATTTTTCTCTTTGTATAACTCCGTCCGTTTGTTTCCACAAGCTCTGATATGTCAAAATTTCGATTCTACGCCCTAAAATTACCTAGAAAAACAACTTTTGGAATAGAAATTGGTTAATATTAGCCTTTTAGAGCTTTTTTAAAACGCGAAAAAAGGTGCGCTAATGGGCAAGGTGCGGAAAAAAGGTCGCATTTGTCCCACTCCCCTAGACATGGTTAATGGATCGAATCAAATCCAAAAAATGAAAATTCGGATCAGATCCAAAAACATGTCTAGTTCGAACTTGTCAGCTTTACTTTTTACTGCCTACCGTAAATACTGTAATAGTACCCCACCCCCATAATGACGGTGCGGAATGTTGCGTAGTCTAGCTTTGAACGCGTTTTTCTCGACACTGGTTTATGCTGCAATGCGCGCTTAGTTATCAAAAAATAGCTGAAATTCAGGGCTATTTTTTCATACCAAAGACACATTTTTTGAAAGTACGGGCGCTTTGAAAAAATGAAATACTAAAAAACTTTTGCGACTACGCGACTGTACGAGAGTGGTGGGGTACTATTACAGTATTTACGGTATGTTTTTAAGTTCTTGATTCAAGTTCTTGATTTAAGTTCTTGTTTTTAAGTTACCTTCGAATTTTATCAATTTTTTTTAGATAATGGAGTCGAGTCTCGATCAAGCCCTCGACAATGCATTGATAGCGCCTGAGGTGAGGTTTTATTTATGATCGTTTTAATTGCTCTAATTTGAGTCACTTCAATAAATTCTATTTAGATCGATGGTGTTTGCGTGATTGACAGCAACGGCTTCTGCATAGCTTCAAAGGGAACTCTTTCGAGTGAGGGCTCAGCTGTTTATAAACAGGTATTTTCAAAACATTCGGTACTAACGCGGTTTAGGGGGGCTGGGACACCTAAAATTTTCCCAAATGTAGTTTTTCTAGGGTAATTGATGGCGCTGATCATGAAAAGACATTTTTAAGTTGTGTTTTCAATTATTAGGTTGATGCATAAGTCTTTTCGTTCCTTTTCGTCTGCCGTTTCAAGCCAACAAATGCACCAATTAAACTACGGTTGATTTCATTAGAAAAACCAATTATTTTTCTGCAAAATAACATTAAAACGGGTTTAAAAATATTTTATGCCTGGATTTTCTTGAGAGTATGAAGTCGGGTAGTCAAAAAGGGCTAACTCGATGATGCGGTTTAGACACCTTAGCTAAAGAAAACCTATCTTCGTGTCAATAGATAAAAGATAGAGAAAAAAAAGTTTGATATTCCGCCAAAATTTCAGAGAAATTCATTCAGCCAATTTTTCCGTAGAGTTTTTTATAGATTTTTACGAAAAAGGCGTTTTTCACTCTCGAATTTGCTTGAAAGTGAACCGAAATTGATTTAAAAAGATGGAAATTGAACAAAAAAACATTTTTTTTATAGAGCAAACCATAGATTAATTGGTGAATTTGTTACTTTTTAACAGAAGTACGAAAAAAACGAGAAGACTTATGCATCAACCTAATAAAAAAACAGGCGCTATTAAGGTTAGGAGGGGGCACTTTTCTTCAAAACCACTTTTTCTCGGGTATTTTTATGTGTAGATTCCGAAAAACACAACGAGAGCTGGGGGAAATGCGTTTTAAGCCAAGCTTTGGGGCTCCGAGGTGGGCGCTTCTATAGTGTACTTCACTGTATGGAGCCCAGGCTATCGACTATTGGGACACTTTTCAAGGGCAAAACTAGAGCCAAAACCATTTTTAACCACTAAATATTCATTTTCTAACTTCAATTGACTGGTAGAGGTAAGAAAATTGAAAAAATTTGAGATTTTGACTCAAGTGGGAGACCATATGGTAAAAATTTGGAAAAACTTTTCTTTTATTTTGCTTTAATTTAGTCGGAAACGTAATCAGTAGATTAAATTATGCCAGAAGAAGTGTTTTTGGCTTCAAAAAAGTTTCGAGAGACCATTTTTAGACCTCTTTCCTATGTGTATCCCTCTCATAATTTATATGTATGGGCGCGCACTTTGGAGCCCCGAAACTTGCCTTAAAACGCATTTTCCCCAGCTCTCGTTGTGTTTTTCGGAATCTATGCATAAAAATACCCCAGAAAAAATGGTTTTGAAGAAAAAAAGTGCCCCCTCCTAACCTTAGTAACACCAAAAAAACATGCATTTTCCCAAATATTAATAGCCGGTTCTTCATTTACTTATCGTGTCGCATTTGCGCCGCAAAGCAGGTAAATATATGAAAAATGAATAACTTAAAAATGTTCTTTTCGTGATCAGCGCCATCAATTACCCTAGAAAAACTAAAACCTTTGGGAAAATTTTAGGTGGCCCCCCTAACTGCCTTGGTACCAAAACTTCAGCTTGAAGTTGAGTTGTTTTTGGAATTTAAATTGAATCCATATAGCAGAATTGCTGTGATTTTTGAGTGGACTATTCTCTGGTAACTCTAAAGAGCATAAACATTCTTCTATTCTTTTATTCTTAAAATCTAATAAGTTCTGCTTCTTGCTTGTTCTGTTTAAGCAACATTTAGGAGTAAAAATGTAACATGAAAATCAACTTTGTACGCATTTTTTTACCGTTTCACATGCAGCATCTTAATATTTCTAGATCCTAATGGCAGCCACTCGGATGGATCGAACATCTGGTCATCCTACAATCACATTAACGACGGAGAGCGGCGAGAAAATCTTCATTCAGGAACAAAACGGTGTTGTTGTCGCCCTAAACATCAAAGGCAATTAACGGGTCAACTTGTTTGCTTTTATTCCAAGCTTTCTGCCTATATTTTTTTTTCGATGTTTATGCATTTTGTTTAGACATGCATCTTTTTTCTGCAACTTGCGAAACATTGTGATTATTTGTTCTAGAACGTGATAGAAATGTCGTGAATAAATTGTTTAGATCTTTTGTTGGGAATTAATAATTTGTTGAAACAAACGGTGTATCTAGTGGTTCACGTACCGCTCAGACATAAGAAACTCGTTTAGAATGAGGATTTCATTCAGTGACGATGAGGATGAAGAGTTGGCACAACCGGTCGATTACTCTCACATTCTACAAGTAAGGTTTATAAAAGGTTTAGTTAAAAAGTGAGGAGATTTGTTTATCTACTTATTTTTAGACCACCCCGTCCACGTCGCAAAAAGCTCCCGTTACAGAGTAAACTTTTATTCCTTAACAAATTCGAACAAATTTTAGACCCGTTGATGAGACATTTGCATTTCTCCTTCAGGCTCGACAAAGAAATCGAGATGACATTCTCATGAATATGGCATCACCTCCAAAGTAACTATAAAATTATTGAAGTTAAAATATTCAAACGTTTAGAGTTGCCGATCCGTTCTCTCTGCTGTCACAAGAAAATTCAACTCCTCCAACAAAATCGTCTTTAAGAGAGTGGCTGGATAATGCTGAAAATGCTCCGATTACAACCACACCTGTGAGTTTGGCAAAGAACAAAATTTTGAACGTTTTTTATAAGAAACAATTGACTTATTTTCCAAAACTTGAAAAGAATTTGACCTTGTTTTAGGTTTACTCTTGCAAGACGCCCAAATCCCGAACTCCACTCTCCGTACTCATGCATCGAGAACGGCGCCTAAACGAGATCAGAAAGTAAGTGATAAAAGATAAATGGGTAAAACTTATTTGTATTGAAAATGACAATGATGTGAACCACATTGAACTGAAGTTCTATCAATAGAACATTCCATGTTGCATTAGCGATCCTGAGTCATTTTGTTGCTAATAGTAAAACAAGGGTTATAAAATGTTATTTACTATGTAATGTTTAGTGAAGAAAATCCGGATCCCGATTTCGAGCCAGTTTCATATCGACAGATGAGGAGACAAATCCAGAAAAAGTTGGAGGCAAAAGAAGGACTCGAGGATTGTTTGTCAACAACTCCAAGTAGAGAATTCAGGAGGCGACAAGGTTTGTTGACTTTTCTTGAAGGTAAGATCAGAAAGTAAGTGATAAAAGATAAATGGGTAAAACTTATTTGTCTTGAAAATGACAATGATGTAAACCACATTGAACTGAAGTTCTATCAGTAGAACATTTCATGTTGCATTAGCGATCCTGAGTCATTTTGTTGCTAATAGTAAAACAAGAGTTATAAAATGTTTAAAAAATAAAAAAAAGAACTCTTTTAGAAGCCTTTGTTATTGATGATGGTGACGAAGAAGACGACTTGCCGCTCTCCGATATTAAATCAAAATTAAGGATTCACAATAGAAAGGTACTTTTTCAATCGATTATAAAGGATTCATGAATTTTAGATTGATGAGTCTTCGAACGGCACGGAAGGCAACGATAAGAAAAGCGAGGACAATGATGTAACTGTAGCCGCGGAGTCAACGAAATCATCTCAACTACAAACGACAGTAATTTTAAGTTTGTAATTGTAAAAATATCCATTTTTAGGAAGCTCAAAGTAATCCTTCGTCAAATGCCGAAGCTGAATTGCTTGAAGAACAGCAACAAAAAGTGGTAAGGATTTAACGATTACCTTTTGAGTTAATGCAAGTAAAAAGCACCAGTTAATTTAACTTTTCATTTAGGAAGTTGTTGATAATAGTATTCCGTTGGAGGATCTCGATTTGATTGATGAGCTCCCACCGACACAAGATGAAGATGATTTACCGCTCTCCGAATTACTTCGACGACAATCTTACAAGAAAAAAGTATGAAGTATCTAAAGTTGATATTATAGCTTATTCATTAGGAAGGGAATACAAGTTGCACATCTTCCATCGTAGTCCGCAGTGATGCATCATCGGAGAAGCTAAAAGTTTGTTTAATAGTAGATCTTGTTGTGCTTTGTTTCTTTGATCTTTGTTTTAGGAAGAAAGTTCAAGCTGATTTTTCTTCATCTCCAACATCTTCATCGATAATAATTATCAGTGATCAACCATCGGATATTTCAAAAGTAGAGGTAGAAGAAGTCAAAAACAATTAAAGTGTTTTATTTATCAGGAAAAGAATCCAAGCTGCTCTTCATCTTCATCAAAAAGCTATTCTAGACCTTCGTCGGTCATCATTATCAATGATGAAACGTCGGATACCAAAAAGTGGAGCGTATGTTTTAACATGTGTCTTTTAAAAAAGATTTTATTATCTATCTATTTTGGTTTTTAGAATGAAAAGGAAACGAAATCAGCACAAAATAATACAACTTCAACCATTGTGCTCGATGATGATGATTTACCCTTATCGAAAGTGAGAGAGAATCTTCGAAAAAGGCATGGAACGGTAGATTTCAAATCTATTTTATATTTATACGATATTTTTCAGGAAAGCAGCACGTGGTCTCAAGTAATGACCGATGTTGATTTATTCGATGACGAAGGAGAGGATACGGAAAATGTAGGGCCCAAATTTTTCACAGTGAAGTCAAGCTTTAGGATAACGTCGCTTTGGTGTCTCAAAGCTCTGCTTGCACTCCCAAACGCGTGAATCCTTCCAGGTAGGTTTTTTTTGAATTTCTACTCTCACTTTAGATTTAGAAAAAAAGCCGTTCTTTGAAAATGCCGAATTCTTCTAGTTCGTCTTCAACGGAAAAGTTGGTTTACTTGTAACTTGTTCATACTAATTTTATTTTAGTACCGTAAAAGCTTCTCCAGCAAGCAGTCTTTTAACAGCTCGGAATACGCCTCTACGTGAAAAGTTAGTTTTAAACTTTAACGTGAAATTACCTTTTATATTTAGAAGATCTGCTCAGAAGTCGCCCTTTGTTGAAACGCCAAAAACGACGCGAACGTTAAGGAAACGCAAGCTGGAGCTACGCTATTAGTATGTTTATTTTTTTAATTAAACCTTAATTCCAAAAGCTAATAATATATAGGTACTAAAAATAGATATCTTTTAGTTCAAGTGATGAGGAGGAACAACGTTTATATGGTACAAAACGAAATGAAAATCAAAGTTTGACTCCGTCGCGGCAAGGGTTGGTTGAATTTGGGTACTGTTGTTTAGTATGAAAGCCATATATCGTAGTTCCAGTCATGCTTCGCATAATCTACCTAGTTTACATATTTAGTTGCAGTTTTTAAAAAGTGAAATTTAGAAGCGCAAAGAGAAGTCGAAACGCGCCAAATACACCGAGTGAAAGCACGACGCCAAAAAGAAGGTGGGATTTGATTTTGTTGCAATAATGCGTTTGCTATTTCAGTGTCTCCTCGCGGACCCCCACGAGTCGAACAGCAAATGTCGTCCACTTTTTTGATTCAAACGTGGATATCAAGTATTTTACTTCCTTTCAGCTTTAAATAAATAAAATTTAGTGAGGATGACTGACCAATGGACTTTTGTGGAAATCCCTGTTTTTTTCAACCTATTTTCGGGTGATATGCCTGTCTTTATATTGTGATTACGATGTTCTAACATTGTTTTTTGTAGGGTATAAGATATCTATGGAGAAATGTAGGACGTTTGCTTGTTACTTTTCAAATAAAAATTTACTAATCGTTGTTTCCCGAAAGAAAAGAAACGTTTTGAGTACATGGGATTTTTCTTGTTTACATTGTTTTTGATGTTAAGTGGCGATTCTTACTGCAATTTTTTTGCTAATACGTGAAACAATGTCTTTTTCAGAATAGCTTTAAAAGTCTAATTTCAAAATGTTTTAGCCCGAACGAATGACAAACAAGAAGCGTGGTAATGTAGGACCAAGCACGAGCACAGGTAACGGCTTTTTAAATCAAATAAGACCCTGCAAGCTGTAAATTTTACTTGCAGGTACCTTCTGAAATAAAACCAGCTAAATCAATGTTAGGTAACACACACGGTGATCTCAGTGAACGTCTGATTGTAGTTGTGAAAGGGGAGGGATAGCCAGAGAGAGAAAACATGTGGTTGAGATTTGGCTTTCATCGTGATCTTCTCCCATTTTCCTCTCTTTTCCTTCCGCTTCTCTACATCCATCCATCTATCTACCTCGTTTTCTCAAAGACCCAACAAAGATCTTCCTTTCCATTTCTTCTCCCCATTTCTTTCTCTTATTAGCTTTTGTGTAATCTGGCGGGCCCTTCTCCCTCCCTTGCCAACTCTTTTCTTTTATCCTTCCCAGAACTATCTCCTCTACATATTCACTTCGATTTTTGCTCGGATACACTTACATTTTATTTTACTAGATTCCTGAGAAATGGGTGGGTTTCATGAGCTTCTTGGTTCTCAGTCGCAAAATGCAAACTGTTATACAAAAGTTGAAATTCTAATGTTTACTTAAATTTCCTGGCATATGGCGCTTAAAAGTTTTTAGCTTCTAGTTAATAAATTTACTAATATTCTTATTCTTCTATTTTTAGCCTCAGTCAGCACAGCTCCGCAGATATCATCTCCAGCCGAAACACCAACAACTTCTGAGGGAGTTTTGAAGAAAGTCGACGGATTGAATGATGAAGGAAAAGTGAGTAGATTATGAGTTAAGCTAAAAGTCAAATTTGTACGCTAGATTTAGTTCAGACAAATTCTTGAGTCCGTTAAAAACTTGTTTTAGATCAACAAACTCGTAGAGTTGTTGGTGAAGGCCGAAAACGACAAGACGGCTTTCTCTAAAAAGGCACAAAATGTAGGTTTTAGATCAAAACTTGCTTGGAATCCTTGAAAAGTCTATTTATAGTTGATGTGTCAAATATGGTTAACGTGTTTTTTTTAGTTTGACAAGCTCCAGAAAGCTTTTCAACAACAGGAGAAGAAATGTGATAAGGCCAACGAGATTCTTATAAAGGTTTGTAAGTTAAAAGCTTTTTTTTAATAAAAGGTTTGCATATATTTTGTTTAGACTGAGGCCAGCAAAAGCAAGCTTGAAGAACTGTGCCGAGAATTGCAGAAGTGTAACAAAGAGGTAACTTTTATTGTAAATTTTATAGAATTTTGAATATTCAATAACTAATTTAAATCCTCATATCCCTATCAGATAGGTGAAATTTTAGATCCGAGAAGAGAGCCTTACGCGCACGAAGAAGTTGGAATCAGAGCGACAAGAGGCTGTGAATGTAAATTTTTGAAATATTTGTAGCTAATTTCTAACAATAAGTTAACCAGATAAAAGTATTTTTCTTTAGCAATTGCGCTTCTCTTTGAAGGAAATCGAGAAGAATATGAATGAGGGACGAAGCAGGTAGTTTTAGAGGTTGAATTTGTACTTTAAATGTCATCCTTCCAGATCTGACACATTGGCCGAAGACAATAAGCGCTTGTCGGAGAAATTGAGTGAATTGGGCACACAATACGAGGATCGATTGAACAATCTTGTTGATTCGGTAAATATTTATCTATGGTCTATAAAATTCATCCCGTTTAGTATAAGAAAAAGGAGGAATACTGGGCCGATCTTGAGAAAGCACGAGATTGTGAGGTTGGACAAAATTTTTATTATGAAAATTTACGAAATTAGGGCTGAACTAGAAATTAGACATCTTTAAAAGTTACTCGGGCAAATCTTTTTAGGTGAATCTTCTGAAAACAAAACTTCAACACGCCGGCTTGTTGCAACAGAAGTCGGCGAATGAGAAGGTAGTTCATGTTTTTATATAGTTCAATCTTTAATGATCAATGATTTTTAGGAAGAATTGACGAGAAGTTTGCTTGAGGGAACGAGACGAGTCGGTGAAGCGATTGAGAATGAATCAACTTTGCGAGAACAAGTCGGTTTAGGAGTAATTTTGAAATTTCCACAAAACTATTTGTTCAATTTCTAGCTATTTAAAGTATTACTTGCAAGCATTAGACAAAAATTTATAACTTTTGATACATTTTTTTATATTTCAGGTCAAACAGTACTCTGCTCGTTACACCGAACTGGCCAATAGTCTCTCACAAAGCAGCGAGGCTTTCGACAAGTTTAAATCAGAAATTGAGAGGGTTTGTGTCAATTTCGAGAAAACTAATCATTTGAGCTTGTTTAGGTGAACACTCAGCTGAAGAAAGTCGAAATGGAGGCACAAAAGTGGAGGATCAAATACGAGGAATCAAATCGGTAAGCGAAATTTTTGCTTTATTGATCATTTCCCGTTTTCTAGGTCGATTCTCTTGATGACCGTGCAGAAGCAAGAGATTGAGGAACGAGCGGCCAGCTTTGAGAAAAAGGTTTGTGTTTGTGTGTTTGTGGATTTGTAACTACCGTCATCTCTGGTGGGAAAAACAAAGTGAGCTTTATTTTGAATAATCGCTGAGCCGAATTTTTAGACAAATGAACACTAAGCTAGCCATTTTAAAAACAACGGGATTACGGTAGGTTTTTTCTAGAGCATTTCTTGGGAAACGAGCAAATGGTTTTGCTATCCTTAGACAAATGGAAGCTCACTAAGAAATAAGCTTAACGTTTTTTGAAAGCAACGGGATTACGGTAAGTTTTCTTTGGGGCATTTCTTAGGAAATGCCTTAAACGAGTAGTATAGATAACCCTTAAAAAGTCTTTTCCCAAGCTTTATCATTTCCTTTTCAGGTGGGCACACTGGAGAACCTTTGCCGTGCGCTCACACAACGCAGTTCGGGTGAAACGGAGAAGAAAGAGGACAACACCGATGCTTCAAGTTAATCAAAACGTATAGTTGTTTATTGTTACAGTCGTCAAAAAAAGTCTTGGCCGGTCAGTGTTCACTTGGCTCATAGATCACACATCCAAATATATTGACCACAAATAGTTTTATGTAGCATTTTCAAATGTTGTTAAAATGAACCATTTAGCTTTTCGATATCCTTTGAACCAAGAGTTTTATGATCGAAAAACCTTATTTGAGGATGATTTTTAAGAATCTATAATTCACGAATGAATGGATCTCATTGGAAACGGTTCCAATCACAATGGCATTGGATCATCGATTACTTATTTATTAATTTTGTTCTGGTGAAAATGAAAAGCTACTGGCAGTTTTGAAGCCTTGAACAAAATCTGAGAAAAAGGATCTTACCCTCTTATGCAAAAGTAGCTTGAAAAATTCGATTTAGAGCAAAATCAAAAAACTAAGAATATCTTAATCTTAAAGCTCTCACAAAATACTACAAAAAAACCCACTAATTAGAACCGATTTATTTGAATGTGTGATCTAACGGGAGAAAATAGTGAAAGCATTGACCGACCAAGACTTTTTTTTGACGATTGTACCTTTTGCTTATTAATGTTTAATCTGTTGTTTTTTTAAACGTTTTACTCAAAATTTCTGAGTTGTGCTCATTTTAAGCAGCTAAAGTTGATCAATTTTCTTTGTGTCGTTGTCTTTTTCTTTTTCTAGTCGTGTCAGCTCTCTTTTTTTTTTTGCCAGCAACGCATAATTAACATGTCATTTTTGTATGATGCCCTGGTTGATGATTTGTTTGATGTTCTTGTGCAATAAATTCTATATTTCTAGTGGTTTTTGAAAGCTTAAATGTAAATTTGCAGACGTACATAACTTTACACGGCCGCAATACCCAAATAAGATTTTTTTTTGCTCCAAGTCGAAAGAAGAAGTTCCAATAAAAGATAGGGGTGGTCTACATTGAAATGGATTCTCGAAATGAAGTCCTTTTCGAGGGAAATCCCTTGGGTATTTAATCCATGTTACCTGTATCACCCTTTCTCGAAAAAGGGAATTCTATTTCTATTGGATTGGTCCTCCCTTCCTTTCACCCCCTTGCGAAATTGAATCAATTTGATGAGTAGACGGGAAAATGAAAAAGGCTAGCTATATGTATGTATTGAATATCCTTATTGAATGCACTGATACGGTAAAACGTTTGCCAGTTTCCCATGTTTTTCAATGATCTATTCAACGAAATGATCTCAACAATGTTGATTGCTCAAACGAGAGAGGGAAAAAACCGACTTCCAATTGATAGACTCGATAAAATGAATAGCGCCAATCGATTCACTGACCTTGGAAACCCCTGGGTGCAAATTTACAGCTAAATGGCTTCTTTTTATGCCATATACAAAGCAAAAGAGAAAACGCTGTAAATGACTGTCTATGTAAATGAATGGTCGCGTAATCGTTCACCATCTGGCAAATCGCTCTGGTGTAAAGGGCTTTCCTTTTGGAATTCGAAAGCGGAAGAAGCGGCGACTGAGCCATTTTCGCTTTTCCGGCGATTGCCTTAAATTTCGGATCGATTTTAGCCTTGATTAATTTGATTGATTGATTGGCTACATTCTTGCTAGAAATTCTGGATCCTGTTGAAACATTGGGCCAAATAGAGAGATCGGACAGAATCGATTAGATAGAGTCGATTAGATTAGAGTCGATTAGATTAGAGTCGATTAGATTAGAGTCGATTAGATAGAGTCGATTGGACAGAATCGGTTAGATTAGAGTCGATTGAACAGAATCGAGGAATTCAACGAGGTTAAATCCTTTTCGGAAAAAGGAAAAACGTTGAATAGTACACTATGTCTTTTATTTTAACCTTCTGAGAAGGCGATGGGTTCACTTGGAGAATATAAATGTGAAAGAGAACGAATTTCCTTTGGATTTTGCAGATGATAGCTTTTCACCAGGAAAAGACCTGCATTTCCGAGAAGAATCTCATAGATTTGATGATTTTATGGAATTTATCTATGGAAGTAACTCTGATCAACTTTTCTAGTCTATATTTTTGTGATGATTCAACTCCGATTGACCAAAGGGATGAATAGCTGTCAAATTGGATTCATATGGCTCATTGAGTCGAGTGTCAGTGATTCAGTTGTCACATTTTCACTGATGCTCAATCGATTCCCCGAAACGATCCCTCAATATAGTTGGTGATGATGAAAAAAGCAAATCTATGAAGAGATCTATCTAGAGTTGTTTCAAATTCGTTTTCTAAACCGGATTGGCTTTTCTTGACTACCGTAATCTTGTCTCTTTCCTTTAGCCAATCTACGATACCGATCAAAATTAAATTCGAAAAAGTGATAGGGTTTTTTTGGGGATTGTAACTTTAGATGTAGACATCGAATCTATAAATGCTATAGAGCATTTGAAAGCTCTCGTTGAGCTCTACACGATTTTCTAGAACATTTTTGAGGAATACAATAGCTTTACCCAACTTTTATAGGCTTGAATTAAAGGAGAAATTTTTTTTTTGTTTTTTTTGGGAAGGCTGTTTTTGTGTAGAAAAGGCACTTTTACATGTTGAGCTCTGACAATGCGAGTAAAACGTGGATTTGCTTGGCTTGAACAGATGTCGTTGTGGCCGAATGGTTAATACGCTGGGCTCTGAAGTCGCGAGTTCGATTTGAATCCCTGGTTCGAGTCCAGACTTGGATAAAACCTTGCTTTTGCGAGAAAGACAGTTTTACGTGTTGAGTTCTGACAGCGCGAGTAAAAGGTGGATTTGCTTGGCTTGAATAGATGTCGTTGTGGCCAAGTGGTTAGTGCTCTGGGCTCTGAACTGCTTGGCTCGAGTTGGGTCTCTGGTTCGAGCCCGGACTAGCGTTGAACTTTTGTAAAAAGCTCTTGGTAAAGTTGAAAGTTATTAAGGCCAATATTCACCTATAATATGGCGCTGTAACAATGGAAATTTATGTTGGACGAGTTTGGACGAGTTTGGACGAGTTTGGACGAGTTTGGATGAGTTTGGACGAGTTTGGACGAGTTTGGACGAGTTTGGACGAGTTTGGACGAGTTTGGACGAGTTTGGACAAGTTTGGACGAGTTTGGATGAGTTTGGACCAGTTTGGATGAGTTTGGACGAGTTTAAGTTTATTTCATGACTTTCTGCAATCGTTTAAACGGGATTCATTTCAACAAATCCCTTTGGAAACTCTCGATAAAGAAACATCCCTTAGTTAGTTTCTCGAGATTTTTCGTGGAGTTGCAAAGGGAGCTGAAAGCCGAAAGCTCTCCCAGTTGGTCCATTCCTTCGATCTCTCCATCATCTATCAGTCTTCTTTTCTAAAAGAGACAAAGAAATTGATGAGAAAAGGGGGAGGGGTGGAAAGAGTGTGTAATCGGTCTTTTTACCCTATCGATGGGGGAAAATTTTGAGGTGAAAAGGTGAAAAGCCGCTCTCCACATCGAAATATCCATCGCCGATCAAGTGGCTCGATTTGAGAGTGAATAAACATCGACATTGATTCGATTGATGGAGATATTGATGGTTGAGATTGAGATTTGGAAGTTCCTCTTGATTTCCTCTTGATTATCGGCTTTAAATGCCTTTCATTGCGTTTAAATGATTCGATTTTAACTCTAGATAGCTCTAGATAAGTCCCGGATAGCTTTGAAATGTTCAGAAACAAAAAACACACAGCTATTTATAAAGTGAATGAAAGATAATTAAAGATAATGAAAGATCACACCTTCTACAACAAATCACAACAAATTTTGCATTTAATTTCAATTAAAATATTTGATAGAGTCAAAAATCGAAACAATTCATGCTTGTAAAGTGAAAAGCTAGCGGTTAAACAACAAAATAAAGTGAAATGCAAAGGAAGGGATCGAACCCGAGCAAACACCTGAGAGATCGTTTTGGAAACAAGACTCCTAGCCACTAGACCATGAGATCACCTTTTCAGGTCGCGAAAAATGCCTTATAGAAGCTTCTGAGTGATTTTTGACCTCTTTTTGACTTCTGAATGATTTTTCCTTTCTTGTTCCCCTTTTTCTCTGGCGAATCAAAGGCGCCGGATGGTTCAGTCGGTTAGAGCTCAGGGCTCGGAAAGCGAAAGGTTGAGAGGATTGGGGGGTTCGACTCCCCCGGTGGCCAATGGAAACTATTTTTGCTTTGACTCATTGGACGACGGTAATATAGCTGTTATGAGGCTTTTGGAAGGGGCACTCCACTGCGCTCATGGCTCAATGGTAGAGCTCTCGCCTGGAAAGCGAACGGTCGACAGGGTCGGGGTTCGACTCCCCCAGTTGCCAATGGCATCTCCTTTTGCTTCGACTTCCCGGTCGACGATAATATAGCTGTTATCAGGCTTTTGGATGGGGTCTCCATTGCGCTCATGGCTCAGTGGTAGAGCTCTCGCCTGGAAAGCGAACGATCTCTCGGGGTCCCGCGTTCGACTCCCCCGCTAGGCAGTTCGCTTTGTTCAGAGCTTTAACTGGGAAAGCTTTGATAGAAAAGATCAGAAGGAAAGAAAGAAAGAATGCAATCTTCTGTAGAAGACAAATTAGATTTTGGGGGTTTATCATTTGAATGGACAAAGTGTTAGCTGGTTGGAGGGGACCAATTGAATTCGATGAAATGAGAATCACCGAATCTCTCAACAATTTGGACCTGCCCATCCAGCTAACACAAAATGTCCGTGATTGGAGGGGGGAGAAGAAGAAAGTGGAAAAGAAGTGGAATGTGGAAAAGAAGAAAGAAAAGAGTGAGAAAAGAGTAAGAAAAGTGAAATTTCCTGTGCACTAGAAAGGCTGCATTTACAAGAGCATAAAGTACAAGCATAGAAAGCAATGTTTAAGCATAGAAAATGCGAAAAAAGCTTTGAAAGAAAAAGAAAAAGCTTTAGAAGCCAAAATCTTGGCTTTAAGCAAGATTTTTAAGCAAGATTTTGGCTTTTAAAAGCTCGAGAAATGGTGGATAATAGTCATAAATGGGAAATGAAAGAAAATGGATATTCAA